TGCATCATTCTTTCCTGGTGCCCTCAAACACTATGGCTCCTACAATCCTTCTTCCTCCTCCTTTTTAGGGTTCCCAAGCCCTGCTGGGAGGCCTGCTCTTTTCTGAAACGAAACAGGAATGTTGGATCTGGGGAAGCGGGGAACAGGGGACTTGGAGGAATGGAGGGAGGGGAGGCTGCAGGCAGGATGTATTGTATGAGAAAAGAATAAATAAATAATAAAATGATTAGAGAGAGAGATTGTGGGGTCAGAGGTGGATTTGTATTGGTCGTGTCTTGAAAAGCTGCCTGTATTTGTTAGTTATTACCCTATTCTTCACACTGGGTTGCCTCATCCAGCCTTAAAACAAGGGGAAATGGCTTGTCTTACTGCGTCTTGATATGCCATACTTATTTGATATCCATGGGAGGCCTGCCCTTTCCTGAATAGAAATAGAGAAGAAGTGGATGGGGATGGCAGAAGGGAGAGGGGACTGGAAGGAGAAAAGGGAGAGGAAACTGGGGTCTTGATGTAAATAATAATGATAATATTTAAAAAATAAAAATAAAAATGATATTTAAAAAGAATGTTACAACCACAGACAGGGTGACTTAAACAATATAAATCTGTTTTCACACAGTTCGGTAGCTGAAGTATGGGTTTAGGTCTGAAAAACACTGCATTCCCAGCATCACTTTCCCCTGGGATTATATGTGGTTGTCTTCTTCCCCTGGGGTCAAGCTTCCTAGCATGAGCAGTACTATGCTTAAAGGGTTCATCTGAACACTCTCATCTGAATTTAATTCCCTTTTAATAACCCCTTTCTCTAAGTAGGGTTACATACTGATAGCTGAGGATTTTGATTTCCATATCCAGATGTTTTGTTTGCTTGCTTGCTCACTTTAGTAGTGGTAGCAAATCAGCAGGACAAGTTGAGAATCCAGGTTCAGAAAACACCCTCCTACAGAAGAAAGGTGGACAGGAACAGGGAGTGGGGTAACCTCAAGACAACGATAAGTGAATTTAGAAAATGGCAGAGCATTCTGGGAAGGTCTACCTAGGCTGTGTAAGGCACGTGAGTTTGAAACTAGAGTGTGAAGAAGTGACATTCTGACCAAGAAGCATCACACTGGTGACAATGTACTGAATCTAAAGTAGTAGTGAAAATGTGTTTTTTGTTAACACCTTTTATAGTCCATCCCTATACCCTTGGCAGTAGCACCAGGAACTAACTCTGGTAAATAAGTTAACTTGTTGGAGCCCATTCCCTATGGTGTGATGCCATGTTCAGTCTTAATGCATGGGAGAGGGGCTTGGTCCTGCCCCTACTTAATGTACCAAGTTTTGTTGGCTCCTTTTGGGAGCCCTTACCCATGAGGAGGAGTAGAAGGGCAGTGGGCTAGTGGAGTGGGGTGCAGAAGGAGGGGTGGGAAAGAGAACCTTGGTTGAACTATAAAATGAAATTAAAATACTAAGTAAAAGGCAAAACATTAAAAATGAAAAATCCATCCCTACATTGACAGTCTTCCCTGCCTTCTAAGTAACAGTCTAAGAAAATATTGAAATTGAATTAGAGGTGTTATATCACTATCAAGAGTATATTGTTTAAATGGAATGTTAAATATTAAGTTTCACATAGTTGCATGATTTTGATGAATACTTTCTTAAAAAAATAATTAAATTTTTATTTCTTCAGGAATAACACTTTTCATATAACAACACATTTCTAATTTTTGAGAAATTTACCTTTAAGAGAACTTCCTGTTCCACAGCCTAAACAGATATTGTTTAATATGTCCCATGTTTCCTTCTGGAATTAACCTTGTTCTATAAACAGTCTTGCCCACACTGATGCTATTGTCTTTCCAACAGTTGACTTTCTCTGGCAGTACATTCTGAGTGTATAGACTTAAGCCACAGCCTTTTGAATCAAGAAAATGACATTTGCCTTTTGTTCTTTTTGATGGGCATTCCTTTAAGATATGTATTATAATTTCGTATCATGAGACTTTTATTTTACTGTTGTAGTATTGTGAAACAGTTAAAGTGTTTGATGATCCTCATAAAATTCATCTACCTTGTTAGAAATTCTTGTACAAAATGAGTACATCCCACAAAAAGTTATTTTAAAAAACAATACCACAGTAGCATTTAGTAGAAATTGACAGTATAAATTAATATATGGATACCTTTGCTTTTACAATGATCTCTGTCACAGATACCTTGGAATCTGAAGAACTAAAGAAAAAACTTGCATAGATGTGGGGTATTAATAATAACCCCAAAGAAGACTATCTTGACATCAGAGTGGGAGCCAAAATAATTGCTGGCATAATGTCCTTGAGTAAAATCTGGAATGCTGATGTAGAAGTTTATGTGAATTAATAAGGAGACAGGTAGAATTTGACTACAGATGCCAGTAGACAAGGATATGGAAGATGGATGATTGTTGCTCTTCTTTTGATAGCATTTATTTTCTCATAAAAATTAAAAGTAATGTCACTAACTTCAAGGAATGATGAGAAACATGTTGGATGCAAACAGGGAGTATAAAATGGGAACATATCAAAGCAAAGTGGATAGGAACTAGACTGGTTTGGTTAGCGTATGTGTTCCCATGTGGTGAGGAAGTTTGGCCTGTGTGTATGACTTTATCCAACCATGTTCATTTGTGTAGAATAAATAGAGGAAAGGAGAGAATATAATGGAAGCCTTGGTTTGGAGCTCCCATACTCATATGAAGATCTTAAAGAAAGTGGAGGTTAATGAGAACTAATAGTGGTGATGACTGATCACACAATGGCAGCAGGTAGACTGGTGTTGCTGGTGGAATGAGGAAGGATGAAAGGATTCTGGAGAACATGGGGGAAACATGACTAGAAAGGCAGGAAATAAGACTTTGTAAGGCACAGAATATTTATTTGAAATTGCATTCAATTTTGTCCACATTGTGTTTATCACTCAGAATCCTTCCATACTCACAAGTCCAGTTGTCAATTTCTTTTCATTGCCTGGGTATTAGACCCTGCTCTCTGCATTCTCTGGATCTCACAAGCTGAGGAAATCTAAGCTCTCTTGCAGTGTTCCTAGCATTTCACTGAGTCCAGTTGATGTCTCACATTACCCCTCAGTCCCTAGAGGTTCCTGAGAAACTGTGATTCATTCTGCCCTCTGTGTGTCTCAGCCACCTGTTAAGCTCATAGCAGAATAATTACATCATAATAATGATATTTTAAGCAATGAGTTTTCTGTCTCCTTTACAACAAAGTTGTGTATTGTGAAGAAAAAGTCAGAATGAATGGCAATGATCATTTTTAATCTTATGCCTCAAAAATGATGTTTCCTTTTAGATAGGCTTTTTCCTATCTAAACTCCTCTTCCCCATCTTCAAAGTCTTTACTTAGTTGTTAATTACTGAAGAAAATCAGAACTGTTGCTTGGAAACCTTCTGAAGTCATTTTTTTCCCTTCAAGTGTCTGCATGTGTCCTGGGTGTGTGTATGATTATGGATATTTCCAAATGTATGAATACACTTGTGTGTCTGGAGACTCAAGGCCAATGGCGTGTGTCCTCCTTGATAGTACTCCATCTTATTCATCTGAACATTTTCTTAGTCAAACATGGAACCTGTTGTCTTTACCTTCCAAGCCTGGAATTTGAGCTGGGTGCCATGCCCACCTGGCATTTACTTGGATTCTGGTATATGTAGTCCTGCTCTCATCCTTGCATGATGATCACTTAAGCTACTAATCCATTTCTCCAGTACTAAAGTCAGTGTTCTATTCACTGGCCTGAGGTAGGCTTTTCCTGTAGCACTCATGGGTCTATGTCTGCCCAGTCTCCACATTTCTGATCCAGAGGGGAAACACACATGGCTTTCAGTGAATGTGTTATCCTAGACAGACAATCTATGGTGGGGTGAGGAGCAGGTACATAAAACATTCAGCACACCTTGGTGAGGCTGCTTAAGAAAGAAGGCATTGTTCTTTTCTTTTTGGATTTATTAGTTGAGAGAAGGGGATAAAATGAAAAGAAAAGGGAAGTTGGTCTGATATTTGCTGCTTTTCCGGGAATACTAAACTGTTCTCTATCCTTTAGCTTATGCTGTTTTCTTGATAGCAACTGGGTACCAATGAGAAGCAAATCACAGATGCACATCTAGTCTTCTAGGAATCATATCCATTGGGTAGCATGAAAGACAACTTGTTTTTTTTCCTATGCATTAAGTACAAAACAGTGCTTACCCTGCACGCAAAGTTGAATTTTGTATAGATGTACAAACTTTAAATAAGATTTCTATTTGATCTTATTTCTGCCCTAAAACATTTTTCTCATGTCAACATTTCCTATATTTCACTTATGTGTGCACCTGATTATGAAATGCATGGGAAAGATGTACCATTAGAATATTAGGCATTTTGAAGTAATAAAGCCAGGACTGTGACAATGATACATTCCTGTTTTAAGTGTGTCTGTGCGGAGATGATTATCATGAGTATATCTCAAAGGAAATAACTATAATAATATTACTATTAAGTAAAGGCAAAGAGTTCTTTGTTTCAAGGTAAGTTAATGTTTAAAATACATTTTTATTGTCAAAAGAAGGACAATTTTAATATATCATAATATTTGAGTTCCTTGAGTCATCAAGTCATTTGTGATGATGGACAAGGCTCAAAACAAGGCATGACATCAGCATAATTGAGCCTTAATCCATAGACTTTCAGTTCCTGACTTGGCTATTTGCACAGGGTGGCAAGAAAGCATATTCTGTGTTTGGCATGAACTAGATTTGGACCAAGGTAGAGATGTCAGAGAAACTGGACAGTAAACTGCTGTGCTGTAGATTATCTTTGCCTTGCTACAATGTTTACATGTATTGTCATCACCAGGATTGCCAAGCCAACTGCTGGCCAGAGCCAATGTTGAAATGGCCTATAAATATGCAGTGTAGAAACTGCCATAATGGGCCTGATTCCCCGGTGTGAACAGTCTCACCACCTAGGTCCCAGATCATCACCATGAAGCCGATTCTTTTGTACTTGGCTGTGGTGCTCTGCACCTTTGGCAAAGGTAAAGAATTTAAGGGTCTTTTAATTTAATAAGTGCATATTTACTTAATGTTTAGTGCTTTCCACTTCTTTCTTGTGCTTCAGAGTAGGATAATATGCAGGGATACCACATTTTTATATAACAGTAGATGTTATTTATGCTTTAAGAAGCGATCTCAAGTGTGTGAGTGTGTGTGTGTGTGTGTGTGTGTGTGTGTGTGTGTTAGTCTTAAGAGTTATTGTTCATTTTCAGCAGTTTGTGCTTTGATAACTATGTTCTAAGTATACATTCACATTAAGTCTAGAATCCTACCCTGAGAATTGTGGCATTCACAAATAAATATTACTTCTGAAAGGATCAATCCATCACTAAGACAAAATATCACAGGGAAAACATTTTGTAAAGTAACCAATTGCTTAGGTATTTCAAAAAGCCAGACTTATTGAAAGTGATAAAAATTAAAAAACTGAGTAAAATAAAATTAGGTAGCAGTTTCACAGTCAGTCAAAACAAAATTTATATGGTTTTACCAGTCATGACTGTAGGGGAAGAATAAGTAGAAAAATGTTAGTTATAACTAAAATTATACTATCTGTATTTAAATATATATAAAATGAAATATAGATTGGCATACTATATGTATATATATATATATATATACATATATATATATCTTATGTTTTCTTAGACCATTCTTTACCCTCAATAAAATAAAATTCATAAAGTTAATCAAGTCATTCTTTATTTTTATTTCAACTAATATTGAGAAAATATTTGGGAAAATAAAGTCAGGTAAAATTTAGATTGGAAAATTTTAGGTCAAAACTATAATGGGAAAAAATAGTGTATTGACCAATATTAAGTGTTGAGTTTTGTTTGCCATTGCCCTTTTAAGGCTGGTACATTATGATTTTCAGTATAGCAGGCCAATGTATTCCATAATCACATGGTGGAAATTCTAGTAAATAAGGAAGATCCAGAATAATAAATTAGTGTTGAAATATCAGTTATGATATGTAAAGAGTATTGCTCATATTGAATTGTAAGAAAGAATTGAAGTAAAAATATTTTCATTGTCTTAAATGTGACATTATTATTCAATTTCTCTTCTTATTTTTTAAGATTGGGGGATGTTCTTTGGTAAGCCACTAGGATACTATCTCTCAAATCTGGATCTTTGTGACATGATGGTGATCTTGGAGCCTACAGATGGAAATGGAAACCACCCCTTGGTTTGGTGCTGAAGCTGCCTGGCTCCTCATTTCCACTCTCTACCCCTGACCCGAACTCTTCAAGGATGCTTATTTGGAGCCTTTCCTCTGTTTTCTTAGTGCCAAATCCTGACTATGAGAGAGCAAAGGTTCAGTTTACAGGAATTTTCTACTGCTCACATGTGTCTCTTCTCCAGATATGGTTTCTGAGGCTCTGCATCTGCTTTGGAGTGGCACTTCTTGTAGCTTCAATTTAATACCGAGTTTCCATACTGTGGAAGGGCTGTGTATGTAGTCAGTTCCAGTTCCCCTCCTTGTAGCTTTCAGCTACTCAGACAGGAACACTGTTGACCCAGGTTCCTTAAGCTAGTGTCTGTGGATGTGAGGGCTTTCAGCTAATAGGCTAGGCAAATCCAAGAATTTAAGAATGAGTTTTATGGCAACTTCATATGCCTGAAAGGGACCCGGGAACAAATTCTTGACTACAAACTGCATTTCAGATAGTTAATAATTGCAAGGTATTTACATGACACAGAAAAATATCAGAGCACGTGTTTACTTTAAAAACGTTCATGTTGCTTTGGAAATACACGTGGAAGCCTCTCCTTCCTGGCCTTTGGCAGAATATGCTTGGGTGTCTTTTCAGGTGTCAGTCAATACAAACTGTATCAGAACACATGAGAAAGTTTTCTGTGTAACTGGCTCTCTCTGATGTTTGTCTTAATGTATACCTGTAAGTAGGTTGAAGGAAGATCTATTCACTCTGTACCCCATTCTTTTTAGAAATAGTTCCAGTTTTCAGAAGTTTAGTTAGTATCACATCACACGCCTAGAATATCTGTTCAAAAAACATAGTCAGTTAAGGCTTAGAAGATTACATTATTAGCAAAACAGAGGTTGGAAATTGGTACTGGGTCTTTGGTGAATGTGGATTTAGTTTTGTACAAACTCATGGGAAAGAATTATATTCTGTATAATTAGTATTTAAAGAAACCCACTATTGTCCAAAGAAAGTGGCAATATAAACTCCCTATTCTGAAGGTGCTTGTGTCTTGGAGAAAGAAATTCTATCTTTGATCTTCTATGGGCTTTTAGAAAATCATTTAAGTAGTTTTTTTTGTTTTGTTTTGTTTTTAGTTTGTTTTTCTTGTTTGGGCATGTAGAATAGATAACATTCTAGGCCATATTCCTCTATAACAGTTACAATGCTAATAATTGGATTTCTATTACTCTTATATTTCCTTGAGGAAGAAAAGGAAAGCAAAAGGAAGGTAAATTTTCAGAAGGCTAGATACATAGATTTTTCACATCCAGAAGTTAAATCCAGTGAAAGAAACAAGGGCCAATAAAATACTGTTATTTTTGGTATTTTTGAGACAGAGCCATTGACCTTTGAAGATGTGAATGATGGTAGAAACTAGTAGAACACCAGGAATTTTGGTAAACCTATGATGAGGGATAACCTTCTATATGTTGTGAATATATATTTCTCTTATTGGTTGATGAATGAAGTTATTTTGGCCAATGAACAGTCAGGATGTAGCCAGACAGGAAGTATAGGTGAGTCTATTAGTCATATAGGTGAGTCTATTACTCAAGGAGAATTCTAGGAAGAGGAACACAGTATGTCTTGCCAGAGACTTCATGTTGCTCCTGAGAAAGAAAGAGATCTTGGTATCACCAGTAAGCCAAGACCACATGGAGTTACACAAATTAATGGAAATGGGTTAATAATAAAAAGCCTGAGTCATAGGCTTAGCAGATTATAATTAATATAAGCCTCTGTGTGTTTATTTTGGACTCAATGGTTTAAGGACAAGGTGGGACAGAAACATTGTCTTGTCTATAAATATATAATGGGGTTTGCATAGTCCTGGCTTAAGAATTCTGATGGAGATTATTAATATGAACCAAATGGCTTATATTTACTCATTTATTTGTTTGTTCATCATTTATTGATCTTCAAAACATTTTAATTATTCATATTTGTCTTCTCATTTTTCTTATCAGTGGCACAAATTATGTGAGGGTAATTGAGGTGTGGTGTAGGTGTTTTGGCTTAAGTGGACTCCATGGTGATGGTTGACTAAAAGGAAAATGAAAGAGGGATCAAGGAAAATTTTTGCATTGATCTACTTAGATTTAGGCTTTGTATATTGAAAGTGAAAAGTCAAGATGTGTCTATTCTCTGGTGACAATGTTGGTGTTGGTGTTGTTATTTCAAACAGCTAGTGCTTCTAAACACTAAATTTGGCTTCCAAATTGCCCCAACAGTGAAAATGGAAGTAGGGATGAAGTCAAATGCCAAGAGTATTAGTGGAAGTGAACATCAGAACATGATTGCTGGAGGTAACTATAGTTATCAAATCCGGTGACTGTATCTCTCTATTTCCAATGAAGAGCTATACTTGAACAATTTAAGTTAATTGACTCATGAGAAATATTTTAATTGTTATTTAATAAACAATAAATCATCACAGACAAATTTTAATAATTTTTATTTGCAAAGAGAACTACTGGTTTGTATGTCAAAAAAAGAAAAGAACGATTCTGATTTAAAAAAGATTCTCTGGAGTTTGTGGCTTGAATTCTTTTATTGTTAATGCTTTTATTAGCAAAATACTTACAGTCAGATAATTTATTATGGAGGGTACATTTTCAGTACTTTAGATACTTGTACTATTTGTACACAAAACATTGGAAATCAGGAAAGTTTCAATATCCTGTATGATGTTCATCTTTTATTCTGTAGGTAAACTGACAAGTAATTTTGGAGCTGGTATCTCTACACATCTAGACTCTAAGTTGGAAATAGCTACCAAGAAAATTGCTTCAAGTATTGTTAATGGCATTGGTACTTTGGCCAGTGCTATAGGTATTCTACCAGTTCTCAGTTCTTTGGGTTACAAGGCGTTTCAAATATTTTTTACATTCTATGGGAATAGCATTTTAGTTTAACATGAGTAGAAAGATCATGGACTTTAGTTTTAAACTTCTTTATTTCTTTTATTTTGATTTTCTATTGGTAGGTTACACTTGTTATTCTATTCTGGAGGAGGTGGAAAAAAAATGTTGGTGTTAAACTGATGTACCAATTTCTAGTACAAATCAGTTTGGTGACTTTGATTTTAGTAAACAAAGAAAAAAATCTTCTGGAGAATAAAACAAAAGTGCTTTGGATGTTAATATTATCTTTGAATTGACATTTAGTGAAGTATGGTGGCATTCTCATGGGAATGCTTTCACCTTCTCCAAAAAAGTGTTCCTAGTCATAGCAGATAATCATGATCATAGTAAAGCAGTAGTGGTGTTGGCAGTAGATCAGGTAGTCTACATAAGATGTGTGAGGGGAGAAAGAGAGTAATAGGGAGGGACAGAGAGAAGGAGGGAGGGAGAAGAAACTGGGATCGACATGTTAAATAAAATAATAATAATAATAATACTAAAAAGATATGTGGGCCAGTGAGATCTAATCTACATCTCAGGTTACAGGCATCTGGGAGTAGGATCCTGCATGCAGTACTATCTGCAAACACTGTTTTTATAGTTTAAGGGCAAACTTTCACTCAAATCCATAATCTAAGCAGAGGAAGGCTTTATTACTCCAAAGGATGTGAGGCCTTGAGGTCCTTAACTTGGCTGTGTTCATGTCAAGAATACCCTTTCCCTTGAAATGTCCTCAGCTCCCCACACAGAATGTAGTTCCAGGCGTTTGTTATCATCCAGATAATCTCATGAATAGTTTATGGATGATAAGTTTTGCTAAACATCATCTGGCTTCTAGATGCTAATAATCTAGTAGAATTTTAGGATGATAAATGAGTGCAATCAGAGAAGACTGGTTCAGTGTAGATCAATTACTGAAAATTCCTTTGGGAAGTGGTATTGATGGAATGATAAGGAAATCTACTAGGACTAGACACATGAGTCTGAGCTGTAATGCTATGTCTCACCCTATTTATTAAGCTGGCCCCTTCTCAGAATTTTGCATGGGTGGCCAACTTTCATAATCCTTCTCTGAATTTGCATTTGCATTTTCCACCAAAGGGAGAGAACCATTGTCTCTATATCTGTCTATGAAGAAGAAAAGTGTAGTGTCTGTAGTGGTGGAGACTATGAGGAAAGGGTAATACATGGTCCTGAGGGTTTTAGATACTCTTCCAATCTCCAGTAATCTGTGAAAATTCTTCTTCCAACATAGTGAAGTGATGAAGATGAATGCATAGCCAAAGTTAAACTTGCAATTATGATTTTACATTCCCAGATGACACCAATGAAAAACGTGAGCTGCACTCCTTAGTTGGAATTTCCACAGATTCAGGATTCCATTTTAACCTAAGAAAAAACAGGCAGCTGGATCTGGTGGCAATGAGAGGAGTATAGAGATTAGCAGTGAATGTTCAGGGGCTGGAAATTTGAATGCTGGAAATGAGAATCCCAGAAATTCTAGTGTCACTATCCTGTCAGATATTTCATGACTAGATATTTTTCATCACATTTGCATAATACAGCCTGTCAGCACACTTCTAATAATCTGGGTTAACTGTGAAGTAGGTAAAACGATGGGCAGATGGGATTTGGTGTAGAGAATTTACTGAAGAGAACTTTGGGTCCACAACTGGTTGAATGAAGAAGAGTCTGTAGGAACTGGACTCATGAGTCTCAGGGGTGATGATATTTCTCACAGATTCTACTAAGTTTGGTCATTCTAAGAATTTCAAATGAATCAAATTTCATTGTTTTGGAATTTGCATTTTTCTATCAAAGGGAGAGAACTAGTTACTACACATTTTCTATGGAAAAGGACAGAGTGAATGTTTTGGCTGCAGTGGTGCAGACTTTGATTGAAAGTTGAGGATAAATTCTGAATCCCAAGGAGGAAAGATGCCTACAGTGGATTAAGCAGTTTTCCTAAGCAGTGCGAGCCAGTGAGATCTAAATCCAGGCAATAGTTCAGATCATTTCATGTCTCTGAAAGTGATGGAATTCAAGTTATTTGAATTGGACTTTGAAGAAGGAAGGAAAGATCTAAATTTGAATTTGAAAATTCTAGTTGAAGGCCATCCTCTGATATGCTCAAAGGTCCTTGGGAATCTATATCTTGGACCAGTGTTGATAATAGATATTTGCTCACCTAGGATATTTTGAAATATGATTGTTATTGAATATGGTCTGTTGGCTAAATTAATACAATTCTGATTTGCAGTGGGGAGATCACATTGTTCTCCAATTTGGGGAGAGAGGAAATAAGCAGAGATGAATCTAATAATTTTCTATAGAATAACAATTATTCTGTTTTTGGAAAGAAGAAACAAACAAGAATCGATCTAGTTTGGATTTTGTGCTTTCAGTGTTTGTGAGAAAACAGAAACATGAACTAAAAAATGGTAGATTATGTAATATTGGGTGGTCAGGTGAAGGATTTGACTTTGTCTGAAACTTTTGACCTATATTCTGATGAAAATTTTTTTCCCTCTAACAGGTAAAAGTACAAAGAAATTATGGGAATACTTTTGGGATCTAATTCGTGAACAAACAAAGACTACTGCTGGTGGCACAGGTAGTCAAGTGTATGAGAGTCAAATCTAAATTTTTTGAGCTTCCAACCCTCTGTTTGGTGGGCAGTTGAGTGATTTGATAGTTGTAATTTGATAGTTGCTTGGTAGAGGACTGGTCAAATGCTGGATAGATTTCTGATTGGTTATGGTCACAGCCCTTTGCTGACAATGATCTTAGTGAACATGAAACAAAATCCCTCTGACCATATAGAGTCTGGGGTTTGGTTCCTGTCAGTTATTCCACAATCAGATGTTTTTGATCAGGTTTTCATAATACACTCTGTCAACAGCCATCTAATAAACTGGCTGAACTGTGAGTGGATGAACTGTGTGTAGAGCATTTAGTGCAAAGAACTTTGGGACTAGGAATGGTGGAAAGGTCTGAATTCTTACACCCAATATTCTAAGATGGGTCTTTCTGAGAATTTTTAAGTAATTAATTTATTTTTTTTATTATACATGTCAATCCCAGTTCCCTCTCCCTCCCTCTTAACTTCTCTGCCCCCTCCCTCTCTAACCTTCCCCCTGACCTCCCTCTCTTCCCATCCCCCCACCCCAATTCCACATGTAGGGCAATGCCATACAGGTGGGGTCATGTAGATCTGTCAAGTGATTTGAAGTAGGGACTAGGACTTCTCTCCTGTCTCTAGGTTAAGGCAGTATCCCTCCATGGGGGATGTGTCTGCAAGGTCCTTTTGTGCACCAGGAATACATCTTGGTTCTACTGTCTGAGGACCCTTAGACTGCTCAGTCCTTCTGGCTGAGACCCATATTCAGGGGGGTCTGAGTCAGTCCCATGCTGGATTCCCAGCTATCAGTCTGGGGGCCCATTAGCTCCTCCTTGTTCAGATCAGCTGTCTCTGTGTTTCTGCAGCCTGGTCTTGTCCTCTCCCTCTGCATCTGGATTCTAGTTCGACTCAGTGTTTAGTTATGGGTGTTTGCTTCTGTTTCCAACAGGTACTAGATGGTGGATAAGTTAATTGTTGATCTCACTATTCAGGAAGGGCATTTATGGTAGCCTTTCCATGGTTGCTCAAATTGTTACTTGGCGGCAGTCTTGTAGTTCTCTAGACCGTTTTTTAGGTTCAGTTTTCTCTTCAAACCAATAATGGCTCCCTCTTTTATGTTCTCTCTCTCTCTCTCTCTCTCTCTCTCTCTCTCTCTCTCTATCTATCTATCTATCTATCTATCTATCTATCTATCTATCTATCTCTCTTCTGCCTTCTATTCCTCTATTCCTACCCTGACTCAATCTTCCTAGTCGCACATGCTTTCCTCTCCTCCCCTTCTCTTTCCCCTACTTGTCTCTCCATTCACTGCCCCCCCACTTCCCATGTGCTCTGAGGATCTTGTTCCTTCTCCCTTCTGTGAGGGACTTTATATGCCAGTTGTAATGTCTGGGTTGCTTGGTAAAAAGACTGGTCAAATGCAGGGTAGATTTATGTTTTGCTATGATCAGAGCCCTATACTGAAAATGATATTAGTGAACATGAAAGAAAATCCCCCTATCCATATAGAGTCTTGGATTTGTTTACTGTCATTTATTCCCACAATCAGATGTTTTTGATCAGGTTTGCATAATACACTCTGTCAATAGCCATCTAATAAACTGGATGAATTGTGAGTGTGACAACTGTGTGTAGAGCATTTAGTGTAAAGAACTTTGGGACCAGAAATGGTGGAAAGACCTGAATTCTTCTGGATCAGGACCCATGGTTCTCAGGGGGAATGTGATTGCCTGCCCACAATTCTAAGATGGGTCTTTCTGAGAATTTTATATAGGTTAAAACTCACTGTTTTGTAATTTTCATTTTTGTGTCTAGCAAAGGGAGAGAACTGGTTTCTCCAGTTTTGCCATTAGAGAGGGACAGATGGATATGTTGGCTTTGTTGGTATAGGCCTTGATATAAATAGAGCATATGATTCTGAACGCTCTTGATAACCCATGACCTCCAGAAATATACTGGGAACATACTTGTCCCCGCATTGTGAGGCTGTGACGATTGATGTACAGCCAATGTGAATCTTATGATTATTATTTTACCTTCACCAGGTGCCTCAAGATAAAAAGAGAGAGAAAGAGCTACAACCATCAGTTGCAGTATCCATAGAATCAGGACAAGGAATGGGAACTGGTGGGAATGACCAGAACGTAGATATTAATAAGATTAGCAGTTTGTCTACAGGGGATAGAACCTTCAAAGATGGAAATAAATGTGGCTCAGAAATCTTTTCCTCTATTCCACTCCATGGATATTCCTCTTGTAGCATATATACTTACTTCAATTTTCTTATAGTAGAGATGCTCTCATCATCTAGTTTTAGATATGTTTGAAACAGAAAGGAAGGTTGAAATCAAATTCACACTTGGACTTTGAGTTAACATTGTTTTGTTGCAAATGAATTTGGAAAATTAGAGTAAAGGTCCTGGAATCATTCAGTTATTGTGTTTAGAATTGATGCTTCCTTCCTCAGAACAATAGGTTTGAGTTGATGTGTACCGAATATTTGATCTTAAGATGTCAATCCCTGACATTCTTCAGGTGGCATCTCTAAGAAAAAAATAGTGATAAAGAAACAGGGCAAAGTATGTTTGGAAAAGAGAACATGCCTGGAGTGTATGAGGTAGTCTGCCTAAGCAGTGTGAACCAATGAGATCTTAATCCAGGCAATAGTTTATAGCATTTAATTCTCTGGAAGTGATAGGAATCATATTATTCTAATTGGCCTTTGGAGAGGGAAAGGTCCAGCTAAATGAACTTGGTAGTTCTAGTTGAAGTTCATCCTCTGACAAGAGCCTATACTCAAAATTCCTAGTGTATCTTTTCTAGGGTCTGGTGCTAATAATAGGTATTGTCTTACCTGTTTTCAACCTTAAATGTCATTGAAGGTGGTTTGGTAGCTAAAGTTATCTCATCCGTATTTTCCATGGAGAGACCAAGTTGCTTTTCTGGTTTTTGGAGGGAGGAAACAAGCACGGGTGGATGTAGTTTGGATGGGACACTTCCTATCTAGTCAGCTTTTGTGAGAACAGAGAAACCTGAACCAAGTGGTGGTATATCTTGTCATGTCACATCACCAGGTCCAGATAATTTAATATGTCTGAAGACAATTTTGTAATTTTAGCTTTGCCCTATAACTTGATTGTATCGTTTTGCTTTCTACAGTTGGCAACCCTATTGGAATTGGAACCAGAAACTTATTAGATGTTATACATGAGCAGGTTGTTAACACAATGGCCAGTGATTCAGGTAGTCAATATTAGTGTGTGGTGTTCAAATCTGTTTTTTTCTGAGCTTCCAAATCCTTCTTTGTTAGGCAGTTGAGTGATTTGCTGGTTATAAAGTCTGGGTTGCTAGGTAGAGGAGTGGTTAATTGCTGGGAGTGTTGTGGTTGGTTGTGAACAAGGAAGAGAATTCCTATGATATTCTGGAGTCTTTTCAGAGTTTTCAGGACGAGATATTTTTATCACATTTTCATAATACAGTTTACCAATAATCCTTTAATAAACTGGCTAAATTGTGAGTGGAAGAAATAGGCAAATAAAAAAAAATATATTGAAAAGGACTCTGGTGCCAGGACTGAAAAAAATAAGCATAAGTCATTTGGAATTGGCCCACTGAGTTTCTGGCATAATGGTATTTCTCACACACTTTGACTAAATCGAGTCCTTCTGAGAATTTTTAATAATTTCTTATTTTTCTTTGTTTTGTGACTTGCATTTTTGTTTTCCCACAAAGGGAAAAATTATTTTCTCCAATTTCATCAAGAAAGAAATGAATTATGCATGTGTTTGGTTTATAATATTTTGATTTATATAAAATTCATGGCTATGGCTATAGTGGTGTAGACTTTGAGAGAAATGGAGGCATAGCTCTTAGGGCTCTGTTATGCCATGATCTCTAGTATTATTATATCTGTGAACTTCCTTGTCCTTATACAGTGCAGCAAGAAGCTGGAACTGTCCCTAAGTATGGTTAAAGGCTAAGCCCCTGGGCAGGCACTTGAGTGGGCTGGTCATATCAGCAATGGCTGCCAGAAATGCATAAATAGGCTTTGGATATCACATTTTTGTTGTTGTTGTTCAGAGTTTTCAGTGTGGGCAGTGTTGAGGGAAGTAGGGTAGATGGGGTTTTTTTTAGCTTGTGCAGGTGCAAGCTGGGATCGCCAACAAAACACAATATTTGAACTTGGAACAATTTAAACAATAATTTTTAAACATGACTAACTTAATCATGCATGCATAATTTTTAACTTTTCTTATTTATTCCTTGTGTCTTTCACATCATGCACCTCAGTCCCATTCATTTCCCCACCCCTTCATTTTTACCCTCTGCCCTTGCATACCCTCCCCCCCACACACATACACATGCAAAAGGAAAAATCTCTTATGGAAGCTTTAGTTGACCCAGTAAACCTTTTTGTTCATATAGTTTTACTTGCAAGTGTTTATTGCGAAGAGTCATTGGTCTGGTTTGAGGCCTCTGATTTCTGCTATACTAGTGATGCTGGGCCCTCACTGGGACTCCCTTTGGATATCCTGTTGTTGTCCCATGTTGTGAAAATCCTGAAGCTTCGGGTCTATAGGATTGGCACTTTTATGTGCTTCTGCAGATCATAGTTGGGGTGTATAATGGGGTGGGCCCACTTATAACCCTTGTTCTGGGCCTGGGTAGTTGCAGGGCTGTCAGCCATCCAGCATGTCCATCCTCACCTCTAAGGTGAGCTCTCCAGCATTGCTCTGGCTAGTTTACTCCTAGGGGTGGGGCCAATTCTCCTGCTTTCACACCTTCAGGGTAGTCACTCCACAGCTATACCTTCAGGACCAGTTCCACTGTGCTGCCCAGGTGAAGTGCAGGAGCCACTCCCTGGGAATGCTGCAGATGGGGAGGAGCCAGGACAGCTCTCCCACTCTTATGATCTCAAGGCCAGCTCTACTATGTATCCCAGGAAGCAGGGGTGAGGGTATCTTTTCCCTTCCTACACCATCATATGTCAGATAAGGGGCACCACCAAATCTCCCATGTTCACCTTCTCAAGGCTGATTCACCCACAGCCCTGTCAATATGGTCAGATTGGTTGTGCTACCCAAGCAAGGTGCAGGGCCCACTTCCCCAAGTGCTGCATCTGGTAAGAAGGAGGGTAGACTCATCTGTAGCAGGTGGTGAAGGGCTAGAGGTAAGGAGGGGACATCTCTCCACCACCCACACTGATGCTACATGCACCATTTTTTATGAATTAAAAAACATTTTTCCCTGGTGCACAAAAGGACTTTGGGAGCACATTTCCCATGGAGGGATACTTCCTTAACCTAGAGGCAGGAGGGAGGCCTATTCCCTACTCCAAATGACTTGACAGAGTTTGTTGATACCTCCTGGAAGGAATCATTCTCCCTGTTCAGTGTGGGGGTGGGAATGGGATTGGGAGGGTGGTCAGGGGGCATGGGAGAAAGAGCATTGAAACTGCATCTTAAACATCTAACTCATGTAAATAAAAGCATATATTAACAGCCCTGACTTTCCTGTCTTTTCTTCCTGATAAATTATTTGTTTATGTTTTTGTTTTTTTGAGGCAGAATTTTACTGTGAGCTTTAATTTGTTTGGTACTTGGTATATAGCCTCAAACTGGCCTTCAACTCTTTCCTGGTACTTATCTTTCTTCAGTTTCCTGAGTGCTTGAATCACACATGGGTACTACCACATTAGTGGTTAATAAGATTATCTTTTGTTAAAATAGTTTGCTTTTTATAAGGTGGGAAATTGTAATGAGAATTGAACCCAGAGATTCATGCTTACTAGGCAAGTAAGTGCTCTACATACAGCTAAGCCATAACCCATCCAAGTAAGTTTAAATTATTTGTTAGATGTTCTCAAGTTCCATGCCTTAAGAAGAATTTGGATTAAGTCTATATTTACAAGCAGATTTGGAACCCTACTAATACTGAGTATGCAAATGTAAGCCTTCAGATAATGCATAATAGTCATTAAAATAAATGTGTAGCTTTCATTACTCATCATCTTTAATTCCAAATATGGCCTTCCAAAGGCATTATTCTTAATGAAAACAAGGTAGAAGATTCCCATGCAAAAGAAATCATGCTTAATCTATTTGTAAAACCTTGACAACAAAAGGAAACAGCTTGAAAGTGAAGCTCCTGATGAAGACTTGAAGCAAAATCTTTTCCTGTGTAAACAACTAATCAGCAAGAGGGAGACACCCTAAAAACTGGAAATTTCTTTTTACAGTGTGTGTGTGTGTGTGTGTGTGTGTGTGTGTGTGTGTGTGTGTGTGTGTTTGAAAGCTACATGAGTGATGATGTCTGCCAAAACCTAAAAAGTGTACTAGGTCCCTTGGAACTGAAATTGCAGGCAATTGGAAGCTGCCCAATGTGGGTGCTGGGGACCTAAAACTCAGATCCCCTAGAAGAGCAACAAGTATTCTTTGCTTCTCAGCCATCTTTCCAGCTCAAGAAATTTCTCTTTTAATACCAACTTTTCTTGTTTATAATGACATGAAACTATATCCCCTATGATCATATGTGTATCCAAAAGAAAAGGGAAAGGAAGAAGAAAATCCCAGGTCTAGAAATTGTTGGCCAGGAATGTTTTTAGTTATGGAAATGTGTTTATTAGTTTCCTGCCTAATAAGCATCTCTTCTCTGACCTATACTGCTGCTCCCAGGGGCTCCTGGTCAGGGTTTCTGAGCACAGGAGTAAGTCATATTCCATCATTTTGCAGAAAAATATTATGTGAATCACTAGAATAAGTATTAGGGTTTTAATGTCCTATGATGTACCCATAGTGTATAAATTTGTCTATTTTTGGCCATGGAAAATCTTGGAGGCTCCACTTAAAAAAGATCATTGAGTCAGTATTCAGAAACAAAGATGGGAATCAGTGTCTCAAAACTAGACCAGCTGAGGCTGTAGGCGCAATCCACTAAAGCAGAATCAGAGAAAAGTCTGGTCCAGTGCTCTATAGTTTTAGAGAAAGCAACTACAGGAGGAATGTAGGGAATGCCTCTTGGGAAGACTGGAGGTGGGACTGAAGCATGCCATGCGAAGAAACAGCTACCCCTAATGTGTATACTGCTTAATGAGGGTCATTCATTGCAGAGTTGATTCACCACTGCCAGGTTTGGAGCAGCTCTGACATACTTGGATATTAGCATGATGTCCTCCTGGTTACCTGTGGATTTCTCTGTCTGACACTAGAATGAGGTGGAAGACAAGGCATGGAATTCCTCTGTCTGGTGCTGGTAGTTATTCATTAAAGAATAAGTGGATCTTTGGCCAGAAAACACAAGGAAAGGAAGACAAACTCACCACCAGTGCCCCTGAATATCCACTGATGTGCCACCAAGGGGCTGTCAATGGCGGTGTGAGCCCCTTGCTGACCTTTGTTACCAACTGTCGCAGCCTGATAGTTGCTTTTGCCTCCTCTGTGGAGATGCTGAGATTCTTTACTAAAATGCCACATGACTGTATTTTCAGGTGAATTAATATGAAATACTTTTGGAGTTTGTTAGAAGTGTTTCAACATAATGTCAGTATGGGTAGAGTGATAGGTGGTGGAGAGATGAGCATGGATGGAAGGAGAGGAGGGAAGTGGAGATGAGCAGGGATGTTGGGAAGGGAAGGGGGATATGAGCAGGGGTGCAGAGAAGGGAGATTTGAACAGAAGTGGGGAAGAAGGGATATTTTAGAAGGGGGAGTGGTAGTAGGGAGGAGATCAGCATGAGCAGAGGGAGGGCAGTAGGAGAATGATGGACAGCACATGTAGGAAAAGGATAGCATACACACACAAGGTAAGTTTGGCAAGGTAGTATAACCAGAATTAATTACTTCTTATGTCTGTACTATGGGAAATTTCCCAATTAGAGACTATGTCTGCTTTGATTTTTTTTCCCCAACAAAGAGATTTTTAGTAAATAGCATAGTGTTTTTTTGTTTTTGTTTTTGTTTTTTGTTTTGTTTTGTTTTGTTTTTACACCAATGGCAGTAAATCTAGTGACAATGGAAGGTTTTGGATTTACTTTGACGTTGCATTTTTCAAAGTTGAGTGATTTTTCCTTTATTAAAAATAGTTTTTATACATTATAATGTGTAAATTTTAATTTACATCTCATTACCAAATGGAAATGGCTTCTGGTTTGGGAATAAGGGCATGTGACCACTTCTTTTGGCTCTGGTCCTGGGTTTCTTGATGTCCACAGTAAGGTCACCATTCATCTAGTTAATGTCTTTCATATACCCACATCCTATGTGTAAGAATACTTTGTTCAAAATACCTAGGTATCCCAAATGTAAAGCATCTTAGTTTCACTGAAACTGAAATAAGGTATTCTCATCTCTGCATACATAATTCTTGGCTCTTTCCTTTACCAAATTCTAAGATGACATATTTGGAATAAGTTAACTTTTTATCTGACATGTAATTATTAATAATTTTTTCCTTTGGTGAAAGTTGAGTTGATAATATATATTTTTTTTCCCAGCACTAGAATTGCTAAGCATGTGTCCATTGTTTATCCATCAGATTTTAAAACCACATTTTACATGTATAATTCTGTTTTAAAACAGGAGCCATAAGTTCATCTGAGTACACTACATCTGAACCACCCAGTACTCCAGGTAATTTTATTTGTGGCTTTGGGCGTTTGAAAAAAAATATATCCACATGTAAATGTAAGAGAATTTGAAAGGTAGGTTCTGTTGGTTACTAATTTACCAAGATGTGATACCACCGTGTCATTGTGTTTACAATATTAAAACTCTAAGGTTTCCTGAAGAAAATATGTAGGAGACCCAGGAGGTGTTTAAAGGAATTTTACGATGAGGAGAAAAACTGTTTTAGGGGAAATTTAATAAAGGAAAACATCACTTCTCCTTTATCACTTTAAAAATATTCTAAACAACTAACTAAGGAATGTAATCTATGCTCTCGCAATCTTAGTAAAGCTATTCTTTGGTAAAGAGAGTGGTTAAACAATTCATAAGCAGACAATAAAAGCATTGTGAAAAGTATTTAAAAGTTTTCATGAAGTACCTACTTTTGCTATCATTGTCATCCTGACTTTTAAGCACGACCCTGAGATTTTCATATCTAATTACTCATCTAGATCAAAGTGTCATTAGAAATACACAAGTAGATTTGAAATCTCAAGGTACTTGTCATTCTCCTTTGGTTTAGGGAAATTACCTTTACCACATACATACACAATTGCATTATTAATATTAGATAATAGTGGTGTACTAACTGCAACTTGGGCTTGCTTGTTTTGTGGGTTCTGATAAAGATTTGCTTATAATATTTTATTGCACCAGCTGAATGGACATCTGTATAGTAGAAACAGTGTGTTAGTGATTAGGTATGATCTAAAGAGAATTGTCCCTAAAGATTTCAAAATAAACAATGACTGATTGGGTCCAGAAACAAAAGTAGATTTCAGAGATAATCATCCATATGAAATTGATGAATCCTAGCTCTCAAGAGCAATTTTACACATTCAGGATAAGAAATTGCACCTTGACAACAACAGCATTTAATTTCCCAATCAAAAGTCCTATATCTTTTTAAATATGTTTTAATGTTAAATATATAAATATGTTAAATATGTAAAACATTGTATGTTTACATTTAAGTATTATTTATACCTTGTGTTGAATAGAAAAAGGATCCCACATTCCAGAAGCAACTCCCACATACTCAGAAGCAAAGGAAGTTACTGGTAAGTGAACATAACTTGGATGTCCATTCATATGTTTAGCTCTAACTCAGTACCTGAAACTGGTCACAAAGTAACTAAAATCTAAAGCTAATTAAAAACAGCTGCCCTTCTTTTACATGTTTGTTTGACCACATGATGTTTAAATGACATTATACTCACATTATTTGTTCCTAGTACCCAGGAATCTAGCCTAATAAATAATATTGTGTTTCTACTTAAAAATTGTAACCTAACATCCCACTCATGTTTTATAAATGGTGCCACATTCACATAGGATAAGATTCTTTCTACCAACGGTGAAATAAATGAGCAAACACCACCTCCCTTCCCTATATTAGGCACAATATCCTTTTTCTAAAGGAGTAGCAGATGTTTCAATTAGAGTTGTGTTTTAGCCAGATTAATCATTTGGGGCATCTCATGGGACCTGTTACTGTTTACCTTTCAGATTTTTAGTAGTGGTTTAAAAAAAAAAAAAAAAAAAAAAAAAAAAAAAAAAAACAGTGACTGGGTGTATTGAACCTTATTATGATATTTTGGTACCTAAATATAAGAAACATCTAGAAGGTGTGCTTCTTTGTCCAAACAACTGTGGATTTCTTCTATTACTACTGCTAGGTGAAACGTTTACATGGGGCAATGGTGCATACAAAGCCCTCAACGGCCAAATCTTCTCCTTTGAGTCTTCGTGCACATACACTTTCTGCCGTGACTGTGCCGAATCTGGAGGAGACTTCAATATCGAGATCAAAAGACACAGCAACAGTGAGATTGAAGAAATAAAGGCTCTGATTGATGATGTTGGCATCTCAGTTTTGAATAATACTATTTTTGTTAACGAAGAAAGGTAAGTAACAGAATGTACTGCCTAAGAATGACAGAGTAGCTTGGAGTGTGAGCCCAAACCAAGCCGACACGAAAGCCAAGTTAAGCAAGGAGTAGATGACAGGCCCCTTTTTCTTTTTCTCTTTTTTCTTTTTCACATTATTTTTATCAAAAATCAAAATGCGAAATGTCTTTTATATCATAAATCCCAAAACAGCTCTTACAAGTTTCAATCATGACTAAAACTTCTGTAACAGGCCCCTCTTTCAACGTGTGTCTATGGCAAGTTAGAACACAACCGGTGGCTGTTTTGCAATGACTCTGCGCCTAGATTTAGATTTAGTGTAAGATGTAGATTTCATCAAACAGATACCATAACATTGCAATTTTCATTGCTGTAATCTAAATAAGCTAAATACAGGGTAAAAACTTCACAAATTAAAAATTGAACAGATTACGCAGCTCCTAGATGATTATTTTTTAGAAGGTAACAACTCAGATTTCAAGGAGACAGACTCTTTGATGGCTTTCTGGGATAAGACATTGAGAGGCAATTGATATTCTACGTGTGAATATTCCAAACTATTTGATTTTTTCCCCCTGACACCCAACCAACATTCTGTTTATTTTTTCAAAGGACCAAGGCTGTAGTAGTTACCACAGCCCTTATTACAGTAGCACCATTTCATCACTTGTGCAAACTTGTGTATTTATTTATTTATTTATTTATTTATTTATTTATTTATTTTTAATGCTTTTCAGGGTACAGGTGCCATACACCAATAAGATGATCCACATTAAAAAACAGGGGGATCACTATGTTCTGAATAGCCGCAGGAAAACCCTGTCTCTAAGATGGAGCAAGAACAAACTCTCAGTAAGTTGACCAGTGATTTTTTTTTTCCAACTTTCTGGGTTTTGGTCTTTGGCTTTAGTCATAAAAATAAGCACAGCAGGAAAGAATACAGTAAGAGTTGTTGATCAATCTTTTTATGCTCACTATGATGAGCCTTATTTTGCCTGCCAGTCAAATTACCTCAATATGTAGCCCTCTTAGATGGTCACTGAAGGGGCAGAGTATGCATGTAAAGGAAAACACACATGATTTTATGGGATTCCTGAGTGTGCAAATGAATGGGTCTCTGAATCTATATCTGTTTCTTATGTCTTTCCTTGGGCTCTTTTCCTTCTATTTTCTTGTTTTGTGCTCTTTCAATGTGTTAGTTTTTGTTTTAATCTATATTACATTATATTATGCATATTATATTATATTGTCATATTATCTCTTAGAAGTCTGTTTCCTTTCTAATGAGAGGCAGAAAGAGTGTGAATACAGTTGGATGGGGAGGTTGGGAGGAAATGGGAGGATAGAGGGAGAGGTAATTGTAATCAGAATATATTATGTGAGAAGAAAATCTATTTTCAATAAAAAGAAAAAAATCCTGTTGGTGATGGCATGTGGCTTTAATCCCAGCACTTAGGCAGAGGCAGGTGGATCTCTGTGATTTTGAGACCAGCCTAATCTACAAAGTGAGTTCCAGGACTATTAGGACCATTACTTAGAGAAACTCTGTCTTGAACCTCTCCCCCAACCTCCCAAAAAAACAAATCTGTCTGAGGACACAATCAGCACTGGAGTCAGATTTGTTCCAAGTTCGAGTCACAGTTTCTTTTAAAAAGGTACCGTTCCCCCAAATGACTAGTGTACCCAAGACTGCACAGGAAGAGACCCTGCCCGTTTCTTTGTCAAAAATTGTGGAGATGTTTTCAAAAATTTATGGAAATATCAATGTTATTTGTTTTTGCAGCTCACTCTCTATAGCCAGTATACAACATGTGGTCTTTGCGGCAACTTCAACAGCACTCCAGGTAAGATTTGGAAGATTGTTCCTAAGAAAACTTCATTCTGAAGAAAAAAAATTCACATTTAGATAAATTTACTAACAATTTGCATTCCTCTAGAGGATGAGAAACAGAATCAAAATATATTTACCTTGCCAAGAATATATGTAGCTTACAAACAAAGTACAAATGAATATCTAGAAATCATGCTTTGATTTTCAGGTCAAGATATTAATGAGCACATTGCCAATAGTAAAATTTCCAATGACTGTCCCAGCGCTTTGAGCAGAAACAATGAAGTTTGTGAAGATGGAGTACAGGTAGGCAATCTGGTTTCCTCCTCAAGCAATTTCAGCACTATTCCTCCTGAACTATTAAATAAAATTTATTATGTATTTTTAAGGTCTATAGCATGATATTGTGTATTTTAAGTCTGTAACTTAGTTAGGGTTTCTATTGCTGTGAAGAGACACCATGACCATAGCAACTCTTATAATGGAAAACATTTATTTTGAGTGGTAGCTTACAGTTCTAAGGTTCAGCTCATCATCACTATGGCGGGGAGCATGGTGACATGCAGGCAGACATGGTGCTGGCTAAATCTTGATCAGGGGTCATAGAAAGTACACTGTCTCATGGGGCATTGTAGACTGTATTTTCTGTTCAGCCTGGTCCCACTGCCCTTCAGTCCCAAATAAACTCACAGAGGTTTATATTAATTATAAACTGTTTGGCCAATGTCTCAGGATTCTTATTGGCTACCTCTATTTTAATTATTAACCCATATCTATTAATCTATGTATTGCCAAGAGGTGGTGGCTTCTGCTGCACTATCCATAATGAGCTCTCTCTGGGGCCCCTCTTGGATATCCTGTAGTTGTTCTGTGTTGTGGATATCCTGAAGTTTTGGACTTGTTGGTTTGTCCCCTTCACAAGCTCCAACATTTCATAGATGTGAATGTTGGGATGGGCTAACTCATAGTCCTGACTCTGGGCCAGGGTGGTAGCAGGGTTGGTCAGCCTGCCAACTTTCCCCCTTCATCACTACCTGGGGGCGCTCTCCTGCACTTGTCTAGCTCACCCACCTAATGCATCATGCATCAATGAGATGGACCAGTTCTCCTGTTCTTAGGTCTCCAGATCTGGCAAACAACATTCACAGCACCAGGGCCAGCAGGTCTACTCTTTTGCCAAGGCAGATGCAGGGCCCTCTCTCCTGACTGTGGGCATATGAGGAGGTGTGGAGTCAGCTCTTCTGCTTTCACACCCTTGGGCTGGCTCACTTGCTCCCCTACAATAGAGTCAGCTCTAGTGTGCTGCCCACGACGGGGCAGGGCCCACTCTCCTATGTGTTGCAGATGGTGAGGGCAGGACTAGCCCTCTCGCTTTCGTATTCCTGGGCCAGCTCTCTTGCCTGCCACAGGTAGTGTGGGGAAAAGTGGGGAAGGTCATCTTTTCCTCACCCATACCACCACCTGGAAGATGAGTGGATGGGGGTGAGGTCAGCTCACCTATACCTGACAATAGGGAAAGTTCTAGTGTGTTACCCAGAAGGGATGCAGATCCCACTCTCCTGTGGGGTAGCAGCCTGTGAGGGGCAAGGCTCGTTCTTTGGCATTTGTAACCCTGGGACCAGTTCTCTCACCTGCCATAGGTGAAAATGGGTAAGGGTGGGGATAGTAGCATCTTTCTCTCTCTCATACCACCACATGGCAGATGAAGAGGGATGCCAGGGTCAGCTCTCCTACTCTCATGCCCATCTGAGTCCCCAGCAATGTTTTAATGAAATGTACTTTCTTTTACAGTATTGTGACAAGATTATTGGAACTTACTTTGAGAACTGTGGGAAGGTTTCTGCTTTATCCAGTGAGTACAAAAATGTGTGCATTGATGAGTATTGCCGAACTGGAGGCGGCAAGAACACTACGTGTGCCACCTACTCCGAACTGGCCCGACTCTGTGCCTATGATGGTCCTGGTGTCTTTGAACACTGGAGAGATGACTCTGCTGTAGTTTGTGGTAGGTGCTTTTTTTCTTAATAATGGTAGATTGTGAAAAACTAACTTCTTACAAATTCACATTTTATCTTGAGCTACATCTCAAAACAGTTTTCTTGAATGGTTCTAAGGTCCAGAAAGGGAGTGAGAGCTAAAGAGGTCTTGTCTCTAACTTGTTGTGAGGCTCATTTTGTGATATGGCTTGCCTTGTTGTGGATTTTTGTGTTAAGGTTTTAATTAATAGGATCATCAGCAAACTTAAGGGGAGAAATTATGTAAATTCTACAAAACGTAGCTGATTTTTTAAATAGCTGCTCTTAAAGTGTTTTAATTTAAAAAATTAGAAAAATGCAAAATGAGCTTTATACACACATAAGTACAATTTATACTTTCATTAATCTTTATAGAACTTCATATCAAATTCAACATGGGATGACATTGAATGATACCATTTACTTTCCCTCTAAATTAAAAACTACTCAGTGAAATAATGTTTGAGAAATTGGCATCATTTTGTTCTCTGGAGTGTCTATAAAGATGGATTTGCATCTTGAAAGAGAACCAATGAGTCCCATTTGAAAGGATCATTAGAAAACTGTACATTTACCCTGTTAATTTCCTTTAATTTATAAATAAACATATTTCTGTATATCTTCAGAAAAGCAACAATGTCCAGGAAAGCACATCTACAAAGAATGTGGACCTTCAAATCCTCCAACTTGCTCTAATGTGGCTCCTTTTCAAGACAGTGAATGTGTGAGTGGCTGCACCTGTCCAGAAGGTAAGTTACCTGTGAGCATATTCACACCAACACAGCAATACTAGACAAAATACATTCAGTTGTAGATCCAAAACATGGTTGCAACAGTTAGATTATTCGTATCCATCCTTGGACAATCTACTGAAGAATGCCAAGTACTTTCAAAGCTAATTTGTGTTTTTATCTCTGACTACTGAGTTTTCCCAAATTCTATAGATTACATTGGGCTTAGTAGATCCTGTCACTATATCTCTATGGGGCAGTAACTCAGCCTCTGAGGATTTTCATCTACATTCTTGTCAGTCCAATGAAAAAGTATCACCTATAAAGAAAATAGCGTTTCAGGGCACACTTGCCTTAGAAATATAAATAGTTCAGGAGTGGCTACTGTTGTTAAAGAATTCACTGAGGTTCATATAATTTTGAGACTATATCTATATTTGCATTCTAGGTTATATATTGGATGACATTGGAGAGAAAGGAAAGTGTGTATTAAAGGAAAAATGTCCCTGTGAATCTAATGGGAAAGTGTACAAGTCAGGAGAAGTCCGACAAGGCCCCTGTGGTTCTCAGTGGTATGTGTGTGTTTTTCGATTACATTTTATGAACATTAAGATAATATCAAGGCTTTTATTCATGCTTAAAGTTATTTAAATTTTATCCAGAAAAAATATGATGCTTCTTAGGACTATAACATGCCATGGGGAAAAAAGAAACAAGCTAACAAACAATTGTCAGTGTTTATAAATTCCTGGCATGTTACTCTTACAGATTGGAGGAAATAAATCAATTCCTCATAAATTCTCAGAAAATTTTAAATTATATGGTTTTGAACCCACTTCTTCTAATCTTCACACTCTGCCATTTGGATAGCTAAACTTGTGTTTAAAGCATAATACAGTAAGTTTAGTAATACTTAGGAAGAACTACAGGAATATTTAAACACTTTAAAACATAAAGTTAAGGTCTCTAGTAGGTGAACAGACCCTTATGTATGGACACTAGTCACTGAAGGATGACTTTTATTTGAGAATACATTAGATCATGAGAGGTCATACAAAGGATTCACACAAAATACAGTATATAGGAACTCATTAGTAAGCATTTTGGTTTTTATTGCCTTTATTGTTCTACTTAATGTTATACTTTAACCACATTACATCTGTTTACAGCTACACATGTATCCACTATAGGCTAAGATCTGAGTATTAGGGCGAACATGTAGGTATATCTCTTTCTGAGATTTGGTAATTTCATTTCATTTAATATTATCAGACATTCTAATTCCCTCCATTTTCTTGCATATGTTGTGAGTATACTTTTCTTTAAAGATGAGTAGATTTCCATATATGTGCCAGATTATTATTCTCCATTTATCTGTTGATGGACAACTAGGACGGTTCCACTTCTGTGCTATAGTTAATAAAACAACAATGAACATCAGGGAGCACATGTCTCTATTGTAGGAAGTTGAGTTCTGTGACTCTATGCCCAGGAGGTCAATATCTGTGTCGTATGGCAGTTTTAATTTTTATGTTTTGAGAAGTAACATCTTCTTAAAGCTCACTGTCTCTGCACTTCTATACAACATTGCAAAGTACAAATTTATACTGTAGTTTGTACCAGTTGCCTTCATGCTAATAAAGCAGCACATAGATAAACCCCTGAAATCCAGTGTTCATGATTTATAATATGTTTAATTCATGAAGTTATTGATTTTATTCAAAAAAAATATATTTTAAAATATCATGATATCAACAATGATGAGACACCTTATCTGGGCTGTTGCTGGGTGGGGAATGACCTGATGGGGATTGCTCACATGTCATCTTTGTATATGATATTCTAATGATTTTGTGTTTGTTCACCATGCATAAGATTTGACTTTTGACTTATCTTTACATTCCATAGCACTTGCCACGAAGCTAAGTGGTCTTGTACCAAAGCTCTATGTCCCGGGATATGTAAAGTGGAAGGGAGCTTAATTACCACTTTTGATGACAATACATTTAACCACCCTGGAGACTGTCACTTTGTGGCAGTCCATGTAAGTACTTGCCTATAACAGCTGTGAAAAAATGAACAAATCCACAACTAATTTAAAGCACAATTCATTTTATGTTATTTATTTTTGGTAATTTCACACATGTATGCAATGTATTTAGAGCATATCTATTTCCCACTTCCCCCTCCTAGATAACACCCCCAAAATCAACTTTGTTTCCTTCTCCTCTTCTTTATAATGAATTGTGTCCAATTACTGCTGTCATTATGCACATGGGTATTGGTTATCAACTGGGACATGGGTAACCTACTAAGGACTACACCCATAAAGAAAACAGACTCCTCTCGAAGCAAGCATCAACTTTTTTTTTTTTACACTTTCACAACTGCAATTGAGTATAGAGACATTTCAATTCTTAACACATGTGCCCCATCTCTGAAGAGTTATACACTGTGTACCCCAAAAAGCCAAATGTTGTTTCTCTCTGAACTTATTCCAGTGATGTCCTAGCCTCACACGTGTCGGGTTTTCCCTAGTAACACTCAATTGCTCACAACCCTCAACTCCACTGACTCACAATTTTCTGCCACACACAGTACATACTCAAAATGTCCACCTTTCACAGACATTATCACAGCTGTTAGGAAAATGGACGGCCATGACCATCAGAGACAGTTCTGACAGGGCAAGGACCGAGGAGTGTTTTTTTAGGAAATGGTTCTACTAGAAACATGCGACCAGATACGACTGAAAATATTGCAGACACAAATGCACGCCTGAGACTGTACTTTACCACTTAGTATGCTTTATGCTGTAGGATATAAAACTAGCCCCCCTCTACCGAATGTTATGGTGACCCCGGATGCAGTCATAGCCTCTCCTGATTCAGCATTCTAGTTTCTGGTTGTACCAAAAAATAAACAACAGCAAATCATTTAACCTCTTTAAAAAAATCATTTATAAAAAATGGGACGACGTGAGATTTCCTCCCACCTTTTAAAAAATGTTTCTAGAGCTACTAAAAAACTCGCATTTACAAAATAGTTGATAAAAATATTTCTCTGGATTGTACAAGAAGGGAGGCAGGGACCACTGACAGACATGATGGATGGTTAGTCGGACTTGGCCTCTTTCTCTTCTGCTTCAGAGGCTGGACTCTGGTTCTCCGTTCCTCCATTCTCTGCAGGCAGATCTGTAGTTGCTGGTCACCCACTTCGGCCTGTTTGCCCTTTGCTCTCCTCTTCCCTTTTGTTTGCACCTTTTTGTCTGATGATTTATCTCCACCCCCCACCCCACCTCCATACCCAGCTGCTTTTTTTCGGCTTCGAGTCCACCTTGGCAGGGGCGGGCTTGGCCGACAGCCTCGCAGAGCAGCACTTGGGCTCTGACTTTGCTCTTCCATCCACTCTAACCTCTCTCTTGGGCACTGTGGTGGCTCTGGGTGGGAGGCACCTATCATGGAGCTGAGCTGCCTGGCCTCCAAGGTGCGAAATGGCAGCAAGCTTCAACTTTCAATAGCTCCTCAGCCAAGAGTGGAACCGTGTGAACTCCTTCCCTATCTATATTGGAATTTTGAGCACTTGATATTGCATGAGTCTTGGATAGACAGCCACTGTTGTTATGTGTTCATCAGTGAAATGACTCTGTCATGTCCAGAAGGCATTAGTTTGCATCAGTCCTTTACAACTTCTGGATTTTTACTTCTACCACTTCTGTGATGTTTCTTGAGCCTTCTTGGGGGAGAGTTGTGACATGAATATTTCATTTAGGGATAATAATTCAGTAGTCATGTCCTGTACTTTGGCCTGTTTGGATCTCTGAATTAATTACTAACTACTGCAAAAACAGGCTTCTTTGATGAGGGGTGAAAACTAGTCTAACTTTTGGATGTAAGGATAGATACTTAGAAGGAGTGTTTGATGTAGTTTAATTATATTGGTAGTAGTTTCTTCCCAAGGATGTATAATCTCCCCTGCACAGGTCCTTGGCCAGGGTTAGAGTTTCAGGCATAAATTCCCTTTTGTGGAATAAGCCAAGCCTGAAACCAATGAAAAAGATGTTAGCATTCATAGCATTCATGCCACTATTGCACCAAGAGGCATTTCCTGTCTGGCTGATTGGAGCTCACAGGGTTCACAGCTGTACAATGCTATTGGTGACTTTATTATTCCAGCAGCTTCATAGATCCTTCTGACACTAGGAAAGCTAGCTGGCAGGGAGGAAGCAGCTTTTATCCTGAGTTACTGTGTAATAACAAAAATTCAGCCTTTGAATTATTAATTATATAATCAGTGCCTGTTTTCTACCACAAATCAACATTAATATCACTATATATTAATGTTACATCATGGACACTCTGAAAATTTCTGTCTCAAATAAAATCCAACAAGTAAAATCTTAATTTGCATACAACCCTCTAAGTACCTAGGAAAGTCTTTGCACTCTTCTCTGTGTATATTTAACAGTGTGGCCCGTTGCATAGTCTGAGAAGGATCTTCTTCATTGTTCCCTGAAATTTATTTATTTTGGTTTGGTTTTGGCTTTTTTTTTTCTTATTTTACATGTTGATCCCTGATTTTTTTTTTATACAATGTGGCCCATTGTAGGATAACTTCTGTGTGTACATTTAAACTCTTCTTGGTCCTAAACTCTTAAGTAATCTGAAGTCCAATAATAGTATAGTTCCATGTTGTAGCTCCTGCTTTCAGTGAGCAGGAGAAAAACAAATGGTATTTCATCTTTCTGGCAAGAAATGGAGGTGAACTGCTTTTGAGTATTGCAAAGAGAAAGGAGTAGGTTAACATTAGTTTCACAGATTGTAGTTTCTACTCCTGCAGATCTGCTTTCCACAGTAATGATTCCTGTGTGCCAGGACTAGGGATGGGGAAAGACAAACCCACTAAGACATACAAAATATGTGCTGATTTCAGATCAGTGGTTCTGAGACCTGCATTCAAAGCTAGAAATCTCATGACATTTCACAGCAGAATTTACAGCTTTCCAAGTTAAAAACCTGTTGCATTGTAGCTATACAGATACTATAGACAACCCAGGAATTCAAAAGCCATTTTGCCTTTAATTCCTGATAACATCCAGAAAGCATCACAATGCAAGAGTGAAAATAAAAGAAAAAAGTTGTAGTAAAATGTCCATGAACAGTGCACTGTGTGCTGGAAGAACTTTCTAGATTCTGGAATGAATTGTATAAAGAAACTGCAGATTTAAGTTCATTGTGAATAAATAATAGAAGTAGCATGTGAGAAAATTCTTGAACAAAAAAATAATTGTTTTACAGAATGAAAATATTTCTATCAGCATTGAGCTTCATCCATGTGATGATGGTCAGACGGGATCATGTTTAAAGAGTGTTACACTTCTCCAAAACTCTGTAAGTATTTACCTTCTGAAGGTTTAGAGAGAGTAAAAACACATCTACGATTTCGCAAAGTAAAGTCTGGAGAAGGCTAAGGTGTTGGCTCAGTGAGTAGGGCAGCAGGGGACCTGAGGTTCAATGTCAAGGACCTTGAAATAGCTGGGTGTGACTACATGTGCCCATAACCTCAGTCCTCTGGGTCAAAGAAAGAAGGATAACTGTGACTTGCTCACCATCTAGCCTAGCCAAAACTCAGAGAGATCCAGGTTCAGCCAGAGATCCTGTCTCATTGGCATAAGGTAAGGAATAATAGAGCAAGTTACCCAATGCCTTGCTCTGACTTCTGCAGGAAAGTGCATGGGTATATGTAATCACTCACACACGTGTACCCACTTCATACACCCCCCCACACACACACACAGAGGGGGGTTTCAGTTGATACTTTTTCTGGGCTTCATCCCTAGCACTATGTGAGAATAAAGAATGTTGAGTATGGCTGCACTGCCTGTAGGACAGGGGAGGTAATGACAGAGGAGGGTCCTGGGGCTTGCTGGTCAGCTAGTCTTGACAAATTGACAAACTTCAGATTCAGTGAGAGGCTATGTCTCAAAAAAACAAAAACAAAAACAAAAACAAAAACAAAAAAAAACAAGATGTGAGGCAATTTAGGAAGACACCCAGTACAGTCTGTGGCCTCCACCCTCTTACTGCACCCTCCCCACATATGCCAGTGCCCTCCACTCCCTCTCCACATGTACAAAAGGAGTCTGAATTTTGAAGGATAATGACTTTGCTATGTAAATGAAATCTATGAATAAGATTCCAGAATAACAATTCTATTTCTAGTAGAGTTGGAAAGAGCCAAGACCCTAAAGTATGAGCATAATGAGCCTAAATAGACAATGTGTGTGAAGGGCAGGACCATTTTGGCTGTTAATTATACATCCACTGGACTTTTAAAGGTCTTGTGCCAGCCTGGATGCTGGTACTTACAAATGGTTCCCAGATTAGTTTAAGTTTCCTTGTCTGTAAATTGGAGACAAGAGTTCCTTTCCAGGCCCAATATGGGAAGCATGGAGCATAGGATAAGAAAGGCTTTAAAGATATTCGTAACTCAATGCTTTATAACTCAACAGGTTTTAGTGGCTTGCGAGTTCTGCTTCCTATAGCACATTAAAGCTATTTTGGGCTAACAAAGTGTTTTAAACATTAGTCTGTTTCAGGTAGCAGATTTGTGTTCAGCAGTGATGGGACAGTCACAAAGGATGGAGTTAGAATTAAAGGTTATTACTACTCAGGTAAGGTTAACAACAGCATTTTAAAAACACATGTAAGATGCATTTATTTACTCAGTTTCTAAAACTGACACACTAATTTTCTTGGTAAATTATTATTCCACAGATGATGTACAGATCTTCAATGCATCTTCTTTATACATGCAAGCAGAAGTGCTCTCTCTTCTAAAAATGCAGATACAAATAGCTCCTGCCATGCAATTGTATTTGTCCATGGCCCCCGATGCATTCACAGACACTGTCGGTAAGTCCTCCAAATGCTTTTTCTCCCAGTTTCCGGAATCACTCATTTAATGTGGCAATGTAATGTTACAAGAATACCTCTTAAATTCTAAGAGACTGGAACTTTTTCTGGATCTCTCACCAAAAGTTAATACACCTTGAGGTCACTGAAGACGTAATAAGACTGCTATCCTACCGTGTGCTCAGCCTGTTTGTTTAACCTGCGTTGAAGAGGACAATGTAACAGCCAACCTTTGTTCATCACAGAATCAATACCAAAGCATGCTTAATATTTCATGCATTCAAAATTTTGGAGGCAATACTGGAGAAATGGGGCTGGAGAAATGTCTTAGTGGTTTAGGCCAGTTGTTGCTCTTGCAGAGGATCCATGTTCAATTCCCAGCACTCACATGATATCTCAAAACAATCAGTAATTCTACATCCAGATGTTTTTAAGCTCTCTCTTCTGCCTTCATAGGTATCTGATATGCATGTGGTTCACTTACATACACGCATGCAATGCACAATGCATGTGAAATGAAATCTAAGAATATTTAAGGACTGTTATTTAATTAACATTTTGAAAGTATGTTTTATATGTACTCTTACTAGTAGTGTGTATGTTAAGAGCTTGACATGTAGCTGAATAAATGAAAATACAGTATATATAATTTTAAAATTAAAGGGCAAGTGATGTTAATATTTGCCTGTAGGACACATCATATGCTCTTTTATTTTCCTGAAGTTTCTCATAATAAAAATGAGCTCATCTTTACAGTCATAATTGGTAAAAAAAAAAAAAAATAAATGGCAAGTCCCACAAAAGGATTAATACATAAATGGTACAAGCTTTATGCTACATCGTTACTCTGAAATGTAATATATTTTCATGTAGATAAAGAACACTACTTGTGGGATTGGACAGCTCTGACTATGAAGGCAATAGCCTTATGGTGATTCATCTTTCTAAATTTACCTTGACAAACACAAAGTACCATTTATGGCCCATGGTTTTCTATGTTGTGGAATTTCTGTGAAAGATCAATGAATGAAGTCTGAAGAGACACAAGATTTTATTTAAATGTGTGACAACATTAACTAAATATAATTCAAGTATTTCTTACAGTGTTTTTAAAAAGTAGCCAAAAGGCTAAGTAGGTGGAAATACTAACCATTGCTCTGTGACTTCAACATCATGCAGGTCTTTGTGGTTCCTACAACAATAAAGCAGAAGATGATTTCATGTCAAGTCAGAAAATACTGGAGAGTACAGCTCAGGCATTTGCTAATTCCTGGGAGATGATGTCTTGTTCTAAGGGGAGCCCCTCTTCCTGTATCAGTATTGAAACAGGTAATAGCCACTGAGAATCAAACTGTGTTGTTTAAAATTGGTACTAGTACTTGCAGGCTTGTCATGCTGACATCATATGAACATATCAGATCACTTTGCCTCTAGCTAGTATTTATTATACTTTTCAAATTTTAGAAGAAACAGAGAAGTAGTCTTGTTTGGGTGTGTGTCTAGAAACCCGTTTTTTCATTGGTAGCTCATTTCTGTTGTCTTTTACTATACCCTCTATTTCCTACACTATTGCAGAACAATAGGGCTAGAGGAAGTTTTAGAAATTATTCAGTTATTAATTTTCCTTTATTTAATGGTGAGAAAAGATAATTCGTTTTCAATAATGCACATCCAAACTGCTCAGCAACACCAGTTCCAATAAGTTCTTACTGCAACCTAACACGTGCATGACTCTTGTTTTAGCCTGTTAAAGGCTTTCATTAATACTAGTTTTGTTTATTCTCATACAAACTCACAGAGGACAGATATGACCACTGTCTGTATTAATACAGGTTAGATGATAGAGGGAAAAGGCATGGGACTTCCTAGGGATCACAGATGTTGCTGCAATCCAAGCACTTGAAAACCAATGACACTGAGTGTTCTCCCATGATGGTGGCAGTTTTAACAAGTGCTCCATGTCATTTGTTTCATAAATAAGAAATGCAATGGAAGGAAGCTTACAATTTTTAATGTATTAATCAATTGTTTTAAAATTATATGTATATATGTATACACACACACACACACATATATATATATATATATATATATATTTGAAACAGTCTGATCAATTTATATTATTTTAAATGACTAAGACAGTTCCATATGGAAATATCACCCACTAATTTTGAATTGAAAACTAGTTGGTAAAAGTATTATTATAATTTCTATTTTGAGAGGTTAGTAGTTGTATCATTTAGTTTGGGATTATTGCAGTGAAAGGATTATGAGATTACATGAAAGAATGCATTTCTTATAAGGAACAAAGTCAATTTGTGTTCAGGAGAAAGGAGGACAGCACTTGGTAATATATAAATCTGTTTTCAGTGTATTATATTTTAATTAAAATCAACATAAATTAAACTGAACTTTAAAAAGATGCTTTTAACACTAGTAGTTTCAGAAAAAAGTATAGTGGCAGGTTGTTGTTGATTTGCCAAGATATTAGTCACTATTGCTTTCTGTGTCTCTCTCAGGAGTTCAGACTCCTCTGTGCTTAAAATCATCATGGAAATTCTTTGCTATCACCTCTCTAAGAATCTTTGTGTTTTGAATTTAGTGGCGGTTAGATGTTTGTAAATCAACAAACATCAGTTAAATGCTTTTTAAAAAGTGAATTTGGTTTATGTGCGGCACCACATGACATGGTTGTAATGCAGACGAATTGGCAGGTGAGCCATTTATGTTCATGCACAGCAAAGAGACACTTGAAATGTAGTGTACTTCATTTATGGCCATTTTTATTTGCAAAGTGCATTTCAGAGAAATGTTAAATGGGTTAATAGAAAAAGGCAGTGATAATGAAGATTTTACCTTTGAGTGTGTTCTCTGTGTGCACTGTGTTATTTTAAACATATTGATGTGGCATCTGATCCATCACATCAACTACTTTGAGAACAAAACTCTTGATGGAGGAAGAACTCTGTGAGATACACAGCTTTCTTTTAAGGAAACCTGGTGTTACTGAGGCTAACTTTGAACTCTTTCAATTCCAGAGAAGTTTGCTGAAAGCAACTGTGGGATTCTTCTCAATTCAAGTGGGCCTTTTGCTGCCTGCCATCAAACTGTGAATCCCAAGTTCTACTATGAGGTATGTGATGGTCTATCACTAACCATCTTGGTTAGAAATATTTGGTGATTTCTGACAAAGAGTACTCATCTTAAATTTTTTCATACTACTATTGTCAGTAGATTAAAGTATATGATGCTTCAAACTAGAGTAATAATCTGCTTAAATATTAGATAAACTAATTTTATAAATGTAATGCTGGAAAATAATCCCAGATGAAGAAAAGCTTGAATAACTTTTCCTCTTTTAAAGTGGATTAATAATTAATGTTTTAAAATATTTCTGGATATCTCAAAGTACAATTTAATTCTGGGGTTAGGAATGCCTGGATAATACATTAAGCTGTTTAGACTTGGGTTGCCTGTTCTCCTGAATAATATATATGTATTTTTATTTGAAAGGAATGCAAAAAATATACGTGCTCGTGTGAAAACAGCCAAGATTGCCTGTGTACAATTTTAGGGAACTATGTGAAAGCATGTGCTGAGAAAGAAACATACCTAGTGGGCTGGAGAGCTGGACTCTGTGGTGAGTAGGTGACCGGCTGAAGCATGAGTCTCTGCTCCCTTCTCACCTCCCTGTGTGCACCTGTGCTGGGGAGACACAGGCACTGATGAACCTGTACATGATACTTTTAAAAGTGGTATTTTTAGAACAATTGTGTGGTCTCCCTGTCATCTTTGACCACCAATCTGTGAGCCACCAGGTCAATGAGTACAAAGGAAGCAGAGGCAGCATGCAGGGCTTTGTACAGCCTGGGAGTACAGTAGTGATAGCCTTCGTGGAGAGTGCCTCAATATTACCGCTCAGCCTTGTTTCAGAGGAATATATAGATGGGGACAGCGGCTTAGGCATCACCTAATTTGCATTTGGCAGATAGTGCAACCATACAGCTGGAGCACAATATGTATTTATCTTATGGACAGCAGGGGTAATATTTGTAGGGAACAACGGTCTCACTTAAAGTAAATCAGGCATCTAAACTCAGAGACATCTTTCAAATAAGGTCAAGCATCCAGGCCTAGAGACACTATCTAAATAGGGAAGGTGGGGTATCCTGCTGCAAAGGGGGTGCTTCATATCACACCTAGCTCAAAGAGATGTCTGGATATAGTAGACTGTAACCTTAAGCAACAGGGCTCCCCAACAAATTCTCATTGACAAAACTTGAATTGTAACATTTGATTCATTCCTTTATTTAATGCATTGATATTTTTAGGATGGTAAGTATTTATAGGAATATCTTCAATTATTGTATACTGAGATTTATATAATTTTTCATTTGTAAGTTAAGAGCCCCAATATTGTAGTTAAAATATTTATCATATTCTTTGAATATGACTTCATAAATATTTACCCCAAGAAAAGAATAGCAACAACCAAAAAAAAAAAAAAAGTCTTCAATGGGTCAGGTATGGAGGCTAGTGCTCCATTTCCCAGTGCTTGGAAGGCTGAGGCAGGAGTATTACTATGAGTTTAAGGACAGCCTGGGCTACATAGTATATTGCAGGTCAATTTGAGCTACATAGCAAAATCCTGTCTCATAAAAGCTCAGATTTATAGAAGCCTGTATCCTCTAAACTTCTCAGCACTTCATGGTCCATGACCAATAAGCAGTAGGGCTGGCTGGTCACATTAAATTGCCTCTATCATCAGTTTAGCACAGGGAAATGCCCTTTCTCTCCCATCTTGTCTAATTGTAATGACCTTCTTTGCTATTTCCCTTCTTCTCCTTCTAATCTATATTCCACAGTGAAAATCAGATAGTCTTTAAAGTACAATCACTTGTTTTCTTGGTGTACGGGGTCCTACACACAGTGTCCCTGGACTTAGAGCTCCCAGCCCTTGGTGTACTCTTCATGAGAATCATGCTGTCTCCTGGCTTAGGTTGCTGTCTTGATGTAAAATTACCCTTCTCTAGGCTTCAGTCTCCCTGTTAATTGACCCATTCTTCCCACCTTAGTACAGACCTTAGCTGTGCATGGATACAGTAGGCAACGTCCTTTTTATGGCGCCTGCCACAGTTGTCCTTTAAAATGGAACATAGGACACACAGGAACAGAGTGTATTGCCTAGCCTGCCTGTGGGCCTTGTCTGAACCACTGACTGAAAAGAATGAATAAAAAATAAACCAATGATCAAATAGATTTTTTTCCTACACTCACAACTTTAATTATGAATAATCCACTGTATTTTTTATAAACATCAGTGGGGATGAAGTCCTCTTCCTGAATGTATACACAGTCACCACTGTTCTTGTCTCTTCCTCACAGAGCTTTCCTGTCCAAGTGGCCTTGTGTTTGAATACAAAGTGAAAACGTGTAACAGCTCTTGCCGATCACTCTCACAACGAGACAGAAGCTGTGACATACAAGACATTCCAGTTGACGGATGCACTTGCCCTGATGGACTGTACCAGAACAGTGATGGAAACTGTGTTAAGAAATCTGAGTGTGACTGCTACGTAAATGATGACATTGTGCAGCCTGGCAAATCCATCCTTATTGATGACAATAGCTGGTGTGTAGATGATATCGACACTCATTTTGATACCCATAGCAGATAACATAGACACTTGTTAGGACATTGATAAAGAGATGTGTTCTCTTCAGAGCAATAGTCACTTGCCAGTCTGAAGTCTCCCTCAGATCTACCATATTTTTCATTTTCCAAGTATAACTACAGCTAGTTGGTGCTTCTTTTATTCTGGAGCATGCACAATCCACTGTACCACAGTGACCATACCTGGTTTGTTCTACTCTGTTTTAAACATCAGAAAAAATGTGTTCTGGCAGCTTCTATAAACTGACAATGCAAAATAGTTTTACACTCAGATAATGATCTACTGTTTACAGCATTCCACAGGCACTTGCTAAGTGCCTGTGTCTAGGACTTGTATTGATTGCTAGAATTAGTTATTGCCTTGTACATAAAAGGAAGCAAGGTGTTAGTTAGCACGACATAGCAGCCACTGTCTGAGGAGTCTGGGAAGCTTCCCAGAGGAGGCTGGAATTTGAGTTCTCCTAAGAACAGACTGTTATTCCAGACAAAACTGATGAATAGGGAAGGATTTCTGTGGAAAGAATGATTTAGCAAGTGCTTAAAAATTATTGGACATGGGGGCTATTGTATAAGATTATGCTAGAGACATAGTAAATGGCCAGGCTGTGGCTTAGATTCCAAGTTCACAGACATATGTTTGGGGTTTGAGAATAAACTTTCTTTCTGTAGTTGCAGAATCAAGTGATTATAGGCTATCTCTTCTCAGAGATGGCATCTCTTGGTACTAGTGATCCAGACCACTGTCAACCCTTGCCAGCATCTCTGAGTTAGTTAGCTCTGCTTTCTTCTTTAATATCCTCCAAATCTGTAGCCCCTTCCCTGTTCTGTGACCAGAACATCTAAGGTAAAGCACAATTTTTGTTGAGTCACTAGCCTTCTTAGACAAATGATAACAGTTGCCGAAGAACAGAGACACTTGTATGCCATTTAAGGCCACGCAAAATCGGGCTCTAACTTATTTCTGTCACTTTCCTCCATTGTGTATTATCCTGCTTGCATCCACGGGAAATTTTTGGGAGCCTTTTAAACATACCTCGTTCTTTCTGCCGTCAGTTTTTCATATTCCTTGCTAGATTAGATCTAGCAAGGTAAACTTTCCATGAAATTTTCTCTGACATCCATAAAACTTGCACCGTCCCACTGTACTTGGAATGCTGCATCTTATAATTTGGCAAATTATATACATATACATATACATATACATATACATATACACTTACATATACATATACACTTACATATACATATACACAAACATATACATATATCCTTTTAAGTCATATTTGTCTAATTGCTCTTACATTTTAATGTTTTTTAAATAAATTTTATTTAAATTAAAAAACAATCTTGTCGTACATACCAAACCCAGTTCCCTCTCCCTCCCCTCCCATGCCCCCCCAAACCAACATCCCATCCCACCCCCTATCCACTCCCCAGGCAAAGTGAGGCCTCCCATAGGAGATCATCAAAGTCTGTCACATCATTTGGGGTAAAGAGATAAAGTATGTGTTTTTCTTTTCTTTTCAGTGTCTGCCAGGATGGAGTGCTTCTTTGCCAAACTCCCCTTGATTTGACCATACGTAAGTGGTTTTTATTGCTGGTTTAGTACTTGTTCATTTGATTTCCCACCCCAGCCCTCATCATTTCTTTCCAAGTTGATTCTCTTCTCACCTCACCTCCTCTTCTCTCCTCCTATCTATCTATCAATCTATCAATCAATCAATCTATCTATCTATCTATCTATCTATCTATCATCCATCTATCATCTGTCTCACTATCTATCATCTATCCTATCTCTCTTTCTCTCTCTTTTATCTTGCTAGACTTTCACAACACCCCTAGGCTGGCCTTGAAAGGATGGAAATTCTTCTACGTTAGTATCTCAAATGCTGGAGTTATGGGCATGTGCCAGAACTCCCCCTTCTTACCTAAGTAATGTTAATAAAGTGGTCAAAAACAGATCAGGATCTCTTAATTTACCATACATTTTTTTTCTCTTGCAGAAAACTGTTCCAGAGGGGCTGAGTATGTAGACTGCAAGGATCCCAAGATGCAGAGAAGGACTGAAAGGACATGTAGCACCCGGAATATACCTGATTTTGAGGTGAGTAACGTGACATCTGAGTGAAGCCTTTTGAAACTTTAAAATTGTCCAGGTAAATAGAAACTACAATTTATAAGAAAAATAATGAAATCATTGTGTACATGCATGATCTGTTTCACTTGTCAAATGTGAGCCCCAGATGTACAGTGGCTATATTTATGCATTTAACTTGATGACATGATGACAGAGTGTTAATTCTGTATGTTTTCTTGTAGGGAGACTTGCCGTGCAAACGTGGGTGTTACTGTCCTGTAGGAATGGTCCGCAACTCTAAAGGGATATGTATATTTCCTGATGACTGTCCCTGCTCTTTTGGTGACAGAGAATATGAACAAGGAAGTGTTACTTCTGTTGGCTGCAATGAGTGGTATGTAATGAAGAATTCGCAATGTATTAATTTTAGATATTTAGAAATGATTAGTTTGCTGTTATTTTTCATAGGAATGAGAAAGTCAAGCCCTTGGGCTATTTGAAAGAATCAATGGCCAACTTAAGTTAGAAAAAAAAAAACTCTTGGTGTAGCATTGTAGCATTATACACCATGGACATTAGACAATAAAATGAAGATATTTAAAATATATAAGCCAAGAAAAAACTTATGATTTTTTTTACAAACCAATAACCAATAAAATATATTAACCATGGCAAAAATAAAGATCACTCTTCAATTTTCTTCTTTCAGTACTTGCATAAAAGGGTCTTGGAACTGTACCCAAAATGAATGTCAAACAACTTGCCACATCTATGGGGATGGGCATGTCAGAACCTTTGATGGAGAAAGTTACAGCTTTGATGGGCTTTGCCAGTACACATTCCTTGAGGTGATTATGTGTATACTTTTTCATAATTTTTTCTTTCCTTCATAATTATTCTTCATATGTTTATGAGAACAGGGAAATTTCACTTTCAAAATGGGATTTTTTTTTCTTACAACTTTCAATATGGTTCCAGAAAAGTGAGTGTTTTCCAGTGTGATGATAGGTCTGGTGGCTTTGTTGACTCCTGGCTTGGCTTCATTAGATGGATAACCATGGTCATGTTTCTTTAGGTCTAAGATTCTGTATCAATAAAATGTGCATGGAAATAGTCCCTACTTGAAGCCAAATGGCACAGGACACTCATTTTAGCCCAAAATAAGTGCTTAATGAATGTTAGATCCTATTATTTTAGCTGTAGCAGTAGAGATGATGACTAGAATTTCCTTACCAAGCAAAATGATGTAATTTATTGTTAAATTGTTGTAAATCCAGACCACTATCATTGCTCCTATAATGCAGATAGAGAAGGGAAGATTTAAGTGAATTAAGCTACGTTAAACTACTACCTAGAGACTGTCATAGTCAACAAATGAAATGTCTGATTTCAGAGTTTATGCTTTTTAGAGGCAAGTAAGCCCCTTGATAAGGTATCACCTAATGGGTAAAGTTTGAATTGTTTTTTAATTTGTAGATTAGCTATGATTGACTATCTAACTTTATCTAAATGACTGAAGAAAAAACAAAACACCTTTTGCTATTTATAAAACAAACAAATGATTCATACTTATGATGCAAATACTTGTTCATCTATGGTAGAATCTGGACTTGTATGGAAGCAATGCAATTTGCTTTGAATTAAACCAAGCTAACTAGAGTGAGCTCTCCAGGCTGGTTAGCCACGAATACAGCCAGGCTGCTACATTTTAGAAATTCTTCTCCACAGTGTAGAATGTATTGGATTTAAGAAATTGTCTGTGGGTGTTACCCTTGAAGCCTATGGCTCCTGACACTAATGAACTATTACAATTTGCTTTAAACAGGATTACTGTGGTCAAGAAAATGGCACATTCCGTATTTTAACCGAGAGTGTCCCATGCTGTGAAAATGGACTTACCTGCTCCAGAAAAGTCATAGTGGCTTTCCAGGTGTGACAGGACTCCTCTTTGCTTGAATTTCCTCCCATATTTTGAACTTTCTAACTGAAAAGGCAATTTGTGAAATCGTCCCTTTAATTTACAGGATCAAAACATTATCTTGCAAGATGGTAAAGTAACAGCAGTTCAAACTACTGAAAGTAAGGATTGTGAACGCAATGGGACCGTGTACTCCATCCACACTGTTGGCCTCTACCTGATTGTGAAACTTCCAAATGGAATCATCCTGATTTGGGACAAATACACAAAAGTATCTGTTATTCTGGACCCAAGTTGGCAGGTATATGCATCTCCCATAAGCTGGGGAATCTGTCATTTAGGAGCAGGTTAGGGTCTCAGTTACCATAATGAGCCTACTACTTCTGTTCAGTTATCATTTAATATAATAAAATGACCAAATCTGGTAGGAATGTGAGTGCAGTCAATTGAGACATTCTATTCTAACTATATCTGCTTTCTTGAGATTACCACATGATATTATTTTAAGGTAAGTATATATTTTGAATCAAGTGCATGTCTTGTAGTAGATATTCTAAAAATGAGCAAATACACGCATAATTACCTTTAAAATATAAATATATTTTTTCATTCTTAGAAACATTTATTATGCCAGGTGTGATGATACATGTCTTTAATCCCAGCACTCAAGAGGCAGAGGCTGATGTAGCCCTGTGAGTTTGAGTTCCAGGACAGCCAGGACTATGTAATAGAAAAACATGCCACCCAAAACATTTACAATGCTTGATACTAGATCATTTTATAATATAGGATACTTTAATCTAAATGAGAGCATTTCACTCACAAATCCAGATTCTTCTAAAAATTCAGTATGATACTGTATAATTGTGATGTTTATGGCTATCAACTATCTGTCTATTAATCTATTGTCTATCATCTATCTATCTATCTATTTATCTAGCTATCCATCTATCATCTATCCTCTATTTGCTGTATATTTCTTTAATGTATCTATATTTTCAACTTTGTAGTAAGTACAACAGATTCTCTAGTTATTTTCATACAGGGTCATGTAAGGTCATTTTCATGCAAGTAGATAATGTTTTTGAACACAGTCTCCCTTCTATCCCATTGCCCTTCCTCTTCTCATCCCTTTTACCTCTCATTAGTTCTTGCTGTCCCCTAGATGGTTCAGTTTCACACATTGTCAAAGGCAATGCTCTCATGTCAATAATGGCCAGGATCTTCAATTGAAAGAAAATGTGTGTCATGTCTTTCTGAGACTAACTTGAATCTTCATCAACTGATAAGAGAAACATATATTCACAGCAAACAGAAGGCCATTCCCCATCATTTAAATTATCTATGTAGCTTAATTTCTGGGCCCCCTCTTCCACTGATTCCCATATCTGTTTTTTCTGATAGGACAATATTGTTGTTATTGATATGATTCTGTCATACAACTTGGAATCAGAAATGGTGATTCCTGCCTCCCAGAACTATGCTTTTTTTGATTCAAGGTTACTTATGATATATTTTTCTATTTATTTTAAGAATTCTATTGATATGCTTATTAGGATTACATTGGATCCGAAGATAGCTTTATGTAGGTAGGCCATTTTCACAATGTTAGTTCTTCCTCTATTGTCTAGACTTTCACTTTGTTCTGTTGGTTTTTTTTTTTTTTTTTTTTTTTTCTGTTTTAAAGTTTTCATTGTAGAAAGAGGTCTTTTATGCCCCTGCTTAGGCTTATTTCATATTTTTTTTCCTTCAGATTTCTTTCTCAGAATGTTTGTTAGTGTGCCAGCTAGTTTTATGTCAACCTTACACAAGTTAGAGTCTTTGGAGAAGAGGGAGCATCGATTGAGAAAAATGCCTCCATAAGATCTGTCTGTAGGCATTTTCTTCTTTAGTGATTGATGAGAGAGGGCCCAGCTCACTGTGGGTGAGACTACCCTTGAGCTGGTGGTCCTGAGTTCTATAAGAAAGAACACTGAGCAAGCCATGAAGAGCAAGCCAATAAGTAGCACCTCTTCATGGCCTCTGTGTCAGCTCCTGCCTCCAGGTTCCTGTACCCTTTGACTTACTTTGATAATAAACAGTGATATGGAAGTTTAAGTCAAATAAACCCTTTCCTCCCCAAGTCACTTTTAGTCATTTACTTCATCACGGTGTTGTAGAATACTATTTTAAGGTGTGTTACTTTTGTTTATGCTCTGGAATTTTGTTTAACAATGCAAAGACGTGTTGATGAAATAAAATTCACCTGTGGTGAGGAGGCTGGGTCAGCAGGAAGTTATTGTAAGGAGCCACAGGGAAGGGTTTTAATGAGTGTCAAGGAGACATATGAGGGCTTCTGGAGAGCGGTGAGCTACTTGCTATTCCTCTTGCCTCTCTGAGGAGCAGAATTCTACCTCAGATTTTGAATCTTGAGTTCTTTAAAGGGATAGAGATTTAGGTAAGTTCCCTTGGTGGTTTGAAAGAGTTGATGTCTAAGACTGGTTATTTGGCCTAACCTAGCTGAGAGTTGTGGAGTTGGGGTTGCTAATTTGGACAGCTGTGGCTTAAAAGGCAGAAACAATTTAAAAAAGAGGACAATATCACAGCAATAGTAACACTGACTAGGATAAAATAGTATATGGGAAGACTTCTGAATTTTCACATTAGGTTTGTATTTTCCCACACAATTAATGGATCAGTGTTTTTTTTTTTTTTTCAGAGTCTCTAGGTATAGAATCATTTACTTTGCTAAAGACAGTGCTTTGACTTCTTTCTTTTCTATTTGTGTCATTTAAATTTTCTTCTCTTTCTCTTACTGCTCTAGCCAAAACTTCACAGTTTTCATTAAGTAAGAATGGGAAAAGTATACACATACATTTTGTCACTGACAACAGTGAAAATGCATTCCGTTTTCCCCAGTTACTGTGATGGCTGTAGGTTTTGTTATTTCGGGATATTTCTTCTATTGCTGATATTTTGAGGGTTTTTATCATAAAGGAATGTTAGCTTTTGTCCAAAGCCTTTTCTGCACCTATTAAGATGATCATGTGAGTTGTCCTTGTGTCCAAAATTTAATGTGTTATATTCATTGATTGTCATATAGTGCTCTATCCCTGAGATGAAGATAACTTGATCATTCGAATGATCTTGTACTGTGACTTTTGCCCCTTTGATCAACCCAGAGCAAAGTGTGCGGTCTTTGTGGAAATAACAACGGTGACCTTAAGGATGACTTCACAACAAGGCACTCCTTGGTAGCTTCCACAGCCCTTGAATTTGGAAACAGCTGGAAAACGAGTCAAGAGTGTTCAGACACAGTAACTCAAAGCTTCCCATGTGACTCCAACCCATACTGCAAAGCCTGGGCTGAGAAGAAGTGTGAGATCATCAGGGACGACACCTTCAGGGACTGCCACAGCAAGGTAGCACTATTCTGAGCACCATTGCTTGCATGGGTCCTTCCCAGACGCTCATGTGCTGTGTCTATCTAGGTGGACCCCACGACTTACTACAATGCATGTATCGAAGAAGCCTGCGCATGCGATATGGAGGGGAAGTACCTTGGCTTCTGTACTGCTGTGGCAATGTACGCAGAGGCATGCAACGCAGCTGGAGTCTGTGTCTCATGGAGGAAGCCAAATCTTTGCCGTAAGTGAAGTCTGGATGTTAATGGTTTTCTGAAAGTAGTAGTAAGACAAAGCTATTTTCTCTGTTCTCTTAGATTTTCTATAAACACATGTTCTCAAACCTAGAGAGGGTGGAAAACATCTTAACGTATTTGTTTGCAGTGATTAAAATAGCCAACAGAAATAGCACAAGGTATAGCATTTTGGGTTCAATTTTAGTTAGGAAAAATAATTTTGTTCATATAGGAAATGTATCAAACAGTGATGGAAAATGCACCTCCCTGGCACTAGATAAATGATGAGTTTGGATATTCATGTGTCCTAGGCATGAGCCTCATATACTACTCTTGGTTGAAATCTTCACATACTTTGCTTCCTTGACACAGAAACTTATTGAAAATGAACTTGAGTATAAAAATTAATTTCTCCACACAGAGCCACATAACTATAACAGAAATAAGCCAGCCTTTTTCCCTGTAAGCAAGGCATGGCTGGAGATGTGTTAAATAAATGAGAAGCACTGACAGGAGAAACATTGTGATCTACTTCCAAGGTTTGGTGATATAGCAATCTCTTTAATACTCTATTTGCAGACTACAGCATATAAAAGGAACTTAACTTTCTCAGACTCTTTGTGAGACATGGTATACACTGTAGTTCAGGTTGACCCAGACCTCACTGGGTAGCCCAGGCTGGTTTGGCCATGTAGCAATTCTCCTGGCCAAGCTCCTTCAATAATTGGATTATAGGAGTGAGCCACCATGTCCATCAGTTCTGCTTTTTGTTGTTGTCATTGATTTTCATATTTATTTTTCCAAATCAAGCTTGAGCATTAAAAACCAGAAGTCTAAATCAGTACTTCTCAGGCTGTGGGCCATGACCCTTTTGGGGGTCAAATAACCCTTTCACAGGGGTCACCAAAACTATTGAAAAACACAAATATTTACATCACAATTCCTAACAGTAGCAATGTTACATGGAGTGGCAATAAAAAAAAAATTATGGTTGGTGTCACCACAACATGAGGAATTATATTTAAAGGTTGCAACTTCAGGAAAGTTGAGAACTCCTGATCTAGATGAGGCTTAAAACATCTCCAAGTGAGTTGAGAAAGGAAAGAGCTAGTTAAGTATGTAAGCTGCCCCCTTTTTGTGTGCATTACATTAGCCTATATGACAATTTAGATAAAGCCAATGGGACTTGATAAGGTAAAGAACACATATCTAGGTCTGTCCTTAGTATCATCTAGGATTCCTTTAAAAAAAATCTTGAAACTTGAAATATAAGAATTGCCATACTAGGAATGAAAGTAATTTGCTTCAATTCAATCATAGCCGTGTACTGTGACTATTACAATGCACCTGGGGAATGCAGCTGGCACTATGAACCTTGTGGCACAGTGACGGCCAAAACATGCAAAGATCAGGTCATTGGCCAGAAGTTCTCTTCACTTCTAGAAGGTAAGATGACATATTTGAAGAGTTGTGAAAATGACACACTGATTTTAAAACTAAAGAATATTAGTTTCTCCCAATTCAGTGTCTGGTTTTTATAATTGAATGAAGGGGTTTTATTTTAGCAATAGTTCTATAGGACCTTTCATATAGATGCAGAGGTCCTTTCTGGATGGTGCTGCAGCTCTGCTGCCAGTCTTTTTTCTTGTCATGGGATGGCATGCATGTGTGAAAGGGCAGTTTCAGAATGCAGCTTGTGAAAGAATGGAGTCAGAGGTTAGGCTGACCACCTGTTCCACACACCTGAATAGCACTTTATTCTTAGCATTGTACCTCCTGGAAAGAGAGACATGGCAGGAAAGAAAATGACATCAACGTCCTAAAGCCACCTTGTGTCAAGGCCTGGCATGTCCTTGTGTAACTCCTGTCCTTGTGTAACTCCTGTGTCTCTTCTTTCTTGGGAAAAATAGACACTTGGAGGTGTCATCCACAGCATGCAAGAAGTATCTAACCAAAGCCTGCTTTATGTTTATATGTGTATCCCTGAAGTGGATATATTTTTAATAAGAATATACTTGAGAAGAAAAAATTGAATGTGTGTGGATGTGTGCAGGCCCATGTGTGTGTGTCTATGCCAACATGAGTGTGTGTATATAAATGTCTAACTTAGGTTGGTATCACCTCAGTCCCACTCCCCTTACATTTCCATAAGAGTGGTACTTTGCTACCCCATCCCCCCACTTTGGCCTACAGAGTCATCGCAGTAACTACAGAAATATATGATGAAGTATGACAAGCTTTGGTAAATGGGAATGAACAATGGGTTATTGTGTTTTGCAGGCTGTTATGCCAAATGTCCAGAAAGTGCACCCTATCTGGATGAGAACACTATGAAATGTGTCCAGTTATCTGAGTGCAGCTGTTTCTACAATGATGTCATACCAGCAGGGGGTGCTGTTGTGGATGACTGTGGAAGAACATGGTATGTTCCCTGCTACTTTCCAGTGATCAGCTTCATCTGTAATAGTAATCACCCTGTATTCTTAAAGAAAAAAAAAAGTCAACCAAATGGGTTATAAAACCTTTAAAACCTTTAAATCTTATGAGAAGATAGCAGGGAAAGCCACTCTGTAGTTTAGGGGGGGAAGACTGTAATTCTATAAATGTAAATCCTATTTGCAGACTGTAGAAGGTGGAGTCATGCCAGTGAGATTGTACTAGGGAAACACACTCACTAAATAGTGAAATTGAGGCAGCTAATTTAAAAGTTAACTTTGCTGCTGGATCATAACTCATCCCATAGTTCCACAAACTATGAGCAGGAAATGAGCAGGAATAACAGCCTGTTGAGCACACAAGCAACTGACCTGGTGTACTCTAAGAGGGGCAATCAGTAATTAGCTTTCTTCTGTTTGTTATGTGTAAGTTTCCCCACTTGGCAATTTGTTGTCCTAAATTTGTGAGATGTGTGTTACTGGGAGTAAAATTTGGAGTCATTCTTTTCCCTTTCCAATTTAATTTTCAGCTATTGTTCTGCTGGCGAACTGGAGTGCAGTGGTGAGTAAGAGCTCATTTTGCTCCAGTTCATTTAGGAATGGTGAGATAAGGGTTCAAAAGACATAAGTACATAGCCATACTTTTGACTGCCTGTATGGGACTGGTGCCATTTCCACCTGTATGACACAGAGAGTCATGCCTCAAAGGCAGGGCTGCAAGGGCATTTCAAGAAATGTCAGCGGTGACTAATAATTGTGAGTGTTTTTCCTACTGCATGAATGCCCTGACATCTAATACTCATGAGTGTTTTCTCTACTGCATGCTCTTACATGAGACTCTTGTGAGTTTTCTACTGCATGCGTATGCCATGACATGCAATACTCGTGAGTGTTTTCTCTACTACATGAATGTCCTGACATCTGCTACTTGTGTTTTCTATGGTGCACGCATGTCCTGACAGCTGCTACTTGTTTTCTCTACTGCATGTGTACCCTGACATCTATATGCTTAGAAATTAAGAGGGGAAAGAGATATCAGTGAAAACAATTTAGTGAAGAAATGAAGCAGAAACAACATAAGTAGGATGAAAGGGCTTCAGGTACACATGAGAAACACATATGTTATAAATGAGTCCTGAGCTTAAGTTGTGCTCAGTGATTCAGTGCTTGCCCTTCCAAGGTCAGAGCAAAGTCCTGGATTCAGTCCCCAGAACCTCAACAAAGCAAATAGAAACACAATGAATCTCATATGAACTCAAAATATTCCTGTTTTGTATTAAGAACCATAAGACACAAAACAAAAGATAGGTTGCTTCTAAATGACTTAAGATGTAGCATTATATCAATACTTTCAATCCCTGCCAATAATAGTCATCTGTGTTTATTTCAGAGACTCTGCCTACAAATTCAACACCAACAGGTAAAGTTACAATTCTGTATCAAATATGGAGCTGACCTTTGTATCAATAACATTTATTTATAGTTTTATACAATTTTGTGCCAGTAAAAATGTGTGGACAAATCAGATGTAAGTGTAATAAGTGTAAACTAAAGTTGTTACAAGAAAATACCAGAATATTATTTCATCATAGTTCTACAAATTGAGTCAGAAAAGTGATATTCCATGCTACTTAGTTAAATATCACCCTGAGTTTGACATTTTCAGGTGATAATTAAATAGTGGTAAAATAAAGTAAATGTGTTATCTTAATGATACAAATATTTGAAAATTATGATCATACTTGGAGATGATTTGAAAATGGAAACAGTTTATTCCTTATTCTTAAATCGTGTCTTTATATTATTTGAGAGAGGTAGTTAAATTATGTTCATCTAAGAGAATTCTAGGCAAATTAGCTTAACTTGGCGTTGAAACGTTGAATTAACTGACAGTTTGGACACAGATGGCCTTACTACACAGCTCATCTCTCCCTTGTGTAGTTTAGAAAGGATTTTGTTTTCTGTTGACCCATATCAAGAGGTCACAACAATCAAGAGGTTGGGAACCTTATACTCCAGTAATAAAGTTAGATGGCCTTGTAGAAGTTTCTGTAGACACTACAGCTCTTACTGTTCACTTTCCTGAGACTAAGTTATCAGACAGCAGGTTCCTTAACTGCATTTCTCAGTCCTCATAAAATTCCTGGGAATTTGAGCAAATGGACAGGTCAGAAAATAGTTATATTTGTGGACATATGTAGTACTATTTGTACTGATTTATGTACAGATGTGTTTTCATCACTTGACTTCTACAGATAATTTTATAGATTTTAACTGTAGTTAAAGACAATGTATTTCTTGAGTGAAATGTCATAACAAAGATTCCTCCACTAACTTGTCTTCCTAAATTCCATGTCCCAAAACAGTTTCTATTACCACGGCTGCTTCCACATTAAGCACCTCAACAGGTAACTAAAATAAAATGTTCCATGTAATTTTTTGTTTTTACCTAGATAGCAAAGGGAATGTGAAGTTTAGGCATGTGAGCCCTGCCTTCAATCTGTCAGTCTTCATTTACTTCTTTCCTAAATGTTGATGCTAAGGAGCAGGGTTTCCATCAGGTTAAACTGTGGGCAAAGAACATTTATCATCTCTAAAAGAATATTTTGCATGTTGTTGGCAAGGAAGTAGCAACTATGCTAACATACTAGGCTAAAATTGTCACTCAAGTCCCATAGGTTAAGTTAAAGCTGTAGGTAGGTAGTAGATTACAAAAGTATATTGAAATGTGTAAGACTCTGATGAATGAGCCTGAATAATACAATTTAATAATTTATGTACATTTTTAGAAACATTATCTAGATGAATACTTGTCAAATTTTGTCTATTGATGTAATTTTAACCTACATTTTCAAAACATTTGTCTCCTTTCCATAGCAGTGACATCAGTAGCCAGCAGCTCAAGCTCAGGTAAGCCTTTGTCAGCAGGGGACTTTAGACTCAATAGCCTATCCTTCCAAGGTTTGTGCCTTTGTAATGATGGTGTGGTAGGAAGTACACGTGTTTCTGTCTTTGAAAACAAAATGTGTTAGAAAAAGATTTTCTGTGGAAGAAAAGAATCACACACAATGATTTTGGACTTTTGTTTGTGATTTCTAGTTATTAGAACTTCCTTCCTACATTTTACTTTGTCTTTGTGATTGATGTTTTCTGAAACATTAGTTTTGAGTTAAGCTATTTTATGGATGATCATAGCTGTTCTATAATATTCCCCCATACAAAGTTTAGTCTTTCAATTGATTTCTCAAATTCAGTAGCACCTATTCAAGCAATTACAATACCAACCACCAAAGCAATAGGTAGCTACATCAGAAACTTTATAAAAGTATCATTAGTTTTTCCTTATTTAAATCAAACCTAGGGTAACTTATATAGTACAAATGGTGGTTTGAGTGTATATTTAGACTACCAAGGCTGTTCCTAGTTTAGGAACCTAAAGATTAACAATCAGTGAGTAGGTTTCAGTACCTTAGACAAATAAAAATATGAAAAAAATGTTTGAGAAAAAGTGACTAATCAATGAATCACAATGACTTTGCACCTTTATACCCACATATACACAAATAACATTAAGAGCATTGTAAGGGATTTGCCCTTCCAAATCTACATTATTTCTGAAATATCTACTTTCCTATGATAAAGGCCTCCTCCCACCAGACTTCTAGACTCTCTTTCTTCTGTGAATTATTAGTTTCTCTGATCTGAAAGGAAAATGCTTCTAAAGAACTTGCCCTGGTTTTCGACTCTAGTGTCCCCAACTACAACTAGGGTCAATCTATGCAACTATATCTGACAAATGTTCTAATGATGAATGGGTAACTATAACATGTTGAAAATTTGCAACTATAATTTATTCTCATTTTAAAGCATTTTAGTCATTCAGCTTCTGCAATTTGGCAGAGTGTTTTGTGATGGTTGGCTTAGTGTTTGAATATTATTTAGGCTACTAAATCCTTGAGCTCACATATTTTATTTATTGAAGATAACCTTCCTTCTGTAGAATAAAAATATATAAATCATGCTGATTTTTTATATTATAATGTCATATAATATGGAATTATGAATATCATTTAAAACATCTTATCATGCTTAGTCTTATTTATTTGGTAATCATTATCCTTTATATACAAATCAATGAGTGTTGGGCAAAGAAGATTAAAAGTAATTGCTTATATCAAAGTATCAACAGTTAGACCAGCAAGATGGCTCGGTTAGTAAAGGGGTTGCCACCAAGCCTAAGGACCTGAGGTTGGTCCCTAGTATCCACGTGGTGGCAGGGAAGAGCCAATTACTACAGGTTGTCCATTGACATCCACAAGTGTGATGTAGCATGCAATACCCAAATTAGTAATAAATGCTAAATTGGGTATGATATTATTGAAACTAGAGCCACATAGTTATTCTTGCCAACTTTACATTCTCTTGGATTATCATTAGCAATATCAAGAAATAAAAATTCAGAAAGATTGGCTCATTTCGAGATGTTTTTCTGCATTGTGGTCTCATCAACTCATGTCCCCAGTCCAATTTGCAATTTTAACCAGTGTGTTTTCTGCATGGTTTCATGTTGTCTGCTGAATGATCTCTACTCAGCATTAACTGGTCCCTGAGCAATGGCCCACAAGTCTAATACTCAGACAAGCTTTATTTCTGAGATGAACAAACTGGTTCAGTTCCAGTGTTCTATTTAATTGATAATCTATTAAAGCTTTGAGCCTTCTGACTGCTTAAATTTGGTTTTCAAGTTTGCTTTCATCCCAGAGATATGCAAGTGTGCTGAGCAGTGGGAATAACTATTGCAGGCACTGGTATAGAATGGCTGTATACTGTCACCATAATCTCCTAGTACTCAGTTTTGAGCAAACCTCCAATTTTATTGTGTTAATACTTTGCATTGGCCAAGGCTACCCAGAGTTTTGAAGGAAATATTTTTATTTTGTTGTTTTTTTTGTTTGCTTGGTTTTTGTTATTTTTGTTTTACTTTTTGTTTTTGGTAGGCAGCTGATAAAATGCTTAATGCAAAATCTGTCTCTGTAAACCTAGGGAATTGTTGTATCTTTATTCTATCTCTTTACCAACACGTACTTCAGTGTGGAGCTGCTTCATAGTGAAGGCTGCTTAGAGCCTCCCCATCTTCCCACTGACTTCATTCACTGTACTATTGATGATGCTTTGTCATGAAGAATCCTATTGTTTTCCTTATTTTTTCCGAACTGCCAGTGGCTGTTTTGTAATTTGCAGTATTAGTAACTTGCTAAGTCAGTGGTTCTCAACCTATGGCTTGTGACGACTGTGGGGGTCTAATAACTCTGTTGCAGGGGTCACAGAAGATCATTGGAGAACACAGATATTTACATTATAATTCAAAACACTAGCACAATTACCATTATGAAGTAGCAACAAAAATGATTTCATGGTTGGTGGTCGCCACAACACAAGGATTTATATTAAAGGGTTGCAGCATTAGGAAGCCTGAGAACCGCTGTGCTAAGTGCCTCATTAGTATGGCATTGAGAGATAAGTTAATGACTTGCATTTGCTACAGTCTGCACTGACAAACCTTTATTCACTGTCTCAGCAACTCTTGCACCTTCTGATAAGGGATTGCTGCTCCCCACAAGCCCCTCCCTGCTTGTTGTAGTGAGGGGATAAAAAGCCCTTTAATAAAGTTGCCAAGGTTCTGAAGAGCTGAGATGCTTGGGGCTTCATACACAAAGAAATTGGGTCTTCTGTGTTGTAGTTTCCTTACTATCCACAGAGCCAGAAATTATAGTTGATGTTCTAAAATTGGGAGACAAAAGCAAAGTAATGATTATATTTCATGATACATATAAAAATGAAGCATTTTCCTCAATATGAAGTAAAGAGAAAGTTACCATCAGGAAGTATCTGTGTTTTCCTATTTCTCCCCTCAGATAGAAAAGTGTAGCTGCCCCCAGATAAGAATCTTTCCTAGCTACACTCCCACAGCCTTCCTAGATTTTCTTATTCATCCTGGAGCAGATGTGGGAGCTGGAATCTTTGTTACTCTGGCACCCATTATGTAGTTATGTGTTCTTCAGTAAAAGAAATGGGTTGTGTTCGCAAGCCTTCTATGTGTGCAAGATAGGCACTCTACAAAATAATCTATACTTCTCTTTGCAATGTCCCCCCAGATTTCTGTTACTTGGCAAGATGCTCATTTAAAAAAAAAAAGTTTAAAAGAAAATATGTGTGTGGGCCTTTCATAGCCTGCATGGCTATCCCTGGCCCTGCCATCTCTTCTGCCATGGTGCCCCTAGCTCCCTGTGCCTCTAGCACACACCCACTCCTCCTCTGGCCTGTGACTCTTATAGTACCCATGCTGGGTAGAAATATCACCTCCTGGCAGCTGTACTTACCTTAGGCCAGGTGTGGGTTGCACAGTATAGGTCTGAGTAGTTGGCTGCTCACCTGAAGACTTTTCCTCTGGTGGGTTATACAGATTATACTGAGCATCTTTTATCTGCATCCCTCCTGTATGCATGGCCATCCCACTCTCTTTTAAATTCATGACCTTATTTTCACTAATTGTTACTGCTTGCATACATGCACTTCTTAAATATAATCCATTCCGTCTATATATTACTCATTCATGTGTTCTCGGGGCTGGCTGGACAACTAATTGGTGTCCTGATGGAGGATGACCTTCTGTATGCTGTGAATATATGTTTCTCTTATTGGCTAGTGAATAAAGCTGTTTTAGCCAATGGGCAGGCAGGGTATAGATAGGCAGGAAGATGGGTGGTACTACCAGATTAGGAGAAAGCTGGGAAGGGGAACACAAGAGAGTGAGTCTCCAGGAAGATACAATGTAGCTGCCAAGGAAGAAAGAGACCTGGTATCAACACTAAGCCAAGAAAATGTAGAGATACATAGTTTAATAGAAATGGGTTAATAATTAAGAGAGAGAGAGAGAGTTAGCCAATATGAAGCTCCAGCCATAGGCCAGTTTATAGTCAATATAAGCCTCTGTGTGTTTATTTGGAACTAAACAGCTGTGGGACTGGGCAGGTCAAAAACTTGCACCTACAGTGTTCTCTTCCTTTCCAGTTTTAGTTTCATCCTTACCATTAACTACTAAAGTAGAATTGATGGCAGAACTAAATAATCAAAAATTAATACTGGTTAAAGGGAAAAAAGATATAGCATCTGTTACTCCTTTCAGTGGGTTAAGAGTAAAAGAAGCAACTAGCTATTTCATTATAGCATCTAATGAGGGTTATTACAAGACTCTCATTTTAAACTAAGTGTTGAAACAAATGGGCTAAGTGTTATGGTATCAAAAACCAGGAGCTAGCTCAGAGATGTTACAAGGTAAAAATTTATGTATGGCCTAGCCAAACTTTGTATCTCCCATACAAGAATAAAGCAGCAAAGACTAAAGTCAGAGTAGCCTCTTTATTAACAGGCAAGCATTTACAAAATGGAATTTTGCAGTTATTTTTATGTTCATGGGAAATATACATGTTATGGGTTTCTACTCAGATAGTTATCAGAACATGCCATGAAATATTTTATTGTTAAGTCAGTTCTCAAAAATATTAAAAAGCAATGGAAACAATTTACAATATGAAATCATGAGGTTAAAGAGGAAGAACCAGTCAAAACAAAAAAAACAAAAACAAACAAACAAACAAACAAACAAAAAAAAAGTGACCTTCAGCTTGGGGCATGAGCAGAGATGAACATATCAATTGGAAAAGGAAGAAAAGTTGAGTCAGATGGCTGTTAACACTAAGAATTAATGCGACTCAATAAAGTTGCTGTAAAACAACTTTGCAAAACCAACAATAACAACTCCCCAAAGGAGCATTAAGTAAAGCAAGATTTTTGAAAGATAATATTGAAATGTTACAAGCAGTTGCAAGGAAGTATGGGTGGGAATTGTTACACTTATTTATCCAATCTCTCTTTTTTTTTTATAGTAGAAAGATTAGAGAGTTAGTTTGCTCTTTGGCAACAAAGTTCAATGTAGACATTATAAAAGAAAATCCTCACCTGTTTTCTCAGGCTCTACTGGAACCTCAGCTCCTGCTCTCTCCACGGCTGGAAGCACAGGGACAACAGCGGCCCCAAGCTCAAGGGTCACCACTTCAGCACTCACGACAGGTACACTAATACAGAACAAGGAATCTTGCTCCCAGGCAAGGAACTGATTTCAGACATGCTAGCCGGATAATAGTTTTCACCACTTAAAATTCTTCAGTTCTAACAGCTTTTAAAAGTAAACATCAGACTTGGGTGATTTTCTTCCATGTTTCTCAACCTTTCAACAATTTATGTGCAGCATGTTACAATTATATATGTCTACTCCCTGGTGGGTGGAGCTTCAAAGCACATATTTATTCTGGATTACTGTGTCTGTTTTTTTTTTTTTAACCTTTATCAGGGTCACCTAGAAATTCTCAAGATATAACCACAGAATATGAAAGTACAATTGCCACAGTCTTCTCAACAGGTTCATTACAAACCTCCAAAGTTCTGCTTTGTAGCACATTTCTACAAGTATCCCTCTATTTTTGCTCAACTACATTTTTACCCCATGGAGAATACAAGATAATAAGCTCCTAGTGCCTAGGCTAAGTCACCTGAGAAACTGGGAAGAATCCAAGATTCTTACGTGATGACTTGTTAGTTATTCAGTTGGCAAAATTTGGTTCACAGTTTTGTGGTTCTAGGGCGTTGTTCTAGTGGCAGCTCGCCCATTTTGGATACACGTAGGAGACAGTGAAAATAACTGCATCTGCAATCCAGATAGAACCCTGCATGAGACAAGGCTGAGTTTTACAGAGGTCCCTTCATTAGGACCACCCTGATCCTTCTCCAAAAATAAATATCACCTTCCTATAAGGTTCCACTATATCAACTCCTAGGACTGCCTTCCAGCTTGGAGAACCACTCTTTAAAACAGAAGCCACTAAGAATGACCAAGCCATATTCAAACTATATAAATGGTACTTTCTACCCCATATCACATACTACTTTTATAATTATATAATTGCTTTTAATAGTCATAAACACGACAATATTTCTATGCCATTGTTCTAATTAGATGAGAAAGTACAGGGATCCAAGCTGGAAAAGACAGATTAGAATATAGAATCCCATGCCTCAAGTGTAAAGAACTGGGTTTTATGGTCTCTGAAAGATCTCACATGCAATAAAAGCCAAAGAGGACATTCTTGCCCTTGTGCAGTATTGACTAAATCTGAAGTAGATTCATAGCTTTCATGGATAAGATATTGCTATGTTTTAAGCATAGTTGTTCTTTTGTTATGATTAAAGTTTTTTTTTTTTTTAAGTTCACTGTGGCCCCCGTTTGGTCAGTAGTTTTAAGGATTTCTCTGTGTCCTTTCTTATGTATCCTATTGGCCTTGCCCCTGGATTCATTGTCCACCCAGTTTCTCAAGGCCCCTCAGCCTAACTTAACATCCAGTAATGTGAAGGTGATGGAGGTGCAGTTTTTGGAGCAACAGAGAATCTTTTGAGGATTTGCAAGGAATGCAAATGACCTCATCCTCTTCCAATGAGGTCTGTTGCATGGAGCTTTGTCATTCCCTCTTTCCTGAATTCACCTCCTTACTCTTCTCTGTAAAATTAACCCATACTGTCAAACCACTTAAAATTCTTCAGTTCTAACAGCTTTTAAAAGTAAAGAAAACCCTTTTGAGTGCCCTTAAAATCCTTTCTTAAAACATGAGGTTTACTTTAATATTTTTATTAGCTAATCCATGGATTGATTCTATTTATAATATACTTGATTCCCACTAACATATTTCTGGATTTAAATTTATAACACATATTCTTGAAATGAGGTATATTTCATATAAGTATAACCAGAATTTATAAAATAAGTAACTGGTTGATTCTAATTAGCTTATTAAATTGATTGGCATTTTAGAGTGATGACCATTTAGTTTGTATTCCCCGAGATCCAAATCAGAAATGATTGGGTGAGAACAGTTTGTCAGTTGGCTATGCCATTTGGTTATAATCAGCACACTGAAGGTTATTCCGTAATTTATGCCTCAGGTGGTAGGCAACATTCAACAGTGTTTGCTATGAATGCATGATGTGGCAATAATCGAAAGAGAATAAATATTTAAACACAAAGAAATTTGATATAATGGTATTATTTCTAAGGAATAAAGGCTCATGTTTCATATGATTTTAGTTTTTAAAATTTCAGTTGTCTATGTCAGCAACTTTTAAATTATTAATGTAGGAAGCCAGATTGGTAATTTTCTAGCATTTGTCTTTGGGCACAGACTGTATGAGAAGCAACAGGTGCCATAGAAAGTCTGAGTGTGGCTTGTTTCTCATCTGTCAACCAATTGGGTTACCAGGATCAAGTCACTTGAACTCTGAAATTAATGAAAAGAGAGTAATATTGGTGGATTTTACAAAGCAAATGATTGACTGATATCTTGAGCACCATGCTGTTTTCATCAGGAGGAACGTCCAGTACTTCTGTAGCCACATCTAGCCATGAGAAACACAGCACAGCAGGAGGACCAAGTACAAGCCCAGGAAACACTGGTGAGTCAGAACATGCACATTCTTAGTGCCCATTAAATGAGTGCAAAATTACCAAAAGTTGGGTAAATTATTAGAAGATGCCAAGAGATTAAAACTTGAATCTATCATCTCACAGTTGAGAAAAGCTGTCAAATGTTAAACCACATCTCTTGTATTTAGTAATTACAAGAGAAGAGTCTAGGAGGCCAACCTCAGGATTAGGCCTCAGCTACTGAGGCCACCAGCACTCTAGACCCAACAAGCAAGGCTATGTCTCCTTAAAGGTCTGGGTGGGGCTCAGAACAAGCTTTGGTCATACCTCAGAGTGTTGTAATGGGATACTCTGCTAAATATGGACAAAAGTATAGGAAGTAATGACAAGAGTGAAGGTAAGAACTTTCCTGAAATTGGTTTCTATACCCCTGCCTGAATGCAGGAAACACTGTTCTTCCCTCAGGAACAAGTGGCAGAGCAGATACAGCCACCACTGGAGCAGCTGGTGAAAATACATCTGGCAGAACAGGTACTGTGGGAACAAGCGGGGGGGGGGGGGGTGGCCTCTAGCCTGTAGACACACAGCTTTAGTGCTCAAGACTTAGCTATACCAGGAAAGAACTAAGGTATTAATGCTGCACAAACTTTAAGGGATACACTCTTGGAGGTACACTTTCTCATTCCAGCTCACTCTAAAAAAGGGAGAAGCTAATAACTGTACACAAGACAAGACATGAATCAGGCAGGATAAAGTGGGGGACAAAGTACTAAGGGAATTCAACTATAAATAAGATCAGTTAGTGCAATGCTTGCAGACTTACCATAGTTTACTAATGAAGAGTACCTTAATGGAATGGACATGAGATAACTGTTATAAGAGAGAGGGAACTGGGATCAATATGTAAAATAAGAAAAATAAAATAAAAAGAAATAATAAAAAGTGTCACCTGGTTTATCTGGAGCAAGTGAGGTTGGCTTGATTGATAGATCGCTTTTGTCACAAACAGACAAATTTTAGATCACGCACTCATAAGAATGGAGTTCAGGTCTCTCTGACTGGGCTGGGGTGGGCCTTAAAGTTCTCATCTGTATCTCCCTGATGGCTAAGGACACTGAACACTTGCTAAAGCATTTCATAGCTATTTGTATTTCTTCTTCTGAGAAATTTTTATCAGTTCCATAGCCAATTTTTACCTGGGTTGTTTGTTTGTTTTTTTCATATTTATTTATTGACTGATGTCTTTGTGTCCTTTTTAAAAAGAGTAGCAGACAAAGATCTTTCCAAGAAAATGTCCCCCAGTCTTGTCCATGGGAGGGTACTTTAATAGAAGCAATTCCTCAAGTGGCAGGCCCTGTTCCAATTATGTTAGGTTTGTGTCAGGGTGACAAAAACCAACTCAGACAGTGAGAGATAAGGATCTGGTTTCATTTTCCTGCAGGCTGAGATCCAAATTATATAGCACCACTTGTTACAGATGTTATTTATATGAGCTTAAAGTACTCAGACATGCCAAGTCCACACAAATTTGTCTTTCAAATACGCTGATTTTTCATATGACCATTCCTTATAGTACCCTCCTAATATAAAAATTAAATTAATACTTACCAAACAGGGAATAGTTGTTTGAGTAGAATTGCTGCTATAGGCTTCTACTGGGAAGTCTCTGTTGAGGATGCCTTGGAAGCTTGCAGGCTCAACCCACATCTGCACACTAAGCAGGAGAGTGAGCTGCTATGGCAACATGTTTAGCACAACTGAGTTGCCAGAACCTATGTCTCTAGCTGGGACTGGAAACAGGAGATCTGGAGAATGGCACCTGTAACTTCTTTTTCTGACATTGCCAAGTATGCATAGTAATGTCAGGGGTAATATGCCTAATGCCCCAAGTCCAAACCTATTCTTAGTTTCAGGGACCACAGGAGTGTCTTCAGGCTTCACCACTACTAGTCCCAGAGCCTCCAGCACACCATCCACCACCTCTGCTGACAGCAAATCAGGTGAGTCAAAGCAAGAATCCTGTGAATTTACAAGGATCTCATGGTCCAGCTCTATACCATGGTGAAGGTGAATAGCAGCAGTGAGAGCCAAGTTAGAGAACCTAGTCCCTCACACACAATTCAGGGAGCATAGGAGTGTGGGTTAGCTGGAGTTTGTATATTTGGGAGCAATCTTCTAGATCCCCCTGTGCTTGAGATGGTGGTTTCAGACTTCAGTTGTAGAGATGATACTCTGAGTTGGTATATGGCCATGGCTGTCATCCTTGCTACCAACTAGAGAAAATTTGGCATGTATATCCTGAGCTTTTACAGACTCACACAGAGGGCTTAGGGAAGTATCTTATAAAAGAACTACAGTTGGTTCTTATGTGCGACCTAGGTTATATAATACTAAATTCCAGTATCCTACTATTAAACAAATAAATGTGGACAAACTTATCCACTTTCGACAAGGAAATAGGCACACATGGGATTCTCTGGACCACAGTGTGTTTTTTTATCATTATTTGTAAAGAGGAGATACTGAAATATAAGAAAATCAAAGGTGTTTTGAAACCAGAAAGGTGAGTGACCAGTCCCTCTGGATCACAGATCATGGTGCATACATATTGCTCACACTGAAAGCAAAAGCTCTGCTCCATTAGCAACAAGTGACAACCATAACATGGGAACTTCGTTTTTTTAGATAAGTGTTATATCTTTTCAATAAAGGCTTGTGCAATAAATGGTAAAAGTAAAATACTACATTTGGGCCATTTCTCTGGTCCTTTTTAAAGCATCTGTTTATAATAACTCAAAAACTTTAAAGAATGCTAACTGTCCACAGATTATTTAAAAGTCAGGTCAGTCCTCTCCTCAGGATTCAGGGATCTGTGCAGAAGAGGATAGGAAAGACTGCAAGAGTCAGAGGGGTTGGATGACTCCAAGAAGAGAGCATCTTCTAAACACCATGGGGCTGATGCACATATGAGCTCTCAGAGATCGTGACATCATGCACAGGGTTTGCCTAAGTCCAAGCCAGATGGGGTCACCCCATGACTAAGAGGAGGAAGTAGATGAAGAGTACCGAGTCAATAATCTATTTGCAGTTGGTATCTGTCAGAAAAGGGAAAGTCAGTTTTCTCCAATGGACTATCACCAGTAGTTGGACAACATAAAATGAGCTCGTGTGTGTGTGTGTGTGTGTGTGTGTGTGTGTGTGTGTGTGTGCGTGTGTGTACTTTTTGTTTCAGTTTGGCATTCATTCTTTTTTGTCTAATTGGTTTTTTGTTTGTCTGTTATGATTTTCCTTTTTGCATTTTTGGAGGGATTTGTGTGTGTGTGTGTGTGTGTATGTGTGTGTGTGTGTGTAAAAGAGAGAGTGAGAGAGCATGAGAGGGGGAGAACAAAGTAGGGCAGGTTGTTTCTGGGATAAGCTGTGGGAGAGTGGAGATGCTTTTAGATGATGTGCAGATGCAAACTTAATATCTCCCTTCAAAAGGATGTTATAGCATGTAGTTTAAGCAGTAGTCTTTGTTTATCATGTACAACTGCAAAGTCTGTGGGAGTACTTCAGGAGCAGATAGGGAGGCCACACCTAGAGCCCCGGGCATAGGAGTCACTACTGGAAACCCAGCAGTGTCCTTGGGTACTATGATATGGACTAACATTAGCTGTGGTCAGAACTGAGTGTGATAATGAGAGCAAGCAAAAGTGACTGAGGACTGCACTATAGAAATGAATGGTACGAGTGTAATTATGAAATAAATGCCTTTGTGAGGCTGCTGTGGTTATCACCATGACCCTAATCACCAGTCTTCTTGCAATAGGCACAAGTGGAGGAGCACAGGCAGCCACCACTGGAGTTTCTAGTGAAAACACGTCAGGAGTAACAGGTATGGGATGAACTCACCTGGGCAGGAGATAATATGTAATGAGATGAAGTTCTGTGGGTAAGCTGACGGTTGCTGATGTCATGCAGTGTTAACTTAATTTTTTGCATAATACCTGACTAGTTACTGAAGAAAGTATTTATTTTGCTTATAGTTTGAGGATCAAGTCTCTCATGGCAGGGACATTATATAAGTGACAGAGTTCTATCTGTGGCCTCAGGTTCATGAGATGGCTAATCACACTGTTTACAGTGAGGATGCAGTGTGATGGATGCTGGTGGTCATTTTCATTAAGTCTTGGATTCCAACACATGGGATGCTCTCAACTATCCACACAATAGGTCTCCCAACACAGGGGCACATCTCTGTAGCCATACTCAGGATAGCCTCAGAGATATGTACCTAGAAGATTTTAAAGGCATTCTAATAGATAATGGAGATTAGCCATGGCAGATGCCGAGTGTCCAATAGATTAGAAACTTTGTCAAGTATTTGTTGTGTGTGTAATATTAAGTATTCAGTGGTACATGACGAGCAAATATGGAAATAGTGCAATCTCACAAGCTTTATTTTGTGAAAAATTAACAACCATGAGATGCAGGAGATGAAGACTAATGATGAATTCATCCTTTGTGAATGTATCATTCACAGAGCTCACATAAAGATGCTCACAGGGTCCCTATGACAATCCTAAAGTCATCAGGGTCACTATGGAGAATCTCACACAATTATGGTGCTTCATAATCAATGGACATCTCAATAGGTTTGATTTATTATCAATTTACCTTGAGAAAGTACTTAGGATGCCACTGAAGTTTATAGGGACAGATAACTTCTTATTTATTTATTTATTCCTTCATTTATTTATTTATTTATTTATAAGACAATATCTCACTGTGTAGCTTTAGCTGACCTACTTTGTAGACTAGGCTGAGAAGAAACTCAAAGATCTGCTTCCTGATTTCCAGTGAATGTTGGGACTAAAGGTGTATTCCACAACACCAGACTTACACATTTTTCAAGGAAGAAGAAATCAAATTTTATGTCCTATTCTTAATAAGATATTCCTTTGCAATTTTTAACTATTTCTTAATTTATCATTACCAGGTATATCCCAGACATCATCTGGAGGGACCTCTGCAGTGGCAGTAGGCAGTACTACATCCTCATCTACTGTTGAGCGAAGTAGCACCCCTAAGGACCAGAGCACTGGAACTATGACCCCAGGAAACACAGGTAAGTCAGGTTGAGCAGTTTACCACCTACCAGATGGATACCACTGTCACAGTATTAGCACTGACAGAAGATGATGGGAGGTTACAACAATGTTGAAATACAGTTTTGATTCCCAAATGCTTTCCTGTAGAAGGAAGAACACAAAGAATATATGGGTTTTATGTCTCTAAGTCCTGGTGGCAGAAACGGCATGCAACAAAGGTGTGAGGCAGCTGGATACTTTGCACCACAGTCAAAAAGCAAAGTAGATACTCAAGATGGGTTCACACACTAGGCTCCCTTTCTCTGCTCTATTGTGATCAGGACCACAGTCAATATAAGGATGTCACCAACATGTAGAATGGACTTGCTGCATATACTAAGCAAATCTAGAAGATCTCTCATAGATCTTACATAAGAGCCACAATTTGTGGCACTAGCAAACAGGAGGGTAAAATGCAGAAGTGCATTAGTCTGTAGGGCTCTAACAAGCCACATAAGTTAGCCCTATTCTCTGTGTCTAGAGAATGGCAAGGATGGAAATGAATAGGAAGAGTATGGCTTTATGATGCAATTGCTTATTTGCAAAAGCATTATTGAGAGGAGATAAGGATAAAGGTTTCTCCCTTACCCAATGGTGGCATCCACACATTTCATGTGATGTGTAATAATCTCAACATGTAACCCTAGAAGTACTAATGCTGGAATTTTGAAGAGGAGACCACACACAGATTCTGGCTCCTGGTGGGAATCAAGTAGGAGGTTTTGGTTCCATACTGAAGTGTTTGTTATTGGCCCAGAGAATAAGGAACTACAAAGCAACAGGAACAAGCCATAAGTACCTCATGGAAGCTTCAGGATAGGCTCTGATGATGATGCTGAGTCATATGATACATAACTCCAGTGTTTCAAAGTGAAACGAGAAATCTAAGCTTACTTGTTGCATACACCAAGTCAATTCATGTGTTCAAGGATGATCTGGGTCATGCGAGATTTGATAATCTCTTGTTGGAGAGAAGAAAGTAGAAATAGAGAAGAATGCAGGAATATAAGAATGATAATTGAAAGCATTAGTAGCCAGATCTGCTCTGCATCAAATCTGATAGACACTATTGTTCACTTTAAAAGCAAACACAGCACCATCAGTTGCAGAGATATCTGAAGCCACAAGCAACGAACAGACCCAGCCTGCAGACAAATCAAGTGAGTATAGGCTGATGGGGGAACTACCAGGCTCTTTACAAGCAAGCCTTCTTCAGGTTCCACTTACTTAAAACTGAAGGGCTGATGAGAATTTAGATGGACATAATGTGTACCAAACAAAAAGGGACAAAGGTGCCATTTTTAGAAGCTTGCTCCTCCCCCACTGAAACAAACTAAAGCTTCTGATAATGTGGCACAAGGTTAGAAAGGTGGAACCAAATGAGCAAAGAAACACTGGATTCATTACTTCTCACGTGACACTGCGGAGATGCTCCAGCTTTCAAGTAGAACAGACAGACTTCAGAGAGGAAGCAGAGAAATGAGTCAACAGTTATGTTCCCCTTCCATTTCAAGAGTTACAAGTCTCTAAAGGAACACCTTGACACTGAGTGTTGTCCTAAGGGAGAGAGAAAGGTTCTGGAGTTGGAGAAGTTGAGATCAGGTCCTAGGTCTGTTGTAAGCTAAACGGGCAAGTTAAATATGCCAAGCAAAATGTCCAACAACTGAACAGGATAAATATTCCCTGCAAATGATTGAGATATATGTTTTTGCAAATATTCAACACCCTTAAAAGAAATGCAAATCAAAACCACTTTGAGATTTTGTTTAACCATTTTCAGAATGGCTAAGATTTTAAAAATGAGAACAAATGCTGTTAGGGATATGTGGAAAGGGGAAACACATATTTACTGCTGGGACAGCAAACTGGTGTAGCACATGATCCAGCTCTACTCTTGGACATCTTCCCAAAAGACTCACACCCTAATACAGAAGTTCTTATCTGTGTTTATTGCCCCTCTATTGATATTAGCCAGGGAATGGAAATAGCCTAGATGTCCATCTATTGATGAATGAATAAAAAAATGTGGCATATTTAGACAATGGACTATTATACTTATGACTCTTCTTAACCACAATAAATACCAGGCACATCTAAGGAATCATCTGGAACGACCACTGGTATGACAGGTGTAAGCACTCCTACAGTGGCGAGGACAACAGCCCTGAGTCCTGGTAAGAGATAATAGACTATAGATAGAGTATCCATATCATGCCCTCATGTCCCTGATGCAAGAGGTGCTTGCCTGCAATCATTCTGAAGGGGGCACTGAAGAAAGGGCTTGGGAGGGGTATGATATTGTGAAATTCTGATTCTTACCCTAAAAATGCATCCACACACACCTAAGGGTGTCAAGAATAATATGAATATCAACTCAACCACATTTCCTGGTTCTAGAGAGTACAGCAATGTCTTCAGGCCACACTACTACCCCTGGAGTCTCCTCAAGCATGGCTTCAACCTCTGCCCACAGCAAATCAGGTGAGTTAAAGAGAAAAGGCTGCAAGTTTTCAGAAATCAAAGGTTTGTGTATGTCTTCACTCATATCCATGGTATTTAGGAAGGGCATGTCTATCTCAGGGACAGGAAGTCCAGTTCCTGCTATATACTTCAGCCAATAGCAGAAGGAGAACTAGATTAGATGGTGTTTCTGTCCTCTCATGCCATTATTGGTGTTCATGTGGGTCCTTAAAATCATGATGATCCTGAGTCTTGCCCTGAGTTTATAGACTCTGACTCTAGAGGCCATGGCTTTCTCTGCCAGCTACAAGTTAGCACCAGCGAGAAAAGTTCAGAATTCTCTTCTTGACAGTGCCATTAATTATGGAACTCTGGAAGAAGGGCCTAGTTTGGCATAAATCTGGAGGCTAGTGGTTTCCAACAAGAAGCTTGCCACTGGGGTCAAATAGATGAATTGTTAAATTACATGGAATCTTAGAAATGGCCAGCAAAGAAGTTGAAGACACATATGAGATGTACTGCTTACAAATTGGGAAGGCTAAGGCAGACGTGGGAGGTACCCACAAATGAATAAGATGCTCAGCAGCAGAGAACACCTTGGCCTGCCACTTTGTCACAACCATCCCATCGTGTGTTTTGAAAGGAACGTCTGGACCATCCACTGGAACAACTAGATCCCCAAGCAGTGAGCTGTCATCAACAGAAGGCAGCACAGGTGAGGAGAGGCCCTGTCCTGGAGAGGCTGAGGCTGTCTGAAAAATGGAAAGTGGTTTGTCCTTACCTTGCTCATTTTACAGAACTGCACTTGAGACTTGTATTTTTAAAAGTGTATGGAAATGTCAACCCAATCTAATATGTAAAGAGATACTTTAAAGAAAAAAACTCACTTTCAGACTTCTTCCTCTTCCTTTTTTTCCATGATAAACAACAGGCACACCCAGTGCAACTTCTGGGACCACCTTGGGAGGGACAGGGAGCAGCACCTCTCTTCCTGCAAGGACAGGAGCCCCAGGCACAGGTAAGACTTCTTCGCTTTTGGTAAAGCCTCAGCACCTCATCCATTCCTGTGATGCCTCAGGTAAGGGTCTGAATATCACCTGAGGGTGTGAGTGAAATTCATAGCAGAGCAAGTGATGCAACAATGTGCTTCCCCATGTTTCATCATTCAACATTATTCATTTACCTGATGATGTCTGGAATTATATGTCTCCAAATCCATATTTTTGATTTCCTTTGAGAAATCAGTGTGTTGCTGAATTATTTGATATCTTTTAGAAAGAAATTGTTATTAGTTTTTAAGGGTAGACACTTTCACCTCATATGAAGAAAAAAAAAGACCATTTGAATTCTTATTCTTAAGAAAATCACCCCTTCAATTTTATTATTCATTAAATTTAACCACAATAAATAACAGGTGTATCACAGACATCTTCTGGAACTACCTCGGGAGAGACAGGGAACAATACTCCTCTACCTTCAAGTACAGAAGCTCCAAGTACAGGTAAATCTCTTTAGTCTTGACAGATGGCTCAGCAGCTCACCCATTCCCATGCTGCCTCAGGTCACAGTCTGAAAATTCAACTTCTATGTGTTAGTAAAATTCATGGCACTGGACAGAGTGCAAGAATGTGTCTTCTCATGTCTGCTCATATTTATGAGGTTGTCTTGAATTATATGAGTCTCCAACATGTTTCATTTTTTTGTTGCAGGGAGCTCAGTAACATCCCCAGGCCACACTACTATCTCTCAAGCCTCCAGTCTATCACAAGCATCTGCCAGCAACCAACCAGGTAAATAAATGGAGGAGGCAGTGAGGTATCAGTTGTAAATAGGAGGGCTGAGTCTATCTCTACTTATGTATATAGGAATGTAGGAAGCACATGTATATTACATGGTTATGAGTCCTCAGATATCAAGTGAGGGGATGGTTATATCACTGTGTATTCCAAAAGGAATGCAGGGATTCCTTGTATATTTAGAGAAAGAAGCATCAGAGAGGACAGCATGAGCTGATGTTTCACTTATTTCTCTTATCTTATTTGGGAATTAGTTTGCTAATGTGTTCTTTAGGAAAATGCTAACCCTGTTCCCTTCCTTGGAGCTTTAAGGACAATGAGTAATTACAGAGAAAGCTTAATATTACTGAATCTAAATTCTGAATGTCCTCTTTATGTGGGTTTTTAAATGTGTTTCCTTAAATGGAGGACCAAGTAAGAAATGCATTTTAAAGACCTGGTTGGTGTAAAAAAGCATCTTAGTACTAAATTAAAATAGATGAATATGAAAGGGGTAGAAATCATACCTCCATGCAAAATCAAATAAACCCAATAAGGATTCTTCCATATCATATGAAATTTACAAAGAGTGAAGCAACAACAGGAAAAATATATACACAGAGAAATTTCACATCAGAAAGCAGTGCTGGCTTTGACTGCTTCATGATCAGGACATTGAGCAACATGAAAGGAATGCCTGGGCCATCAGGAATGTAACACAATCCTGGGCATGTCTGTAAGGATATTAACAGAGTGAAAGGTCAATGTATAGGTACTGGACAACAAATGAGTTTCCATTGTAGACTGGCTATGAAGGGATGAAGGGAAAGGCAGAAGCATGAGAGGATCAGTATTCATCACTCTGCTCCCTAAGTGTGAACACAGTGTGAACAGCTTCCTCATAGTTCCACAGTTCCCTCACCATAACTTCTAAGGCTTCCCTGGAGTGAGAAATTTACATTAATATAAGCAAAATAAACCCCTTCTAAATTTTCCTCTCTGTTAATATATTCGAAGATATGCTCACAATTGTATACCAAACAATAAGCAGTCCCACACAAAATTTTCAGAAGATGGGATGTACATGTCCAAGTATTTGTTTTGAGTCTAGTATTATTTTTGGCACTTCATAGTTTCTAAAAACAGGGACATGAGATGATCTCATGTATCTCATGCTGTTCACTAAAATTAACAGTCTTGGGATATGGGAACCTAAGTATGGTAGAGAAGAGTCAGATGGGCAAAGATCACCACAAGGTCAATGTCACTCCTAAATTGCCACCATTTCTCACTAAGAAATTTGATTATCTCCGTAATTATTGTCTTTGAACTTGAAAAAGTAGACACTTTTATTTGGGTAGACAGAAAGAATGAACATTTCAATTCTTACTCTTAAGAAAAAACTCACTTTCAATATTCTTTCTCAACTTTTTCATCCATGATGGAAAACAGTCACACCTGGTACATCTACAACAACCCTGTCCGGAGGGGAAAGGAGCAGCTCCAATCTTCCTGCAAGTACTGCAGCACCGGGTTCAGGTAAAATATCGTTGTTATTGGAGATGTCTCAACAGCTCATCCATACCACACAGCCTTAGCTGATTGTCTAGAAATATCACCTGAAAGAGTGAAATTCATGGCAGAGCAAGAGATGCCAGAATGTGTCTTACCATTTTATCTTTAAAGTCCATTTATATATCTCATGTTTCTATTTACATAAGCCTCAAAAGCAAAATTATTTGATTTCCTATTAGATATCATTGGGTTGTCAAAAGCATTGTATTCCCTTGAGAAAGTATCTGTCATTAATTTTCACAAGGATAGACACTTTCATTTCAAAAGAGAAAAAAAAAAAGAATCTTAATCCATGTTTTCAGATTATCTGCCTTTAAATTTTCTCATTCATCTTTTTTAACTGTAATATCTATTAGGCAAAACAGGAGCATCATCTGGAACAACATCTGCAGTAGCAGGGAGCAGCACCCCTCAACCTGCAAGTACTGGAGCCCCAGGTTCAGGTAAGTCTCTTTAGCCTTGGCAGATGTCCCATCCACTCCCATGCTGCCTCAGGGGGAGGGTGTGAACATTTGACTTGTATGTGTAAGATTCATAGCAATGGAAGTGGTTAGGTAAACTTCATGGCACTGGATGTGTCTTCTAGGGTCCATTCATATATATATAAGGGTGTGTGGAATCATATGAGTCTCTAATGAGCATTATTTCATCTTCTAGAGAACACAGTAGTAACATCCTCAGTCCACACTACCATCTCTCCAGCCTCTAGTCTGTCCCCAGCTTTGACCACCAGCAGACCAGGTAAGTAAAATGGAAGAGTCTATGAAGTGTCAAGTGTCAAAGGTTGAGTCTATCTCCAAATATATATTTGGGGAATTTGGGATTTTAATGGTATTATATGGCTGTGGGTCCTAAGATATTAAATGATTTTCTGGTTATATCACCTTTTATTCATAAAGAAATGCATGGATTCCTTGTATATTTAGGAAAGAAACATCAGAGAGAACAGAGTAAGCTCATGTTACTCTTATCTTATTCAGTAATTAGGATACTAAATTGTACATTGGTGCAACACTGACCCTGATTCCTTCTAGAAACTTAAGGGCACTGAGTCATTAGGGCAAAATGTTACTATCCTGAATCTTAGTTAACATCTTCTAGAATAATTGTGAATGTCTCCTTTATGCATGTTATTAAATATGTTTACTTATATGTAACACCAAGTCAAAAATATCTTTTAAAGACCTAGATTGTTTGAATTAGCATCTAAGTACAAAATTAAAATAGATGATCATGAAAAAAAGTAGACAATCATATTTCCATGCAATCGGATATATATATGTATATATACATAAATACATACATACATACATACATACATACATACATACATATATATATGAGAGAGAGAGAGAGAGAGAGAGAGAGAGAAAGCATGAGAGAGGGAGAAATTTTACATCATACAGCAGTGTGGGCAGTGGCCATTTCAAGGACATGACATTGAGCATCTTTAAATCAATGCCTGGTTTATAAGTTGTGGGCATTTCTGTGAAAATATTAACAGAGTGAAAGGTCAGTGTATAGGTCTGGATACCATTGAGTTTCCAACTAGCCTGAGTGTGAAAGGCAAAGGGCAGCGTCATGAGAGGACCAGTATTCATCGCTCTGCTTCCTTGGTGTGAACACAGTGTGAACAGGTCCCTCATAGTTCCACAGTTCCCTCTCCACCACTCCCACTTCTATGGCTTCCCTGTTGTGAGGAGATCGCTTGGAAAATCAAAAAAAGAAAAAAAAAATGCCCTTACTCCCTTTCAATCTTCTTCTCAAACTTTTTTAACCTTGCTAAAAAACAGTCACACCTGGTGAATCTACAACAACCCCCTCAGGAGGGAAAGGGAGCAGCTCCACCCTTCCTGCAAGTACTGCAGCCCCGGGTACAGGTAAGCTATCTTTGATTTAGAGATGCCTCAGCAGCTCATCCATACCCACACTGCCTCAGCTGATTGTATAGAAATATCACCTGAATGTGTGAGATTCATGACAAAGCAAGAGATGCCAAAATGTGTCCTACCATTTTATCTTTAATGTCCATTCATATATCTGGTGTTTCAATTCATATCAGCCTCAACACCCAACTCATTTGCATTCCAATTAGCTATCAGTGGGTAGTCAGGTTCATTGTTTTCCCTTGACTAAGTGGTTGTCATTGCATTTTACAAGCCATGGTAAATTCTTACTTTTCATGAGTAGAAAAAAGGACCTTAATCTTAATTCTTAACAATATCTCCCTTTAAATTTTCTCCCTCATGTTTTTAACCATGGTATCTATTAGTCACAACAGGAGCATCATCTGGAACAACATCTGGAGTAGCAGGGAGCAGCACCACCCCTCAACCTTCAAGTACTGGAGCCCCAGGTTCAGGTAAGTCTCTTTAGCCTTGGCAGATGTCCCATCCACTCCCATGCTGCCTCAGGGGAGGGTCTGAACATTTGACTTGTATGTGTGAGTAAGATTCATGGAAATGGAAGTGGTGAGGTAAACTTCATGGCACTGGATGCGGTGCAAGACTGGGTCTTCTCAGGTCCATTCATTTAAATAAGGGTGTGTGGAATGATACTAGTCTCCCATGAGTATAATTTCCTCTCCTAGGGAGCACAGTGACATCCTCAGGCCACACCACCATGTCTCAAGCCTCTAGTCTTTCCCCAGCATCTACCACCAGCAAAACAGGTAAGTAAAATGGAGAAGGCTAAGCGGTGTCAGGTATCAATGGCTGTGACCATCTCTGTCTAACATATGGGAATTTGGGGATTACAGGATGTTACAAGGCTGTGGGTCATCAGTTATGAAATAATGGGCAGGTTAGTTTTCTTTTATTCATAAAGGAATGCATGCAATCCTTGTATATTTACGAAAGAAACATCAGAGTGGACTGCATTAGCTGATGTTTCTCTTTTCTTGTTCAGTAATTAGTTCGCTTATGTGTCTTTGGGGCAATGCTGACCCTGATTCCTTCCTTGGATATGAATGACACTGAGTCATTAGGGCAAAAGCTTACTATCTTGAATCTAAGTTAACACGTAATAGAAAAACAGTGAATATATTCTTTATGCGGGTTATTAAATGTGTTTCCTTATGTGGAGGACCAAGTTACAAATATATTTTAAATACCTAGATTGTGTGAATGACCATCTTAGTAATAACTTTAAATAGATGAATATGAAGGAGGTAGACAATCAAATACCCACGCAGTATCAAACAAACACAGTAAGGTTTCCCCATACCATATGAAATTTACAAAGTATGAAGTAACAATGGGAATTGTGTGTGTGTATGTGTGTGTGTGTGCCTGGACCATCAGATGGAACACAATTCTGGGCATACCTGTGAGGATATTAACAGAGTGAAATGTCAGTGTATGGGTCCAGGACACCACTGAGTTTCCCTGCTAGACTGACTGTGAAAGGCAAAGGGCAGCAGCACGAGAGGACCAGTATTCATCACTCTGTCCTCAGTGTGAACACAGTGTGAACAGGTTCCTCATAGTTGCACAGTTCCCTCTCCACCACTCCCACTTCTTTTGCTGCAGTATCATGAGGAATTTACTTAAAAATATCAGCAAAATAAACCCCTTATACATTTTCCTCTCTTGGAATATGTTTGGAACTATTCTCAGAACTATGTGCCAAACAATAAGCAGTCCCACACAAAGTTTTCAGAAGGGGGGATGTACAATGCTAAGTATTTGCTTGGGGTCTAATGTTATTTTTGGCACTTCATAGTTTCTAAAAAATAGGGACATAACATGATCTCATGTATCTCATCCTGTTTACTAAAATGAACAGTCTTCGGATATGGGAACCTAAGGTTGGTAGAGAAGAATAAGGTGGGCAAAGATCACAGCAGGTCTTAAGTCACTCCTAAATTGCCAACATTTCTCACTAAGGAATTTGATTATCTCTATAATTATTGTCTTTTAACCTGAAAGAGTGAACACTTCTATTTGGGTAGACGAAAACAATGAACATTTCAATTCTTACTATTAAGAAAAACCTCCCTTCCAATCTTCTTTCTCACTGTTTAACCTTGATGGGAATCAGTCACACCTGGTGCATCTACAGCAATCCGGTCTGGAGAGGAAGGGAGCAGCTCCACTCTTCCTGCAAGTACTGCAGCCCCGGGTTCAGGTAAGCTACCTTTGGTTTGGAGATGTCTCAGCAGCTCATCCATACCCATACTGCTTCAGCTGATAGTATAAAAATATCACATGAATGAGTGAAATTCATGGCAGAGCAGGTGATGACATAATGTGTCTTACCATTTTATCTTTAAAGTCCACTTATATATCTGGTGTTTCAATTTATATAAGCCTCAACACCAAAATTACTTGATTTCCTATTAGATATCAGTGGGTTGTCAAATTCATTGTATTTCCTTAAGAAAGTATTTGTCATTAAATTTCACAAGGGTATATACTTTCATTTCATAATAGAAAAAAAGAATCTTACTCCATGTTCTTCAGGTTATCTGACTTTAAATTTTCTCATTCATCTTTTTAACCATGATATCTATTAGGCACAACAGGAGCATCATCTGGAACAACATCTGGAATAGCACGGAGCAGCACCCCTCAACCTGCAAGTACTGGAGCCCCAGGTTCAGGTAAGTCTCTTTAGCCCTGGCAGATGTCCCATCCACTCCCATGCTGCCTCAGGGGAGGGTCTGAACATTTGACTTGTATGTGTGAGTAAGATTCATGGCAATGGAATTGGTGAGGTAAACTTCAAGGCACTGGATGCGGTACAAGACTGTGTCTTCTCAGGTCCATTCATATAAATAAGGGTGTGTGGAACGATAAGAGTCTGTAATGAGCATGATTTCCTCTCCTAGGGAGCACAGTGACATCCTCAGGCAACACTACCATGTCTCAAGCCTCCAGTCTTTCCCCAGCCTCTACCACCAGCAAAACAGGTAAGTAAAATGGAGAAGGCTAAGCGGTGTCAGGTATCAATGACTGTGTCCATCTCTTTCTATACATATGGTAATTTGGGAATTACAGGATGTTACAAGTTTGTGGGTAGTCAGTTATGAAATGATGGGCAGGTTAAATCTTCTTTTATTCATAAAGGAATGCATGGAATCCTTGTATATTTACAAAAGAAACATCAGAGTGGACTGCATTAGCTGATGTTTCTCTTTTATTCAGTAATTAGTTCACTTATGTGTACTTTGGGGCAATACTGACCCTGATTCCTTCCTTGGATATGAATTACACTGAGTCATTAGGGTAAAAGCTTACTATCTTGAATCTAAGTTAACATCTCTTTGAACAATTATGGATTTCTTCTTTATGCAGGTTATTAAATATGTTTCCTTGTATTGAGGACCAAGTCAGACGTATATTTTAAAACCCTAGTTGTTTGAATAGGCATCTTATTACCACATTAAATTAGATGCATATCAAGGAGGTAAACAATCTTATTTCCATGAGGAATCAAATAAAACTAGGAAGGGTTTCTCCATATCATCTGAAATTTGCATAAAATGAAGCAACAATAGGAAAAATACAAAAATAAATGAAGAAAATTGACCTCAGAAAGCAGTGTATACTATGGCTGCTTCATGATTATAACTTTGAGTGTCTTAGAAAAGACTGACTGGACCATCGAATGGAACACATTTCTGGGCGTATCTGTGAGGATGTGAACAGAGTGAATGTCATTGTATAGTTACAGGACAACCAATGTGTTTCCCCGCTAGACTGACTGTGAAAGGGAAAAGGCAGAATCATGGGAGGACCAGTATTCAAAACTCTGCTTCCTCAATGTGAACACAGTGTGATCAGTTTCCTCACAGTCCCACACTTCCCTCTACACCACAACCACAACCACATCTATAATTTCCCTGTTGTGAGGAATTTGTCTCCAATTGTGAGCAAAATAAATCCCTTTTATTCCCCCCCCCCCATTAATATCATCCAAGATAGGCACAGAATTATATTCTAAACAATAAAAGTCCCACATCATATTTGCAGAACATAATATGTACATTGCCAAGTATGTGTTTTGGGTCTAGTATTATTTTAGCCCTGCCAAGTTCCTAAAAATGGGGACATGCTATGATCTCGTGCATCTTCATGCTTTTTAGTACAATTTAATGTCTTGAGATGTGAGAGAAAAAGTATATTGGGTCGTCAGGTGGGCAAAGATCCCCCACAGGGTCTTAAGTCACTTGTAAAATGGCTGACATTTATCTGTGAGGAATTTGCCTTATCTTCATAACATAAGAGTGGACAGTTTGATTTGGTTAGAGGAAAAGAAAGACCCTTTCAATCCTTAAGAAAAAACTGCCTTTTAATCTTCTCTCTCATGTTTTTTAACCATGATGAAAATCAGGCACACCTGGTGTATCTACTGCAACCACCTCAGGAGGAACAGGGAGGAGATCCACTCTTCCTGCAAGTACTGGATCTCCAGGTTCAGGTAAAATTGTGGGAAGCTGTCTTTTTGGGGCCTCAGTCAGTGATAGCCAATTTGCTCCTGGTTCGTACCTGAGATGGGGATTGTGGATTGAGAAAGTGTATATCTCAAGAGAAAGACAAAGACAAAGGATAGAGTCAGCAGTCCCATCCAGTGCATACCGAACCGCCTCTAGTTTATAATACAACATTCTAAGTCTAAGGGGGAGGGGCATTGCAGAAGACTTCTAGTATCATGTATAAGAAGCAAACAGACTTCTCTAAATTCTCCAGGCATTTGGTACTTACACCTATTATCTGGCCTTCAGGGTCAAGAGTAAACACACCCAAGCCCAAGTCTGTTGTTGTTTAGATAAGACATCTGCTACCAAAGCAGAAACATCCTCTAGTAGCCAATCCTTAGACCTTTTGGTCTTTTTACTTATAAAAGTCAGTTTTGAACTCTCTGACATTGAGGCCAGTTGAAGTGGTCCCATCTTTATGGGCCCCAACATAAGTCTACTTTGCTTTGGAGATGTCTCAGCAGCTCATCCATACCCATGCTGCCTTAGGTGATGGTTTAGAAATATCAGCTGAATGTGTTTGTGTGAGTGAATTAATGGCAGAGCAAGCAATGCCAGAATGTGTCTCCCCATGTTTTATTATTCAAGTCCATTCATATATCTGGGGTTTCTGGATTCATATAGGTCTCAACATTCATATCAGGGTGTTTTCAAATTCATTGCTTTGGCTTGAGACAGTATTTGACATTAAATTTCACAAGGGTAAATACTTTCATTTGATAAGAGGAAAAAAGAATGTTAATACTTATTCTTAACAATATCTCCCTTTAAATGTTTTGCACCATATTTGCACCATTCATATTTTGCACCATGATATCTATTAGGCACAACAGGATCATCATCTGGAACAACATCTGGAGTAGCAGGGAGCAGCACCCCTCAACCTGCAAGTACTGGAGCCCCAGGTTCAGGTAAGTCTCTTTAGCCTTGGCAGATGTCCCATCCACTCCCATGCGGCCTCAGGGGGAGGGTGTGAACATTTGACTTGTATGTGTAAGATTCATAGCAATGGAAGTGGTTAGGTAAACTTCATGGCACTGGATGTGTCTTCTAGGGTCCATTCATATATATATAAGGGTGTGTGGAATCATATGAGTCTCTAATGAGCATTATTTCATCTTCTAGAGAACACAGTAGTAACATCCTCAGTCCACACTACCATCTCTCCAGCCTCTAGTCTGTCCCCAGCTTTGACCACCAGCAGACCAGGTAAGTAAAATGGAAGAGTCTATGAAGTGTCAAGTGTCAAAGGTTGAGTCTATCTCCAAATATATATTTGGGGAATTTGGGATTTTAATGGTATTATATGGCTGTGGGTCCTAAGATATTAAATGATTTTCTGGTTATATCACCTTTTATTCATAAAGAAATGCATGGATTCCTTGTATATTTAGGAAAGAAACATCAGAGAGAACAGAGTAAGCTCATGTTACTCTTATTCAGTAATTAGGATACTAAATTGTACATTGGTGCAACACTGACCCTGCTTCCTTCTAGGAACTTAAGGGCACTGAGTCATTAGGGCAAAATGTTACTATCCTGAATCTTAGTTAACATCTTCTAGAATAATTGTGAATGTCTCCTTTATGCATGTTATTAAATATGTTTACTTATATGTAACACCAAGTCAAAAATATCTTTTAAAGACCTAGATTGTTTGAATTAGCATCTAAGTACAAAATTAAAATAGATGATCATGAAAAAAAGTAGACAATCATATTTCCATGCAATCGGATATATATATGTATATATACATAAATACATACATACATACATACATACATATATATATATATGTATATATGAGAGAGAGAGAGAAAGCATGAGAGAGGGAGAAATTTTACATCATACAGCAGTGTGGGCAGTGGCCATTTCAAGGACATGACATTGAGCATCTTTAAATCAATGCCTGGTTTATAAGTTGTGGGCATTTCTGTGAAAATATTAACAGAGTGAAAGGTCAGTGTATAGGTCTGGATACCATTGAGTTTCCAACTAGCCTGAGTGTGAAAGGCAAAGGGCAGCGTCATGAGAGGACCAGTATTCATCGCTCTGCTTCCTTGGTGTGAACACAGTGTGAACAGGTCCCTCATAGTTCCACAGTTCCCTCTCCACCACTCCCACTTCTATGGCTTCCCTGTTGTGAGGAGATCGCTTGGAAAATCAAAAAAGAAAAAAAAATGCCCTTACTCCCTTTCAATCTTCTTCTCAAACTTTTTTAACCTTGCTAAAAAACAGTCACACCTGGTGAATCTACAACAACCCCCTCAGGAGGGAAAGGGAGCAGCTCCACTCTTCCTGCAAGTACTGCAGCCCCGGGTACAGGTAAGCTATCTTTGATTTAGAGATGCCTCAGCAGCTCATCCATACCCACACTGCCTCAGCTGATTGTATAGAAATATCACCTGAATGTGTGAGATTCATGACAAAGCAAGAGATGCCAAAATGTGTCCTACCATTTTACCTTTAATGTCCATTCATATATCTGGTGTTTCAATTCATATCAGCCTCAAAACCCAACTCATTTGCTTTCCAATTAGCTATCAGTGGGTATTCAGGTTCATTGTTTTCCCTTGACTGAGTGGTTGTCATTGCATTTTACAAGCCATGGTAAATACTTACTTTTCATGAGTAGAAAAAAGGACCTTAATCTTAATTCTTAACAATATCTCCCTTTAAATTTTCTCCCTCATGTTTTTAACCATGGTATCTATTAGTCACAACAGGAGCATCATCTGGAACAACATCAGGAGTAGCAGGGAGCAGCACCACCCCTCAACCTTCAAGTACTGGAGCCCAAGGTTCAGGTAAGTCTCCTTAGCCTTGGCAGATGTCCCATCCACTCCCATGCTGCCTCAGGGGAGGGTCTGAACATTTGACTTGTATGTGTGAGTAAGATTCATGGCAATGGAATTGGTGAGGTAAACTTCATGGCACTGGGTGCGGTACAAGTCTGTGTCTTCTCATGTCCATTCATATAAATAAGGGTGTGTGGAACGATAAGAGTCTGTAATGAGCATGATTTCCTCTCCTAGGGAGCACAGTGACATCCTCAGGCCACACCACCATGTCTCAAGCCTCTAGTCTTTCCCCAGCATCTACCACCAGCAAAACAGGTAAGTAAAATGGAGAAGGCTAAGCGGTGTCAGGTATCAATGACTGTGTCCATCTCTTTCTATACATATGGTAATTTGGGAATTACAGGATGTTACCAGGTTGTGGGTAGTCAGTTATGAAATGATGGGCAAGGAATGCATGGAATCCTTGTATATTTACGAAAGAAACATCAGAGTGGACTGCATTAGCTGATATTTCTCTTTTCTTGTTCAGTAATTAGTTCACGTATGTGTCTTTGGGGCAATGCTGACCCTGATTCCTTCCTTGGATATGAATGACACTGAGTCATTAGGGAAAAAGGTTACTATCTTGAATCTAAGTTAACACGTAATAGAAAAATAGTGAATATATTCTTTATGCAGGTTACTAAATGTGTTTCCTTATGTGGAGGACCAAGTTACAAATATATTTTAAATACTTAGATTGTGTGAATGGCCATCTTAGTAATAACTTTAAATAGATGAATATGAAGGAGGTAGACAATCAAATACCCACGCAGTATCAAACAAACACAGTAAGGGTTCCCCATACCATATGAAATTTACAAAGTATGAAGTAACAATAGGAATTGTGTGTGTGTATGTGTGTGTGTGCCTGGACCATCAGATGGAACACAATTCTGGGCATACCTGTGACGATATTAACAGATTGAAATGTCAGTGTATGGGTCCAGGACACCACTGAGTTCCCATGCTACACTGACTGTGAAAGGCAAAGGGCAGCAGCACGAGAGGACCAGTATTCATCACTCTGTCCTCAGTGTGAACACAGTGTGAACAGGTTCCTCAAAGTTTCACAGTTCCCTCTCTACCACTCCCACTTCTTTTGGTGCAGTATCATGAGGAATTTGCTTAAATATATCAGCAAAATAAACCCCTTATACATTTTCCTCTCTTGGAATATGTTTGAAAATATTCTCAGAATTATGTGCCAAACAATAAGCAGTCCCACACAAAGTTTTCAGAAGGTGGGATGTACAAAGCTAAGTAGTTGCTTGGGGTCTAATGTTATTTTTGGCACTTCATAGTTTCTAAAAAATAGGGACATAACATGATCTCATGTATCTCATCCTGTTTACTAAAATGAACAGTCTTGGGATATGGGAACCTAAGGTTGGTAGAGAAGAATAAGGTGGGCAAAGATCACAGCAGGTTTTAAGTCACTCCTAAATTGCCAACATTTCTCACTAAGGAATTTGATTATCTCTATAATTATTGTCTTTTAACCTGAAAGAGTGGACACTTCTATTTGGGTAGACAAAAACAATGAACATTTCAATTCTTACTATTAAGAAAAACCTCCCTTCCAATCTTCTTTCTCACTGTTTAACCTTGATGGGAATCAGTCACACCTGGTGCATCTACAGCAATCCGGTCTGGAGAGGAAGGGAGCAGCTCCACTCTTCCTGCAAATACTGCAGCCCAGGGTTCAGGTAAGCTATCTTTGGTTTGGAGATGTCTCAGCAGCTCATCCATACCCATACTGCCTCAGCTGATAGTATAAAAATATCTCATGAATGAGTGAAATTCATGGCAGAGCAGGTGATGACATAATGTGTCTTATCATTTTATCTTTAAAGTCCATTTATATATCTGGTGTTTCAATTTATATAAGCCTCAACACCAAAATTACATGATTTCCTATTAGATATCAGTGGGTTGTCAAATTCATTGTATTTCCTTAAGAAAGTATTTGTCATTAAATTTCACAAGGGTATATACTTTCATTTCATAACAGAAAAAAAGAATCTTACTCCATGTTCTTCAGATTATCTGACTTTAAATTTTCTCATTCATCTTTTTAACCATGATATCCATTAGGCACAACAGGAGCATCATCTAGAACAACATCTGGAATCACACGGAGCAGCACCCCTCAACCTGCAAGTACTGGAGCCCCAGGTTCAGGTAAGTCTCTTTAGCCCTGGCAGATGTCCCATCCACTCCCATGCTGCCTCAGGGGAGGGTCTGAACATTTGACTTGTATGTGTGAGTAAGATTCATGGCAATGGAAGTGGTGAGGTAAACTTCATGGCACTGGATGCGGTGCAAGACTGTGTCTTCTCAGGTCCATTCATATAAATAAGGGTGTGTGGAACGATAAGAGTCTGTAATGAGCATGATTTCCTCTCCTAGGGAGCACAGTGACATCCTCAGGCCACACTACCATGTCTCAAGCCTCCAGTCTTTCCCCAGCATCTACCACCAGCAAAACAGGTAAGTAAAATGGAGAAGGCTAAGCGGTGTCAGGTATCAATGACTGTGTCCATCTCTTTCTATACATATGGTAATTTGGGAATTACAGGATGTTACAAGGTTGTGGGTAGTCAGTTATGAAATGATGGGCAGGTTAAATCTTCTTTTATTTATAAAGGAATGCATGGAATCCTTGTATATTTACAAAAGAAACATCAGAGTGGACTGCATTAGCTGATGTTTCTCTTTTATTCAGTAATTAGTTCACTTATGTGTACTTTGGGTTAATGCTGACCCTGATACCTTCCTTGGATATGAATGACACTGAGTCATTAGGTTAAAAGTTTACTATCTTGAATCTAAGTTAACATCTCTTTGAACAATTATGGATTTCTTCTTTATGCAGGTTATTAAATATGTTTCCTTGTATTGAGGACCAAGTCTGAAGTATATTTTAAAACCCTAGTTGTTTGAATAGGCATCTTATTACCACATTAAATTAGATACATATCAAGGAGGTAAACAATCTTATTTCCATGAGGAATCAAATAAAACTAGGAATAGTTTCTCCATATCATCTGAAATTTGCATAAAATGAAGCAACAATAGGAAAAATACAAAAATAAATGAAGAAAGTTGACCTCAGAAGGCAGTGTATACTATGGCTGCTTCATGATTTTAACTTTGAGTGTCTTAGAAAAGACTGACTGGACCATCGAATGAAACACATTTCTGGGCATATCTGTGAGGATGTGAACAGAGTGAATGTCAGTGTATAGGTACAGGACAACCAGTGTGTTTCCCTGCTAGACTGACTTTGAAAGGGAAAGGGCAGAAGCATGGGAGGACCAGTATTCATCACTCTGCTTCCTCAGTGTGAACACAGTGTGATCAGTTTCCTCACAGTCCCACACTTCCCTCTATACCACTCCACAACCACAACTATAATTTCCCTGTTGTGAGGAATTTATCTCCAATTGTGAGCAAAATAAATCCCTTTTATTCCCCCCCTCCATTAATATCATCCAAGATAGGCAACGAATTATATTCTAAACAATAAAAGACCCACATCAAATTTGCAGAACATAATATGTACATTGCCCAGTATGTGTTTTGGGTCTAGTATTATTTTAGCCATGCCAAGTTCCTAAAATTGGGGACATGCCATGATCTCATGCATCTTCATGCTTTTTAGTACAATTTAATGTCTTGAGATGTGAGAGCCTAAAAGTATGTTGGGTCAGTCAGGTGGACAAAAATCCCCCACAGGGTCTTAAGTCACTTGTAAAATGGCTGACATTTATCTGTGAGGAATTTGCCTTATCTTCATAACGTAAGAGTGGACAGTTTGATTTGGTTAGAGGAAAAGAAAGACCCTTTCAATCCTTAAGAAAAAAACTGCCTTTTAATCTTCTCTCTCATGTTTTTTAACCATGATGAAAATCAGGCACACCTGGTGTATCTACTGCAACCACCTTAGGAGGGACAGGGAGCAGATCCACTCTTCATGCAAGTACTGGATCTCCTGGTTCAGGTAAAATTGTGGGAAGCTGTCTTTTTGGGGCCTCAGTCAGTGATAGCCAATTTGCTCCTGGTTCGTACCTGAGATGGGGATTGTGGATTGAGAAAGAAAAAGACAAAGGATAGAGTCAGCAGTCCCATCCAGTGAATACTGAACCACCTCTAGTTTATAATACAACATTCTAAGTCTAAGGGGGAGGGGCATTGCAGAAGACTTCTAGTATCATGTATAAGAAGCAAACAGACTTCTCTAAATTCTCCAGGCATTTGGTACTTACACCTATTATCTGGCCTTCAGGGTCAAGAGTAAAAACACCCAAGCCCAAGTCTGTTGTTATTTAGATAAGACATCTGCTACCAAAGCAGAAACATCCTCTAGTAGCCAATCCTTAGACCTTTTGGTCTTTTTACTTATAAAAGTCAGTTTTGAACTCTCTGACATTGAGGCCAGTTGAAGTGGTCCCATCTTTATGGGCCCCAACATAAGTCTACTTTGCTTTGGAGATCTCTCAGCAGCTCATCCATACCCATGCTGCCTTAGGTGATGGTTTAGAAATATCAGCTGAATGTGTTTGTGTGAGTGAATTAATGGCAGAGCAAGCAATGCCAGAATGTGTCTCCCCATGTTTTATTATTCAAGTCCATTCATATATCTGGGGTTTCTGGATTCATATAGGTCTCAACATTCATATCAGGGTGTTTTCAAATTCATTGCTTTGGCTTGAGACAGTATTTGACATTAAATTTCACAAGGGTAAATACTTTCATTTGATAAGAGGAAAAAAGAATGTTAATACTTATTCTTAACAATATCTCCCTTTAAATGTTTTGCACCATATTTGCACCATTCATATTTTGCACCATGATATCTATTAGGCACAACAGGATCATCATCTGGAACAACATCTGGAGTAGCAGGGAGCAGCACCCCTCAACCTGCAAGTACTGGAGCCCCAGGTTCAGGTAAGTCTCTTTAGCCTTGGCAGATGTCTCATCCACTCCCATGCTGCCTCAGGGGGAGGGTGTGAACATTTGATTTGTATGTGTAAGATTCATAGCAATGGAAGTGGTTAGGTAAACTTCATGGCACTGGATGTGTCTTCTAGGGTCCATTCATATATATAAGGGTGTGTGGAATCATATGAGTCTCTAATGAGCATTATTTCATCTTCTAGAGAACACAGTAGTAACATCCTCAGTCCACACTACCATCTCTCCAGCCTCTAGTCTGTCCCCAGCTTTGACCACCAGCAGACCAGGTAAGTAAAATGGAAGAGTCTCTGAAGTGTCAAGTGTCAAAGGTTGAGTCTATCTCCAAATATATTTTTGGGGAATTTGGGATTTTAATGGTATTATATGGCTGTGGGTCCTAAGATATTAAATGATTTTCTGGTTATATCACCTTTTATTCATAAAGAAATGCATGGATTCCTTGTATATTTAGGAAAGAAACATCAGAGAGGACAGAGTAAGCTCATGTTACTCTTATCTTATTCAGTAATTAGGATACTAAATTGTACATTGGTGCAACACTGACCCTGATTCCTTCTAGGAACTTAAGGGCACTGAGTCATTAGGGCAAAATGTTACTATCCTGAATCTTAGTTAACATCTTCTAGAATAATTGTGAATGTCTCCTTTATGCATGCTATTAAATATGTTTACTTATATGTAACACCAAGTCAAAAATATCTTTTAAAGACCTAGATTGTTTGAATTAGCATCTAAGTACAAAATTAAAATAGATGATCATGAAAAAAAGTAGACAATCATATTTCCATGCAATCGGATATATATATGTATATATACATAAATACATACATACATACATACATACATATATATATATATGTATATATGAGAGAGAGAGAGAAAGCATGAGAGAGGGAGAAATTTTACATCATACAGCAATGTGGGCAGTGGCCATTTCAAGGACATGACATTGAGCATCTTTAAATCAATGCCTGGTTTATAAGTTGTGGGCATTTCTGTGAAAATATTAACAGAGTGAAAGGTCAGTGTATAGGTCTGGATACCATTGAGTTTCCAACTAGCCTGAGTGTGAAAGTCAAAGGGCAGCGTCATGAGAGGACCAGTATTCATCGCTCTGCTTCCTTGGTGTGAACACAGTGTGAACAGGTCCCTCATAGTTCCACAGTTCCCTCTCCACCACTCCCACTTCTATGGCTTCCCTGTTGTGAGGAGATCGCTTGGAAAATCAAAAAAGAAAAAAAAAATGCCCTTACTCCCTTTCAATCTTCTTCTCAACTTTATTAACCTTGCTAAAAAACAGTCACACCTGGTGAATCTACAACAACCCCCTCAGGAGGGAAAGGGAGCAGCTCCACTCTTCCTGCAAGTACTGCAGCCCCGGGTACAGGTAAGCTATCTTTGATTTAGAGATGCCTCAGCAGCTCATCCATACCCACACTGCCTCAGCTGATTGTATAGAAATATCACCTGAATGTGTGAGATTCATGACAAAGCAAGAGATGACAAAATGTGTCCTACCATTTTATCTTTAATGTCCACTCATATATCTGGTGTTTCAATTCATATCAGCCTCAACACCCAACTCATTTGCTTTCCAATTAGCTATCAGTGGGTAGTCAGCTTCATTGTTTTCCCTTGACTGAGTGGTTGTCATTGCATTTTACAAGCCATGGTAAATTCTTACTTTTCATGAGTAGAAAAAAGGACCTTAATCTTAATTCTTAACAATATCTCCCTTTAAATTTTCTCCCTCATGTTTTTAACCATGGTATCTATTAGTCACAACAGGAGCATCATCTGGAACAACATTAGGAGTATCAGGGAGCAGCACCACCCCTCAACCTTCAAGTACTGGAGCCCCAGGTTCAGGTAAGTCTCTTTAGCCTTGGCAGATGTCCCATCCACTCCCATGCTGCCTCAGGGGAGGGTCTGAACATTTGACTTGTATGTGTGAGTAAGATTCATGGAAATGGAAGTGGTGAGGTAAACTTCATGGCACTGGATGCGGTGCAAGACTGGGTCTTCTCAGGTCCATTCATTTAAATAAGGGTGTGTGGAATGATACTAGTCTCCCATGAATATAATTTCCTCTCCTAGGGAACACAGTGACATCCTCAGGCCACACCACCATGTCTCAAGCCTCTAGTCTTTCCCCAGCATCTACCACCAGCAAAACAGGTAAGTAAAATGGAGAAGGCTAAGCGGTGTCAGGTATCAATGGCTGTGACCATCTCTGTCTAACATATGGGAATTTGGGGATTACAGGATGTTACAAGGCTGTGGGTCATCAGTTATGAAATAATGGGCAGGTTAGTTTTCTTTTATTCATAAAGGAATGCATGGAATCCTTGTATATTTACGAAAGAAACATCAGAGTGGACTGCATTAGCTGATGTTTCTCTTTTCTTATTCAGTAATTAGTTCGCTTATGTGTCTTTGGGGCAATGCTGACCCTGATTCCTTCCTTGGATATGAATGACACTGAGTCATTAGGGCAAAAGCTTACTATCTTGAATCTAAGTTAACACGTAATAGAAAAACAGTGAATATATTCTTTATGCGGGTTATTAAATGTGTTTCCTTATGTGGAGGACCAAGTTACAAATATATTTTAAATACCTAGATTGTGTGAATGACCATCTTAGTAATAACTTTAAATAGATGAATATGAAGGAGGTAGACAATCAAATACCCACGCAGTATCAAACAAACACAGTAAGGGTTCCCCATACCATATGAAATTTACAAAGTATGAAGTAACAATAGGAATTGTGTGTGTGTATGTGTGTGTGTGTGCCTGGACCATGAGATGGAACACAGTTCTGGGCATACCTGTGAGGATATTAACAGATTGAAATGTCAGTGTATGGGTCCAGGACACCACTGAGTTTTCATGCTAGACTGACTGTGAAAGGCAAAGGGCAGCAGCACGAGAGGACCAGTATTCATCACTCTGCTTCCTCAGTGTGAACACAATGTGAGCAGGTTCCTCATAGTTCCACAGTTCCCTCTCCACCACTCCCACTTCTTTTGCTGCAGTATCATGAGGAATTTACTTAAAAATATCAGCAAAATAACCCCCTTATAAATTTTCCTCTCTTGGAATATGCTTGAAAATATTATCAGAATTAAGTGCCAAACAATAAGCAGTCCCACACAAAGTTTTCAGAAGGGGGGATGTACAATGCTAAGTATTTGCTTGGGGTCTAATGTTATTTTTGGCACTTCATAGTTTCTAAAAAATAGGGACATGGCATTATCTCATGTATCTCATCCTGTTTACTAAAATGAACAGTCTTCGGATATGGGAACCTAAGGTTGGTAGAGAAGAATAAGGTGGCAAAGATCACAGCAGTCACTCCTAAATTGCCAACATTTCTCACTAAGGAATTTGATTATCTCTATAATTATTGTCTTTTAACCAGAAAGAGTGAACACTTCTATTTGGGTACACGAAAACAATGAATATTTCAATTCTTACTATTAAGAAAAACCTCCCTTCCAATCTTCTTTCTCACTGTTTAACCTTGATGGGAATCAGTCACACCTGGTGCATCTACAGCAATCCGGTCTGGAGAGGAAGGGAGCAGCTCCACTCTTCCTGCAAGTACTGCAGCCCCGGGTTCAGGTAAGCTATCTTTGGTTTGGAGATGTCTCAGCAGCTCATCCATACCCATACTGCCTCAGCTGATAGTATAAAAATATCACATGAATGAGTGAAATTCATGGCAGAGCAGGTGATGACATAATGTGTCTTACCATTTTATATTTAAAGTCCACTTATATATCTGGTGTTTCAATTTATATAAGCCTCAACACCAAAATTACTTGATTTCCTATTAGATATCAGTGGGTTGTCAAATTCATTGTATTTCCTTAAGAAAGTATTTGTCATTAAATTTCACAAGGGTATATACTTTCATTTCATAACAGAAAAAAAGAATCTTACTCCATGTTCTTCAGGTTATCTGAATTTAAATTTTCTCATTCATCTTTTTAACCATGATATCTATTAGGCACAACAGGAGCATCATCTGGAACACCATCTGGAATAGCACGGAGCAGCACCCCTCAACCTGCAAGTACTGGAGCCCCAAGTTCAGGTAAGTCTCTTTAGCCCTGGCAGATGTCCCATCCACTCCCATGCTGCCTCAGGGGAGGGTCTGAACATTTGACTTGTATGTGTGAGTAAGATTCATGGCAATGGAAGTGGTGAGGTAAACTTCAAGGCACTGGATGCGGTGCAAGACTGTGTCTTCTCAGGTCCATTCATATAAATAAGGGTGTGTGGAATGATAAGAGTCTGTAATGAGCATGATTTCCTCTCCTAGGGAGCACAGTGACATCCTCGGGCCACACTACCATGTCTCAAGCCTCCAGTCTTTCCCCAGCATCTACCACCAGCAAAACAGGTAAGTAAAATGGAGAAGGCTAAGCGGTGTCAGGTATCAATGACTGTGTCCATCTCTGTGTATACATATGGAATTTGGGAATTACAGGATGTTACAAGGTTGTGGGTAGTCAGTTATGAAATGATGGGCAGGTTAAATCTTCTTTTATTCATAAAGGAATGCATGGAATCCTTGTATATTTACAAAAGAAACATCAGAGTGGACTGCATTAGCTGATGTTTCTCTTTTATTCAGTAATTAGTTCACTTATGTGTACTTTGGGGCAATGCTGACCCTGATTCCTTCCTTGGATATGAATGACACTGAGTCATTAGGGTAAAAGCTTACTATCTTGAATCTAAGTTAACATCTCTTTGAACAATTATGGATTTCTTCTTTATGCAGGTTATTAAATATGTTTCCTTGTATTGAGGACCAAGTTAGAAGTATATTTTAAAACCCTAGTTGTTTGAATAGGCATCTTATTACCACATTAAATTAGATGCATATCAAGGAGGTAAACAATCTTATTTCCATGAGGAATCAAATAAAAGTAGGAATTGTTTCTCCATATCATCTGAAATTTGCATAAAATGAAGCAACAATAGGAAAAATACAAAAATAAATGAAGAAAGTTGACCTCAGAAGGCAGTGTATACTATGGCTGCTTCATGATTTTAACTTTGAGTTACTGGACCATCAAATGGAGCACATTTCTGGGCATATCTGTGAGGATGTGAACAGAGTGAATGTCATTGTATAGTTACAGGACAACCAATGGGTTTCCCGGCTTGACTGACTGTGAAAGGGAAAGGGCAGAAGCATGGGAGGACCAGTATTCATCACTCTGCTTCCTCAGTGTGAACACAGTGTGGTCAGTTTGCTCACAGTCCCACACTTCCCTCTACACCACAACCACAACCACATCTATAATTTCCCTGTTGTGAGGAATTTATCTCCAATTGTGAGCAAAATAAATCCCTTTTATTCCCCCCTCCATTAATATCATCCAAGATAGGCACAGAATTATATTCTAAACAATAAAAGACCCACATCAAATTTACAGAACATAATATGTACATTGCCAAGTATGTGTTTTGGGTCTAGTATTATTTTAGCCATGCCAAGTTCCTAAAATTGGGGACATGCCATGATCTCATGCATCTTCATGATTTTTAGTACAATTTAATGTCTTGAGATGTGAGAGCCTAAAAGTATATTGGGTCAGTCAGGTGGACAATGATCCCCCACAGGGTCTTAAGTCACTTGTAAAATGGCTGACATTTATCTGTGAGGAATTTGCCTTATCTTCATAACATAAGAGTGGACAGTTTGATTTGGTTAGAGGAAAAGAAAGACCATTTCAATCCTTAAGAAAAAAACTGCCTTTTAATCTTCTCTCTCATGTTTTTTAACCATGATGAAAATCAGGCACACCTGGTGTATCTACTGCAACCACCTCAGGAGGGACAGGGAGGAGATCCACTCTTCATGCAAGTACTGGATCTCCTAGTTCAGGTAAAATTGTGGGAAGCTGTCTTTGTGGGGCCTCAGTCAGTGATAGCCAATTTGCTCCTGGTTCGTACCTGAGATGGGGATTGTGGATTGAGAAAGTGTATATCTCAAGAGAAAGACAAAGACAAAGGATAGAGTCAGCAGTCCCATCCAGTGAATACCGAACCGCCTCTAGTTTATAATACAACATTCTAAGTCTAAGGGGGAGGGGCATTGCAGAAGACTTCTAGTATCATGTATAAGAAGCAAACAGACTTCTCTAAATTCTCCAGGCATTTGGTACTTACACCTATTATCTGGCCTTCAGGGTCAAGAGTAAACACACCCAAGCCCAAGTCTGTTGTTATTTAGATAAGACATCTGCTACCAAAGCAGAAACATCCTCTAGTAGCCAATCCTTAGACCTTTTGGTCTTTTTACTTATAAAAGATGGTTTTGAACTCTCTGACATTGAGGCCAGTTGAAGTGGTCCCATCTTTATGGGCCCCAACATAAGACTACTTTGCTTTGGAGATGTCTCAGCAGCTCATCCATACCCATGCTGCCTTAGGTGATGGTTTAGAAATATCAGCTGAATGTGTTTGTGTGAGTGAATTAATGGCAGCGCAAGCAATGCCAGAATGTGTCTCCTCATGTTTTATTATTCAAGTCCATTCATATATCTGGGGTTTCTGGATTCATATAGGTCTCAACATTCATATCAGGGTGTTTTCAAATTCATTGCTTTGGCTTGAGACAGTATTTGACATTAAATTTCACAAGGGTAAATACTTTCATTTGATAAGAGGAAAAAAGAATGTTAATACTTATTCTTAACAATATCTCCCTTTAAATGTTTTGCACCATATTTGCACCATTCATATTTTGCACCATGATATCTATTAGGCACAACAGGATCATCATCTGGAACAACATCTGGAGTAGCAGGGAGCAGCACCCCTCAACTTGCAAATACTGTAGCCCCAGGTTCAGGTAAGTCTCTTTAGCCTTGGCAAATGTCTCATCCACTCCCATGCAGCCTCAGGGGGAGGGTGTGAACATTTGACTTGTATGTGTAAGATTCATGCAATGGAAGTGGTTAAGTAAATTTCATGTCACTGGATATGGTGCAAGACTGTGTCTTTTCATATACATTCATATATGTAAGTGTATGTAAAATCATATGAGTCTCTAATGAGCATTATTTCCTGTCCTAGGGAGCACAGTGACATCCTCAGGCCACACTACCATCTCTCAAGGCTCTAGTCTTTCCCCAGCTTCTACCAGCAGCAAACCAGGTAAATATAGTGGAGGAGGCTATGAGATATCAGGTGTCATTGGTTGTGTTTATCTCTATTTATATATATGGGAATTTGTGATTACAAGGATGGTCAAAGCTCTGTTTCCTCAGATATCAAATGATATGCTGGTTATATCACCTTTTATTCATAAAGGAATGCAGTGATTCCTTGTATATTTAAAGAAAGAAAATTCAGAAATGACTGCATAAGATGATGTTACTATTGTTATCTTATTCAGTAATTAGGTTTCTAATGTGTACCTTGGGGCAATGCTGACCCTGATTCCTTCTAGGAACTTAAGGACACTGAGTCATAAGGGCAAAATCTTACTATCCTGATCCTAAGTTAACATCTCCTAAAATAAATGTGAATGTTTTCTTTACGTGGGTTATTAAATATGTTTCTAATATGGATGATAAATTTGGAAATATTTTTTAAAGATGTAGTTTTTTGAGTAAGCATCTTAGTACAAAATTAAAATAGATGACTATGCAGAAGGTCACAATCATATTTACATGCTGAATGAAATAAACCCAGTAAGGTTTTACCATTTCATATGAAGTTTACAAACTATGAAACTATGAAGTAACAATAGAAATTTCATATATATATATATATATATATATACACATACATACATATATATATATACACATACATACATATATATATATATAAATTTCACATTGAACAGCAGTGTTGGCTATGGCCACTTCATAGTCATAATGTTGAGCATTTTTAAAGAAATGCCTGGACCACCAGATGGAACACAATTCTGGGAATATCTGTGAGGTTATTAACAGAGTGAAAGGTCAGTGTATAGGTATAGGACACCAGTGAGTTTCCCTGCCAGATCCACTATGAAATGGAAAGGGCAGAAACATGAAGGCATCAGTATTCATCACTCTGCTTCCTCAGTGTGAACACAGTGTGAACAAGTTCCTCAGTGTCCCATAGTTCCCTCTCCACCACTTCCACTTCTATAGCTTCCCTCTGGTGAGGAGTTTACTTACAAATATGCTCAAAATAAACCCCTTATAATTTTTCCTCTCTGTGAATATGCTCTAAGATATGTTTAGAATTGTGTGTCAAACAATACGCAGTCCCATACCAAGTTTTCAGAAGATGGGATGTATAAAGCCAAATATTTGATTTGGGTCTAGTATTATTTTTGGCACTTCATATTTTCTAAAAAATAGTGGCATGACATGATCTCATGTTTCTCATCCTGTTTATTAAAATTAACAGGCTTGATATATGGGAACCTGAGTATGGTGGAGAGCAGTCAGGTGGGCAAAGATCATTACAGGGTCTTAAGTCACTCCTAAATTGCTACCATTTCTCACTAAGGAATTTGATTATCTCCAAAATTGTTGTCTTTGAATTGGAAAAAGTGGCCACTCTTATTTGGGTAGATGAAAAAAAGGAACATTTCCATTCTTATTCTTAAGACAAAACTCCCTTTCAATATTCTTGCTCAACTTTTTTAACCATGTTGAAAAACAGTCACATCTGGTGTTTCTACAACAATATCCTGGGGGGTGGGGAACAGCTCCACTCTTCCTGCAAGAACTGTATCCCCAGGTTCTGTAAGCTATCTTTGGTTTGAAGATGTCTCAGCATCTTATCCATACCCACACTGCCTCAGCTGATTGTATAGAAACATCAGCTGAATGAGTGAGATTCATGACAGAGCAAGAGATGCCAGAATGTGTCTTACTATAATATATTTAAAGTTATTTATATATCTGGTGTTTCAATTTATATGAGATTCAATACACTAATTATTTGCTTTCCTATTAGATACCAGTGGGATGTCAAATTCATTGCTTTCCCTTGAGAAAGTATTTGTCATTAAATTTCATAAGGGTAGATACTTTCATTTCATAAGAAGAAAAAAGATCTTAATACTTATTCTTAACAATATATCTCTTTAAATTTTCTCATTCATGTTTTCCACCATGATATCTATTAGGCACAACAGGAACATCATCTGGAACAACATCTGGAGTAGCAGGTAGCAGTCCCCCTCAACCTACAAATACTAGAGCCCCAGGTACAGGTAAGTGTTTTTAGCCTTGACAGATGTCTCATCCACTCCCATGCTGCCTCAGGGGAGGGTCTGAACATTTGATTTGAATGTGTGAGTAAGATTCATAGCAATAGAAATGGTGAGGTAAACTTCATGGCACTGGATGTGGTGCAAGATGGTCTTTTCATATATATTCGTGTGTGTGTGCGTGTGTATGTGTGTGTGTGTGTGTGTGTGTGTGTGTGTGTGTGTGTAATCATATGAATCTCCATGTGCTTGATTTATTGTCCTGTCTTAGAGAGAACAGTGATATCCTCAGGCCACACTACCATCTCTCAAGGCTCTAGTCTTTCCCTAGCCTCTACCAGCAGCAAACCAGGTAAGTAAAATGGAGGAGGCTAGGGGTGTCAGATGTCAATGGCTGAATATATATATATATATATATATATATATATATATATATATATATATATGGGAATTTGATATTGAGAGGATGGTCAAACCTGTGAGTTCACAGATATGAAGTGGTGTGTTGGTTATATCACCTTAATTCATAAAGAAATGCAGTGATTCCATGTACAGTTAAAGGAAGATAATTCAGAGATGACTGCATAAGATGTTGTTACTGTTAACTTTTCAGTAATTAGGTTGCTCATGTTTACCTTGGGGCAATGCTGACCCTGATTCCTTCTAGGAACTTAAGGACACCAAGTCATAAGGGCAAAAGCTTACTATCCTGAATCTAAGTTAACATCTCCTAGAATAATTGTGAATGGTTTATTAAATGTTTTTCCTTATATGGAAGATCAAAACAGAAATCTATATTAAAGACCTACTTTGTTTGAATAAGCATCTTATTACTAAATTAAAATGGATGAATATTCAAGAGGTCATAATCATATTTCCATGCAAAATAAAATAAACCCAGTAATGTTATCTCATTTCATATAAAATTTACAAAGTATGAAGTAACAATAGGAATAATATATGTATAACTAGAGATGTTTCACATCAGACAGCAGTCTGGGATATGGCCACTTTATACTCATGACATTGAGCATCTCTAATGGAATGTCTGCTCCACCAGATGGAACACAGTTCTGGGCATATCTGTGACGATATTAACAGAGTGAAATGTCAGTGTATGGGTCCAGGACACCACTGAGTTTCCATGCTAGACTGACTGTGAAAGGCAAAGGGCAGCAGCATGAGAGGACCAGTATTCATCACTCTGCTTCCTCAGTGTGAACACAGTGTGAGCAGGTTCCTCATAGTTCCACAGTTCCCTCTCCACCACTCCTACTTCTATTGCTGCAGTATCATGAGGAATTTACTTCAAAATATGAGCAAAATAAACCCCTTATAAATTTTCCTCTCTTTGAATATGCTTGAAAATATCTCAGAATTAAGTGCCAAACAATAAGCAGTCCCACACAAAGTTTTCAGAAGATGGGATGTACAAAGCTAAGTATTTGCTTGGGGTCTAATATTAGTTTTGGCACTTCATAGTTTCTAAAAAATAAGAACATGACATGATCTCATGTATCTCATGCTTTTTACTAAAATTAACAGTTTTGGGATATGGGAACCTAAGTATGGTGGACAGCAGGCAGGTGGGCAAAGATCACCACAGGGTTTTAAGTCTCTTCTAAATTGTGCACCATTTCTAACTGAGGAATTTGATCATGTCCACAAGTACTCCACAATTATTGTCTTTGAACTTGAAAACGTGGTCACTTTTGTTTGGGTAGACAAAAAGAATGCACATTTCAATTCTTACTCTTAAAAAAAATAAACCCATGGGCTAGAGAGATGGTTCAGAAGTTAAGAGCCCTGGCTGCTCTTCTAGAGGTCCTGAGTTCAATTCCCAGCAACCACATGGTGGCTCCCAACCATCTATAATGAGATCTGGTGCCCCCTTCTGGCATGCAGGCAATGCAGGTAGAACACTGTACAAATAATAAATAAATAAAATATTTAAAAAAAAAATAAACCCTTTCAATCTTGTTTTTCAACTTTTTCATCCATGTAAAAAACAGTCACACCTGGTGCAACTACAACAACCTCCTCGGGAGCAGAAGGGAGCAGCTCCACTCTTCCTGCAAGTACTGCAGCCCCGGGTTCAGGTAAGATATTTTTGATTTGGAGATTTCTCAGCAGCTCATCCATACCACACTGTCTCAGGTGATTGTATAGAAACATCACCTGAATGAGTGAGATTCATGGCAGAGCAAGGGATACCAGAATGTGTCTTACCATTTTATCTTTAAAACCACTCATATATCTGGTGCTTCAATTCATATAAGCCTCAATATCCCAATTATTTGATATCCTATTAGGTATCAGTGGGTTGTCAAATTCATTGCTTTCCCTCGAGAAAGTATTTGTCATTGAATTTCATAAGAGCAAAAAAGAATCATAATCCTTATTATTCAGAATATCTTCCTTTAAATTTTCTCATTCATCTTTTTAACAATGGTATCTATTAGCTACCACAGGGGCATCATCTGGAACAACCTCTATAGTTGCAGGGAGCAGCAACACTCAACCTGCAAGTACTGGAGCCCCAGGTTCAGGTAAGTCTCTTTAGCCTTGGCAGATGCCTCAGCATCTCATCCATCTGAGATGCCTCAGATAAGAGTATGGAGATTTGTTTCATGCGTGTTAATATAATTCATGGAATGGGATGTTGTACAAGAGTGTGTATTCTCACTTTTCATCATGCAAGTCTAATCATATAACTAAGAATATCTAGAATCATATGAGTCTCAACATTCATGTTTTCCCATCCTGACTCCAGCTGTGGAACTGGCTTCACAATCCTCCCCAGATGTTTTGGCTCTGTTATCAGCATTCTGTGATGATCACACAATACAGTGAAAATATATTTAGTGTAGCTTCCCAGAAGCTACTTTAAATGTGTACCACACTGGACTTATAAGGTCCCACTAATGCATAGTCATAATAATTCTCCCTTATTTAAATATTTATTTGGTATTTGTGTGTGTCTGTGTATGTATGTATGTATGTAGGGGGTAAGCATGTACATAATTATGCCCTAGGAAGCCAATGCAAGGCACAGGATATCCAAAAGCTGGAGTTACCAGTGGTTGCAAGCCATATAAAATGGGTGCTGGGGACAAGTGATTCATTACTCTGAACCCATATATGCTTATTTTAAAGCCTGGTTTATTCATTGCCAAGTATAACACTAGAAACTTTCAACACAATTAGATCTATCACAACCTTCAAAGCAAGTAATAGAACAATATGAGTCAAACTCTTTCTTTCAAAGGCTACTTCTTTAAGCAGAAGTCTCATGTTTCAACTCAGCAGTAATTTTAGTCTAAGTAGAGCTATAGGTAGACAAAGTATTGAAAGAGGTATGCTAATTGGATATTAGCACTATTTACAACTCAGTGGTAGTCCTTACAATCCTTACAAGGTCTGATTTCATTTGAAATAGGTCCTTTACAAGTCTGTCAACATTAACACCACTCTGATATGTGCTATGAGGATTATTTACCATGAGATAAAAAAATAATGAGAACAAAAATCTCATTGCTGGTACTGACAGTATCAGAGCCTGTCCTCTTCAGACTTACTGGCAGCAGCTGGTTCTACTGCTCTGAGGCTGTGTGAGTTCTTATCTGTCCAGGTTGCCATTGTGCCCACATTTTGTACTATCCCCACAAGAGAATGAGCATATATTGTAACCCCTACTGTCTAGTTTGTTGGGGGCAAATGGAGAGTTGGTGAGAACCTCAGGATCATGCTTGTGAGCAGAACAGGACAATGAGTGTGAGCAGAGAAGAACCTTGTGTAAGAGCATAGCAAAGCCATGAGTATGAGTGCAGAGGGGCAATGAGTGTGAGCATAGCAGGACCAGGAGTGTGAGCAGAGCAAATAAGAACCATGAATTAGCGCACAGCAAGACCACAGTAAGAGAGTAGCAAAGCCGTGAGAGTGAGCACAGCAGGACCAGTTGTGTGAACAAAGCAGGGCCATGATGTGAAGACAGCAGGAGCATTAGGCCAGGGAACCTCTCACTGTGATGCCCCCAAAAGCACAACAGAGCTCCTAATATAGGGTTGAGATGGGACCTAGATCAACTGTGTCCAAGACTCAGATTGGGAAAATGAGGGTAAGGGAAGGTAAACAAGGACAACTTGAAGGAACGAATGTCATGAAGGAATGACTCAGTGATTGCTTCCTTTACTGTTTATGCACAGGCACAAGTGGGGGAACAGGCACAGCAGTGACTGGAGCCACTGCAGAAAGCACATCTGGAAGAACAGGTACTGAGGGATAGGGCACGGTGATAGATAAGCAAGGAGGGGACCAGAGAGCTTAGTGTCCAAATTCCGTCAATGACAAAAGCTTTCCTGGACATTTGCCATGTGGTTTCCTGTGTGAGGCTAGTTGCTCCATAGATGAGAAAGAAACCAAAAGTATTTGCTGATTCTGAGTGCTGAACACCACCACCCCTAATACAATACCAGGCCTTATTAGCTTTTATATTTGAATTGTACTGCTTTTTAATCTTTCACCGTTGCTTTACTGTATCATATTACATTTTCTGCTTCTACTTCCTTGACTGTTGAAATGCCCGTACAGATATTTAGGAAAATAATTATTTTTATTTTGCAACTTATCAGAGACAAATCTAGAATCATCAGGTGTCACCACAGCAACAGACAAAGGGAAAGAAAATGGCAATGGCACAGGATTCAGAGAAGGTAAGTCTCTCAATGACGTACTAAGTCAATTGGAAATATGAAAAAATAGTATAATGAACTATTGATGTACTTACTTGACACCTCAGACATTCCCTGTTAACCTTACACTCTTATCTTGGAAGTTAATCAACATTAATAGCTGGGTGAAGATATTCCTGTGAGCAGAGATATTAGTAAATGTGTAAGATTCAAGAATCATTAGAAGTCATATTATGAAGATTCTCCCATTATGAATCTGTGCATGAAAGCTCACAGCATCCCATCACTAAATAATAAAAGATATTATAATATGCGCTTGTCCTTGGGAATTGAGTCTATGAAGTTCTGATGTAAGGATGATGTAGATACTTTGCAGAATAATGCTCACTAATAAAATAATTTGTTGTTAAAATAGAATTCACACTTATGGTCTTAGGGTTGCTATAGCTGTGATGAAACACCATGGCCAAGGCAAATTACAAAAGAAAACATTTAATTGTGGGCTGGTGTACAGTGTTAGGGGGTTACTCACTGATCCTCTTAGCATGAACCATGAAAGGAGGTATGCATACATGGTGTTGTAATAAAATTGAAGGCTAACATCCTGATCTGTAGGCAGAATGGAGGGAAAACTAAACTTGGACTGGCATGGCCTTTAGCTACCTCACAGCCCAGCCAGAGTCACACAGTTGCCCCAACAAAGCCATACTTCCCAATCTTTCCAAAATAGTTCTAAATGTTGGGGGCCATTCTTGCTCAAATTATCAAACAAAGGAACAAAGTTTAAGAATCTAAGTAATCCAGTGTCCTCTAACTGATTATAATTTTAAAGTAATACCCATGAACCTACATTTCCTAAAGTCTGAATCAGGTTATTGGTGTCTTATGAAAAACTCAATCACTTGTGCCCTTTGATTATCAGGCACTGTCAGTGGTGATGAGGGGGAGATGTGAAAGTGGGTTCCTGGCTGAGAGCATCACAGGTGCTTCTTACAAGAGTGAGGTGTTAAGACAGAGCTGAGAGCTGAGCCCATTCTCTTAGGGAAACATCCAACTGACACAGTAGGGTAGTATTTCTCTGTTGAAAAAGCTTGGGATTTTATTAATTTTCTTTTTTTCTTTTCTATTGACACTGGCCACAATTTTAAAACATAAATCTTGGTTTGAATTTCTGTTATTGGTCCTTGGCTCATGTGTTTAAGAAGTGTAGCTAGATCTAGATCTACATGCTTGAGTTTGATTTGTGAATGTGTTCTTTCCCAGTTCAGTAACCAGGTTTATGGCCTTGAAACATATCTAATTATATCAAGAAGCAATAAATGCAGTTATATAGGATCTGAACAAAATGAATATTTTATTTGTGTCTAGGGTTCAATTGCTATTTTCTCATTAGTAGGTACAAATGGTCCCACTATGCCAATTCGGACTGAAGGAGAAGCCAGCTCATCCAGGTCACAAGGCTCTGAAGCTACTACTCTAGGAACCTCAGGTGATTCCAGACATGCCCTGGGGTGTCATGGATATGTTCAATCAGGAAAACATCAAGGCTGTTGTGAACATGGTGGAAAGGCAGGCCATGATGTTTGATTGCATTTTCCAGAATCCCTTTCAAAGCAGCAACACATTACAATCACTGCTCTTGTTTGCCAGGTTCAACAGGAGCATCTGTAGGAACCAGCTCCGGAGCAGGCCAGGAAGACTCACCTGGAACAATACCAGGCACTGCAGCCACCAGCTCTGTCACACCATCAGGTCAGATGGCGACTTTAGGGGCTGGGTCAGCACTTGGGTTTCCAAGGAGACCCACAAAGATGACAATTGTAAATTTGAATGGCCTAGGATATCTTAAAGGACTTTGTAGACATCTCTAGCTGTTGAACTCCATTCTTCTTTCCATAGGAACAAGAGGAGGGACGGATGCAGCCACCACTGGAGCTGCCGAGAAAAGCACACCCAGTGGAACAGGTACTGAGGGGCTCAGCAGAGGGAAAGGGGGGCAGGGGATTGGTGAACTTGCTGTTCATAATTGTATCAGTGGTCTGGTTTCCTGGGATTTGTCTCTAGGTTTCCATTTGCTTTCAGATGTTCTAGTTACAAGAGAGAAAGCAAAAATGTTTAACATATTTATAATACTGTATGTGATAATGAATGGGATATAGAGAAAGGAAAGGGGATGATTATCTCCTCACTCTTCAGAAATGATAGATTTTTATATTAATAGAGGATATAAGAAGAAAGGAGGAAGGAAAGCAGGGAGGCATGGTGTGAATGATATTGTGGGAATGAAGAAAGGCAAGATCATAAGATTCTAAATATTATGTCATCCACCACAATGCTTATTTTGAACAGAAGAATATTGTAATGGTTGTAGTCAGAAATAGCGAATTTAAGGTGGTCAAGGCTATCATTCCCTAGTGATGTTTCAGGTCCTATTCTTACCAATTTTTAATGAAGAAGGTATCTTAGCACTTTAAGAAAATATCTCACTTCATATTATCTTTGGCTGACCTTTCCCCACTGATCAATTTCAGTCTCAACCAGGGCATCTGCTGCTTCAGCCTCTGTAGCAGCAAGTGTCAGCACTCCAGGAGAAGCAAGACCTGGAGCCAGGAGTTCTGGTGTGATTTGATTTTCTGGGGTGATGGTTTAGCCATGACTCTCACCGCCCTGCTAATAGTGTGCTCACTTGTTCAAACTGACTCAATCCAAATTAGAATGAAGAGCTTAGGAGAGCCAGAGGGCAGTTGCTGTCTTTGGTTTAATGGAGTATGTATAACTATTTATAGCAGTGGTAGAAGGACCCTGAAGATCCTAAAACCTGCCAGCTTTTCTTCATTCTAGTTACCAAAGTGTGTTGTTTTCTCCAGTAATCCAGTTTTATACATGTCTGGTAAACCCCACTGAGACATAACTTCTGTTAGTTCTTTTTATTCTTTGTTAAGTTTCTGACCAGTGGTTCTGTCTAGCTGTGAGAGTGGGGTATTGGAATCTCCCACTATGAATGTGTGAGGTTTTATGTGAGCTTTGAGTTTTAGTAGTGTTTCTTTTATGAATGTGGTTTCCTTTGTATTTGGGACATAGATGTTCAGATTGAGACTTTGTTCTGATGGATTTCTCCTGTGATGAATACAAAATGACCATCTTCATCTCTTCTGATTGATTTTGATTTGAAGTCTAACTTGTTAGATATTAGGATAGCCACACCTGCTTACTTCTTGGGTCCGTTTGATTGGAAGATCTTTTCCCAACCATTTATCCTGAGGTAATGTCTGTCTTTGAAGCTTAGATGTGTTTCTTGTATGCATCAGAAGGATGAATTCTGTCTTCATATCTATTCTGTTAGCCTGTGTCTTTTTATAGGTGAGTTGAGACCATTAATGTTGAGGGAAAATAAGGACCATTGATTGTTAATGCTTGTTTGTTTTTTAGAACTGTTGTTGGCTGTGGTATTGTGGTGTTGTGAATATATATGCACTGCTTTACCCTTTGTTTCTGGTGAAGTGGGATTATCTATTGCCTATGTCTTTGTGAGTGTAGTTACCTTCCTTGGGTTGGAGTTTTTCTTCCAGAACGTTCTTTAGGGCTTGATTTGTAGATAAGGATTGTGAAAATCTGGCTTTGTCACTAAATATCTTGTTTTCTCTGTCTATAGTGATTGAAAGTTTTGCTGAATATAGTAGCTTGGGCTGGAATCCGTGGACTCTTAGTACTTGTAAAACACTATCCAGGACATTCTGGCCTTGAGAGTTTCCATGGTGATGTCAGGTATAATTTTGATAGGTCTGCCTTTATATGTTATATTTTTCCTTCACTGCTCTTAATATTCTTTCTTTATTATGTATGTTAGGTGTTTTGATTATTATGTGTTGAAGGGTCTATTTTCTTTGGTCCAGTCTATTTGCTGTTCAGTATGCTTCTTGTACTTTCATGGGTATTTCCTTCTTCGGATTGAGAAAGTTTTCTTCAATGGTTTTGTTGACTATGTTTTCTGCACCTTTGAGCTGGGCTTCTTTACCTTCCTCTATGCCTATTATTCTTAGGTTTGGCCTTTTCACAGTGTCCAACATTTCCTGGATGTTTTGTGTTAAGGATTTGTTGGACTTAAGATTTTCTTTGGTCAATGAATCTATTTCCTCTATTTTATCGCCTGAGAGTTTCTCTTCCATCTCTTGTATTCTGTTGGTTATACTTGCATCTGTAGTTCCCAATCATTTGCCCAGTTTTTCTATTTTCAGCATTCCCTCAGATTGTGTTTTCTTTCTTGTCTCTATTTCAGTTCTCAAGTCTTGAACTGTTTCTTTCACCTGTTTGATTGTTTATTCTTGGCTTTCCTTACTTTCTTTAAGAGATTTGTTCATTTCTTGCATTTTTGCATGGTCTTTTCCTCTATTTCTTCCAATTTTTTGTTTGTTTTTTCTTCCATTTCTTTAAGGGATTTTCTCACATCATCTTTGAATGCCTCTATCATTTTTATGAAGATACTTCTAAATCATTCTCTTCTGCTTCATCTGCTTTGGGGTGTTCTGTTCTAGTTGGTGTAGAGTCCAAGATTCTGATGGTGTCATGCTTGTCTTTCTATTGTTAGGTGTTTCATGTATTGCTCTCTTCCCATAGCTTCTTCCAGTTGTTTCTCTCCCTCTCTCTTTATGCTACTCCCATGGTGAGTCAGAAGTTCCATGTGTATACTTTTAGGTGGTCCAAGCTCTCTAGGAGGTCTCTTCTCAGTCAGGGGCCCAGCTATGGGGGTCAAAGATCAGGCAGAAAGGATTCAGAGTGGTCCTCAGGCAGGCAGTGACTCAGGGTGGTCCCCTGTATATAGGCTGTCTAGTGAATTCAGAGCAACTCCAGGAAATTCCCAAGTGTATTGTTGCATCTGCCCTCTGTTCCTTTGCTCCACCAGAGCAGTTGGGCAGTGGGCTAGGTAGGGCACTGGGTGGGGTGGGAGGGCAGGCTCTGGGCAGGGGCAGAGAAGTTATATATCAGAGCAATAGGAGTGCTCTCTCTGGGACAGGAGACAGAGGGGAGCAAGAATCGGGTCCAATCCAAGGAGTTCCCAGAAAGGGTGTGGAGGTGATTCAATTCAAACTGGTCCCAGACTCACCTTCAGCAGAGGCCAGTGATGGTGGTCAAAGACCCAGTGGGCAGGGACTCAGGATGGTCTCCAGGGAATACATGGGACTCTGACAGGAACACAGAGCTCCAACAGAGGACGGGTGGTGGGGGTCAGAGGTCAGGCATACAGGGACTCAGGGTCGTCCCACGTGGATAGGTTGGTCTAGTCTGCTCAAGAACTCCAAGAAGTTCCCCTGAGGTGGCAGACTGGTCTCTGGCACCCATGTTTGTGTTCAACTGGTCCAAGATGCTTGAGTTTGCCTCTTGGATGTGTTGCATATAACAAAACTGACATTCAATAGGGCACTGAATCATATCCAATCAGCAGGAATAATTTGATTGGTATAGGTACATTTGCCAATATACTGTGTATATTTATTCAACATGTTTAACATTGTTATTTCCTCATCAAATGATGTAGGTTTTACCACTAAGCAACTATCCACTGATGGGAAAGGGAGCACACCCAGGGAACAAGAAACTGGAGCCACAAGCCCAGAAACCTCAGGTATTTCTATACATCTAGTGAAATATCAAACACACTTGAATGCTATTGTAAGGAGATAAAAATATAGATCATAATAAATTTGGTGACATTTCCTAAGTGACCTTCAGATGACATACCACAGTTCAATATACATTTCTTGTTTGTCAGGTTCAACAAAGTTATCTGTGGGAACCTCCTCAGTAGCAGGCAGTGGAAGCTCAACTGGAACACCAGGCATTGGGACCACCAGCACTATTACACCAACAGGTCAGGCAAGGTGTCTTCAGGGATGTAGAGGGCACAGTAAGTGGTTTGGCCATCAAATAGAGAGAGGGAAACACCACTGTAGATTCTAAGCACATGTATTATAGTGATAACTTTCTTGTAAAATAAAGCCTATATGAAGGCCAGAGAATGGAGCTACTCACTACCTAAACAAAGAGGTCTGATGGTCTGTACAGGAAGATTGGAAGTGAGGGAGCTGGGTGTAAACAAGGTATAATCAGGGAAAAGCAAGGACTCTCTTTCTTCTCTGTTGAGATAGAAAGGATGTATGGTTTGACATGACTTCCTCCCTCCCTGAATCTGAGCATTTCTCTCTATATCTAAAACTGAGTTTTTATTACTTAGTCCAATTAAGAGTTACATTTACAATGTATGGAATAATACAAGGTCTTTAAATATTAATGTAGCCATGTCTGCAAATTAAGTTGCCTTCTCCTTCCCATAGGAGCAAGAGCAGGAACAGATGCAGCCACCACTGCTGCTCCTGGAACGAGCACATCTGGAGGATCAGGTGCTGTGAGATCTCTGCAGAGGGACGCCTAGCAGTAGCCTTGTCATCTTGAGTAGTGCTTAAGATTTCATCACAGACAGTTTGCTGTGGAATACAACCATTGTTCATGTGGTGTCAAGTGTCCAAGAGATTAGCAATGTACCCTTAATAATTGTTGTTCATCTTAATAGCAGATCAGATTTCAGTTCAGAAAAAGAAGGGAATATATAAGTATGCACGCTCACTCAACTACAACCTTGAAAGAGAAAAATAAACTATGGTGAGACATACAAGAACAGTAATAATTAGTGCAGACACAAAGTAGTATATGGCACCAAGCTTAACAAGCAAAGATTGTTCTAGAAAGATAAATAATACCTGAATTGTATCTGTATAAATATTTTATTTTTAATACATACATTGCAAATTTAGTAGAATACCAAGGATATCTGGTATGCTTCATTATCCTGGAAAGTAGCCCTCCATGCTAGTAACTGTGCGAGTAATCAATGCTATTGTTCTAAGTAGCTTATGTGACATTCATAGCCACTGTAGGTGTGAAAAGCAAGCATGTTTCAAGTTCCATCCACAAGGTGAATTCCCTGTGTGTTTGCTAAAGCTAACTTTTTCCATGGCAGGCACAGCCAAAGCATCCTCTGCTACAACCTCTGCAACAGCTGTGAGCAGCAGCCCTGGGACAGCAGGCACTGGAGCCCCAGGTTCTGGTGAGTCCACAGAGGGGCTGGGGACTCAGAGAATCCATTACATGAAATATTTCATGCAGTGCTGAGGTGTGAAATGGAATTCTAACTGAAACAGAGTGAGCATTAAAGAAAATAATGTGCATTTGCTCTTTTGTGTAAACTTCCAGCCCTTTAGGGTTAACAGTGGGGACAAAACACACTTTGGACACTACCAAATTTTTGTTTGTTTGTTTTTAGATTCTGCAAGGACCACAGCTTCTGGTTCAGTAGCCACAGCCAAACCATCCACCTCTGCCAGCACAGAACCAGGTAAGCAAATGGGAGAATTCACTGAGTATTCAGGTGTCAGAATATTCTGGTTGTTGTCCTCATGCCTTGGGATTCTTCCATGCTGACCAGTAGAAAGGAATATAAAGGACTGGGGTGAAGAAGCTCACCTGCTGATAAACAGCTGCTCTGTAACTGTTGGGGGGTGGGTGGGATGGAACAGGTGTTTTCTAATCAGAGAAAAATGCAAAGAATCCTGGGCCTGCCTGATTCCTTGTTTCACATAAATTATGATCAGAACTCTAGTTTTAGTAATACTGGATTAGATATAGATGATTCCTCCACCAACGCCATCGATTTGTTATAGTTAAGCCTTTTAAATTTGCTTTCCTATGTATCATGTTGCTATTGGAAAGTCTAACTCCTGACCTGTTAAAGTTCTCATGGGAAAATAGATAAGTTTTATGTGTCATACCATGGAGAAATGGAATATAAGTAAGTGTAATCAGAGCAGATACCAATGGTGACAGAAGTGACACAGACTTGTATTTAGGAAAAAAGCAGGGAATGTGTGAAATGCCCCTTTCCACAGATGCTTGCACAGACTATTTCCTGCTTCATCTCAGCAAGTCAATGCACACAGTAAAGACTCAGATGAAAGGACCAAGTGTCAGAGAAAGCCATATAATCCATGAAAATTCAAGACAAAACAAAGTTATGTCACACAAATTTAATCCCAGCACAGAAAATATAAACACAGAAAGCATTGTGGTAGCTGTGTCAATAGTAATATAGGCATGGGGATAGACATGATCACTGGATGTGTAATGCTGAGAAATCAAGGTGATTGCTTTCTAAAGGAACAACATCAATAGAAGAAATTTATGATAAGAATAGTATATTTTACTGAGATCTGGAGTCTCACACTCCAGCTGTGTTTGTGTGTGGACACATTATGTTTAAGGAAAAAGGCAAACAGGCTTACTAGTCTTTTCAGGATAATTTATAACTCCAAAGTATCTTGCTCTAACATTTTTCCCCTGATGAACACAAGGCTCACCCGGGTCATCATCTGGATCCAGCCCTGGTACAGCAGCTGTCAGCACTCCTGGAGAAGCAAGCAGTGGAGAAGCCACAGCTTCAGGTGGGAGACAGCAGGCTGGGATGATGATCTAGCAGCTCTTGCCTGTGCCTTGAAGAAGGGGAAGCTCCTTGATGCTTCTGGGATTTAATTAAATGATTCCACATTGCTGAGAAGTACTGGGGGGGTAATAAAAACTTCCCATTTTCATTTCCTGAACTTCTAATATATCCCCCCCCCAAAAGTAAATCAACCATCCCTTCAACCACCAATTTATTCTTGGTTCTAGGCACCATAAACACTTCTGGAAGCTCTACCACTGTGAGTCCTGAGACATCAACTAGACCAGTCACCACCTCTGCTAAGAGCAGTGCAGGTAAAGTAGAGAAAGAGAGATTTTGACCTACATGTGCATGGAGCCCATTTTCTGTATGTGGTTTTTCATGCACAATAGCAAGGAGTAGTAGGACAATGATGCTATAAGGAATAGTGCATGAAAAACTGAAATGACAAAAGTGGAGTTGGTGACATATCTGTTGTTAGCCTGAGGATGCTTATGGCCAGTGTTTTGAGAAATCATCACAGCTTGTAAGGCTTTGTCTAGTGATATATTAATAAAATAGAACATGCAAAATTATCCTAAAAACTGTGTATTTTATGTTTCAATTTTGGAAATGCCAAGTTAGAACTGAAGAAGTGAAAATGAATATATGGAAGAGATGTGGAATCAGAGTGTAGCATGATATGATGTGTATTATCTCAAGTCCTAATATCCGTTTCCTGTTTACTCTGAAAGGAACCACTGCACCATCACCTGGTGAAATAACTAATGCCTCTAGCAGTCAATCAACCCAGCCTAGAGAACAATCAGGTGAGCTGGGATGTTAAGAATTTTCTAATCATCACCCTGTTACGTACTTAAAGCATTGAATCTGCATAAATGTATGGACATCTGGTTGACCAAATCCTAGATCCCTGACTATTTCTGTTTAATCGTTGCCAGAGGAGAACACTAACATATTTGAGACTATCATAGTAGAATAATCTTTTTAAAAATTCCACAATAATATTTACTGCATTCACCTATTATATTTTTGGTAGGAGTAATAAGATGAAAGTAGGGCCTGACTATTGGTAATCATGTTCATCAAAAGTTTTTGTGAGCAGTTACTCTGATGTTTTCTCAGGCTCTTCTGGAACATCAGCTGCTCTCACCTCCTCAGTGGGAGATGCAGGTACCACAGCAACCCTGCACTCCAGCCTCACCAGTTCTGGGACCACAGAAGGTAAACTAGTTATGAATGAGAGTCCTGACCCAAGACTTTTATAGGTGAATGATAAACAGACATGTTTTTTTGTTCTGATATACAGTGCCAGACTTAATTATGTCTTGTATTATTTGAATTGTAATATTTTGACTCTTTGAAATATACATTAATGTATCATATTATTCCTTTTTGCTAATGCTTCCTTGAATGTTGGAAATGCTCATGTAGATTATGTAGCTATCGTGTTTTTTGCACCTTTTCAAAGACAACTCTAGAATCTTCCGATGTAGTGACAGCAATAGCCAATAGGAAAGAAAACCAATAACAGCATTTGCAGAACCAAGTATAGAGGAATATGATAAAAATATATTAGTAAAATAATAACATATCTGCCTCACACTGCAGGGGTCCCCTATGAATCTTACACTCAGCATCTTATGATAGTCAATATTAATTCATAGGTGATGTTATTTCTGTGACTTGAGGTCACATACAAATTTGCCAAAACAGCATTTGATATCACATTCTGAATCCTTCCCCTTTCTGGAATCTGATGGTAAAAGCTTAAGCCTAGAAAAGACAATGTGGTCATTCTCAGGATCTGGACTATCTAGGGTCTTGATCTGGAATATATGACTGAGACACATTGTAGGATGAAATAAATCAATTGAATAATTTGTGAAAAATATAATGTATGCAGAACATCTTAGTTGGGATAACTATTAGTGTGAAGAGGCACCATAACAAATGCAACATTTAACTTGGGATCAGCTTGCAGTTTCAGATGTTTAGTCTATGATCATCCTAGCACAAAACATGATGGCAGGCATACAGTCATGGTGCTGGAGCAGTAGCTGAAGGCTTACAGTCTCTTCTGTAGGCAGAAAGTAGAGAAAGAATTAAATTGATATTGGCATGGGTTTTAGATATTTCAGAACTCAACCTCAGTCACATATCTCCTCAACAGATTATACCTGTCCAACAAGGAAAATATCCTGCAACAAAGCCGTGTCTCCTAATACTTCCAAAAACAGTTCAATAAACAGGGGAACAAGCATTCAAAAATATCAGCATACAAGGATCAATCTCATTCACACACAGGGACACAGTTCAAGGCAATTAGTAATCCATCATTGTATAAGCGATAGTAGTTTTAAAGTGTTAGCCTGAAAGTACATTTCTTAATTCTGAATCAGAGATACTGGGGCCTCAAGAAGAACTCAGTTCTTTGTGCCCTTGGACTATGAGGCCATTTCAGAGGAGGTGAGTGGGAGAGGCAAAGTTAGGTCCTCAGTTGATAGCAATCCCATACTGTTACTTACAAGAATGATGTACTGAGATATAAAACAAGATACTGCTCCAGGAAAAATATCAGATGACACAGTGGAGTGAGGTTGTTGTGTTGAAAAAATGACTTTGTTTGGACCTGAGTCTCCTTTAAATCTTTATCATTTCTCTTTACCTTGCCTATAATTGCAAAGCATAAATATATCACAGCTTGAGAATGGTGTGTTAGTAATTGACCTGTGTATTTAAGGAGACAAGCTGGAGGTTCATGCTTATCTTTGACTTGAGCATGTGGTCATAACCAGTCCCTGAATCACATCCAATCAACAGGAACAAGAATGCTAGATAGGGAGAATCTAAATAGTATGAATTATTTTATTGGTGTCTAGGGCGTTTTCAGTTGCAATTATCTCATTATTAGGCAAAATCAGTTCCACCATGTCAATGTCTACCCAAAGAGAAGGCAGCACACCCAGGGAACAAGGTACTGCAGCTACAAGTCCAGGAACCTCAGGTAATTATAAGCATGCACCTCAGTGCCTTCAAAGTGTCTAACCAGGAAGCATGATTGCTCTGGTGAACATAGTAGAAAGGCTGGTCAGTTGATTGCATTTCCCACTGTCCGTTTTAAATAAGCAATACATAGAGTCCCTTCTTTTGTTTGTCGGGTTCAACAGGTTCATCTGTAGGAACCACCTCAGGAACAGGCAAAGAAAGCTCACCCTCAAGACCAGGCCCTGTGACCTCTAGTCCTGTTACACCATCAGGTCAGACAGAGCCTCTTTAGGGGATGGCACAGCACATGGTTTGGCCATAGTACAAAGAGAGAACCAAATCTACTGTTGAATCCAAGCATGTGTATGGAATGATAAATTGCGTTTAAATATTCGTGTACCTATATCTGCATATTAACTTCCTTTCTGTTTCCCATAGGAACAAGAACAGGAACAAATGCAGCCAGCACTGGAGCTACTGGAATGAGTGCATCTGGAGGATCAGGTACTGTGAGAGCTCTGCAGAGGGACGGCCAACAGCAGACTTGTCATCTTGAGTAGTGCTTGATATTTCATCACAGACAGTTTGCTGTGGAATACGGCCATTGTTCATGTTGTGTCAAGTGTCCAAGAGATCAGCAATGTACCCTTAATCATTGTTGTTCATCTGAAAAGCAGGTCAGATTTCATTTCAGGAAAGGAAATATATAAGTATGCACTCTCATTCAACTAAAAAAAGAAATACAGAGATACAAGAACAGGAATAATTAATTAGTACAGAAACAGAAGTAGTGTATGGTACCAAGCTTATCATGCAAACACTGTTCTAGAAGGTAAATCATAAACACGTATAGTTAAAGCTTGAATTGTGAATGTAGATGGATTTATTACTGACACATACATTGCTATTTATTAGAGTACCACGACTACCTAGTAAATTTGATTTATATTGAAAAATGGCTCTTTGTATCTGATGAGATATTTGTAGACTTGTCAGTGTAAAAAGCAAGCATATTTCAAGTTCCATCCACAAGATTAATTCCCCATGTGTTTCCTGAAGCTAACATTTTTCCATGGCAGGCACAGCCAAAGCATCCTCTGCAACAACCTCTGCAGCAGCTGTGAGCAGCAGCCCTGGGACAGCAGGCACTGGAGCCCCAGGTTCTGGTGAGTCCACAGAGGGGCTGGGGACTCAGAGAATCCATTACATGAAATATTTCATTAAGTGCTGAGGTGTGAAATGGAATTCTAACTGGGACGGAGTGAGCATTAAAGAAAATAATGTGCATATGCTCTTTTGTGTAAACTTCCAGCTCTTCAGGGCCAACAGTGTGGAAAAAGCACACTTTGGACACTACCAATTTTTTCTTTGTTTATTTTTAGATTCTGCAAGGACCACAGCTGCTGGTTCAGTAGCCACAGCCAAACCATCCACCTCTGCCAGCACAGAACCAGGTAAGCAAATGGGAAAATTCACTGAGTCTTTGGGTGTCAAATTCTTCTGGTTGTTATCCTCATTCCTTAGGAATCTTCCATCTGAAGAATAGCAAGGAATATAAGAGAGAGAATGGGGTGAAGAATCTCACCTGCTGATCAACAGCTGCTCTGTAACTGGCTAGTGTGTGTGTGTGTGGGGGGGTAGATCAGGTGTTTTCTAAGCAGAGAAAAATGAAAAGAATCCTGGGCTGGCCTGATTTCCTTGTTTCAGATCAGATCATTTGATCAGACATAGGGGTTTCCTCCCTCAGTGTTGCTGATTTGTCATATCTTTACTCTTTTAAAAGGTTTTGTGTGTGTGTGTGTGTGTGTGTGTGTGTGTGTGTGTGTGTATCAGATTGTTATTGGAAGATGCAACTGCTGACGTGTTAAAGGCATTTTCTGCAATAGATAATTTTTATGTGTCATACCATAGAGAAATGGAATATTAGTAAGTGTAATCAGAGCAGATACCAATGGTGATATAAGTGACACAGCCTTGCATCTAGGAATAAGCAAGGAGTGTGTGAAATGCCTCTTTCCAAAGATGCTTGCACAGATTTTTTCCTGCTTCGTCTTAACAAGTCTACTGCACACAATGTAAAGTCAGAGACAGCATAGTTATCTAGGAAGTTCAGAAGAACAACCAGGACCACATCAAGAGCTATTAAAAATGTGACCATCTGGACCATGACATTCCAAAATTTTGTTTGACACGTGCTGTGACTTTTTGAATGTTTTAGTTATTTAATCTCATTTTTTAATTTGTGTTTCAATGACTGTGGTGTTCAAAGCATCTGTCTGCTGCAGATGGGATGTTTATCAACTATTGTTCCCAGCACATATTTTGAGAAGCAGAGGTTTCTGGTAGTAAGCATAGGCCTGGACAGATTGGGGTTGGTTTTCAGCATAAGTGTAGACCAATGTGTACCAGGGTTGTGCATTTTCTTTTTTCCATATCCGATAAAATTAAACAATAGTAGTTTCTGTCTAGAATGTTGACAAGAAAGTTCTATGGGTTTATTACATGTGCCATAAATTTTTGCTTGTTTTGCTGTTGTTGTTATTTTGTTTGTTTTTTCAAGCTTGGGTGCCTTTATATTTTGGGCATAGATGTTCAGAATTGAGACTTTAAATTGATAGATTTTCCTGTGATTAATATGAAATGACCATCTTCATCTCTTTTGATTGATTTTGGTTTGAAATCTAAAGTGTTAGATATTAGGATAGCTGAACCTGCTTGATTCTTGGGTCTATTTGATTGGAAGATCATTTCCCAACCATTTTCCCTGAGGTAATATCTGTCTTTGAAGCTTAGATGTGTTTCTTCTATGCGGCAGAAGGATGGATTCTGTCTTAGTATCCATTCTGTTACCCTGTGTCCTTTTATAGGTGAGTTAAGACCGTTAATGTTGAGGGAATGTAAGGATCATTGATTGTTAATGCTTGTTTGTTTTAGATCTGTTGTTGGCTTTGGTATTGTGAATATATTTGCACTGCTTTAACCTTCGTTTCTGGTGATCTATTGCCTATGTCTTTGTGAGTACAGTTACCTTCCTTGGGTTGTAGTTTTCCTTCCAGAACTTTCTGTGGGGCTGGATTTGTAGATATGGATTGTGCATATTTGACTTTGTCATTAAATATCTTGTTTTTTTCGCCATAGTGATTGAGAGTTTTGCTGAATATAGTAGCCTGGGCTGGTATCTGTGGACTCTTGGTAATTGTAGAACATCTATCCAGGACATTCTGGCCTTGAGAGTTTCCATGGTGATGTCAGGTGTAATTTTGATAGGTCTGCTTTCATATGTTACCTGGCCTTTTTCCTTCACTGCTCTTAATAGTCTTTCTTTATTCTGTATGTTAGGTGTGTTGAAGGGTTTTGTTTCTTTGGTCCAGTCTATTTGGTGCTCATTATGCTTCTTGTACTTTCATGGGTATGTCCTTCTTCAGACTGAGAAAGTTTTCTTCAATGATTTTGTTGAATATGTTGTCTGAACCTTTGAGCTGGGCTTCTTCACCTATCCTTCTACACCTGTCCTTCTCAGGTTTGGCCTTTTATACAATGTCCAACATTTCCTGGATGTTTTGTGTTAAGGATTTGTTGGACTTAAGATTTTCTTTGGTCGATGAATCTATTTCCTCTAGTTTATTTTCAGCACCTGAGATTCTCTCTTTCTTCTCTTGTATTCTGTTGGTTATACTTGCATCTGTAGTTCACTGTGATTTGCCCAGTTTTTCTATTTTCGGCATTCCCTCAGATTGTGTTTTCTTTTTGTCACTATTTCAGTTTTCAAGTCTTGAACTGTTTCTTTCACCTGTTTGATTGTTTATTCTTGGCTTTCCTTACTTTCTTTAAGAGATTTGTACTTTTCTTGCATTTTTTTTGCATGGTCTTTTCCTCTATTTCTTCCAATTTTTTGTTTGTTTTTTCTTCCATTTCTTTAAGGGGTTTTCCCACATCATCTTTGAAGGGCTCTATCATTTTTATAAGATATTTTTTAAGTCATTCTCTTCTGCTTCATCTGCTTTGGGGTGTTCTGGTCTAGTTGGTGTAGAGTCCGAGATTCTGGTGATGTTATGCTTATCTGTCTGTTGTTAGGTGTTTTTTTTTTTGTATTGCTATCTTCCCATATCTTCTTCCAGTGGTGTCTTTCTCTCTTTTTGCTACTCCCTTGGTGGATTCTATGTCAGTCAGAATTTCCATGTCTATAGTTCTGGGTGGTCCAAGCCCTCTAGGAGGTCACTCCTCAGTCAGGGGTCTGGCGATAGAGGTCAAAGATCAGGCCGGAGGGATCCAGAGTGGTCCTCTAGTAGAGGCCCATTGATTGGATCAAAGACCAGGCAGGCAGGGTCTCAGGGTGGTCCCTTGTGGATAGGCTGTCTAGTGTGCTTAGAGCAACTCCAGGAATTTCCCAGGAGTGAGCAGGATTGTTGCATTCTTTCTCTGTTCCAGTGCTCCAACATAGCAGTTGGGCAATGGGCTAGTTAGGGCACAGGGTGGGGGGAGGGCAGTCCCTGGGCAAGATGGGGGGAGAGAGTTGTGTATCAGAGCACCAGGAGTGCTCTGCTGGGGACAGGAAACAGAGGGGAGCTAGATTCCAGTCCAATCCACATAGTTCCCACAGAAGGCTTGGGGGGGGGGTGATTCAACCCGAACTGGTCCCAGACTCACCTCCAGCAGAAGCCAGTGATGGTGGTCAAAGATCCAAAAGGCAGGGACTCAGGATGGTCCCCAGGCATAGGTGGATAACTCGCAGGGTCCCAGAGCTCCAGCAGAGGACCTGTGGTGAGAGTCAGAGGTCAGGCAGACAGGGACTCAGTCAAGGTGGTTTCTTGTGTACAGGGGGGTCTAATGTGCCCAGAGCAACTCCAACAAGTTCTCCTGATGTGGCAGGATTGTTGGGTATGCCCAAACTTTAACATTTTAAAGGATCAGTCTAGGAGAAGGTGAGAATGGCAGACTGGTCTCTGGCACCCATGTTTGTGTTCAGCTGGTCCAAGATACTTGAGTTTGCCTCTTGGATGTGTTGCATATAACAAAAGTGACATTCAATAGGGCAATGAATTATATCCAATCAACAGGAACAAGTTGATTGGTATAGCTACATTTGCCAATATACTGTGTATATTTATTCAACATGTTTAACATTGTTATTTCCTCAACAATTAATGTAGATTTTACCACTAAGCAACTATCCACTGATGGGAAAGGGAGCACACCCAGGGAAGAAGAAACTGGAGCCACAAGCCCAGAAACCTCAGGTATTTCTATACATCTAATGAAATATCAAACACACTTGAATACTGTTGTAAGGAGATTAAAAATATAGATCATAATAAATTTGGTGGCATTTCCTAAGTGACCTTCAGATGACATATGACAGTTCAATATACTTTTCTTGTTTGTCAGGTTCAACAAAGTTATCTGTGGGAACTTCCACACTAGCAGACAATGGAAGCTCAACTGGAACACCAGGCATTGGGACCACCAGCACTGTTACACCAACAGGTCAGGCAAGGCATCTTTGGGGATGTGGAGGGCACAGTATGTGGTTTGGCCATCAAATAGAGAAAGGACAAAAACCACAGCAGTTTCAAAGCACATGTATTATAGTGATGTTTTTATTGTACAATAAAGCCTATTTGAAGGTCAGAGAATGGAGCTAGTCACTGCCTAAACAAAGAGGTCTGATGGTCTGTACAGGCAGATTGAAAGTGGGGGAGCTGGGTGTAAACAAGGTGTAATCAGAGAGAAGCAGGAACTCTCTTGTTTGCTGAGATGGAAAGGATATAATGTGTGACGGTGATTTCCTCCTTCCTGATCTCAGCATTTCTCTCTATATCTGAATGCGGGTTTTTATTACATAGGCCAAATAAGAACTCCATTTATTTTTTAAGGAGTGATACAATGTGTTTAAATATTAGTGTAGTTATATCTGCACTTTAACTTGCATTCTCCTTCCCATAGGAACAAGAGCAGGAACAGATGCAGCCACCACTGCCACTCCTGGAAGGAGCACATCTGGAGGATCAGGTACTATGAGAGCTCTACAGAGTGACACCTAGCAGCAGACTTGTCATCTTGAGTAGTGCTTGAGATTTCATCAGAGATAGTCTGCTGTGGAATATGACCATTGTTCATGTGGTGTCAAGTATCCAAGAGATCAGCAATGTACCCTTAATAATTGTTGTTCATCTAAAGAGCACATCATATTTCAGTTCAGCAAAGAAGGGAAAATATAAGTATGCACTCTCACTCAACTACAACCTGGAAAGAGAAAAAATAAACTATGGAGACACAGACAAGAACAGGAATAATTAATTAATGCAGAAATAAACTAGTATATATAGTACCAAGTTTAACAAGCAAAGAATGTTCTAGAAAGACAAATCAAACCTTATATAGCTGAAACCTGAATTGTGTCTGTAGAAATGTTTTATTTCTGATACATACATTACTAATTTAGCAGATACCATAAATTTCTGGTATGCTTCATTATCTTGAATAGTAGCCCTCCATGCTAGTAACTGTGTGAGTAATCATTGCTATGTTTCTATGTAGCTGATGTGATATTCATAGCCACTGTAGGTGTTAAAAGCAAGCATGTTTCAAGTTCCATCCACAAGTTGAATTCCCTGTGTGTTTTCTAAAGCTAACATTATTTTTCCATGGCAGGCACAGCCAAAGCATCCTCTGCAACAACCTCTGCAGCAGCTGTGAGCAGCAGCCCTGGGACAGCAGGCACTGGAGCCCCAGGTTCTGGTGAGTCCACAGAGGGGCTGGGGTCTCAGAGAATCCATTACATGAAATATTTCATTAAGTGCTGAGGTGTGAAATGGAATTCTAACTGGGACAGAGTGAGCATTAAAGAAAATAATGTGCATATGCTCTTTTGTGTAAACTTCCAGCTCTTCAGGGTCAACAGTGTGGAAAAAGCTCACTTTGGACACTACCAATTTTTTCTTTGTTTATTTTTAGATTCTGCAAGGACCACAGCTGCTGGTTCAGTAGCCACAGCCAAACCATCCTCCTCTGCCAGCACAGAACCAGGTAAGCAAATGGGAGAATTCACTGAGTCTTTGGGTGTCAAATTCTTCTGGTTGTTATCCTCATTCCTTAGGAATCTTCCATCTGAAGAATAGAAAGGAATATAAGAGAGAGAATGGGGTGAAGAATCTCACCTGCTGATCAACAGCTGCTCTGTAACTGGCTGGTGTGTGTGTGTGTGTGGGGGGGGGGGTGGATCAGGTGTTTTCTAAGCAGAGAAAAATGAAAAGAATCCTGGGCTGGCCTGATTTCCTTGTTTCAGATCAGATCATTTGATCAGACATAGGGGTTTCCTCCCTCAGTGTTGCTGATTTGTCATATCTTTACTCTTTTAAAAGGTTTTTTTTTGTGTGTGTGTGTATCAGATTGTTATTGGAAGATGCAACTGCTGACGTGTTAAAGGCATTTTCTGCAATAGATAATTTTTATGTGTCATACCATAGAGAAATGGAATATTAGTAAGTGTAATTGGAGCAGATACCAATGGTGACATAAGTGACACAGCCTTGCATCTAGGAATAAGCAAGGAGTGTGTGAAATGCCTCTTTCCAAAGATGCTTGCACAGACTGATTCCTGCTTTGTCTCAACAAGTCTACTGCACACAATGTAGAGTCAGAGACAGCATAGCTATCTAGGAAGTTCAGAAGAACAACCAGGACAACATCAAGAGCTATTAAAAACATGACCATCTGGACCATGACATTCCAAAATTTTGTTTGACATGTGCTGTGACTTTTTGAATGTTTTAGTTATTTAATCTCATTTTTTAATTTGTGTTACAATGACTGTGGTGTTCAAAGCATCTGTCTGCTGTAGATGGGAATGTTTATCAACTATTGTTCCCAGTACATATTTTGAGAAGCAGAGGTTTCTGGTAGTAAGCATAGGCCTGGACTGATTGGGGTTGGTTTTCAGCATGAGTGTAGACCAATATGTACCAGGGTTGTGCATTTTCTTTTTTCCATATCTGATAAAATTAAGCAATAGTAGTTTCTGTCTAGAATGTTGATAAGAAAGTTCTATGGGTTTATTACATGTGCCATAAGTTTTTGCTTGTTTGTTTTGTTGTTGTTTTGTTTGTTTTTTAAGCCAGGGTTTCTTTGTGTAGCTTTGGTACCTGTCATGAAATTCCCTGTATAGACCAGACTGGCCTGAAGCTCACATAGATCCATCTGCTTCCGTCTCATGCGTAGTGGGATTAAATGCATCTACCACCACTGCCTGGCACATTTAGCACAATTTTAAATGTCACTTTCTTTTTAATTGGTGACACAGCAGGTCCCATCACATCCCCACCTAGTGGCAATCAAGGCAGCATACTCAGGGAACATGGCTCTGCAGTTAGCAGTCTAACATGGCTTGCACATTAGTGCCTATGATGAGAAAGCATCACAAGAGGACTGTAGGAGACATTCTGGAAGCACACAGGCTTGCAATTGTACTAACCAATAATAATATTGGTCAGTATAGAGAGAGATGACACATATTGAAACTCCTACTGCCAAATTTAAGGCCAAGGTGAGAGTAATTGGGAATTTGAGCGGCAATCCTTTGGGCAGAACAGGACCAGAAGTGTGAATAGAACACCACCACTGGTGTGAGGACAACAGCTCCATAAGTGTGAATACAACACCACTATTCCTGTGAGCACAGCAGCTCAGTAAGTGGGAACATACTATAGCCATTAGTGTGAGCACAGCAGCTCCATAAGTGTGAATATAGCATGACCATGAATGTGAGAATCAGGACCATAAGTGGGAATGTAAGGGTAAAGAAACGTGACCAAGGACAAGTGTGAGTGAACTGATAGCTTAAAGGAACAATTAAATGTCCTAAAGATTGCTTTCTTTTCTGTTTAATGACTAAGCAATGTTCATCCCACAGGCACAAGTAGAGGAGCAGGTACATCTACTTTGGAAGTCACTGTAGGAAGCACATCTGGAAGAACAGGTAATGGCCTGGGAGGTGGGGCAGGCAGGGGCAGGTGACAAGAAAGGGTTACGTCAATGATAAAAGTTTTTTTTTTTTTTTTTTTTTTTTTTTACATTTTTTCACTTTGTGACACCAAGTGCTACAAAATTGAGAAAGAATCAAAGGATATTTCTTGAGTTTTAATTAGTCTATGTGATTCTCGAAGTTATAAGGAAAACACATTTGGAATGGGCAGATGCTGTATTCACATAAGGTATAAACACAAAATAACAAGCAGAAAAGGAAGGGATTGTGAGGACTGTGTCAATGGTATCATAGGCATGAGGATAGACAAGAACACTTAAGTTTAAATGTTGAGAAATCAAAATGATTGCTATTTCTTAAAGGAAAACCATTAACAAAAATAGTTCATAGTAAGAATAGAACTCATAATAAGAATATTTTACTAAGATCTGGAGTCTCCTAATCCAGTTATGTTTATGTATGCATATCATTTTTAAGGAAAAAGGTAAACAAGCCTGATAGTAATTTCAGGAAATTGCAGAACTTTAAAGAACCTCAGTCTAACATTTGTCCCCTTGATCAACAAGGGGCATCATCTGGATCCAGCCCTGGTACAGCAGGTGTCAGCATCCCTGGAGAAGCAAGCACTGGAGCTACAGTTTCAGGTGGGAGACAGCAGGCTGGAGTGATGACCCAGTAGCTCCTGCCTGTGCCTGGCTGAAAGGGAGCTCCCTGTCCTCCTAAGGTTTAACTGAATGATACTGTGGTATGGAGAAGTGCTAGGACAATCATAACTTTCCAGTTTTATTTCCCCAATTTTTAAAATATTCCCAGAAAAAAAAACCCAGAAAAACAACCAGGTCCTCAACTGCCAATTTGTTCTCCTTTCTAGAAACTGTAAGCACTTCTGGAGGCTCAAACACTGTAATTCCTGAAACATCAACTAGACCGGGCTCAACTTCTGTAAGGAGCAGTGCAGGTAAAGGACAGAGAGAGTGAGGGAGGGGGAGAGAGAGAGAGAGAGACAAAGAGAGAGAGAGACAAAGAGAGAGAGAGACAAAGAGAGAGAGAGACAAAGAGAGAGAGACAAAGAGAGAGAGAGACAAAGAGAGAGAGAAACAAAGAGAGAGAGAGGTGTTTGACTTGGGTGTGCATAGAGCCCATTTCCTGTATGTGGTTATTGGTTCACAATAGAAAGGAGTAGTGGGAAACTGATGCTGTAAGCAATACTGAATGAAAATCCAAAATGACAGGGGTGTGATAGGTGCCATTGCATAGGTGACCTGGGTGTGCATATGGCCACAGAGTTCTGGAATTCCTTACAGCTTATAAGACTTTGGTTACTGAAGTGGGAATATGACTTCTAATTGGGTATAAATAGAAGAATCACTAGTGATAGTTTTGTAATATTAATGGAAGGAACTTAAGATATTGAGCTTTATCTGTGTTGGAAAGTGTTCAGTTTATTCCAATGTGCAACCTCACTTCAAAACCTCTGAGCTCAACTTATAGACATTAAATATGTAAATAAATGGCAAATTAAAATGTACCCAATAACTATTGGGACACACACAATCTAAAACTGTATATATTTTATGATCAAATGTTGCAAATGCTGCGATAGAAATGAAAAAGTGTAGAGGACTACATGGAAGAGATGTGGAGTCAGAGAGCAGTGTTGCCATGATGTGTATTGTCAGAGGTCCTAATTTCTGTTTCCTGTTTACTCTGAAAGGGACCACTGCACCATCTGGTGAAACAACTAGAGCCTCTAGCAGTCAATCAACCCAGCCTGGAGAACAATCAGGTGAGCTGATGGTGTTCAGAATTGTGGAGTCGTCAACCTCTTTCTCACTTGAAGCACAGAAACTGTATCAGATGTATATACATCTGGTTGACCCGATCCCAGACCCTTAACTGAGACCTGAGCAATAACGTGCCAGAAAAGAATACTAACCTATTTGAGACTATCACAGTACAATAAAATTTAGGGAACCGCAGAATGACATTTACTGCATTCATCAACTATATTTTCTGAAAGAAGAATAAAATAAAAAGTAGGAGCCCACCCTTGGTAACCAAGTTCATCTAAACTTTTAATGAGAAGTTCCTTTGATGTTTCCTCAGACTCTGCTGGAACACCAGCTGCTCTCACCTCCTCAGTGGGCGATGCAGACACCACAGCAACCCTGAACTCCAGCCTCACCAGTTCTGGGACCACGGAAGGTAAACTAGCTGTGAATGAAAATCCTGACCAAGCCTGTTATATGTGAAAGCCGAACATACTTTTTTTTTTTTTTTCTGATATGCAATACCAGGATTAGTCTTCCTTTATTTAATTGAAATTTAATATCTTTAATCTTTCACAGTTTCTTTAATTTATCATGTTATCATTTTCTCATCCTTCCTTGAGTGTTGGAAATGTTCATGCATATCGTGTAGCTAATTATGTTTTCTGTACCTTGTTAGAGACAACTCTGGAATACTCAGATGTAGTGATAGCAAAGGGAAGGAAAAGAAAATACCAGTGACTCAGCATTTAGAGAAAGAACAAATTTTCCTGTTTCCATATTCACTTGAAATATATGACTGAGACACTTTTCAGCAAAATAAAAATCACTTAAATATTTGTGAAAATAGGATGTACATACATACATGGTCTTAGTTAGGGTTGCTGTTGCTGTGATGAAACACCGTAACCAATACCATTAATAAAAGGAGGGATTTAATTTGGGGCCTGCTTACATTTTCACATGTGTAGGCTATCATCAGCATAACAGAGAACATTGTGGCAGGCATTTAGTCACACTATTGGAGCAGTGCAGTTTCTGAAGGCTTATCTCCTGCTCTACAGGCAGAAGGTAGGGAAAGAATTAAATTCTGCCTCGCATGGCTTTAGATATTTCAGAGCTCCACCCAAGTCACACATCCACTCAACAGATCATACTTCTCCAACAAGGAAAATATCCTCCAACAAAGCCATGTCTCCTAACAATTCCAAAAACAGTTCAATTAATAGGGTAAATAGCATTCATATATTTATATGAGCATACTTGGACCATTCTCATTCAAATTGTCACACACAGGAACACAGTTCAAGGCAATTAGCAATCCATCATCCTTTAAGAGATTGTGATTTTAAAGTGTTAGCTATGAAACTACGTTTTCTTAATTCTGAATCAGAGATACTGGGGCCTCAAGAAGAACTCAGTCCATTGTGCCCTTGGATTATGAGGCCATTTGAGTGGAGGTGAGTGGGAGAGGAAAGGATAGGTCCTCAGCTGATAGCAATCTCACACTGCTTCTTACAGGAATGATGCACTGAGTTGTAAAACAGAGATCCTGGTCCAGGGAAAACATTAGATGACACAGTGGAGTGTGGTTGTTCTGTTGTAAAAAGACTTTGTTTGGACATGAGTTTTATATTAATGCTTTTATTTCTCAGTACATTGTCTGCAGTTTCAAACATGAATATATGATAGCTTGAGGATGATATTTTACTACTTTGTACATGGATTTAAGGAGTGAAACAGCTTTTAAATGCTTAAATTACATGTGAATGTGGCCTTAACCAGTTCAGCGACCTGGTGTGTGTCCCTGAATCACATCTAATCAACAAGACCAAGAAGGCCAGATAGAGAATATCTGAAGAATATGAATTATTTCATTTCTGTCTAAGGTATTTTCAGTTGCAATGTTCTCATTATTAGGCACAGGAAGTCCCACTGTGGCAGTGTCTACTCAAGGAGAAGGCAGTACACCCAGGGAACAAGGCACTGCAGCTACAAGCCCAGGAACCTCAGGTAATTGCACACATACACCTTGGTGCCTTCAATATGTCCAAACAGGAAAACATGACTGCTGTGGTAAACATGGTGGAAAAGCATGGCATTGAATGTTTGATTGCATTTCCAAGAACCCCTTTCAAGGCAGCAATATAATAGAGTTACTATGCTTGTTTGCCAGGTTCAGCAGGGGCAGGCAAGGGAAGCTCCCCTGGAACACCAGGCACTGAAGCCACCAGCCCTGTTACACCATCAGGTCAGACAATGCTTCTTTATGGGCTTTGGAGTGCATAGCAGCACATGGCTTCGCCATGGGGCAGAGAGAGGACCAAAACCACTGCAAAACCTAAGCATATGAATGAAATGATGAAATGTGTTTAAATATTAGTGTAGCCATGTCTGCACATTAACTTGCATTTCTCCTTCCCATAGGAGCAAGAGCAGGAACAGATGCAGCCACCGCTGCAGCTCCTGGAACGAGCACATCTGCAGAATCAGGTACTGTGAGATCTCAGCAGAGGGACGCCCAGCAGTAGAGTTGTCATCTTAAGTAGTGCTTGAGATTCATCACAGGCAGTTTGCTGTCGAATACGACCATTGTTCATGGGGTGCCGAGTGTCCAAGAGAGCAGCAATGTACCCAAAATCACTGTTGTTCATCTTAAAAGCAGGTCAGATTTCAGTTCAGCAAAGGAAGTAATGTATAAGTATGTACTCTCACTCAACTTCAACCTAAAAAGAGAAGAATAAACTTGTACAGAGGTACAAGGACAGGAGTAATTAATTAGTGCAGAAGTAAAGTGTTGTATTGTGCCAAGCTTCCTTTGTGAAGACTGTTGTAGAAGGATAAGTCAAAGGCATTGAGAGTTGAAACTTGAATTGTGTGTGTAGAAGTATATTATTTCTGACACATACATTGCAAATTTAGTAGAATACCAGGGCTACCAGATATCATTCTTTTCTTGAAAAGTCATTCTTCATTCTAATGATCATGAGCATAATCATCGCTATGATTCTTTGTACCTGATGCTACATTAATAGCCCTTATACATGTGAAGACGAACTTATTTCAAGACGAATCCACAAGTTGAATTTCCCGTGTGTTTCCATGGCAGGCACAGCCAAAGCATCCTCTGCAACAACCTCTGCAGCAGCTGTGAGCAGCAGCCCTGGGACAGCAGGCACTGGAGCCCCAGGTTCTGGTGAGTCCACAGAGGTGCTGGGGACTCAGAAAGTTCTATATGTGAAATGTTATAGAAAGTACTGAATTATTAAATTATATACTAACTGGTACAGCATGAGGATTAAAGAAAATAAAGTGGATATCCCTTTTTCTGTAAACTCCCAACTATTTAGAGCTAAGAGTAAGGTAAAGCACATGTTGGATGCCACCAAATTTTTGTTTGCTTGTTTTTAGATTCTGCAAGGACCACCACTGCTGGTTCAGTGGCTACAGCCAAGCCATCCACCTCTGGAAGCACAGAACTAGGTAAGCAAATGGGAGAATTCACTGAGTCTTCAGGTGTCAAAATCTTCTGGTTATTTTCATCATGTCTCAGTACTCTAGCATACTGAATAATAAAAATAACTATAAGAGAATGGGGTGAAAAAGCTCACCTGCTGATGAACAGCTGGTCTTTAAGTGGAGGCGGAATGGATCAGGTGTTCTCTAAGTAGAGAAAAATGCAAAGAATCCTGGGCCTGCTTGTTTCCTTGTTTCAGGTAAATGATGATCACAACTGTAGTTTTTGTAACACAGGATGAAACATAGATGGTTCCTCCTTCAATATCATTGATTTGTTATATTTTAGCCTTTTCAAAGTTGCTTTCATGTTTATCGTGTTGCTACTGGAAGTTCAAACTGCTGACCTGTTTGCTAAAGTTTTGGGGCATTTTTAGAAATAGGCAATTTTTTATGCACTATATCATAGAGAGATGGCGTATTAGCAAGTTTAATCAAAGCATGTACCAATGATGACAGAAATGACACAGCCTTATATTTAGGAAAAAGTATGAAATGTGTGAAATACCCCTTTGCATAGATGCCATCACAGACTGTTCTTGCTTCATCTCAACAAATCTAATGCCCATAGTAAAGAATCAGCTGAGAAGATCTAGTGGCAGAGACACCTATATAATATGAAAATTCCAGAAAAACAAAGGCTTGGCACACAGCTTTATTCCCAGCATATAAGATATAAACACAGAAAGAGTCCTGGAATCTGTGTCAATAGTGTTATAGACATGAGGATATACATGATCACTCAACATTGACATTTGAGAAATCAAAATGATTGCTATGTTGTATAGGAAAGGCATTAACATAATAAATTCCTAATAATACTGTATTTTACCAAGATCTGGAGTCCTCCACTGCAGTTATATTTATGTGTGAACATGCCATTTTCAAGGAAAAGGGTAACAGGGCTTAATAGTCCTTTCATGAAACTAACTAAATACAAAGAATCTCAGTCTAATATTATTTCAATTGATTACCTTAAGGCTCACCTGGGGCATCATCTAGATTAAGCTCTGGTACAGCAGGGAGGAATGAATCTATCTCTATTTATATGGACATGTAACAATGATATGTATATTACACAGTTATGAGTTCTCAGATATCAAATGAGGGGCTAGTTATATCATGTTTTATTCATAAAGGAATGTAGGAATCATTGTATATTTAGAGGAAGAAGCATCAGATAATACTACATTAGTTGATATTTCTCTTTTCTTATCCCGCAATTAGGTTGCTAATGTATACTTTGGGGCATTGCTGATCCTGATTCCTTTTTGGATCTTAAGGGCACTTAGTCATTAGGGCAAAAGCTTACTATTCTGAATCTAAGTTAACATCTCCTAGAAAAATTGTGAATGTCCTTTTTATGTGGGTTATTAAATGTGTTTTCTTATATTGAGGGAATATATTTTAAAGACCTAGTTTGAAAATAAGCATTTTAGTACTAAATTAAAATAGATGACTATGTAGGAGGTAGACAATCATACTTCTATGCAGAATCAAATAAACCCAGTAAGGATTCCTCCATATTATATGAAATTTCCCAAGATTGAAGCAACAATAGGAAAATTTATATATAAATTAAGAAACTGGATATCAGAGAGCAGTGTGGACTCTGGCTGCTACATAATCATGACACTGACATTCTTTAAGTGGAATGACTGAACCATCTCATGGTATACAATTATGTTATGACTATTAGGCTATTAACACGGTGAAACACCAATGTATAGGTATGGGACAAACAATGAGTTCCCTGATAGACTGAATTATGAAAGGGAAATGGTAGAGCATGAGAGAACCCGCAATAATTACGTTGCTTCCTCAGTGTGATCACTGTGTGAACAGCTTCCTCATGAATCCACAATTCCATCTGTACTACTCCCAACTGTATAGTTTCCCTGCCATGAAGAATTTACCTCCAACTGTGAGCAAAATAACCCCCAGCTAACTTTCCCTCTCTAATAATATCCTCCAAGTAATCCAGAATTATGGTCCAATCAATGTACAGTCCCACACCAAGTTTCCAGAAGATTGTATCTATATTGTCAAGTATTTGTTTGGGGTATAATGTTATTCTAGGCATTATGTAATTTCAAAAATTAGGGCAATGCCATGATCTCATGTATCTTCATGCTGTTTACTCTTGAGAAGGGGGAGCCCCAAAGAATGGTATAGAGCAGTCAGGTTAGCAAGGATCCCCACAGGGTCCTATGCCAATTCTAAAATTGCCAACATTTCTCCATTAGGAATTTGACTCATTTCCACAGTTATTGGTGTTGAACTTCATAAGACTGGGCACTTTCATGTGGTTAGAGGAAAGAAAGAGCCATTTCAATTCTTAAAAAAAGAAAATACTCCCTTTCCTCTAGACACATGAGGGAGGACGTAGGCCCTGCTCCAAATGATATGACAGATTTTGATGACTCCCCAAGGAAGCAGAAAAGGGATGGGATGGGGGTTGGTGGGGGAACAGGGGAGGAAGAAAGGGCAGAGGAACTGGGATTGACATGTAAAACAAGCTTGTTTCAAATATAAAAAATAACAAAAAAATATCCCTTACAATCTTGTGTATTATATTCTTTAACCATGATAAAAAACAGGCACACCTGGTAGATCTACTGCAACCCCCTCGGGAGAGGCAGGGAACAGCACCCCTCTTCCTGCAAGTACTGCAGCCCTGGGTTCAGGTAAGCTATCTTTGGTTTGGAGGTGCCTCAGCAATTCATTCATACCCACACTGCCTCAGATGATTGTATAGAAACATTAGCTGAATGAGTGAGATTCATGGCAGAGCAGGAGATGCCAGAATGTGTCTTACCATTTTATCTTTAATGTCCATTCATATATCTGGTGTGTCTATTAATATAAGCCTCAACACCAAAATTATTTTATTTCCTATTAGAGATCAGTGGGTTGTTAAATTCATTGTTTCCCCTTGAGAAAGTATTTGTTATTAAATTTCACAAGAATAGATACTTTAATTTCATAAGAGAAAAAATGAATCTTAATCCTTATTCTTAAGAATATCTCCCTTTGAATTTTCTCATTCATCTTTTTAACCGTGATTAGGCACAACAGGAGCATCTTCTGGAACAACGTCTGGAGTAGCAGGGAGCAGCACCCCTCAACCTTCAAGTACTGGAGCCCCAGGTTCAGGTAAGTCTCTTTAGCCTTGGCAGATGTCTCATCCATTCCCATGCTGCCTCAGGGGAGGGTCTGAACATTTGACTTGTATGTGTAAGTAAGATTCATGGCAATGGAATTGGTGAGGTAAACTTCGTGGCACTGAAGGTCATACAATACATTTATATGCATGTGTGTTTGTGTGTGTGTGTGTAGATTCATATGAGTCTCCAATGTGCATGATTTCCTGTCCTAGGGAGCACAGTGACATCCTCGAATCACAGTACCATCTCTCAAGCCTCTAGTCTGTCCCCAGCTTCTACCACCAGCAAACCACGTAAGTAAAATGGAGGAGTCTATGAGGTGTCAGGTGTCAATGGGAATATATATGTGGGAATATGGGGATTACAAGGATATTACAAGGCTGTGGGTCATCAGATACGAAATGATGGGAAGGTTATATCTTTTTTTTTTTTTTTGTTCATAAAGGAATGCAGTGATTCCTTGTATATTTAAAAAAAGAAACATCAGAGAGGACAGCATAAGCTGATGTTACTCTTATTCTGTAATTAGTTTGCTAATGTGTATTTTGGGCAATGCTGACCCTGATTCTTTCTATGAATTTAAGGGCCATTAGGGTGAAAGCTTAATATTCTGAATCTAAGTTAACATCTCCTAGGAAAAAATCTGAATGTCTTCTTATGTGGGTTATTAAATGTGTTTCCTTATATGGAGGACCAAGGCAGAAATATATTTTAAAAACCTAGTTTGTTTGAATAAGCATATTGGTACTAAATTCAAATAGATGAATATGAAGGAGGTAGACAATCATATTTCCATGGGGAATCAATTAAACCCAGTAAGGGTTCCCCATATCATATGAAATTTACAAAGTATGAAGTAACAATACAATAAAATATAGAGAGAAATTTCACATTCGAGAGCATTGTGGGCTATGACAGCTTCATAATCATGACATTGAGCATCTTTAAATGAATGCCTGGACCATCAGATGGAACACAGTTCTGGGCATAACAGTGAGGATATTAACAGAGTGAAAGGTCAATGAATAGGTACCGGATACCATTGAGTTTCCTTGCTAGACTGACTGTGAAAAGGAAAGGGCAGAAGCATGAGAGGACCACTAATGAATACAGTGTGAATAGCTTCCTCATAGATCCACAGTTCCCTCTCCACACTCCCACTTCTATGATTTCCCTGTCATTTTGAATTTATCTCCAATTGTGAGCAAAATAAATCCCTTCTGACTTTCCTTTTTTTCTTAATATGCCCAGAGTTGTGTTCCAAACAATAAACTGTCCCACACTCAGTTTGTAGAAGATTGTATATACATTGTCAAGTATTTGTTTGGGTTCTAATATTATTTTAGGCACTTCATAGTTTCTCAAATTAGGTGGATGCCATAATCTCATGCATCTCAGGCTTTTTACTAAAATTAAGAGTCTTGAGATGTGGGAGCCTAAAAGCATAGTGGAGAACAGTTAGTGTGCAAAGATCCCCATACGTTCTAAGTTACTTCTAAAATTCTAAAAATGAGGAATTTGACTTATCTCCATTATTATTGTTGCTGAACTTTATGAATGGACACTTAAATGTAGTTCACGTAAAAGAAACATTATTTTAATTCTTATTCCTAACAAAACTCCCTTTCAATCTTTCTCAACATTTTTAACCATGATGAAAAAGTCACATCTGGTGTATCTACTGCAACTTCCCCGGGAGGGGCAGGGAGGAGCACCTCTCTTCCTGCAAGTACTGCAGCTCCAGGTTCAGTACTCTTTACCTGGGAGATGTCTTATCAGCTCACCAATTCCCAAGCTTCCTCATGATATGCTCTAGAAATATGATCTGAATGTGTGTGAAATTCATGGCATAGCAAGCGATGCAAGAATGTGTCTTCCCTTGTTTTATTATTCAAGTCTAGTCATATACCTGTGGTTTCTGGATTCATATATGTCTGAACATCCAAATTAATTGTTTTTCCCCTGAGCAACTAGTATGTTGTCAAATTAATTGTTTTCCCCTGAGAAGGAAGTTGTCATTAAAGTTCATAAGGATAGATATTTTTTATTTTGTAAGAGGAAACAATAATTTTGAAATTCTTTGTCTTAATAAAATCTCCCTTTCAATTTTCTTAATCATTTTTGTTTCACCACAATAAACAGCAGGCACACCCAGTGAATTTTCGGGAACCACCTCGGAAGTAGCAGGGAGCAGCACCCCCCTACCTGCAAGTACTGGAGCCCCAAGTTCAGGTAAGTTTCTTTAGAATGTCAAATGTCTCAGCAGCTCATCCATTCCCATGCTACCTCAGGTGAAGGTCTGAAATTTTGACTTGTATGTGTGAGTAAAATTCATGACATGGAAAGTAGTTTATTAAATTTCATAGCACTGGGTATGATACAAGAATGTGTCTTATCATGTCTATTCATATATAGAAGAGTTTGTGGAATCATTTGAGTTTCTAATATGTGTGGTTTCTTTCCTAGGGAGCACAGTGACATTCTCAGGCCACACTACCATCTCTCAAGCCTCTAGTCTGTCCCCAGCCTCTGCCAGCAGCAAACCAGGTGATTATAATGGAGTAGGCTATGAGGTATCAGGTGTCAATGGGATGGCTGAGTCTATCTTCATCATTTATGAGATTATAGGAATGATGACTATATGACATGGCTATAATCCTCAAGTGACAAATGAGGGGCTGTGTATATTACCATTTAATCATAAGGAAATATAAATATCCCTTGTATATTTAGAGAAAATAGCTAGCATTGGAAAGATGGTTCCATTAGTTGGTGTTTCTCTTATCTAATCCTGCAGTTAGGTTGCTGTTATGTATTTTGGAGGCAATGATGGCCCTGGTTCCTTCCTTGGAGCTTAATGACTGAGTTATGAGGGTTTAGGCTCAGTATCTGGAGTCTAAGTTAGCATTAAATAGGAAAATTCTGAATTTTGCCCTTATTATCATTATTAACTGTGTTTTCTTATATAAAGCATCCAGGCAGATATATATTTTAAAGACCCAGCTAGTTTCAGTAAGTATCTAAATACTAGATTCAAAAAGAAGAATATTAATTAGGTAGACAATCATATTTTCATGCAGAACATGTAAACACAGGCAGAATTCCTCCATATCATATGAAATTTACAAAGATTGAACCAGCAATAGTAACTCTATGTAAATGAAGACACTAGACATCAGAGAGTAGCGCGGTCTACTGCTGCTTCATAACCATGATATTGTGCTTCTTGTAAAGCAACAACTGGCTCAACAGCTGGAACAACTAGATCCCCAAGCAGTGAGCTCACCTCACCTGAAGTAAATGCAGGTGAGTTGAGGCTGTGTCCTGGGGAGGTTGAGGCTGTTGCTAATATGGAGAGTGATTTGTCAATACCTTCTTCAGTTTGAAGAACTGCAGTTGTGACAAATGTCCTAATAAACATATAGGGAGACCTCATTGTTGACCCAATTGAAGATACAGAAGGATGTTTGAAGAAAAAAAAATGAAAATGGGTGCCTTGAGAGATGCATTTCAGTAAAGCTATCCTGTGGGCTCTAATGGAGATGCTGAGCTATGACACACAACTCCTGTCTTACTACGAGACAAGTCAGTTATCACTCCTTAATCCATATCCAACAGTGCTCTCAGGGAAAGTCTGGGCCATGGCTGATTTTGTGATGGCTTGGTGAAAAGTGGAAAACAGAGGAGAATGCAGGAACATGAGGAAGACAATTGAAAGATTGGCATCCTGATTTATACTCCTTCATCAAACATCCTGATTGTCAGTTGTTCATTTTGAAAGGGGCTACTACACCACAGCAGAGAAATATCTGGAGCCCCAAGCCATGAAGTGACCCAGCCTTCAGACAAGTCTAGGCTAATGTGAGGAAGTCATGATATTTGACAAGGAGGGTTGATGTCTCATTATTGCATTTGTTTTAAATCAAAGTACAAAATTTAGATGGACACGAGAACTAAAGAAAAAGGGATGACAATTCCATTGCAAGAAGATTCCTTCTCCCCAAGGCAGCAAGCCAAGGCTTTTTTTGATAACATGAAACTAGGTTTAAAGGTTATAAATGATTGAACAGAAAAACACTATACTCGATCATTCCCATTATATGCCACTGGCTTGTTGTTCCATCTCTCAAATAAAAGAACAGACAGACATCAGAGAAGAGGCAGAGATAAAAACTCTACCCTAGGTCCGTCTTCAGAGATACCACTCTTTAAAGGATCTTCTTGACACCGGGTTTGTCTTAGGGGATAGAGAAAGCTGTGGTGTTTCAGAAAGTGTTTATCTAACACACTTTGCAAAATTTCCCAATTACAGTTTTGTCAGAGGTCATTGAGATCAAATGAGTTGTTAGACCCTTGGGTTGCAGAGTTTGAGTTTTTTATTATTATTATTTATTTATTTTATATAACCAAGTCAATTTAAATGAAAACAAACATTTATAGACAATATTTGGGAATTTGGGTGTTGTTCTTTCCAAACTACTTCCTGCTGTTAAGGGGCGCTGTCATGGGGGATTCTAAGAAGATTCAGAAATCCTGGCTGTAGTCTGTAAGGCTGCTTTGTCCAGCTGTTTTGAATGTAAGATCACCTGGTACTCTGTTTCAGGTGGTCTGGCTTGATCAAACCACATTAGTCTGGAAGGAATCCACATCTTTTCATTTTCTGTGGAAACAAAAATAGAAATCCTTTTCCCCAGTAAATTGTTCTTGAACTTAAATTTTGGAGTCAAAGCATTTTTTTAATTTAATTTATTATTTTACATGTCGATCCCAGTTCCCTCTCCCTCCCTCCTTCCCTCCCTTTTACCTTCTCTGCCCTCTCACATGCACTCTAAACACCCTCCCCATCCATCCCCCACCCCAATTCCATATGTAGGGGAATGCCATCCAGTTGGGGTCATGTAGATCTGACAGGTCATGTGAAGTAGGGACTTTCTCTCCTGTCTCTAGATTAAGGCAGTTATCCCTCCATGGGGGATGTGTTTGCAAAGTCCTTTTGTGCACCAGGGATACATCCTGGCTCCACTGTCTGAGGTCCCTTAGACTGCTCAGTCCTTCTGGCTGAGACCCATATTCAGGGGGGCCTGAGTCAGTCCCATGCTGGCTTCCCAGCTATCAGTCTGGTGGCCCATTAGCTCCTCCTTGTTCAGGTAAGCTGTCTCTATGTGTTTCTGCCGCCTGGTCTTGTCTTCTCCATCTGCATCTGGGTTCTACTTTGACTCAGTGTTTATGTATGGGTGTTTGATCCTGTTTCCAACAGGTATTAGTTGAGGGCTCCATGGATAAGTTAGTTGTTGATCTCACTCTCCGAGAAGGGCATTTATGGTAGCCTTTCCATGGAAGCTCAAATTGTTAGTTGGCAGCAGTCTTGTAGTCCTCTAGACCTTTCTTTGTGTTCAATTTTCTCTTCAAACCAATATTGGCTCCCTCTTTTATGTCTCTCTCTCTCTCTCTCTCTCTCTCTCTCTCTCTCTCTCTCTCTCTCCTGTCTTCTATTCCTAACCAGGCTCAATCTTCCTGGTTGCACATGTTTTCCTTTCTTCTCCTCGTTTTCTCCTACTTCTCTCTCCATTCGCTGCCTCCCCCCCCCCACTTCCCCTGAGCTCTGGGGAACTTGTCCCTTCCCAGTTCTGTGAGGGACTTTATATGAATCTCTTAGAATACACCTTGTATCCTAGTTCCTCTGGTGGTGTGAATTATAGGCTGGTGATCCTTTGATCTAGGTCTAAAATCCATATATGAGTGAGTACATACTGTGTTCCTCTTTTTGTGACTGGGTTACCTCATTCAGGATGGTTTCTTCAAGAGTTTGAGTTTTTGTCCTTGGGCTACTGTAAGTTAATGGGGTGCCTTAAGAATGTCTTGGGAACATATCCAACAACTGGGCTGGATAGTATTTCCCTGGGTAGATTGTTTTTGAAATGTTGTTATTTCTAAGACAAATACATTTTTCTAGCATGTGAGTCCCTTGCTTTACAGAAACAACAGAAGCAGTCAAGGAGGCCGTAACCTCAGTCCCAGGCACAGGAGTCACCACTGGAAGTCCAGCAGGTAAGACAAGATCTCTATGAGGATTGTGGAGAGGTCTAAACCTAGTATTGTCCAGAACTGTTTGTGATCATGAGTGCAAGGAAAAGTGACCAAGGACCACACTGTAGAATTTAACGGCATAGATGTAACTTGGAAATGATTTGGGCAGCTGTAAATACAATAATCTTATGCCTCCGGAACAAGTGGAGGTGCACATGCAGCCCTCACTGGAGCTTCCAGGGAAAGCACATCTTCAGAATCAGGTACTGGGTGAGTTCAGCAAGGGTCACTTGGCAGCAGATAAGGCAGTTATACTCTTTGGGTGAGTTAGCCATTGCTACAGATGTCATGCACTATAGTAACTTTTCTTTCTGTGAACCAAACATGACCAAAGAAAATCAAGTCAGAAGGGTTTTCATTTTTCTCACAATTAGAGGTAAATTTCTCATGACAGGGAAACCATAGAAGTGGGAGTGGTGGAGAGGGAACTGTGGGACTATAAGGAAGCAGTTCCCACTGTGTCCACACAGAGGAAGCAGAGTGATGAATACTGGTCCTCTCATGCTTTTGCTCTTTCGCACAGACAGTCTAGGCTTGAAACTCATTGGTTGTCCTGTACCTATATATTGGCTTTTCCCTCTCTGTTAATATCCTCAGAGATATGCCCACAAGCGTGTTCCAAATGATAAACAATTCCACATCAAGTATCCAAAAGATTGAATGTATGTTGCCAAGTATTTGTTTTGGGTCAAGTATCATTTTAGGCATTCCATAGTTGCTAAAATATAGGGCAATGCCGCATATTATGTATCTTCATGCTTTTTAATGAAATTAACAGTCTTGATATGTGGGAGCCTAAAGGAAAGATGGAGAAAAATGAGGTGGGCAAAGATTCCCACAGGGTCTTAAATCACTTCTAAAACGCTCAACATTCCTCCATGAGAAAACTGACTTACTTCCATCATTAATGAATTTTGTAATTAATGAATATTCTACCAAATCAGTTGGTTGTCAAATTAATGGATTGCCCTTTAGAAAGAAATGTCATTGAACTTCATAAGAATAGACACTTTCATTTGGTTAGAAGAAAAGGAAGATCATTTCAATTCTTATTCTTAAGAAAAACAAAAACAAAACCCTACCAATCAGTCTTGTTTATCATCTGTTTTAACCATGATGAAAAACAGGCACACCTGGTACATTTACTGTTACTACCTCAGGGCAGGCAGGGAGCAGCACCCCTCTCCCTTCAAGAACTGCAGCCCCAGGTTCAGGTGATAACTCTTTGCTTTGGAGATGTCTAAGCAGCTCATCCATACCCATTCTGCCTCAGGGGATGTTCTAGAAATAGCGCCTGAATGTGTGAGTGAAATTCATGGCAGAGCAAGCAAAACCAGAATGTGTCTTCCTATGCTTTATTGTTCAAGTCCATTTCTCTATCTGGGCTTTCTGGATTCATAAAAATCTCAACAGCCAAATTATTTGCTTTCTTCTGAGAAGTCAGATTAATTGTTATTCTTTAAAAGAAGGTGTCATTAAAGTTCATAAGGGTAGATAATTTTCATAAAAGGAAAAAAGAATTTTTAAATGTTGGTCTTAATAAAATATCACTTTCAATTTTCTTCCTTGTCTTGTAAAACTACAACAAACAGCAGTCACACACAGTATGTCTTCTGGAACCACCTCAGGAGGGGCAGGGAGCAGCACCACTCTACCTGCAAGTACTGGAGCCCCAGGTTCAAGTAAGTCTCTTTAGCCTTGGCAGATGTCTCAGCAGCTCATCCCTTCTCATGCTGCCTCAGGGGAGGGTCTGAAATTTTGACTTGCATGTGTGAGTAAACTTCATGGCACTGGATGTGGTGAGAGACTGTGTCTTCTTGGGTCCATTCATATGTATAAGGGTGCTTAGAATCATATGAATCTCCAACATGCTTGATTTCCTGTTCTAGGGAACACAGTGACATCCTCAGGCCACACTACCATCTCTCAAGCCTCCAGTCTGTCCCCAGCCTCTGCCAGCAGCAAAGCAAGTAAGTAAAATGGAAGAGGCTGTGAGATGTCAGGTGTCCATGGGAGGGCTGAGTCTATCTCCATTAATGTATATGAGAATTTAGGAATCACGTGTATATTATGTGGTTATGAATGCTCAGATATCAAATGAGGGACTGGTTATATCTCCTTTTATTCATAAAGGAATGCAGGAATTCCTTGTATATTTAGAGAAACAAGCATCAGAGAGCACAGCATTAGCTGGTGTTTCTCTCATCTTACTCAGTAAGTGGGTTACTTATGTGTACTTTGGGGCAATGCTGACCCTGAATCCTTCCATGGACATGAAGGACACTGAGTTATTAGAGATAAAGTTTACTATCCTGAATCTAAGTTAACATCTCTTTGAACAATTCTGAATGTCTTCTTTATGCAGGTTATTAAATATGTTTTCTTATATTGAAGATCAAGCCAGAAGATATTTTTAAGGAATTAGTTGTTTGAATAGGGCATCTTACTACTAAATTAAATTAGATGAATATCAAGGAGGTAAACAGTCATATTTCCATGGGGAATCAAATAAACCTAGCAAGGGTTCCTCCACATCATATGAAGTTTACAAAGAATGAAGCAACAATAGGGAAAATATATAATAAATGAAGAAACTTGACATCAGAAAGCAGTGTGGACTATGGATGCTTCATAATCATGACTTTGAGTGTCTTAGAAAAGAATGACTGGAACATCGGATAGAACACATTTCTGGGCATATCTGTGAGGATGTGAACAGAGTGAATGTCAGTGTATAGGTACAGGACAACCATAGTGTTTCCCCGCTAGACTGACTTGTGAAAGGGAAAGGGCAGAAGCATGGGAGGACCAGTATTCATCACTCTGTTTCCTCAATGTGAACACAGTGTGATCAGTTTCCTCACAGTCCCACACTTCCCTCTACACCACAACCACAACCACATCTATAATTTCCCTGTTGTGAGGAATTTATCTCCAATTGTGAGCAAAATAAATCCCTTTTATCCCCCCCCCATTAATATCCTCCAAGATAGGCCCAGAATTGTGTTCCAAAAAATAAACTGTCCCACACCCAATTTGCAGAAGATTGTATGTATATTGCTGAGAGTATGTTTTGGGTCAAGTATTATTTTAGCCATGTCTAGTTCCTAAAATTGGGGACATGCCATGATCTCTTGCATCTTCATGCTTTTTAGTACAATTTAATGTCTTGAGATGTGAGAGCCTAAAAGTATGTTGGGCCAGTCAGGTGGACAAAGATCCCCCACAGGGTCTTAAGTCACTTGTAAAATGGCTGACATTTATCTGTGAGGAATTTGCCTTATCTTCATAACATAAGAGTGGACAGTTTGATTTGGTTAGAGGAAAAGAAAGACCCTTTCAAGTCTTAAGAAAAAACTGCCTTTTAACCTTCTCTCTCATGTTTTTTAACCATGATGAAAATCAGGCACACCTGGTGTATCTACTGCAACCACCTCAGGAGGGACAGGTAGCAGATCCACTCTTCCTGCAAGTACTGGATCTCCAGGTTCAGGTAAAATTGTGGGAAGCTGTCTTTGTGGGGCCTCAGTCAGTGACAGCCAATTTGGTCCTGGTTCATACCTGAGATGGGGATTGTGGATTGAGAAAGTGTATATCTCAAGAGAAAGACAAAGACAAAGGATAGAGTCAGCAGTCCCATCCAGTGAATACTGAACCGCCTCTAGTTTATAATACAACTTTCTAAGTACCCAACCAAAAAAGGGGGGAAGGGCATTGCAGAAGACTTCTAGTATCATGTATAAGGAACAAACAGACTTCCCTAAATCTTCCAGGCATTTGATATCTACACATATTATCAAGAGGAAACACACCTGAGCCCAAGTCTGTTGTTATTTAAATAAGACATCTGCTACCAAGCCAGAAACATCCTCTAGTAGCCAATCCTTAGACCTTTTGGTCTTTTTACTTATTAAAGACAGTTTTGAACTATCTGACCTTGAGGCCAGTTGAAGTGGACCCATCTTTATGGGCCCCAACATAAGACTACTTTGTTTTGGAGATGTCTCAGCAGCTCATCCATACCCATGCTGCCTTAGGTGATGGTTTAGAAATATCAGCTGAATGTGTGTGTGTGAGTGAATTAATGGCAGAGCAAGTAATACCAGAAGGTGTCTTCCCATGTTTTATTATTCAAGTCCACTCATATACCTGGAATTTCTGGATTCATATAAATCTCAACATCCAAATCTTGGTGTTTTCAAATTAAATATTCTCCCTTGGGAAAGAAATTGTCATTAAATTTCACAAGAATAAATACTTTCATTTCATAAGAGGAAAATGAATCTTAATCCTTATTCTTAAGAATCTATCCCTTTAAATTTTCTCATTCATCTTTTTAACCATGATATCTATTAGGCACAACAGGAGTATCATCTGGAACAACATCTGGAGTAGCAGGGAGCAGCCCCCCTCAATCTGCAAGTACTGGAGCCCCAGGTTCAGGTAAGTCTCTTTAGCCCTGGCAGATGTCCCATCCACTTCCATGCTGCCTCAGGGGAGGGTCTGAACATTTGACTTGAATGTTGAGAAAAATTCATGGAAATGGAAGTGGCTAAGTAAACTTCATGTCACTGGATATGGTGCAAGACTGTGTCTTTCATGTACATTCATATATGTAAGTGTAAGTCAAATCATATGAGTCTCCAATGAGCATGATTTCCTGTCTTAGGGAGCACAGTAACATCCTCAGGCCACACTACCATCTCTCAAGGCTCTAGTCCTTCCCCAGCCTCTACCACCAGCAAACCAGGTAAGTAAAATGGAGGACAATATGTGTTATCAGGTGTCAATGACTGAGTCTATCTCCATTTATATATATGGAAATTTGGTATTACAAGGATGTTACAAGGCTGTAAGTCCTCTGATATGAAATGATATACTGATTATATCACCATTTATTCATAAAGGAATGCAGTGATTCCTTGTATATTTAAAGAAAGAAAATTCAGAAATGACTACATAAGATGATGTTACTGTTATCTTATTCAGTAATTAGGTTTCTAATGTGTACTTTGGGGCAATGCTGATCCTGATTCCTTCTAGGAACTTAAGGACATTGAGTCATTAGGGTGAAAGCTTACTATCCTGAATCTAACTTAACATCTCTTGGAATATTGTGAATGTCATCTTTATGAGGTTTATTAAATGTGTTTCTTTATATGGAAGATCAAGTCAGAAAAACATATTAAAGACCTAGTTTGTCTGAATAAGCATGTTAGTACTAAATTAAAATAAATGAATATTCAGAAGTTCACAATCATATTTCCATGCAGAATAAAATAAAACCAGTAAGGTTATTCTATTACATATGAAATTTACAAGGTATGAAGTAACAATAGGAATAATATATGTATAACTGGAGAAATTTCTCATCAGACAGCATGTGGGATATGACTGTTTCATTCTCATGGCATTGAGCATCTTTAATGGAATGCCTGAACCACCAGATGGAACACAGTTCTGGGCATATCTGTGAGGATATTAACAGAGTGAAATGTCAGTGTATGGGTCCAGGACACCACTGAGTTTCCATGCTAGACTGACTGTGAAAGGCAAAGGGTAGCAGCACGAGAGGACCAGTATTCATCACTCTGCTTCCTCAGTATGAACACAATGTGAGCAGGTTCCTCATAGTTCCACAGTTCCCTCTCCACCACTCCCACTTCTATGGCTTTCCTGTCATGAGGAGTTTACATCCAAATATGAGCAAAATAAACCCCTTATAAATTTTCCTCTCTGATAATATGCTCTAAGATATGCTCAGAATTATGTGCCAAACAATAAACAGTCCCACACAAAGTTTTTAGAAGATAGGATGTACATGACCAAGTATTTGCTTTGAATCCAGTAGTGTTTTTGGCACTTCATAGTTTCTAAAAAATAGGGACATGACATGATCTCATGTATCTCATTCTTTTTACTAAAATTAAGTTTTGGGATATGGGAACCTAAGTATGGTGGACAGCAGGCAGGTGGGCAAAGATCACCAGAGGGCTTTAAGACACTTCTAAATTGCCATCATTTCTTACTGAGGAATTTGATCACCTCCACAAGCATCCATAATTATTGCCTTTGAACTTGAAAACATGGTCACTTTTATTTGGGTAGACAGAAAGAATGAACATTTCAATTATTATGCTTAAGGAAAAAAAAACCCTTTCAATCTTCTTTCTCAATTTTTTTCATCCATGATAAAAAACAGTCACACCTGGTGCATCTACAACAACCCCCTCAGGAGCCGGAGGGAGCAGCTCCACTCTTCCTGCAAGTACTGCAGCCCCGGGTACAGGTAAGCTATCTTTGATTTAGAGATGTCTCAGCAGCTCATCCATACCACACTGCCTCAGCTGACTGTCTAGAAACATCAGCTGAATGAGTGAAATTCATGGTAGAGCAAGGGATGCCAGAATGTGTCCTACCATTTTATCTTTAATTTCCATTCATATATCTGGTATTTCAATTCATATCAGCCTCAACATCCAAATTATTTGCTTTCTATTAGATATCAGTGTGTTGTTAAATTCATAGCTTTCCCTTGAGAATGTATTTGTCATTAAATTTCACACAGATAGATACTTTCATTTCATAATATCAAAAAAAGAATCTTAATCTTCAGTCTTCAGAATATCTCCCTTTAAATTTCCTCATTCATCTGTTTAACAATGATATCTATTAGCTACCACAGGAGCATCATCTGGAACAACCTCTGTAGTTGCAGGAAGCAACAACATTCAATCTGCAAGTACTGGAGTCCCAGGTTCAGGTAAGTCTCTTTAGCATTGGCAGATGTCTTATCATTGTATCCATTATGCCTCAGATGTGAGTCTGGAAATTTGTTTCATGAGTGTGAATATAATTCATGGCATGGGATGTTGTACAAGAGTGTGTATTCTCACTTTTGATCATGCAAGTCTAATCATATAAATAAGGATGTCTGGCATCATATCAGTCCTAACAATCGTGTTTTCCCATTTCAGGGAGCACAGTTACACCCTCAGGTCACATTAGCATCCCTCAAGCCTCCAGTCTATCCCTAACCTCTGTCAGCAGCCAACAACATAAGTAAAAGAGATGAGGCTGTGAGGTCTCAGATGTCAAATGGAGTGCTGAATCTATCTTCATTTGTGTATTATGTACATGTGGGAATGACATGTATATTTAAAATGCTCTGAGACTTCAAACACCAAATTGGGGGGGCTGAATTTATTTCAGTGATTTTATATTGGACTGTGGGAATGCCAAGTGTATTGCAAGACTATGAGTCCTCAGGTGATAAATGAGGGGCTGCTTATGTCACCATTCATTCATAAAGGAATACAAGAATCCCCTGAACATTTGGAGGAAGCTAGCATCAGAAAAAGAGCTACCTTAGTTGATGTTTCGAAATTTTTTCTAGTAACTTAATTAGGTTGTGAGTGTATTCAATGGGGAAATGATGGCCCCAATTCCTTCCTTGGAGCTTAAGAACACTTAGTCATGAGGGCTAAGGCTTACCATTCTGCACCTGAGTTAGCACCAAATAGAAACATTCTGAATTTCTTCCTTTTCATGGTTACTAAATGTGTTTTTGAATATGAAGGACTCAAGTAAGAAAATATATTTTCATACCAAGTTGGTCTCTAAATATCTTAGAATAGAATTCAAATAGATAGGTAGACCATCCTATTTCCATGCCTGATTACATAATTACTTAGATGAATTCTCCCTAATCATATGAAATTTAGAAAGATTGAAGCAACAGTAGGAAAAGTATGTGAATAAATGTAGACACTTGGCATCAGAGAGCATTGTGCCCTATTGATGCTTCATAGTCATGACATCCTGAGTTGTTTTGTTTTGGAAAGGAACAACTGAGTCATCAGATCCCCAAGTAGTAAGCTGACCTCCAGGAGAGGTAAGCTTATCCAGGAGAGGATGAGGCTCTCTGAAAAATGGAGTGCTTTGTCTATACATTATTCATTGTGTTGAACTGCAATTGATAAAAATGTATGGATTTGAGTAAAAAGACATAGTTGACCCAATTCAAGGTTCAAAGAGATGGATTTTTGAAAAAAGAAACAAAACTACAAGGATTCTGCTAGAAGTCTGCTGGGGATAAAAACCAGTGAATTTGTTTATTCAGTTTTTCATGGGGAGAATGATTGGAGGCTGAGGTCTTCTTCCAGCAGAAGATGTTAGGTACATGGCCCACTGTTGTTTTCCCAAATTCTATGGCAACTCTGGCTCCTAACACCTGTGTTTTGGGAGCAGAGACACCATTCCTCAGTTTCTGCATTGCCATCCTCACAGTAGGTAATTTAAATGCAGAGAAAAGAAGAATCCTGACTCCAGCCCAGGAACTGGTTTCACAATGCTCCTCAGACACTTTTTGGCTCCATTATCAGCCATGTGCTGATCCCATTACAACAGTAAAAATATATTTATTGTAGCTTTCCAGCATCTGCTTTTAAATGTGTACCACACTGGACTTATAAGGTCCCACTAATGCATAGTCAGAATAATGCTCATTCATTTACATATTTATTTGGTGTGTGTGTGTGTGTGTGTGTGTAGGGGAGTAAGCATGTGCATAATTATGCCCTAGGAAGACAATGCAGGGGACAGGATATACAAAAGCTGGAGTTGCTGGTGTTTTCAAGTTATATAAAATGGGTTCTGGGGACAAGTGATCCATTACTCTGAACCCACATATGCTTATTTTAAAGCCTGGTTTATTCATTTATTTAGAATATTGCCAAATATAACACTAGAAACTCTCAACAGAATTAGATCCATCACAAAGTTCAAAGCAAGTAATAGAAAGATAGGAGACAATCTCTTTGTTTCACAGGCTACTTCTGTAAGCAGAAGTCTCATGATTCAACTCAGCAGTAATTTTAGTCTGAGTAGAGCCACAGATAGATAAAGTATAGAAAGAGGCACCCTAATTGGTATTAGCATGATTTGAAACTCAGTGGTAGTCATTACAACTTTTTAAAATATCCAATTTCTTTTGAAATAGTTTTTTTTTTTATAAGTCAGTCAACATTAACATCACTCTGATATGTGCTATGAGGCTTTTTACCATGAGATAAAAAAATAATGAGAACAAAACTCTCATTGCTGGGACTGACAGTATCAGAGCCTGTCCTCTTCAGACTTACTGGCAGCAGCTGGTTCTACTGCTCTGAGGCTGTATGAGTTCTTATCTGTCCAGGTTGCCATTGTGCCCACATTTTGTACTATCCCCACAAGAGAATGAGCATATATTGTAACCCCTACTGTCTAGTTTGTTGGGGGCAAATGGAGAGTTGGTGAGAACCTCAGGATCATGCTTGTGAGCAGAACAGAACAATGAGTGTGAGCAGAGAAGAACCTTGTGTAAGAGCATAGCAAAGTCATGAGTATGAGTGCAGAGGGGCAATGAGTGTGAGCATAGCAGGACCAGGAGTGTGAGCAGAGCAAAGCAGAACCATGAATTAGCGCACAGCAAGACCACAGTAAGAGAGTAGCAAAGCCATGAGAGTGAGCACAGCAGGACCAGTTGTGTGAACAAAGCAGGGCCATGATGTGAAGACAGCAGGAGCATTAGGCCAGGGAACCTCTCACTCTGATGTCCCCAAAAGCACAACAGAGCTCCTAATATAGGGTTGAGATGGGACCTAGATCAACTGTGTCCAAGACTCAGATTGGGAAAATGAGGGTAAGGGAAGGTAAACAAGGACAACTTGAAGGAACGAATGTCATGAAGGAATGACGGAATGACTCAGTGATTGCTTCCTTTACTGTTTATGCACAGGCACAAGTGGGGGAACAGGCACAGCAGTGACTGGAGCCACTGCAGAAAGCACATCTGGAAGAACAGGTACTGAGGGACATTGCACGGTGATAGATAAGCAAGGAGGGGACCAGAGAGCTTAGTGTCCAAATTCCGTCAATGACAAAAGCTTTCCTGGACATTTGCCATGTGTTTTCCTGTGTGAGGCTAGTTGCTCCATAGATGAGAAAGAAACCAAAAGTATTTGCCGAACACCCCCCCAATACAATACCAGGCCTTATTAGCTTTTATATTTTATTGAATTGTACTGCTTTTTAATCTTTCACCATTGCTTTACTGTATCATATTACATTTTCTGCTTCTACTTCCTTGACTGTTGAAATGCCCGTACAGATACTTAGACAAATAACAATTTTTATTTTGCAACTTATCAGAGACAAATCTAGAATCATCAGGTGTCACCACAGCAACAGACAAAGGGAAAGAAAATGGCAATGGCACAGGATTCAGAGAAGGTAAGTCTCTCAATGACGTACTAAGTCAATTGGAAATATGAAAAAATAGTATAATGAACTATTGATGTACTTACTTGACACCTCAGACATTCCCTGTTAACCTTACCCACTTATCTTGGAAGTTAATCAACATTAATAGCTGGGTGATGACATTCCTGTGAGCAGAGATATTAGCAAGTGTGTAAGATTCAAGAATCATTAGAAGTCATATTATGAAGATTCTCCCATTATGAATCTGTGCATAAAAGCTCACAGCATCCAATCATCAAATAATAAAAGATATTATAATATGCGCTTGTCCTTGGGAATCGAGTCTATGAAGTTCTGACGTAAGGATGATGTAGATACTTTGCAGAATAATGCTCACTAATAAAATAATTTGTTGTTAAAATAGAATTCACACTTATGGTCTTAGGGTTGCTATAGCTGTGATGAAACACCATGGCCAAGGCAAGTTACAAAAGAAAACATTTAATTGTGGGCTCTTAGCATGAACCATGAAAGGAGGTATGCATACATGGTGCTGTAATATAATTGAAGGCTAACATCCTGATCTGTAGGCAGAATGGAGGGAAAACTAAACTTGGACTGGCATGGCCTTTAGCTACCTCACAGCCCAGCCAGAGTCACAATTGCACCAACAAAGCCATACTTCCCAATCTTTCCAAAATAGTTCTAAATGTTGGGGACCCAGTTCCATCTCCCTTTCTCCCTCCCTCCCTCTATACTCCCCTCCCTCCCAGTTCTAAATTCTTGCTCAAATTATCAAACAAAGGAACAAAGTTTAAGAATCTAAGTAATCCAGTGTCCTCTAACTGATTGTAATTTTAAAGTAATACCCATGAACCCACATTTCCTAAAGTCTGAATCAGGTTATTGGTGTCTTATGAAAAACTCAATCACTTGTGCCCTTTGATTATCAGGCACTGTCAGTGGTGATGAGGGGGAGATGTGAAAGTGGGTTCCTGGCTGAGAGCATCACAGGTGCTTCTTACAAGAGTGTTAAGACCGGGAACTGAGCTCATTGTCTTGGGGAAACATCCAACTGACACAGTGGGGTAGTATGTCTCTGTTGAAAAAGGCTTGGCATTATATTAATTTTCTTTAAATTTTTTCTTTTCTATTGACACTGGCCACAATTTTAAAACATAAATCTATTATGGTTGAATTTCTGTTATTAGTCCTTGGCTCATATGTTTAAGAAGTGTAGCTAGATCTACGTGATTGAGTTTGATTTGTGAATGTGAACCTGGCTTATGTCCTTGAATTATATCTAATCATATCAAGAAACAATAAGTGCAGTTATGTGGAATCTAAACAAAATGAATATTTTATTTGTGTCTAGGGTTCAATTGCTATTTTCTCATTAGTAGGTACAAATGGTCCCACTATGCCAATTCGGACTGAAGGAGAAGCCAGCACATCCAGGTCACAAGGCTCTGAAGCTACCACTCTAGGAACCTCAGGTGATTCCAGACATGCCCTGGGGTGTCATGGATATGTTCAATCAGGAAAACATCAAGGCTGTTGTGAACATGGTGGAAAGGCAGGCCATGATGTTTGATTGCATTTTCCAGAAACCCTTTCAAAGCAGCAACACATTACAATCACTGCTCTTGTTTGCCAGGTTCAACAGGAGCATCTGTAGGAACCAGCTCCGGAGCAGGCCAGGGAGACTTACCTGGAACAATACCAGGCACTGCAGCCACCAGCTCTGTCACACCATCAGGTCAGATGGCGACTTTAGGGGCTGAGTCAGCACTTGGGTTTCCAAGGAGACCCACAAAGATGACAATATAAATTTGAATGGCCTAGGATATCTTAAAGGACTTTGTAGACATCTCTAGCTGTTGAACTCCATTCTTCTTTCCATAGGAACAAGAGGAGGGACGGATGCAGCCACCACTGGAGCTGCCGAGAAAAGCACACCCAGTGGAACAGGTACTGAGGGGCTCAGCAGAGGGAAAGGGGGGCAGGGGATTGGTGAACTTGCTGTTCATAATTGTATCAGTGGCCTGCTTTCCTCGGATTTGTCTCTAGGTTTGCCATTTGCTGCCAGTTGTTCCAGATACAAGAGAGAAAGCAAAAATGTTTAACATATTTATAATACTGTATGTGATAATGAATGGAATATAGAGAAAGGAAAGGGGATGATTATCTCCTCACTCTTCAGAAATGATAGATTTTTATATTAATAGAGGGTATAAGAGGAAAGGAGGAAGGAAAGCAGGGAGGAATGGTGTGAATGATGATATGGGAATGAAGATTCTAAATATTATGCCATCCACCACAATGCTAATTATGAACAGAAGAGTATTCTAAGGGATGTAATTAAAAATAAGGGATTTAATGAGATCAAGGATATCACTCTCTAGTGATGTTTAAAGTCCTGTTCTTCCCATTTTTTAATGAAGAAGGCGTCTTGTCTTAGATCTTTAAGAAAATATCTCACTTCATATTATCTTTGGCTGACCTTTCCCCACTGATCAATTTCAGTCTCAACCAGGACATCTGCCTCAGCCTCTGTAGCAGCAACTGTCAGCACTCCCAGAGAAGCAGGACCTAGAGCCACAAGTTATGGTCAGATTTGATTCTGTGGGGTGATGAGTTAGCCAAAACTCTCAGCACCATGCTAATAGTGTCCTCATTTGTTCAAACTGACTAAATCTGGACTGGAAAGAAGAGCTTAGGAGAGCCAGAGGGCAGTTGCTGTCTTTTGGTTTAATGGAGTAGAATGAACATGAAGATCCTAAAACCTGCCAATCTGTTCTAGGAACTAGGAACCAAAAGTGTGTTGTGTTCTCCAGTAATGTAATCCATGGCATAGCAGCTAGGCCAAGCACAATTTCTCTTAGCACAGTCTGAAAAAATTAGAGAGAGAGATGTCTGACCAAAGCATGCTAACAGAGACAATTTTCTGTGTGTAGCGGCTGATGTAAAATAGAAAGGAATGGTTAGGTATCAGAATTATTTACACTATTCTACAACATAGAGTTGGGGGAGGTTGTGGTGATGATCTGCTTAGAGTTTCCTCATGGCCATTGTGATTTGGGACCTCCATACAATTTCTGAGGCTATAGAATGCTGGATGAGGACATTGTGTGTAATGATACTTGCATAAAAGAATCTACTACAGATATTTTTGAACTATTACTGGAAGAACCTTGATAACTTCATTTAAATTAGAGCTCTATCCAAAGTAATTTTAAGGATTTTTTTTTATTGTTTAAATAGTGCATGTGTGCAGGCATGGTGAATGACAGTTAGCACATTGGCCACAGACACGGATATATGGATTCACTTGTAACTAGAGTTAGAGATGGTAGTTTGACACCCTGCATGGGTGCTGAGTACCAATCTCAGGTCATCTGAAAGGGCAGGTATGTGGAAAGCCTCATTAATATATCTTGAGTCCCAAGAAGTGTGCTTGATTATTTATAGAAATATTTTTTTACTTTTTGAGAATTTCATATAATGAGTTTTGATCATGTTTGTGCCCTTCTTCCATCTCACACCACATTTATCACCCCTTCACTACTCATACAACTTTGTGTAGTTTTGGTTTTTAAACCCAAGTGGTGCAGTCTTTGCCTTTGCTGGCTCATGAAGTGCTGAGATACAAAACAGAGCTTCTGATCTCTGAGGGAAACATCTACATATGAAGAACTGACTTCTCTCTGCTGTCCATAGATTTGTGCTTTTGTATAACAGTGTTCCCTTCTCTCATCACACATTTTAAAGGATCAGTCTAGGAGAAGGTGAGAATGGCAGACTGGTCTCTGGCACGCATGTTTGTGTTCAGCTGGTCCAAGATGCTTGAGTTTGCCTCTTGGATGTGTTGCATATAACAAAAGTGACATTCAGTAGGGCAATGAATTATATCCAATCAACAGGAACAAGTTGTTTGGTATAGCTACATTTGCCAATATACTGTGTATATTTATTCAACATTTTTAACATTGTTATTTCCTCATCAATTGATGTAGGTTTTACCACTAAGCAACTGTCCACTGATGGGAAAGGAAGCACACCCAGGGAAGAAGAAACTGGAGCCACAAGCTCAGGAACTTCAGGTATTTCTATACATGTAATGAAATATCAAACACACTTGAATGCTATTGTAAGGAGATAAAAATATAGATCATAATAAATTTGGTGGCATTTCCCAAGTGACCTTCAGATGACATACTGCATATCCTTCTCTTTTTTGTCAGATTCAACAAAGATATCTGTGGAAACCTCCTCAGTAGCAGGCAGTGGAAGCTCAACTGGAACACCAGGCACTGGGACCACCAGAACTGTTACATCATCAGGTCAGGCAAGGCGTCTTCGGGGATGTGGAGGACACAGCACTTGGTTTGGCCATCAAATAGAGGATGAAAACCACTGTAGAATCTAAGCACATGTATTGTAGTGATATCTTTCTTGTACAATAAAGCCTATTTGAAGGTCAGAGAATTGAGCTAGACAAAGATTGGAAGTGAGGGAGCTGGGTGTAAACAGGGTATAATTAGGGAGAAGCAGGAACTCTCTTTTCTACTGAGATGGAAAGGATGTAAGATGTGACAGTGACTTCCTCTCTGAATTTCACCATTTCTTTGTATATTTGAAACAGGGTTTTTATTACTTAGTTCAATTAAGATTTCCATTTACAATGTATGGAATTATACAATGTGGTTAAATTTTAGAGTACCTATATCTGCACATTAACTTGCCTTCTCCTTCCCATAGGAACAAGAGCAAGAACAGATGCAGCCACCACTGCGGCTCCTGGAATGAGCACATCTGGAGGATCAGGTACTGTGAGATCTCTGCAGAGGGATGCCCAGTAGTAGACTTGTAGACTTGTCATCTTGAGTAGTGCTTGAGATTTCATCAGAGACAGTTTTCTGTGGAATACGACCATTGTTCATGTGGTGAAATTGCCCAAGTTCAGCAATGTTCCCTTAATAATTGTTGTTCATCTTAAGAGCAGGTCAGATTTCAGTTCAGAAAAAGAAGGGAATATATAAGTATGCACTCTCACTCAACTACAACCTTGAAAGAGAAAAATAAACTATGGAGAGACATATAAGAACAGTAATAATTAATTAGTGCCGACACAAAGTAGTATATGGCACCAAGCTTAACAGGCAAAGCTTGTTCTAGAAAGATAAATCACACACTTTATAGCTGAAACCTGAATTGTGTCTGTAGAAATATTTTATTTCTAATACATACATTACAAGTTTAGTAGAATACCAGGGATATGTGGTATGCTTCATTATCCTGGAATGTAGCCCTCCATGCTAGTAACTGTGGTAGTAATCAATGCTATGTTTCTATGTAGCTTATGTGACATTCATAGCCGTTGTAGGTGTGAAAAGCAAGCATATTTCAAGTTCCATCCACAAGTTGAATTCCTTGTGTGTTTGCTGAAGCTAACTTTTTCCATGGCAGGCACAGCCAAAGCATCCTCTGCTACAACCTCTGCAGCAGCTGTGAGCAGCAGCCCTGGGACAGCAGGCACTGGAGCCTCAGGTTCTGGTGAGTCCATAGAGGGGCTGGGGACTCAGAAAGTCCATTACATGAAATATTTCATTAAGTGCTGAGGTGTGAGGATTAAAGAAAATAATGTGCATATGCTATTTTGTGTAAATTTCAGCTCTTCAGGGTTAACAGTGAGGAAAAAGCACAGTTTGGATACTACCAAATTTTTGTTTATTTCTATTTAGATTCTGCAAGGACCACAGCTGCTGGTTCAATGGCCACAGCCAAACCATCCACCTCTGCCAGCACAGAACCAGGTAAGCAAATGGGAGGATTCACTTGAGTCTTGCAATGTCAGAATATTCTGGTTGTTGTCCTCATGCCTTGGGATTCTTCCTTGCTGACCAGTAGAAAGGAATATGAGAGACTGGGGTGAAGAAGCTCACCTGCTGATAAACAGCTGCTCTGTAACTGTGGTAGTGGTGGGGGGTGGATCATGTGTTCTCTAAGCAGAGAAAAATGCAACAAATCCTGGGCCTGCCTGATTCCTTGTTTCATGGAAATGATGATGAGAACTCTAGTTTTAGTAACACAGGATCAGATATAGATGATTCCTCCATCAATATCATGTATTTGTGATATTTAAGCCTTTAAAAGTTGCTTTCATATGTATCATGCTGCTATTGGAACGTCTAACTGCTGACCTGTTAAAGTTCTCATGGGCATTTTCAGCACTGGATAATTTTTATATGCCATAATACAGAAAAATGGAATATTAGTAAGTGTAATAATCAGAGCAGATACCTATGGTGACAGAAGTGACACAGCCTTGTATTTAGGAAAAAGCAGGGAATGTGTGAAATGATCCTTTCCACAGATGCTTGCATGAAAGTTTCCTACTTAATCTCAGCAAGTCCGCTGCACATAGTAAAGATTCAGCTGAAGGGACCTAGTGTCAGAGAAACCCATATAATCTATGAAAATTCCAGAAAATCAAAGTTGTGGCACACAAATTTAATCCCAGCACAGAAGATATAAACACAGAAAGCATTGTGGAAGCTGTGTCAATAGTATTATAGGCATGAGGATACACGTTACCACTCAAATTTTAATGCTCAGAAATCAAAGTGACTGCTTTCTTAAAGGAACTTCATCAATAGAATAAATTCACGATAAGAATAGTATATTTTACTAAGATCTAGAGTCTCACACTCCAGCTGTGTTTGTGTGTGGACATACCATTTTTAAGGAAAAATGAGAACAGGCTTGCTAGTCCTTTAAGGATAATTTGTAATTCCAAAGAATCTTGCTCTAACATTTTCCCCCTGATGAACACAAGGCTCACCTGGGGCATCATCTGCATCCAGTCCTGGTACAGTAGGTGTCAGCACTCCTGGAGAAGCACACACTGGAACCACAGCTTCAGGTAGGACACAGTAGCCCAGGGTGATGGTTCAGCAGCTCCTGCCTGTGTCCTGAAGAAGCAGGAGCTCCCTCATCCTCCTGTGGTTTAATTCAGTGATTCTGCTGTGCTGAAAAGTGATGGGGGAATCCTAATTTCCCATTTTCATTTCCTGACCTTTATAAAATATTCACAGAAATAAAGAAAAGCAACCAGCTCTTCAACTACCAATTTATTCTTGGTTCTAGGCACCATAAACACTTCTGGAAGCTCTACCACTATGAGTCCTGAGACAACAACGAGACCAGTCACCACCTCTGCTAAGAGCAATGCAGGTAAAGAGAGAAAGTTAGATGTCTGAATTTTGTGTGCATGGAGCCCATTTTGTGTATGTGGTTGGTTATTCATTCACAGTAGAAAGGAGTGCTAGGAAATTGATGATATTTGGACTACAGCATAAAAAGCTGGAATAACAGTTGTTAGCCTGAGTGTGCACATGGCCACAGTGTTTTGAGAAATCATTACACTTGTAATTCTTTGGCTGTTGAAATGGGAATAGGACTTCTAATGGGGCTTACATAGGAGAATCCCTACTTATAATAATCTTGTAATTGTTGGTGTTTTCAGACTCTTAGTGTTTCTATGTGTGTTAGAAAAATTTTAAAGGGATCAGTTATTCCATTGTGCAAACTCACTTCAGAGGTACTGGGCTTGGTGATGGGATATTAAATACATAAATAAATAGGAAGCTAAAACTTATCTGTTTAATAGTGGACCACACACATTTGTTCTAACAACTGTGTATAGTTCATGATTATTTTTTTTGAAATACTACATTAGAAATGAAGAAGTGTCAATGAATAATTGGAAGAGATGTGAATCAGAGTGTTGCATGACATGATGGGCTTTATTAGAGGTCCTAATACTCATTTCCTGTTCACATTGAAAGGGACAACTGCACCATCATCTGGTGAAAAAAGTAGAGCCACTAGCAGTCAATCAACCCAGCCTGGAGAACAGTCAGGTGAGAAGGTGGTGTTCAGAACTGTGGAATCTTTACCATGTTTCTCCCTTAAAGCACAGTAGCTGCATAAATATATGGACATCTTGTTGACTGAATACTAGATCCTTTACTGTGTCTGCAATAACAGCACCAGAAGGGAAAGCTAACATATTTGAGACTATCATAGAAGAATACTAGTTAAGGAATCTTCAGAATGACATTTACTGCATTTATCTACTATATTTTCTGTAGGAAAAATAAAATGAAAAGTAGAACCCCAGCCTTGGTAATTAAGTTCATCCAACCTTTTAATGAGAAGTTGCTTTGGTATTTTCTCAGGCTCTGCTGAAACACCAGCTGCTCTCACCTCCTCAGTGGCCAATGCAGACACTACAGCATCCCTGCACTCCAGCCTTACCAGTTCTGGGACCATGGAAGGTAAACTAGTTGTGAATGAGAATCCTGACCTAAGCTTATTAATGCTGAAATGACTTTTTTATGCAATAGCAAGTGTAGTTATTTCTTTTATTGATTGAATTGAAATATTTTGAATTATTCACAGATATATTAATGTATTATGTTATCGGTTTTTGCTCAACTTTCCTTGAGTGTTAGAATTGCTCATGTAAATTGTATAACTAATTATGCTTTCTGTACCTTATTAGAGACAACTCAAGAATCTTCAGAGTTAGTGACACATATAGCCAACAGGAAAGAAAATGCATATGACACAATTAAAGAAAGTATACAAATGAAGTGAACAGGAATATGGTAAAAATAAGTAAATAAATAAATAAATAAATAAATAAATAAATAAATAAATAAGTTAATAAAATAATGACATACCTACCTGACATTTCAGGGGTCTCCTATTAACCATACATTAGGACTTTAAAAGTTAGTCAACATTAATTTATAGGTGATGTTATTTCAGTTACTTGAGGTATTAGTATATACAAATTTGCCAAAACAGCATTAGATATCACATTCTGAATCTACCTTCATTCTATGATCTGTGGGTAAAAGCTCAAGCCAAGAAAAGAGAATGTGCTCATTCTTAGGAATCTGGATTATTGTGTATTGACTTGGAATGTATGACTTAGACACTTTTCAGAATAATTTAAATCAATTAAATAATTGATTTAATTAAATAATTATGAAAAATGAAATGTATACAGAGATTTGTTATGAGTAAGGTTTTCCCCCCAGCCTGCCAGGTCCCAGAGCAGCGCCATCCCCAAATAACACATAGAGATGCTGTATTAGATATAAATGTTGTTGGCCAGTTACTAGTTTCTTATCAGCTAGCTCTGTCTTAATTATTAACCCATTTCTATTAATCTAAGTACTTCCATGTGGTCTTACCTTACTGGAGAGAGGGGCTGACATTCTTCTCTCCATCTTCCATCTTGGATCTCCTCCCTAGTACTTTTTCTCTCCTTCTTGTCTCCTATTCCCGCCTATCTTGTTTTCCTATTGTCCAACAGTACTTTATTCATTAACCAATAAGTATAACATATTTACAGTATAACCAGTAAGTATGATATCTCCCAAAAGAGATTCTTAGGATAACCATTGCTATGATGAAACTCCATGACCAAGGTACCTTATAAAAGGAAACATTTGTTATGAGCACTTTGCTGCCAGCCTGGTCCCAGCTGTGTCAGTCCCAAATTACACACAGAGACACTGTATTAATTGTAAAACTGTTGACTAGTTCTAACATTCCTTATTGGCTAGTTATGTCTTAAATATTAATCCATTTATATCAATCTAAGTATTTCCACGTGGTTTTATTTTACTGGAGAGATGGTCTGGACCTCTTCTCTCGAGTCCCTACATCTTAACTCCTTCTCCTACATCTCTCAGACTCCTCCTTGTCTCCTAGTCCTGCCTATCTTCCTTTCCTATTGGCTAACGGGGCTTTATTCCTGTGGGTCTTGCATGTCCAGTTTATACAGCATATAGTCAAACAGAGCAGACAAGAGCAGTATCTTACCCAATTGACTCGTCTTGCCATATTGAAAGCAAATTCCATAAGAGTTTCTTTGATATTCATCTTCATTTTTGATACAAGTGGTATTGCCAGGAGCAGTTTTGCCTTACTGTTAAGAAAAAACCTAGAGGGAGGACAAGACCAGGCTATAGAAACCCACAGAGACAGCTGATCTGAACAAGGAGGAACCAATGGGCCCCTGACTGATAGCTGGGAAACCAGCATTGGACCAACTCAGACACCCTGAACATAGGTCTGTTAGAAGGCCTGGGCAGTCTAAAGGACCTCTCACTGTGGAACCAGGATGTATCCCTGGTGCACAAAAGGACTTTGGGAGCACATTTGCCATAGAGGAATACTCTCTTAACCTAGAGCCAGGAGGGAATGCCTAGTCCCTACTCCAAATGGCTTGACAGATTTTGTTGACACCTCCTGGAAGGCATCACTGCCCTGTGGAGTGAGGGGTGGTGGTGGTCAGGAGGCATGGGAGAGATGGAGAGATGAAAGGAGTGAGGGAGTCAGGGAGGGAAAGGGAACTGGGATCAATATGTAAAATAAGAAAAAAAAATAAATTTTAAGAAAAGAAAAGTGATGTAAGGACTGTAAGAGGAATTGGGGGGTTGAAAATTTCATCATGTGCATGTATAAAACTTTCATATTATAATAAAAAGCCATATCATAGCATAAATTTTTAAATAAATAGAAAATTATCAATTAAAAGAAAAGAAAACCCTAAACCATTTTATATTCCTTATTCTGTAGGTCTTTGTTAGGTTTGAAGAATACCAGAATATCTATCTATTTGAAATATATCTCTGTATATCTAGAAAACCTAATAAACTTAACTATAAGTTTTGACTATTATAGGTAACTATCTATAATCTGTATTAAATTATACATTACATTTTTAAATGAGCTATATAAACACAATACCTAAACAAGAGGAGAAATATACATATAACAAAATTGACCTTAAATTGTATCAATAAATGAAAATCCATTCCAATAGAAGTATTCATTTCTATACCATAATCCCCTTTTTACTTTTAAAAAGATATTGGTTGCGGTCATTAAACATTTATAACCAATCCCATTTAAATGGAAACAAACATTTATAAAACAACATTTGGGAATTTTGGTGTTATTCTTTTCAAATTGTTTTTTGATGGTAGGGGCACTGTCTTGGGGATCCTACGAAGATGCAAAAATCCTGGCTGTAGTGGTCTGTAAGGTTGCCTTGTCCCAGCTGTTTTGAATGTTCGATGAACTGGGACACTGTTTCAGGGGGTCTTACTTGATCACCATGTTAGTTTGGAAGGGATCCATAGCTTTTTATTTTCTGTGGAAACAAAAATAGAAATTCTTTTCCCAAGTAACCTGTTCTTAGACTTAAATTTTGAAATCACAATATTTTTAAAATATATAAACTGGATAAATTTAGTAGCATTGATAATCAAGTGTATTTTAGTATTGTTTATTCCTTAGCAATTGAGCAATTTAAAGACAATAGCATACAGTCTCCAGAAGGTCTGTGTATTTTTCACTTTTACTTGGCTTACTACTCTATTTCTTTTATTTTTTTAATTTATTTTGACAGGGTTTCTCTGTGTAACTTTGCCTGCTTTAGAATTCACTCTGTATACCAGGTTCACTTTTAAATCATCGAGATTTGCTTGTGTCTGCCTCCCAAGTGTTGGAATTAAAGGCCTGTGACTTCATACTCTGTGTGTTATTTGGGGCTGATGCAACTGGGACCAGGATGGCAGCAAACTGCTCATAACAAAAAACATTTAATTTTGTTTCTGCTTACACTTTCAGATGTTCAGTCTATGATCATCATAGCAGAAAATATGGTGGCAGGCATGCATTCATGGTGCTGAAGCAGTAGCCGAGGGCTTGCCACCTGCTCTGTAGGCAGAAGGTGGACAATTATATTGAGTCTGGCACAGGCTTCAGATACCCCAAAGCTCACCATCAGTCACAGATGTCCTCAACACATCACACATTTTCCAACAAGGCAAACATCATCCAAAAACGATGTATTTCCTAATCCTTCCAGAACAGTTCAATAAACAGCGGAACAAGCACTCAAAGACATGAGCTTATGAGGGCAATTGTCATTCAAATTGTCACACATGGGAACACAGTTCAAAAGAATTAGTACCCAACATACTTTAATAGATTGTAATTTTAAAGTGATAGTCAAGGAGCTATGTTTACTAAATTCTGAATCAGAGACACTGGGGCCTAAAGAAGAACTCAGTTCATGGTACCCTCAGATCATCATGCATTATCAGTGGAGATGAGAGGGGGAGGCAAAGTTTAATCCTCAACTGAGAGCAATCCTGTACTGCTTCTTAATGGAATGATGTTTTAAGGTTTAAAACAGAGATCCATGCCCAGTGAAAATATCAGATGATACATGGATTGTGATAGTTCTGTCAAAAAAAAAAAAAAAAAAAGGACTTTGTTGGAACTGAGTTTTCTATATTTTTTTTTATTTCTATTTAGAGTAGCCACAATTTCAGAGCTTGAGAATTGTGTTAGTAAATGGCCCTTGGGTTTCAAGAGACAAGGTAGAGCTAGATGCTTCAGTTTGACCAGTGAATATGAACATTTTGTTGTTGCTGTTCTGTTTTCATTTTCAAGACCAGATTTCACTGTGCACCAGTACTGGATGTCCTGGAATTCAATTTGTAGCATGGTGACCTTGAACTAGTTGAGATTTGCCTGCCTTTGCCCACCAAATGCTGGGATTAAAGGTGTTTACCACCACCATCAGGCCAGGAATAGGTTCTTAGCCTATGTATGTCCCTATGTATGACACATAATATATGTTCCTGAATCACATTCTGTCAATAGGAACAAAAAAGCCAGATATGGAGGATCTATTTAATATGAATATTTATTGCATTTAGGGCATTTTCAATTGCAATTATCTCATTATTAGGCACAGGAAGTCCCACTGTGGCAGTGTCTACTCAAGGAGAAGGCAGTACACCCAGGGAACAAGGCACTGCAGCTACAAGCCCAGGAACCTCAGGTAATTGCACACATTCACCTCAATGCCTTCTGTGTGTCCAACCAGGAAAACATGACATCTGTGGTTCACATAGTAGAAAGCCAAGGAATTGAATGTTTGATTGCATTCCCCAGAATCCCTTTCAAAGCAGCAACACATTAGAATCACTGCTCTCGTTTGCCAGGTTCAACAGGAGCATCTGTAGGAACCAGCTCAGGAGATGGCAAGGGAAGCTCCCCTGGAACACCACCAGGCACTGGATTCACCGGCTCTGTCACACCATCAGGTCAGACAGGGCATCTTCAGGATCTAAGAGTGGATCAGTACATGGTTTCACAAAGATTGCCAGAAACAGTATAGACAGGAATGGCATTTGTAATATGATTAAATATATTCAAGGACTTCATTCTTGATGTATGTCACTACTAAACCCCATTCTTCTCACCAAAGGAACAAGGGGAAGAGCAGAAAAAGACAGCAGTAGATCTGAGGAAAGCACATCTGGGGAAAGTGGTGCTGAGGGTGTTCAGCTGAGGGACATAAAGCAGGATATTTTGGAGAGGGTGGTCAAAATTAATTTAGTATTTCTGATTACTAGGAATTTTCAGTTTTCCATTTGTTGCCCTATGGCCCTAGAGATATGACAGAAGCATATGTTTGGTATATTCTTAATACTTTGTGTATTGTGGTATGGATATAGAGAATGGAAGGAGGGGGTTAATTACCTCATTCTCTATCCCCTGGTAAAGATCTGCAACTATATTGAAAATTTAAAATCCAAAGAAGCAACAGAACAAGGGGGAATGCTGTGAATGGTGTTATGGGAATTAGGAAGGGCAATTTCAGTGGGATCTACCCACACCTTAGAGAAGGAAGAATATCCTAATGGACAGGATACAGCCTCATAGTTGTATGTAATGGATAGCAAGAGTCTCATTACACCAGGGATGTTTGTAGGCAAATTCATCTGTTTTGTTGTTTCTGTTTTGTTTTGCTTTTAATGAAGAAGCAAGAATAATTATTACCACCTTAAGAAAGTTTAAAACTTCTCATTATTTTGGGCTGACTTTTACATTACTAATCAGTGTCAGGCTCAACCAGGGCACCTTTTGTGTAAACTGATGAAGTAGCAGGTGTCAGCATTTCTGGGGAAGCAAACCCTGGAGCCAGAGGTTCTTGTGAGATTTGATTGGCTGCATTGGTGAAAGAGCAGTTCCACTCCATCCTTTCCAAACAATGTGCTCATTTTACAACCTTGCTATTTCTGGAATAGAGTGCACAGCTTCAGGGGAACTTGAAGGACAATGACTGACCATTGTTTCAATCAAACTTTTAAAATATTTACAGTATAGGAGGATGAATATGAATATGCTCAAAACTATCAGGTTGGTTTCAGGAACCAAAAGCATGTTAATTAAGTCCACTGATTCAATGCATTGAACACCAGATGCAAAAGCAGTCTATTAGAAGCAGCCTGAAAAAATCAGAGGGGGAGAGATAGACAGAGAGAGAGAGAGAGAGAGAGAGAGAGAGAGAGAGAGAGAGAGAGAGAGAGGTCCAAATGAATTGTGTGCATGCAGCTATTTTTCTGTGTGTGGAGATTGTTGTAGGATGGAAAAGAATGGTTAAGGATCAGATCTATTCCTCCTACTCTACAATCACAAATAGTAAGAGTTTGGGGGTATTTGAAGAGGCTGTGATCTGCTCTGAGTGTGCTTGTAGCAACGGTGACATGACGTCAACCTACCACTTGTGAGGCTGTGGAATATAAGATGAGGGTGGTATGTGCAATGATACTTGGATGACCAAATTCACTAGAGAGAATTTTGGCAATTAATGGAGGCCCCTCAACCCAGTCAGTGAATATGAATCTCCATCATAAGTGAGTTTAATGACCTTTATTTATTCTTTATATTGTGACTCTTTAAGGGAATATGTGTCTTTGTTAGGGAATGTGTCCTGTGAGTTCAGATGTTTGGGATTCTGCTGTAACTAGAGTTAGAAATTATTGCAATCCATCTTACAGGTGTTCTGAACACAAAATCAGTCTTTTAAAAGAATAGAATGTGCCCTAAGGTAACTTGACATCTCTTCAGTCCCAGTAAGGGTTTTAATTTATATTAAAATGTTTATCAGATTTTGTGAATTTCTTCAACATAACTGAACACACATGTGCCCACTAATGACCTACCTTTTGCTGTATTTGAGTTTTAAAACAAAGAGTTCCTGCCTAAGCATTTTGCTGGTTCTTGATGTGCTTAAACATGAAATAGAGAGTATGTTTTGGAAAGAAAAATCTTTAACAAGGAGCTGTTATCTATCTGTTTTCTACAAATTTGTGCTGTGTTCCCTTCTTTCATCTCACTCAAGGCATTTTATAGCATCAGTCTATGACAAGATGGGAATGTAGATTTGTCTCTGGCACATGAGATTGTGTATACCTAGAAGAGGATGCTTGTGTTTGGCTCTTGGATATGTTATATATTAGTATAAGTGACCTGCATTAGGTCACTGAATTATATGTACTAAATAAAAAATATTTGGCTGATACATGGAAATTTTGCCAAAATGAGTAAGATTAATTGTTTAATGAACTTATAATTGTTATTACTCCCTAAATTGATATAGAAGTCTCCACTAAACCTATGTCCAGTGACGAGGAAGACAGCACATCCGAGGAACAAAGACCTGGAACTACAAGCCCAGGAACCTCAGGTAATTCTAAACATGGACCTGAGTATCTGAAATGTGCACAAACTAGGACAACCAGAAGATGCGAATGATGGCAGCAGTGACATGGCCTTGTATTTAGGAAAAAGCAGGGAATGTGTGAAATGCCCCTGTCCATAAATGCTTGCACAGACTGTTTCCTGATTCATTTCAGCAAGTCTGCTGCACACAGGAAAGACTCAGATGAAAGGACATAATATCAAAAAACCCATATAATCTATGAAAATTCCAGAAAATCAAAGTTGTGGCACACAGCTTTAATCCCAGCACAGAAGATATAAACACAGGAAGCATTGTGGAAGCTGTGTCAATTGTATTATAGGAACAAGGATAAACATGGTCACTCAATATTTAATGTTGAGAAATCAAAGTGATTGCTATTTCTTAAAGGAACAACATCAATAGAATAAATTCATGATAAGAATAGTATATTTTACTGAGATTTGGAGTCACACTCCAGTTATGTTTGTATGTGGACATATCATTTTTAAGGAAAAAAAAGAACAGGCTTGCTAGTCCTTTAAGGATAAATTATAACTCCAAAGAATTTTGCTCTAACATATTTCCCCTGATGAACACAAGGCTCATCTGGGGCATCATCTGGATCGAGTCCTGGTACAGCAGGTGTCAGCACTCCTGGAGAAGCACGCACTGGAACCACAGCTTCAGGTGGGACATAGTAGCCCAGGGTGATGGTTCAGCAGTTCCTGCCTGTGTCCTGAAGAAGCAGGAGCTCCCTCATCCTCCTGGGTTTTAACTCAATGATCCTGCTGTGCCGAGAAGTGATGGGGGAATCCTAATTTCCCATTTTCATTTCCTGACCTTCATAAAATATTCCCAGAAAAAAAGGAACAGATCCAGGTCCTCAACTTCTAATTTGTTCTTCATCCTAGCATCCATGAAAACTTCTGGAAGCTCCACCACTGTGAGTCCTGAGACAACGAGACCAGTTACCACCTCTGCCAGGAGCAGTGCAGGTAAAGGAGAGAAAGCGAGATGTCTGAATTGCGTGTGGATGGAGCCTATTTTGTATATGTGGTTGGTTATTCTTTCACAATAGAAAGCAGTGCTAGGAAATTGATGATATTTCGACTATGGCATGAAAAGCTGTAATAACAGCAGTTGGATAAGTATATTGCTGTAGTTAGTTTGAGTATGCACATGGCCACAGTATTTTAGAAATGATTTCTAATGGTGCTTAGATATGAGAATCACTAGTGATAATAGTCTTATAATAAAAATGTTGCTTCTCAGACTCTTTGTGTTTCTATGTGTGTTAGAAAAAGTTTTAAAGGGATCAGTTGATTCCAATATGCAAACTCACTTCAGAGGTAGTTTGCTTATTGATTGGATATTATATACATAAATAGCAAGATAAAATTCATCCATTTTATAATGGAGCACACACATTTATTCTAAAAACTGTGTATTGTAAGAGTACAGGTTTTTTGCCTGCCGCTGTTGGTCTTGTCCCGCCGCCGCGCCAGCCCCCAAAAAAACACACTGAGACTCTGTATTAGATATAATTTTGTTGGCCTGGTTACTTGTTTTTTATTGGCTAGCTCTGTCTTCATTATTAACCCATTTTTATGTATTTTTACGTGGTCTTACCGAGAGCTGAGGAATGGCAGTTCTGTTCTCTCCAGGCTCTCCATCCTGACTCCTCCTTACTGCTTTCTCTTACCTCCTTGTCTCCTAGTCCCGCCTATCTTGTTTTCCTATTGGCCAACAGTGTTTTATTCATTAAACCAGTATGAAAAACATATACAAAATGACAACTCCCATCAGTGTATATTTTATTAATAAATATTTTATGAATATGCTACATTGGAAATGAAGAAATGTAAATGAATTTGTGGAAGAGATGTAATCAGAGTGTAGCATGACATGATATGTTTTATCAGAGGACCTAATATTCATTTCCTGTTCACAATGAAAGGAACAACTGTACCATCATCTGGTGAAACAAGTAGAGCCACTAGCAGTCAATCAACCAAGCCTGGAGAACAATCAGGTGAGCTGGTGGTGTTCAGAACTGTGGAGTCTTCACCATGTGTCTCCCTTAAAGCACAGTAACTGCAAAAATGTATAGGTATCTTGTTGACCGAATCCCAGATCATTTACTATGTCTGTGCAATAACACTGCCAGAAGAGAAAACTAACATATTTGAGACTGTCACAGAAAAATACTAGTTTAGGTATTTGGAGAATGAAATTTACTGCTTTTATCTACTCTATTTTTTGTAGGAAAAAAATAAAATGAAAAGTGGGGCCCCATCCTTGGTAACCAAATTAATCAAACTTTTAATGAGAAGTTGCTTTGGTGTTTTCTCAGGCTCTGCTGGAATATCAGGTGTTCTCACCTCCTCAGTAGGAGATGTAGGCACCACAGCAACCCTGCACTCCAGCCTTACCAGTTCTGGGACCACGGAAGGTAAACTAGTTGCAAATGAGAATCCTGACCTAAGTCTGTTATACCTCAATGCTGAACAAACACGTTTTGTTCTGATATACAATAGGAGGCTCAGTTATTCCTCATAGTAATTGAATTATAGCATCTTGAATCTTTCACAGATACATTAATGTGTCATGTGATCATTTTTTTGTTGAACCTTCCTTGAGTGTTAGAAATGCTCATGTAGATAGTGTAGGTGCTTACATTGTCTCCACCTTGTTAGAGACGCAAGTCTAGAAAAGAGAATACCAATGACACAACATTTACAGCAAGTATACAAAGCAAGCAAACAGGAGTGTGTTAAAAATATGTTAGTGAAATAATGACATGACTACCGGACATTTCTCGGGACCACTATTACCCTTATATTAGGACCTTGTAAGTTAGTGAACATTAATAGATAGGCAATGCATTTTATGTGATTATGAAAGATTTGTCCACATAAAAATGCAAAAGTAGATGTAGATATTATATTCTGAATCATCCCCCATTTTGATCTGAGTGTAAAAGCTTAAGCCTGGAAAAGAGAATGAGCTCATTCTCAAGAATCTGGACCACCCAGAGTCTTGATTTGATATATGTGACTAAGACACTTTGCAGATTAATATAAATTAATTTAATAATTTTTGAAAAATAGAACATAAACATAAGGTCTTAGTCTTGCTATTGCTGTGATAAAGCAGCATGACCAAACCAACTTAAAATGTGAACATTTAATTTGGAGCCTGCCTACAGCATCAGATGTTTAGTCTATAATCATCATAGCACAAAACATGGTTACAGAGATGTAGTCATTGTGCTGGAACAGTGGATTAAAGTTTACCTTCTATTCTGTAGGCAGAAGTCAGGAATAGAATTAAATTCAGCCTCACATGTGTTTTACATACCTCAGAGCGCAACCCCAATCACACATCTCCTTCACAGATGATGGCTCTCCAAACAAGGAAATATCCTCCAACAAAGACATGTCCCCTAATACTTCCAAAACAGTTCAATAAATGGTTTGACAAGCATTTAAATACATGCGCATTTGAGGACCATTCTCCTTCAAATCGTCACACACATGAACATAGTTTTCAGCCTCTAAAAGATTGTGATTTTAATGTGATAAATGTGAAACTGCATTTTCTTAAATCTGAATCAGAGATATTGGAGCATCTAGAAGAAATCAGTCCATGATGCCCTTGGATCATCAGGCATTAACAGTGGAGATAAGAGATGCAGAGTTAGGTCCTCAACTGATAGGGATCCCACATGGCTTCTTACAGGAGTAATGTGCTAAGGTGCAAAACAGAGCAATAACTCCAGGAAAAGATCAGATGACACAGTGGAGTGTGGTTGTTCTGCTGAAGAAGACTTTCTTTGGACTTGAGCCTTCCTTAAAGCTTTTCCATGTCTCTTTACCTTGACTAATATCGCAAAGCATAAATATGTAACAGCTTGAGAATGGTGTTTTAGTTTTGCCCATGTGTTTAAGAAGACAAGATGGAGGTATTGCTTATGTTTGACATATGAATGTGTTCTTATCAGTGACCTGATATATGTTCCTTAATCACATCCAATCAACAGGAAAAAGAAGGCCAGATAGACATTATCTAAACAATATGAATTATTTTATTTGTGTTTAGGGCATTTTCAATTGCAATGTTCTCATTATTAGGCACAGGAAGTCCCACTGTGGCAGTGTCTACTCAAGGAGAAGGCAGCACACCCAGGGAACAAGGCACTGCGGCTGCAAGTCCAGGAACCTCAGGTAATTGCACACATTCACCTCAATGCCTTCTGTGTGTCCAACCAGGAAAACATGACTGCTGTGGTTCACATAGTAGAAAGCCAAGGAATTGAATGTTTGATTGCATTCCCCAGAATCCCTTTCAAAGCAGCAACACATTAGAATCACTGCTCTCGTGTTTGCCAGGTTCAACAGGAGCATCTGTAGGAACCAGCTCAGGAGCTGGCAAGGGAAGCTCCCCTGGAACACCACCAGGCACTGGATTCACCGGCTCTGTCACACCATCAGGTCAGACAGGGCATCTTCAGGATCTAAGAGTGGATCAGTACATGATTTTACAAAGATTGCCAGAAACAGTATAAATAGGAATGGCATTTGTAATATGATTAAATATACTCAAGGACTTCATTCTTGATGTATGTCACTATTAAACCCCATTCTTCTCATGAAAGGAACAAGGGGAAGATCAGAAAAAGACAGCAGTAGATCTGAGGAAAGCACATCTGGGGAAAGCACATCTGGGGAAAGCACATTGGGGAAAGAGGTACTGAGGGTGTTCAGCTGAGGGATATCAAGATTGAGATTTTGGACAGGATGTTCAAAACTAATCCAGTCTTCCTTTTTCCTGGGAAGTTCCAGTTTTCCATTTGTTGCCCTGTGGCCCTACAGATATGATAGAAACACATATGTTTTATATATTCTTAACATTTTGTCTGTTGTGGTATGGGATGTAGAGAATGGAAGGAGGGTGTCAATTACTTCAATCTCCATTCCCTGGTAAAGATCTGCAATTATATTGGAAATTCAAAAACCAAAGAAGCAAATAAACAGGGAGGAATCGTGTGAATGGTGTTATGGGAATGAGGAAGAGCTCTTTTAGTTAAGTCAGTGTTTAATACTGAGGGAAATACCCAGATAGTAGAAAAGGAAGAATATTCTAATGGACAGGATACAGCCTCATACCTGTATGTAATGGACAGTAAGAGTCTCATACCACCAGGGATGTTTGTAGGCAAATTCATCTTTTTTGTTTGTTTTTAATGAATAAGCAGGAATATTTATTACCACCTTCAGAAAGTACCAATTTTGCATTATGTTGGGCTGACTTTTACTCTACTAATCAGTGTCAGGATCAACCAGGGCACCTTTTGAATCAACTGATGAAGCAGCAGGTGTCAACATTTCTGGGGAAGCAGACTCTGGAGCCAGAGGTTCTTGTGTGATTTGATTGGCTGCATTGGTGGAAGAGCAGCTCCACTCCATCCATTCCAGACACTGTGCTCATTTTACAACCTGGCTCAATCTAGATTAGAGTGCACATCTTCAAGAGAGCTTTGAGGACAATGACTGTTCATTGTTTTAATAGAACTTCGAAAACATTTAAGTATGGGAGGAGGGATCTGATGATGCTCAAAACTATCAACTTGTTGGTTTCAGGAACCATAAGCATGCTGGTGAAGTCCATTGATCTAATCCATGGAACACCAGCTGCAAAAATATCATCTATTAGCAGAAATTTGAGAACATGAAAGAGAGAGAGATAGAGAGGGGCAGAGAGAGAAAACAGAGAGAGAGAGACACAGATGTTCAAAGGAATTGTGTGCACACAGCTGTTTTTCTGTGCAGAGTTTGTTGTAGGATAGAAAAGAATGGTTATGTATCAAACCTTTTCCTCCTATTCCATAATCATAAGTAGTGAGAGTCTGGTGGTATTTAAGGAGGCTGTGATCTGTGCAGGGTGTGCTTATAGCCACAGTGACATGGCAAACCTTATTACTGTGGAAAATAGGATGAGATTGGGATATACAATGACATTTGTATGACCAAATAGAGAGAATTTTGGCAATTATTGTAGGTTCTTGAACACAGTTATTGAATATGGACCTCCATCAAAAGTAATTTTAATGACCTTTATTTTTTTCTTATAATTTGACTCTTTACGGGCATATGTGTTTCCGTTAAGGAACGTCCAGTGAGGCCAGATGTTTGGTTTTCCTATAACTAGAGTTAGAAATGATTTTGACCCATCTTACAGGGGTTCTGGGCACAAAATACGTCTTTTAAAAGAGTAGATTGTGTCCTAAGATACCTTGACATCGCTCAGTCCCAATAAGGGTTTTAATTTATATTTTTAAAATGTTTGTTAAACTTTGTGAACTTCTTACAACATATTTGAACATACATGTTCCCTTCTGTCAATTCCTTCCATTTCTGTAAGTATTACCATTCCTTTTAACGTCCTTGATTTTTAAAACCAAGGGTCCCTGGCTGTGCATTTTGTTGGTTCTTGAGTGCTGAAACACGAAATAGCATGTATGTTCTTGGAAAGAAACAACTGTAACAAGGGACTGTAATCTCTCTGTTGACCATAGATTTTTGCTGTATTCCCTTCTTTCATCTCACTCAAGGCATTTTATAGCATCAGTCTATGACAAGATGGAAATGTAGATTTGTCTGTGGCATATGAGTACATGTATATATAGCTACAAGAGGATGCTTGTGTTTGGCTCTTGGATATGTTGTATATTAGTCAAAGTGATCTTCATTAGGTCACTGAATTTTATGTAGTTAACACACATAATTTGATTGATATATGAAACTTTTGCTAATATGAGTAAGATTACTAGTTTAATGAATTTAAAATTGTTATTTTTCCCTAAATTGCTATAGAAGTCTCCACTAGACCTACATCCAGTGATGAGGAAGACAGCACATCAGAGGAACAAAGACCTGGAAATACAAGCCCAGGAACCTCAGGTATTTCTAAACATGGACCTGAGTATCTGAAATGTGCACAAACTAGGACAACCAGAAGATGCGAATGATGGCAGCAGTGACATGGCCTTGTATTTAGGAAAAAGCAGGGAATGTGTGAAATGCCCCTGTCCATAAATGCTTGCACAGACTGTTTCTTGCTTCATCTCAGCCAGTCTGCTGCACACATTAAAGATTCAGCTGAAAGAACTTAGTGTCAAAAAACCCTTATAATCTATGAAAATTCCAGAAAATCAAAGTTGTGGCACACAGCTTTAATCCCAGCACAGAAGATATAAACACAGGAAGCATTGTGGCAGCTGTGTCAATTGTATTATAGGAACAAGGATAAACATGGTCACTCAATATTTAATGTTGATAAATCAAAATGATTGCTATTTCTTAAAGGAACAACATCAATAGAATAAATTCATGATAAGAATAGTATATTTTACTGAGATTTGGAGTCGCACACTCCAGTTGTGTATGTGTGTGGACATATCATTTTTAAGGAAAAAAAGAACAGGATTACTAGATTTTTCAGCATAATTATTACTCTAAAGAATTTTGCTCTAACATATTTCCCCTGATGAACACAAGGCTCATCTGGGGCATCATCTGGATCGAGTCCTGGTACAGCAGGTGTCAGCACTCCTGGAGAAGCACACACTGGAACCACAGCTTCAGGTGGGACACAGTAGCCCAGGGTGATGGTTCAGCAGCTCCTGCCTGTGTCCTGAAGAAGCAGGAGCTCCCTCATCCTCCTGGGTTTTAACTCAATGATCCTGCTGTGCCAAGAAGTGATGGGGGAATCCTAATTTCCCATTTTCATTTCCTGACCTTTATAAAATATTCACAGAAAAAAAGGAACAGAACCAGGTCCTCAACTTCTAATTTGTTCTTCATCCTAGTGTCCATGGAAACTTCTGGAAGCTCCACCACTGTGAGTCCTGAGGCAACAACGAGACCAGTCACCACCTCTGCCAAGAGCAGTGCAGGTAAAAAGAGAAAGTGAGGTGTCTGAATTGTGTGTGGATGGAGCCTATTTTGTGTATGTGGTGGGTTATTCATTCACAGTAGAAAGGAGTGCTAGGAAATTGATGATATTTGGATTACTACATGAAAAGCTGTAATAACAATGGTTGGATATGTATATTGCTGTTGTTAGCCTGAGTGTGCACATGGCCACAGTGTTTTGAGAAATCATTACACTTGTAAGGCTTTGGCTTATTGAATTGGGAATATGATTTCTAATGGGGCTTAGAAAGGAGAATCTCTAGTGATAATAGTCTTTTAATGTAAATGTTGGTACTTTCAGACTCTTTGATTTTCTATGTGTGTTAGAAAGATTTAAAAAGGGAAGGGGTCAGTTGACTCCATTGTGCAAACTCACTTCAGAGGTACAGAGCTTAGTGATGGGATATTAAATACATCATAGTTAGCAAGCTAAAATTCATCCATTTTATAATGGCACACACATTTATTCTAAAAACTGTGTGATTAATTTATTTTGGAAATGCTACATTGGAAATGAAGAAGTATAAATGAATAAGTGGAAGAGATGTGAAATCAGAGTGTAGCATGACATGATGTGCTTTAGCAGAGGTCCTAATATTCATTTCCTGTTCAAAATGAAAGGGACCACTGTACCATCATCTGGTGAAACAAGTAGAGCCACTAGCAGTCAATCAACCAAGCCAGGAGAAAACTCAGGTGAGCTTGTGGCATTCAGAACTGTGGAGTCTTCACCATGTTCCTCCCTTAAAGCATAGTAGCTGCATAAATATATGGACATCTGGTTGACCCATCCCAGATCCTTTACTGTGTCTGTGCAATAACAGTGCCAGAAGTAAAAAGTAACATATTTGAAACTATCACAGAAGAATACTAGTTTAGGAATCTCCAGAATGACATTTACTGCATTCATCTACTCTACTTTCTTAGGAAAAATAAAATGAAAAGTGGGACCCCATCCCTGGTTACCAGGTTATTCCCAAATTTTAATGAGAATTTCCTTTGGTGTTTTCTCACGCTCTGCAGAAAGGTCAACTACTCTCACCTCCTCAGTGGGAGTTGCAGGCACCACATCAACCCTGCACTCCAGCCTCCCTAGTTCTGGAACCACGGAAGGTAAAATAATTGTGAATGAGAATCCTGACCTAAGCCTGTTATACCTCAATGCTAAACAGAAATATTTTTTTCTGATATACAACAGCAGGCTCTGTTATTCCTCATATTAATTGAATTATAGCATCATGATTCTTCCACAGATACATTAATGTGTCATGTGATCAATTTTTTTCAACCTTCTTTGAGTGTTGAAAATACTATTGTAGATAGTGTAGGTGCTTACATTGTCTCCACCTTGTTAGAGACACAAGTCTAGAATTTTCAAATGTAGTGAAAGCAACAACCAATAGAAAAGAGAATACCAATGACACAACATTTATAGCAAGTATACAAACCATGTAAAGAGGAATGCGATAAAAATATGTTAGTGAAATGATGACATGTCTACATGACATTTCACAGGACCCCTATTAACTTTACACTAGGACCTTATAGGTTAGTGAACATTAATAGATAGGCAATGTCTTTTATGTGATTATGAAAGATTTGTACACATAAAAATGCAATTTTAGATACAGATGTCATATTCTGAATCCTCCTCTATTCTGTGATCTGAGGGTAAAAGCTTAAGCCCAGAATGGAGGATGAGCTCATTCTCAAGAATCTGGATCCTCCAGAGTCTTGACTTGAAATATGTGACTGAGATACCTTGCAGGTTAATATAAATTAATTTAATAATTTTTGAAAACTAGAAAGTACACAGAAGGTCTTAGGCTTGCTATAAGGCAACTTATAAAGTGAACATTTAATTTGGAGCCTGCCTACAGCTTTAGATGTTTAGTCTATAATCATCATAGCACAAAACTTGGTTACAGAGATGTAGTCATCGTGCTGGAACAGTGGCTGAAGGCTTACCTCCTCTTCTATGGGCAGATTGTAGGGGAAAAAAAATAAATTCTGCCACGTAAGGGTTTTAAATACCTCAGAGCTCAATCCCTATCACACATCTCCTTCACAGATCATAGTTCTCCAAACAAGGAAACATCCTCCAACAAAGACATACATGTTAATATTCCAAAACAGTTCAGTAAACAGTGTGAAAAACATTCCAATACATGTGCATTTGAGAACCATTCTCCTTCAAAACGTCACACAAATAGTTCAAGAGAATTAATAATCTGTCATCCTCAAAAAATTGTAATTTTAATGTGATAGCTGTGAAGCTGCATTTTCTTTAATCTGAATCAGAGATATTGGAGCATCTAGAAGAAATCAGTCCATGATGCCCTTGGATCATCAGGCATTAACAGTGGAGATAAGAGATGCAGAGTTAGGTCCTCAACTGATAGGGATCCCACATGGCTTCTTACAGGAGTAATGTGCTAAGGTGCAAAACAGAGCAACAACTCCAGGAAAAGATCAGATGACACAGTGGAGTATGGTTGTTCTGCTGAAGAAGACTTTCTTTGGACTTGAGCCTTCCTTAAAGCTTTTCCATGTCTCTTTACCTTGACTAATATCGCAAAGCATAAATATGTAACAGCTTGAGAATGGTGTTTTAGTATTGGTCCATGTGTTTAAGAAGACAAGATGGAGGTATTGCTTATGTTTGACATATGAATGTGTTCTTAACCAGTTCAGTGACCTGATATATGTTCCTTAATCACATCCAATCAACAGGAAAAAGAAGGCCAGATAGACATTATCTAAACAATATGAATTATTTTATTTGTGTTTAGGGCATTTTCAATTGCAATTATCTCATTATTAGGCACAGGAAGTCCCACTGTGGCAGTGTCTACTCAAGGAGAAGGCAGTACACCCAGGGAACAAGGCACTGCGGCTGCAAGTCCAGGAACCTCAGGTAATTGCACACATTCACCTCAATGCCTTCTGTGTGTCCAACCAGGAAAACATGACATCTGTGGTTCACATAGTAGAAAGCCAAGGAATTGAATGTTTGATTGCATTCCCCAGAATCCCTTTCAAAGCAGCAACACATTAGAATCACTGCTCTCGTGTTTGCCAGGTTCAACAGGAGCATCTGTAGGAACCAGCTCAGGAGCTGGCAAGGGAAGCTCCGCTGGAACACCACCAGGCACTGGATTCACCGGCTCTGTCACACCATCAGGTCAGACAGGGCATCTTCAGGATCTAAGAGTGGATCAGTACATGGTTTTACAAAGATTGCCAGAAACACTATAGATAGGAATGGCATTTGTAATATGATTAAATATATTCAAGGACTTCATTCTTGATGTATGTCACTATTAAGCCCCATTCTTCTCACCAAAGGAACAAGGGGAAGAGCAGAAAAAGACAGCAGTAGATCTGAGGAAAGCACATCTGGGGAAAGCACATCTGGGGAAAGCACACTGGGGAAAGAGGTACTGAGGGTGTTCAGCTGAGGGATATCAAGCAGGAGATTTTGGACAGGATGTTCAAAACTAATCCAGTCTTCCTTTTTGGAGGATTTTTCAGTTTTCCATTTGTTCCCCTGTGGCCCTAGCGATATGACAGAAACCATATGTTTGGTATATTCTTAATACTTTGTGTGATGTAGTATGGGATGTTGAGAATAGAAGGAGGGGGTTAATTACCTCAAATACACCCCTAGTAATGGTCTGCAATTATATTGACATTTTAAAAACCAAAGAAGCAAACGAACAGGAACAGGGAGGAATGGTGTGAAATGTGTTATGGAAATGAGGAAGGGCTCTTTTAGTTAAGTCAGTGTTTAATACTGAGAGATCTACCCAGATGTTAGAGGAGGAAGAATATCTTAATGGACAGAATATAGCCTCTTAGCTGTGTGTAATTATCATCAAGGAACTCATACCAACAGGGATGTTTGTAGGTAGATTAATCTGTTTTGTTTGTTTCTTTGTTTTGTTTTTAATGAAGAAGCAAGAATAATTATTACCACCTTCAGAAAGTACCAATTTCGCATTATTTGGTGCTGACTTTTACCCTACTAGTCAGTGTCAGGCTCAACCAGGGCACCTTTTGAGTCAACTGATGAAGCAGCGGGTGTCAACATTTCTGGGGAAGAAGACCCTGGAGCTACTGGTTCTTGTGTGATTTGATTGGCTACATTGGTGAAAGAGCAGCTCCACTCCATCCTTTCCAGACACTATGCTCATTTTACAACCTGGCTCAATCTGGATTAGAGTGCACAGCTTCAAGAGAGCTTTGAGGACAATGACTATTCGTTGTCCAGTGAGCCCAGAAGTTTGGGATTCTCCTGTAACTAGAGTTAGTAATGATAGTGAACCATCTTACAGGGGTTCTGAGCACAAAATAAGTCTTTTAAAAGAGTAGAATGTGCCCTAAGATACCTTCACATCGCTCAGTCCCAATAAGGGTTTTAATTTATATTTTTAAAATGTTTATCAAACTTTGAGAATTTCTTACAACACATTTGAACATGCATGTGCCCTTCTGTCGACTCCTTCCATTTCTGCCACTGTCCCTTTTGCAGTCGTTAGGTTTTAAAACCAAAGATTCCTGCATGTGCATTTTCTGGTTTCTGGTGTGCTGAAATACGAAATAGAGTATATGCTCTTGGAAAGAAACATGTTTATCAAGGGGCTCATCTCTCTGTTGTCCATGGATTTGTACTGTGTTCCCTTCTTTCATCTTACTCAAGGCATTTTATAGCATCAGTCTATGACAACATGGGAATGTAGATTTGTCTCTGGCACATAAGTTTGTGATTAGCTAGAAGAGGATGCTTGAGTTTGGCTCTTGGATGTGTTGTATATTAGTAAAAGTGACCTGCATTAGGTCACTGAATTATATGTAATCAACACAAATAACTTGACTGATATATGAAATTTAGGCCAATATGAGTAAGATTATTTGTTTAATGCATTTATAATTGTTATTTCTCCCTCAATTGATATATAAGTCCCCACTAGACCTGGAATTACAAGCCCAGGAACCCCAGCTAATTTCAAACATGGACTTGAGTATCGGAAATGCTCACAAACTAGGAAAACCAGAAGATACCAATGATGAGAGCAGTGACAGCCTTGTGTTTAGGAAAGAGCAGGGAATGTGTGAAATGCCCCTTTGCAAATTTGCTTCCACAGACTATTTCCTCCTTCATCTCAGCAAGTCTACTGCACACAGTAAAGAGTCAGCTCAACAGGGCCAAGTCTCAAACAATAAAATAATCTAGGAAAATTCTAGAAGAACCACAAGGACCATGTCAACAGCTATTAAGGATATGGTCATTTTGGATCATGTCATTCCATAATTGTGCTTAGACATGTACTGTGACATTTTTAAATATATTCATTATTTAATCTTAATTTTTAATTCATGTTATAAATGCTGCATTCAAAGCTTCAGTTCCCTATGACTGGAATGTTTATAAAACTAATTTTTCTGCACAGAGCTTGAGAACTAGAGGTTTGGGTAGAAATTCAAGGCCTAGACCGCTTGAGTTTGATTCTTAGGCTTACAATAAATCAATATGGCCCAGGAATTTCACCAAGGATGGTAAAATGGGATATTCTGCTGTGGATATTGATGAGAATGTTCAATGTGTTGATGACATCTGGGGTAATTTTAAATGCCAATTTCTTCTAACAGCAGGCACTACCACAACCACACCAAGTGGTAAAGAAGGCAGCACACCTGGAGATAATAGCTCTAGAGTTACCAGTGCAGAAGTGCCAGGTAGGCCAGGGGTTGCACATCTACACCTATAATGGGGAAAGTGTCACAGTGGGATATAGAAGATATGGTGAATGTGCACAGATGCAATTGTGTCACATTTCCTAATCTCCAACTCTGGAACAAGAATATGTTGAAACTCCACTACCCAGTTAGTCAGTCAGGGCCTAAGATAGGATAGGTCATGCATGTGATCACAGCAGAACTATGAGTGTGAGCAGAGCAGAACCAGGAGTATGAGCACAGCAGGGCCATGAGTGTGAGCACAGCAAGACCGTGAGTGTGAGCACAACAGGACCATGACTGTGAGTGAGCATAGCAAGACCATGAGTGTGACCGCACAGCAAGACCATGAGTGTGAGCACAACAGGACCATGAGTGTGAGTGACACAGCAGGACCATGAGTATGAGTATGCAAGACCATGACTTTCAGCCTAGCAGGATTTGACTGTGAATACAGCAGGTCCATGTTATATGAGTACAGTAGGACCAGGAGTATGAAAATGGCAGAGGCATTAGCCTCTGCTGCCCATGTAAGCACAACATAGTGTCCCCCCACATGGATCCAGGTCATCTGTCTCCAGGATTTAGAGTGGGATAATGAGGGTGAGGAAAGGAGATTAGGGACAACTTTGAAGGAACTAGGGCTATGAAGGAGTGATAGAAGACCCTGGAGATGATTTTCTTTACTGTTCAATTCAGAAAGCTCCTTTTACCCCTCAGCCACAGGTGGAATAACAAGTGCACCAGCTTCTGGAGCCACTGCAGAAAGCACATCTGGAAGAACAGGTAATGAGAGGCAGGGGCAGGTGATGAGCAAGCAGGAGGCCTGAAAGCTCAGTGTCCTGATTCCATTGATAAAAGATTTCCTGGACATCTGTCACATTGTTTCCATTGTGAGGCCAAGTACTCCATAGGCTAGAAAGATAATAAAGTTATTTGTTGCATTCTGAGTAATCTAGGGAATCTGTGAAGCATGATAGGTTGATGCCAATTGCCTCAGAGATGAGAAATCGTTTAAATCTACAGATTGTATTCCTACTACTCTATATGGTGCTATGTGAAATACAGAAAAATATGAAGTAGGTATTTATCTCCCCACTCTGCTATTTTATTCTCATAATTAGTTACCTCCCCATTTGTCATTCAAGAGCCTTCATCTGGTAATTGATGAAAACAATTGCATAAAACCACTGTCATGCATTTGGGCTGAGCTCAGGGAGTCATGCTGAAGAGAGGGAGTGAGGATTGGAGAAGCCAGTAGTGGGGTGTTGAGGACATCACAAAGGAACTCACACAAACAACTAACATGGCTCATAAGAGCTCACATATTCTGAACCAACAATCAGGGAACCTCCATGGGACCAACCTAGGCTCTCTCCATATATGTGACAGTTGTGTAACTTGGTCTACTTGTGGGACTCCTAATAGTGGGAACAGGGATTGTTCCTAATGCTTTTATTGGCTTTTGGTAACTTATTCCTCATACTGGGATGCCTTGCCCACCCTTAATGGGAGGGGAGGTGCTTAGTACTACTGCAACTTGATAAGCCAAGGTTGGTTGATACCCATGGGAGGCCTGACCTTTCTGAACAGAAACAAAGACAAAGTGGATTGGGGAGTGAAGGGGAAGTAAGAACAGGGACTTGAAAGAGAAGAGGAAGGGAAAACTGAACAGAATGTATAATTTAAAAAAAAAATAGTATGATCATAAAATAACTATCCAGACAGAAATAATTGTGGGAGCTGTGTCAATGGTATTATAAGCAAGAGGAAAAATGAGATCACTCAATGGTGAATATTGAGAAACTGACATGATTCTTGTTTCATAAAGTATGAAAACATTAGTAAAAATGGTATGATTAGCTAGGATCTGGAGTCTCACTCCACAGTTATGAATTTTTGTAGATAAGTGATTTTTCAGGGAAAAGCAGACAGGCTTGGTAGTCCTTTTATGAAAGTTGAATTCACAGAAACTCAGTGTAACATTTGTTCCCTTGATCAACAAGGATCACCCGAGGCATCATCTGGATCCAGCCCTGGTACAGCAGGTGTCAGCACTCCTGGAGAAGCAAGCACTGGAGCCACAGCTTCAGGTGGGAGACAGCAGGTTGGGGTAATGATCCAGTAGCCCCTGCCTGTGCTCTGATGAAGGGGGAGCTCCCTTGTCCTCCTGGGGTTTAACTGAATGATACTGTGGTGCTGAGAAGAGCAGGGGGCTCAAAATTTTCCATTTCCATTCCCTGGACTCCTAAAATATTCAAAGGAAAACAATCAGGTCCTCAACTTCTAATTTGTTCTTGATTCTAGGAACCATAAACACTTCTGGAGTCTCCACCACCATGAGACCTGAAACATCGACTAGGTTACTCACAGCCTCTGCTAGTGGCCGTACAGGTAAAGCAGAGAGACCTGTCTGACTTGGGTGTAATGTGTGGAGCCCATTATCTGGACATAGTTATTGGTACACGATAAAAATGAGTAGTAGGAAACTTATACTGTAGGGACTACTGCATGAAAAGCTATAATAACAGATGTGGAATAGATAATATTTCTCTAGTTAGCCTGAGTGTTAACATAGCCAGTGTTTTGAGAATCCCTTACATCTTGGGAGGCTTTGGCTATTGGAATGGGAATGTGACTTTTAATGGGGCTTAGATAGGAGAATCACTAGTGATATTTTTGTAATACAAATAGAGGGACTTTCAGACTCATTGACATTGAAACTGTTTGGGAAACAATTTTAAAAGCATTAATATATTACACTGTGCAGCCTCATTTCAGAAGCACTGAGTTCAGCTTAGGGACATCAAACAAACAAACAAACAAATAAATGGCAAGCTAAAATGCATCTAGTAAAAATTGGATCATATTCAATTATTATAAAAACTGTACATATTTTATGATTGAATGTTGTGAATGCTGAGTTAGAAAGGAAGAAGTGAAAAGACATATATGGAAGAGATGTGGTATCAGAGATCAGTGTTTCCATGATGTGTTTTGCCAGAGGTCCTAATATCCATTTCCTGTTTACTCTGAAAGGAACCACTACACCATCACCTGGTGAAACAACTAGAGCATCTAGCAATCAATCAACTCAGCCTGGAGAACAATCAGGTGAGAAGGTGGTGTTGACAATTGTGGAGTCATCACCCTGTTTCTCACTTAAAGCACAGAAACTGCATCAAATATATGGCCATATGGTTGACCCAATCCCAGATCCTTAATGTGTCTGTGTAAAAATAGTGCCAGAAGAGAACACTAACATATTTGAGCCTATCATAATAGAATTATAGTTTAGGAAACCCCAGAATGACATTTACTGTATACACCTGTTATATTTTCTTGAGGACAAAGAATATGAAAGTTTATTCCTCTGCTGGTAAATGCATCTATCTAAACTTTAATTGAGTATTCCCTTTGATATTTTTGGGGCTCTATTGAAACCACAGCTCCAATTAACTCCTCAGTTGAAAGTGCAGGAACAAAAGCAAACCTACAACCAAAATTCACAGAAGGCAAACTCAGTTGTGATTGAGAATCCTGGCCCAGACTGTTATACATGAATGTTTAACAGATATTTCTTTTTCTAAAATACAATGCCATACATAGTTATTCCTTGTATTTAACTGAGTCATAATATCTTTAATCTTTCATAATTGCTTTAGCTGATCACGTTACAATTTTATGTTCCTCCTTTCTTGAGTAGACACTTAAGCTGCTATTTTTTCTGTATCAGCAACAACTCTAGAGTCTTTGAGAGTAACCACAACAACAGGCAAAGGGGAAGGAAATGGTAATGACACAGAATTCAGAGGAGGTAAGACTATATAATCAGTCAATAGAAAAATTGTAAAAATATGTTAATAAAATTATCATATCATTATTTCACACTTCAGAGTTTCCCTACTAGCCACACATGTACCTTGTAAGGTAGTAAACTTTAATGGCTAGGTGATAACATTTCTGTGATTTGAGATATTATTAAATGTACAAGATACAAAAGCAACATTAGATCTACCTCATCATCTGTCATTTGTTGGTCAAAGCTGAAACCAACAAAAGATGAAGAAAATGTGCTTGTCCTTGTGAATCTAGGATATTGACAATCATGTATCAAAACATATGACATAGAGATATTGTAGGACAGTATTCATTAATAAGATAATTTGTTGACAAATAGAATTTACAGAGTGCCTTAATTAGGATTACTATTGCTATCTATCATGAAATCCCATGGCTAAGGCAACTTATAAAATGAAACTTTAGCTGGGGCCTTGCTTACAGTTTCAGAGTGTTAGTCTCTGACCATCATGACAGGGAACATGGAGGCAGGCATACAGTCATAATGCTGGAAAAATAGTTGAGACCGTATATGCTACTCTTTAGGAAAAAGGTAGGAAAAGATCTAGATTGGTCCTGATTTGGGTTTTTGAGACCAGAAAACGCAACACCAGAGGTACACCTCCTCTCAGAAAGGCACATTTCCTTCAACAAAGCCATATTTCCAATCAAGGCTACATATACTCCAACAAGGCCAAATCTTCTAATTTTTTTCAAAAAAGTTCTACTAACTGGAGAACTATCATTCAAATATATGAGCATCTGGGGACCACTCTTATTCAAACTATCACACATAAGGAACATAGTTCAAATGACTAAGTAATCCGGCTCCTTTAAGGATTTTATTTCTTTTCTTTCTTTTTTTTTTTTTTTGAGGGGGGGTGTTCAAGATAGGCTTTCTCTATGTAGCTCTGGCTGTCCTGGAACTCACTCTATAGACCAGATTGGCCTCAAACTCACAGAGATCCGCCTGTCTCTGGGTCCTGAATGCTGTGATTAAAGGCATGTGCCACCATGCTGGGCAACTGATTGTGATTTTAAAATGATATCCATGAACCCACATTTCCACAAGGTCTGAATCAGTTTGCTGGGACCTTAAGAAAAACTCAATCACTGTGCCCTTTGATTATCAGGCTCTGTCAGTGGTAATGAGGGGAGATGTGAAATTGGGTTCTAGGCTGAGAGCCATTACAAGGTACTTCTTACAGGAGTAAGTACTAAGGCCTGAAACTGAGCCCATTCTCTTGGGAAACATCCAACTGACACAGTGGGGTAGTGTTTGCATTTTTATTAATTTTCTTTATTTTTTTCTTTTCTATTTAGTTTGACAACAACTTCAAAGAATAAATCTGTCATAGCTTCAATTGTTATTTATATTGGTCATTGGCTCATATGTTTAAGGAGTCCAGCTGGATCTAGATGCCTGAGTTTGATTTGTGAACTTTTTAGGGCTTGTGTCCCTGAATCACATCCAAACATATCCAAGGAACAATAAGTGCAGTTATATCAGATCTAAATAGTATAAATATTTTATTTGTGTCTAGGGTTCAATTGCTATTTTCTCATTAGTAGGTACAAATGGTCCCACTAGGCCAATGCCTACTCAAGGAAAAGCCAGCACACCGAGGGTACAAGGCTCTGAAGCTACCACTCTAGGAACCTCAGGTAATTCCAGACATGCCCTGGGGTGTCATGAATATGTTCAATCAGGAAAACATGAAGGCTGTTGTAGATGTGGAAATGGAGAACATTGAAGTTTGACTGCATTTCCGAGAATCCTCTCAAAGCAGCAGCAGGCATATGAAAATCCATTGCTGTTGTTTGCCAGGTTCGACAGGAGGATCTGTGGGAACCAGCTCAGGAGCAGGCCAGGGAAGCTCACCTGGAACAGCAGGCACAGAGACCTCCATCTCTATTACACCACCAGGTCAGGCAAGGGGTCGGTGCTCTCCCTGCTCTGCTACCCTTTCATATCTCCACCTCTTTTCTCCACATACCCCTTTCCTACTTTATTCCATTTTCTTCCCCTTTCTTAAGACCACTTTTTCCTAGCCTCATGGACCATTTTCTTGTTCTTGGCCTTTACTCACATTTCCTCCCATCTAGATATATTTATTTCACAGCTGGAGGCTGGGATCCACACATGAGAGTGTTGTGTTTGTCTTTCTGAGTCTAGGTTACTTCAAGTTTGTCCTTTCCTTCCATCCATGTTCTGGCATACTTCATAATCCTTTGTACCATATTTTTATTACCAGCTTCTCTGTCAACAGATATCTAGACTGATTCTAGTTCCTTACTATTGTAAAAATAGCAACATTAAATGGATATAGAGTTGCCACTGTAGTAGGTTATACAGTCCTTTGGGTATCTATCCAGAGCTTACTTTTCGATAAGGGGTGTTGTTAGCAGAAGTTAAAAAGTAATAGATTTATCCTATTTTTAGAAGACCATATTACCAGTGTATGATGAGGCTGGGAAACACCTTAAGTAATGTCTCAGCACAAAGGAAAGTGCCACATAGTTTTAGGGCTATGTCCAATTTCGGAGACCTCAAGGACATATATATTTTAGGTGTCAGGAAGGCAGAAGTGAAAATAGTCTCTAAGCTTAGACTATGTTTCTGCAAAGTGGAAAACAATAAAAATGAACCTGTTGGATAAATATTAAAGCAGTGTGAGATGCACAGCAATCTACTAAAGGATACAACCTATTGCATGCATATTCCCAGTATAATCACTAAAATCCCTCAAGTGGGAGGTCTTAATAGAATCATTTATTTAAAAATGGGACATACTAAATTCCCTCTGGAAAGAATGTGGGTGCACTGTTTATGAATGTGTCTGGGGAGGACTTTTCTTATCCTATCTTTTAAATGTCATGTCTCTCTCTGTTTCAATGTCTAACCACTTGCCTAAATATTTCCATTTACTGGAAATACTTCTACAAAAAGCACTAAAGAGTTTAGTGACAAGATCTGTTTGATCCTGAATGTGTACCTGTGCTCACAGAACAGCAGCACACAGGTTCAAGGCACCAATGGGGTTTTGTCTCATGAAAGGTGGGACATTGATAGATATATACAATAGAATACACAGGTATTTCTATCAGTCACAAAGAGGGACACAAAGTCTATATCTGGAGGACTTTAGACAGGACAGAAAATATCCCAGAGACTGGGAAGGACCCCCCCACCCCTTAGGAAACAACACTGAGATTACTCACAATAGGGGTGAGATGCCATCAAAGGCATCAATAGAGGGACAGATGGGGAGATCCCATCAGTGGCAGAGCATCAAATAGAGTTCCAAGTCAGAAGAAATCAGTCCCTTCTTGGAAGAAAAGTACTAGGAGAATATCAGAGATTATCAAGGGAGATCATTCATGGAGTTGGAAGAATGAAAGTTGGAGAGTGCATAGAAAAATAACTGAGCACCTATTGGTAATACTGACCTTACCTAGAGCAGAGGGAGGCATTTTGGAATGTGGATGAATCCCTGTGTGGTCTGGGTATCAAAGGAAATAATGATGCATGGGAAGACAAAGTTGTATGATACCTGTTAACAGAAGTCAGATGAAGGAAAAGACACACTTACATATTTTTTAAAACTTCCTTTTCTATAAGATATAGAAGGGAGCCCTTGGCCTGAGAAACATGGGTCATACAGGAAGCTTATCTTTCGCTACATAGATCTCCTGCTACTATGCCACCACAGAAACCAAATCCACAACAAGGGGAAAGAGAACTCCAATGTCTGCACATAATCTTTGTGCAGTTTTTCCTTTGTGTGAATTAAAAATTTTGGCAATAACAAGGAAGTTCTAAAAAAAAACAGCAGTAAGTTTACATAAAAACATAAGGATATAAAGAGATGTAAAATAAGAATTTGGAAACTTGCAGTAAAATATATGAAGAGTGTAATATCAAAGAGCAATCAATGAAAAATAAGGAGGAATATTAGAGAGAAATAAAGATTCTGCAAACATGAAGGATAAATACCAAGTTGCCCAACAAAAAATAAAAAAGACTAGTAATATAGGAAATGGATTTGGGGGAGGGGATAGAACTAAATGAGAAGAGGCCTGTCACTCAAATATTGCAGATACTGTTACTTTAATATTTTCAGACAAAGTCTAATCATGTAATAATAATTAATGAAAAAGTCATGAATTTGATTGAAAGAGCAGGGAGGGTTATGTGGGAACATTTGAAGGAAGAAAAAAGAAGAGAGAAATGATATAATTATGTTGTCAAAAATAAAAGAAAAATATGTTGTTATATGCCAAATTTAAAAAAAAAAGATGAAAATTAGGCAGGAAGTGGCCAAATGAGTCATTAGGAGTTCATGAATGACATAAAAGAAAGGCAATATTGCTGAGGGTGCAAAATGAGTCATTAGGAAGAAGACACTTGATGATTTCTATTAATTAATTGAAGGCATTCTCAAGATTAGGAAACACAGTGATAAAATTCACAACAGAAGTTGGTCTGAGAGAAATAGAGACAACAGTTTTCCCCAGAGAGGCCAAAAGGGCATTGTATTATGATTGTCTCACAAAGAGAGAATGCCAATGATAGGCAGATTGAATGAGTTTTTCCTTATAATTATGTAGATTCCTCAGCCATCAACTCAATATCTTAGTACAGAATCACCAGGTGCATTTTCTGAATGCAGGCAGGGAGATGACAATGACAGGCATTGGCACACAACCATTTTACAGTTAATATTAAAGTAGAATATGCAAACATTGGAAGCAGGTGGGGAGTGTTGAAACAGAGGATCAAATTCATGTACCCCCCAAATGCAAATTCAAACCATACTGAAATGTCACTTCTCAATTTTTTGGATTGGAAGAAATCCAAATGTTTGACAACATCGCTGTTGACAGGTTGGGGAAAAAAACAGGTGCTGCTTCTTGCTTGGCAGGTGGGTGCTCACCATGACATACCCCATGGAGGCTGGCCAGACAAAGGGAACAGAACTCTAGTCATTTACCCTATGGCCCAGAAGCCCTGCACTAGTGCTCTGTGGTATGGTACAAGATGACATACACTGCTCATGTTGGTGCTGCTTGTTTTGTTTTGTTTTATTTGTTGTTGTTGTTGTTTTTAAACAGAAGCAGATCATAAACAAAGTGTGTCTTCAGAAAAAGACTGGAGGGAGTTAAATCTGCTGCAAAATTGCACCATGCCACCATGGCAAAGCAAGCAGGAGGCACTAATGTAAAGATGTGTTTCCAAACCTGATCAGGAAAAAACAGAAGCAGAGCCTATATATAATCTACAGCCTTATTTAAAAAAAAAGGGTGTATGTGCACATGTTGTTCAGGGGGTTGGTATTATAGCTTCATGTGTGCAAATATGCTTATAGAATCTAGAAAATTGGGGAAAGAGAATAGGAGGCTCTGAACTCTCTTAGTGCTCCATTCAGATTTTTTTCCCTTCCTTAGTTGTCCCACAAATTGAGTTTGTACATGTGCCTTTTTGCAGCACAAACCCTAGCCTTTCAGTGTTTCAAATAGCCTTAGCGTTTCTACTAAGAATTTGCATTTTAGTAGGCTTAGCTAGAAACTCTTACACACATTAATAATTACGGCTGATTGTTGATGATTAGGATTTATTACCATACACCATTCTGGATTTGTATGAAGAATACTGACCTCGTGGTTAGGTGAAGAAGGACTGCAATACTTCAGTTAAAATAAAAGGAAATGTGGCTTAGGTGGCAAAACTGGTCACAGGAATGTCCTGAGTCCACAGCTTATTTTAGTTGAGCATGATTATACTGCTTTAATCTTCTCTCATTTTAGCAAGGACAACCAGAGTCTCATACAAATCAAGTGTAGCAATAGAAAGAACGACTAGCCTGCCAGGCAGTGAGTACTTTGCCTTGTGATTCAGGAAAGAATCAAATAATCACAGCATTCTATCCATTCTGATCAATTGTGTTGATTACAAGCAAAGCATTGAAGTGTTTGGAAAGGGTTGACCAGCACATAATGGGAACAGAAAAGAGTATATAGTAATTGCCTTCATTTCCAAGAAACTCTAGAAGTTGATTTAATCCCACCTGTTTTGAATGTTGTTCAGGTGGGACTGAATAGTCAGTGTAAGAGCTACCAAAGGACAAGATAGCACAGGTAGAGCTTTTGTCTCTGAGGCCATTAGGTCAGGACATCCAACAAGTAGGCACAACATATCAAGCTGACCCAGCAATAGCCAACCAAAAGAAAGACCTCAGCTATTTACAAGTCTGGGAGTATTTTTCAAAGACCCAATTAAAAGATAAGGAGTAAAACTCTTAAAATTACTAATTTAATTTCACTATGAATTTTTTGCTTACATAGCATTTGTAAAAGAGCAAAGGTCTATAGATTGAAAGTTGTTATTTTCAATTTGGATGTAACTGGAACATCAGATCTGGCAAGTACTCCAGCTTTGGATGGGGCAGCAATTGAAGCATTTTTTTTTTCTATATTTAAAATCATTCCTACCTGTTGAAAATCGGAGAACTTAGAACAAAATTTGATATAGCAAGGACTTTGCAAATAAATTAATTATAAACTACCAAAACAACCCACTCAATTTTGGAAACAATGCATTTACTGAGAAAATGTTATTATAGTAATTATTGGAGAAATATGGAAGAATAAAGAAGGATTATTGTTAGCTCTTACTAAGCAATACTTACATGATATAACATTTTGTTTCTGAGATGAAGAAGTAGTTTAAAAATAAATGAATTGATTGGTTAATTGTTTTGAGAGATAAGAAAAAACTTTCTAAGAAATGTAACTGATAGAGTAGTTTCCACCTATATTTTTTTTTACTGGATATATTGAATAGACTTAATTGACAGAATAAAAACATAAAACAATTAGCTTTTGGACGAAGCAAGAGTGAATAATCTAAATCCAATCATGAAAAATGATAATTATAATGTGTATACAAAGTATAAAATGAACAAATATTCACAACATATTAACTTCTTGAATCTTCTATCCTGTGACATTTTAGCTATATTGCTAGCTATTATATTTAATGTGTATAAAATGAGAATACTTACTCCCAAAACAGAATAATTGTGGTAGGGGTCAAGAAGGGATAAGGCTTGGCTCCTTGCCAACAGGAAACTAATATTGTAGATATCTGTAAAACTATAGAAAGATAATTTATCCTCTACCTACCTTTCTTCCCTCCTTCCTAACTTTCTCTCCCTCCTTCTCTCATACATGGTGTGACTTACTCCATCCCTCTCTCTCTCTCTCTTTTTTATTTATTATATACTTTATATAACCAAGTCCATTTAAATGAAAACAAATATTTATAGACAATATTTGGGAATTTTGGGAATTAGTGCCCCTGCTGTTAAGGGGCACTATCATGTGGGATTCTAAGAAGATGCAGAAATCCTGGCTGTAGTCTGTAAGGCTGCTTTGTCCAGGTGTTTTGATTGTAGGATCACCTGGTATTCTTTCAGGCAATCTGGCTTGATCAAACCACATTAGTCTGGAAGGAATCCACATCTTTTCATTTTCTGTGGAAACAAAAATAGAAATCCTTTTCCCCAGTAACTTGTGCTTGAATTTAAATTTTGGAGTCAAAGCATTTTTTTTAATCTAATTTATTATTTTACATGTTGATCCCAGTTCCCCCTCCCTCCCTTCTTTTCTTATAAAAGAGTTTCCAAATCCTAGATTAGTTTCTACTTTAGGTAATTGAATGTGTGGTGAATGTTCAGTGATAAAGTAAATAAATGAATACAGTCTACCAATTTTCTAAAGGACAACACATTTATTCAGATTAGTAACTATGTGAGAAATAAGAAAAGCAGTCATGGAAGGAATATAAATGTGCAGAAGGAGTGAAATACTTTTTATTATATTTAGTAGAATTCTACTGAGAATGTCTTAAGGTCTATAAACAGTAGTCAATAAGTAAATGTTTCTAAAAACACAAAGTTTCTGTGTTTCTCTGCACCTTTAGTGACAACAACATCTCAGCAATCAACTGAACTGATGGAAACATCCACACCTGTTGTTGGTAACACAGTAAAATCTACTGTAGATTCAGATCAAACTGCAACAGGACCATCTTCATCTCAAAGCCAACAAACAAGCACAGAAAATGTTAAAGGAACAGGAAAGACTATTGTGTCAGCTGGAGTTACAGAGAGAACTACACAATCCTTTGAACAATCAGCAACTACTGGGCCATCAACTAAAGCACCAGAAACAACGAAGTTATCTATAAGTGGAACACAGACAACTGCCCCATCAACTAGAGCAACAGAGGCAAATCCAGACTCAGCTGGAGAAGACACAGGAACTACACCAACACCTAGAGTGGCATTGACATCTGGACAAACACCTGTAACCACAGTAGGAACTAATCCCACAGTTTCAGGGTCAGGAAGCATTGTAACAACTGGTAAATTGATTGTGACATCAGGACAGACCAATAGGGAGAAAGGCACATCTGAGACACTGCCTGAAGTAAAGGAGACATCCATAACTACAGTAGGGAGAACAGTGCAATCTACTGTAGTTTCAGATCAAGCTACAACATCTTCTGGCCCTACAATGACAACAGGGCCTTCATCATCTCATAGACTACGAACCAGTACAGAAAATGTTAGTGAAACAGGGGCAACTATTGTGTCAACTGCAGTTACAGAGAGAACTTCAAAGTCTTATGAACAATCAGCAACTACTGGGCCATCAAGTAAAGCACCAGTAACAACAAAAGTATCTACAATTGGCACACAGTCAACTGGCCCATCAAGTAGAGCAACAGAGGCAAATCTAGCCTCAGCTGGAGAAGCAACAGGAACTACTTCAACACCCAGAGTTCCAGTGACATCTGGAGAAACACCAGTGACCACAGCAACAACTAGTCCCTCAGTTTCAATGTCAGGAAGTACAGGAACAACTGGTAAATCAACTGAGACATCTGGACAGACAACTACGGTGAAAGGCATATCTGAAACACCACCTGAGGTGACAGAGACATCCACACCTAAAGTAGGGAGCACAGTGCGATCTACTGTAATTTCAGATAATTCCATGGTGTCTTCTGGTCCTACAACAACAACAGGACCTTCCTCATCTCATGGACTAACAACAAGTACAGAAAGTGTTAGGGGAACAGGGACAACTACTTTGTCAACTGTAGTTACAGAGAGAACTTCAAAGTCTTCTGAGCAATCAGCAACTACTGAGCCATCATCTAAAGCACCAGAAACAACAAAGGTATCTAAAAGTGGCACACAGACAACTGGCCCATCAAGTAGTGCAACAGAGGCAAATCGAGCCCAAGTTGGAGAAGCCACAGGAACTACAACAACACCTAGAGTGGCATTGACATCTGGACAAACACCTGTGACCACAGCAGCAACTAGTCCCTCAGTTTCCATGTCAGGAAGTACAGTAACAACTGGTAAATCAACTGAGACATCTGGACAAACCACTATTGTGAAAGGCACATCTGGAACATCACCTGAAGTGATGGAGACATCCACACCTAAAGAAGGGAGCACAGTGAGATCTACTGTAGTTTCAGAAAGTTCTATGGTGTCTTCTGATCCTACAACAACAACAGGACCTTCCTCATCTCATGGACTATCAACAAGTACAGAAAGTGTTAGGGGAACAGGGACAACTTCTTTGTCAACTGTAGTTACAGAGAGAACTTCACAGTCTTCTGAACAATCAGCAACTACTGGGCCATCAACTAAAGCACTAGAAACAACGAAGGTATCTACAATTGTCACACAGTCAACTCGCTCATCAAGTAGAGCAACAGAGGCAAATCCAGCCCAAGATGGAGAAGCCACAGGAACTACAACAACACCTAAAGTGGCATTGACATCTGGACAAACACCTGCAAACACAGCAGCAACTAGTCCCTCAGTTTCCATGTCAGGAAGTACAGTAACAACTGGTAAGTCAACTGAGCCATCTGGACAGACTACTATGGTGAAAGGCACATCTGGAACATCACCTGAAGTGACGGAGACATCCATACATACAGTAGGGAGCACAGGGCGATCTACTGTAGTTTCAGATCAAGCTACAACATCTTCTGGCCCTACAATGACAACAGGACATAAATCATCTCATGGACTATTAACAAGTACAGAAAGAGTTAGTGAAACAGGGATAACTATTGTGTCAACTGCAGTTACAGAGAGAACTTCAAAGTCTTTTGAAACATCAGCAACTACTGGGCCATCAAGTAAAGCACCAGAAACAACAAAGGTATCCACAATTGTCACACAGTCAACTGGCCCATCAAGTAGAGCAACAGAGGCAAATCCAGCCTCAGCTGAAGAAGCCACAGGAACTACACCAACACCTAGAGTGGCATTGACATCTGGACAAACACCTGTGACCACAGCAGCAACTAGTCCCTCAGTTTCCATGTCAGGAAGTATAGTAACAACTGGTAAATCAACTGAGACATCTGGACAAACCACTATTGTGAAAGGCACATCTGGAACATCACCTGAAGTGACGGAGACATCCACACCTAAAGAAGGGAGCACAGTGAGATCTACTGTAGTTTCAGAAAGTTCTATGGTGTCTTCTGGCCCTACAATGACAACAGGACCTTCCTCATCTCATGGACTATCAACAAGTACAGAAAGTGTTAGGGGAACAGGGACAACTATTGTGTCAACTGCAGTTACAGAGAGAACTTCAAAGTCTTTTGAAACATCAGCAACTACTGGGCCATCAAGTAAAGCACTAGAAACAACAAAGGTATCCACAATTGTCACACAGTCAACTGGCCCATCAAGTAGAGCAACAGAGGCAAATCCAGCCTCAGCTGAAGAAGTCACAGGAACTACACCAACACCTAGAGTGGCATTGACATCTGGACAAACACCTGTGACCACAGCAGCAACTAGTCCCTCAGTTTCAATGTCAGGAAGCACAGTAACAACTGCTAAATCAACTGAGACATCTGGACAGACTACTATGGTGAAAGGCACATCTGGAACATCACCTGAAGTGACGGAGACATCCATACATACAGTAGGGAGCACAGGGCGATCTACTGTAGTCTCAGATGAAGCTACAACATCTTCTGGCCCTACAATGACAACAGGACATAAATCATCTCATGGACTATTAACAAGTACAGAAAGAGTTAGTGAAACAGGGACAACTATTGTGTCAACTGCAGTTACAGCGAGAACTTCAAAGTCTTTTGAAACATCAGCAACTACTGGGCCATCAAGTAAAGCACCAGAAACAACAAAGGTATCCACAATTGTCACACAGTCAACTGGCCCATCAAGTAGAGCAACAGTGGCAAATCCAGCCTCAGCTGAAGAAGCCACAGGAACTACACCAACACCCAGAGTTCCAGTGACATCTGGAGAAACACCAGTGACCACAGCAACAACTAGTCCCTCAGTTTCAATGTCAGGAAGTACAGGAACAACTGGTAAATCAACTGAGACATCTGGACAGACAACTACGGTGAAAGGCATATCTGAAACACCACCTGAGGTGACAGAGACATCCACACCTAAAGTAGGGAGCACAGTGCGATCTACTGTAATTTCAGATAATTCCATGGTGTCTTCTGGTCCTACAACAACAACAGGACCTTCCTCATCTCATGGACTAACAACAAGTACAGAAAGTGTTAGGGGAACAGGGACAACTACTTTGTCAACTGTAGTTACAGAGAGAACTTCAAAGTCTTCTGAGCAATCAGCAACTACTGAGCCATCATCTAAAGCACCAGAAACAACAAAGGTATCTAAAAGTGGCACACAGACAACTGGCCCATCAAGTAGTGCAACAGAGGCAAATCGAGCCCAAGTTGGAGAAGCCACAGGAACTACAACAACACCTAGAGTGGCATTGACATCTGGACAAACACCTGTGACCACAGCAGCAACTAGTCCCTCAGTTTCCATGTCAGGAAGTACAGTAACAACTGGTAAATCAACTGAGACATCTGGACAAACCACTATTGTGAAAGGCACATCTGGAACATCACCTGAAGTGATGGAGACATCCACACCTAAAGAAGGGAGCACAGTGAGATCTACTGTAGTTTCAGAAAGTTCTATGGTGTCTTCTGGTCCTACAACAACAACAGGACCTTCCTCATCTCATGGACTATCAACAAGTACAGAAAGTGTTAGGGGAACAGGGACAACTTCTTTGTCAACTGTAGTTACAGAGAGAACTTCACAGTCTTCTGAACAATCAGCAACTACTGGGCCATCAACTAAAGCACTAGAAACAACGAAGGTATCTACAATTGTCACACAGTCAACTCGCTCATCAAGTAGAGCAACAGAGGCAAATCCAGCCCAAGATGGAGAAGCCACAGGAACTACAACAACACCTAAAGTGGCATTGACATCTGGACAAACACCTGCAAACACAGCAGCAACTAGTCCCTCAGTTTCCATGTCAGGAAGTACAGTAACAACTGGTAAATCAACTGAGACATCTGGACAGACTACTATGGTGAAAGGCACATCTGGAACATCACCTGAAGTGACGGAGACATCCATACATACAGTAGGGAGCACAGGGCGATCTACTGTATTTTCAGATCAAGCTACAACATCTTCTGGCCCTACAATGACAACAGGACATAAATCATCTCATGGACTATTAACAAGTACAGAAAGAGTTAGTGAAACAGGGACAACTATTGTGTCAACTGCAGTTACAGCGAGAACTTCAAAGTCTTTTGAAACATCAGCAACTACTGGGCCATCAAGTAAAGCACCAGAAACAACAAAGGTATCCACAATTGTCACACAGTCAACTGGCCCATCAAGTAGAGCAACAGAGGCAAATCCAGCCTCAGCTGAAGAAGCCACAGGAACTACACCAACACCTAGAGTGGCATTGACATCTGGACAAACACCTGTGACCACAGCAGCAACTAGTCCCTCAGTTTCCATGTCAGGAAGTACAGTAACAACTGGTAAATCAACTGAGACATCTGGACAAACCACTATTGTGAAAGGCACATCTGGAACATCACCTGAAGTGACGGAGACATCCACACCTAAAGAAGGGAGCACAGTGAGATCTACTGTAGTTTCAGAAAGTTCTATGGTGTCTTCTGGTCCTACAACAACAACAGGACCTTCCTCATCTCATGGACTATCAACAAGTACAGAAAGTGTTAGGGGAACAGGGACAACTTCTTTGTCAACTGTAGTTACAGAGAGAACTTCACAGTCTTCTGAACAATCAGCAACTACTGGGCCATCAACTAAAGCACTAGAAACAACGAAGGTATCTACAATTGTCACACAGTCAACTCGCTCATCAAGTAGAGCAACAGAGGCAAATCCAGCCCAAGATGGAGAAGCCACAGGAACTACAACAACACCTAAAGTGGCATTGACATCTGGACAAACACCTGCAAACACAGCAGCAACTAGTCCCTCAGTTTCCATGTCAGGAAGTACAGTAACAACTGGTAAATCAACTGAGACATCTGGACAAACCACTATTGTAAAAGGAACATCTGGAACATCACCTGAAGTAAAGGAGACATCCATACATACAGTAGGGAGCACAAGGCGATCCACTGTAGTTTCAGATCAAGCTACAACCTCTTCTGGCCCTACAATGACAACAGGACCTTCCTCATCTCATGCACTATCAACAAGTACAGAAAGTGTTAGTGAAACAGGGACAACTATTGTGTCAACTGTAGTTACAGAGAGAACTTCACAGTCTTCTGAACAATCAGCAACTTCTGGGCCATCAACTAAAGCACCAGAAACAACAAAGTTATCTCTAAGTGGCACACAGTCAACTGGCCCATCAAGTAGAGCAACAGAGGCAAATCCAGCCTCAGCTAAAGAAGCTACAGGAACTACTTCAACACCCAGAGTGCCAGTGACATCTGGGCAAACACCTGTGACCACAGTAGCAACTAGTCCCTCAGTTTCAGTGTTAGGAAGTACAGTAACAATTGGTAAATCAACTGAGACATCTGGACAGACTACTATGGTGAAAGGCACATCTGGAACATCACCTGAAGTGACAGAGACATCCACACCTACAGTAGGGAGCACAGGGCAATCTACTGTAGTTTCATATCAAGCTACAACATCTTTTGGCCCTACAATGACAACAGGACCTTCATCAGCTCATGGACTATCAACAAGTACAGAAATTGTTAAGGAAACAGGGACAACTATTGTTTCAACTGTACTTAAGGAGAGAACTTCAAAGTCTTTTGAAACATCAGCAACTACTGGGCCATCAACTAAAGTACCAGAAACAACCAAGGTATCAGTTACTGACACAAATATACCTGACTTGTCAACAGGTGTAACTTTAAGAAACGTGTCATTAGTTGAAGAATCGACTACAACTGCAGCCTCAGCTAAAGTAATGTTAACTACTAAGGTAACAGTCACTGGCTTGGGGACTATTAATTCATCAACTGCTGTTGCAGAGACAACTGTGTCATATGATGGAAAATTATTTTCAACTGGATCAGGAGCTGGAGTGTCCATTTCATCTGTGCAAACACCTGCAACTACTGGTGTTTCCAAAGCTTCACCACAATCTATAAGCACAATTGGTGATTTGACTTCAACATTGAAATCATCACCTGAAATGTCTGTAACATTTCATCCTTCAAGTGGAAGCACAATTACATCCAATGTATTTACTGAAGTTCCTGGAAGAACTGTACCAGCTGAGGAAGGAACTACAAGCAGAGGAAATACTACTACAGGAACAAGAGCAGAGTCTACAACAAATAAAGGTAACTGTGATTAGCTCAATATAAATGTTTGCATGTGCTATGTCAATGCTTGCTCTGATTTCCTTTAGGGTATTGTAAAAGGTTACAGTAATTAAATTAAAAATTAAGTCTTTAAATTGGTGAATATGCCTTTTTCCCAAAGTACCCTTGTTCCAATGTGAATTTCTAGCCTTCATGAGAAATTTGTTATCTTTCTAATACAAAAATAACCAATTGTGTCAGGATGATGATGGAGGCAGGCATATTAGATGCCTAGACTCTGATCAGTACTTCTGATAACAAAGCAATCAAGGCTCACCTGTGCAGTGCCAGTGACTCTTCATAAGCATTTCTTTGATCCCACCTATGATAAAACTAAGTAGTATAACCAAAGACCTGATTTCCAAAAGAGATGCATTATCTCTCATAATTTATCAATGTATGGATTTGGGATACATGATAGAATGTTCACTATTTTTACTAAAACCACATATGATATCACTTTTCCCAAGAATAGAAAAAGTATCATTGATCCACCAATTTGCAGGTGATGGCATGACCAGATTGACCACACCTGAGTAATCAGACAAGGGAGAGTTAGGGTATGTCTCAGAGTATCCCTTTGCATAAGGTGGTCCAATAAATCCAGCAAGGAATAGTCATGGGGATGATTTATATAATTAAATAGCTGATTAAACTGTCTAATATTTTATGTTTCATGTCTTTTTAGGTGATGTAGGGCTTTCCTTAAAGAATAGGCAACTGTCTTCACAGAGTTTAACTGGGAAATAAGTTTATAACAAAGCAGTGGAGATCTGTTCTATGTGACAGCACAACACTAATCTGGGTTGTGTCACATGTATTAATTTTCACAGCAGCCAATGTTTTTGGAAACATGCATTTTAACATTTTCTAACAAGGACTCTAAGGGGAATTTCAGTTAGCAGGGTAGGTGAGGCATCACACTTAGGAGATTGGATGGCAGGTTGGGTTCCTACTTTCCAGCCACCACTCTCCCTCTTGTGGTAATGGCTATAAACTGGGAAGAAAGGGTATTATCCTTAAAAGGAATGCCAGTGAGGCCTCTGCTGTTAGAAATTTAACTAAACACACAGGCACACACACACACACCACCAAACAGCAACATAATCAGCTAGTGCAGAAGGTGCCACACTACACCTGTAGATTAGGACAATATTTAAACTGTTCTGTGCCATATTTCTCTAGTTTTGTTACATTTGATTCATTTTTGTTGTCTGTGAACTATATGTCATGTGCTATGAGAATTGTATGAGAAAAGATTTTGATAAAATCTTTTGATAAAACATTTGATAAAACATTTTGATAAAAGTTATTGGGTAATAAGAAAATGAACAGTTATATACCATTAATGAGACAGCTATGTGAAGGGCTAAAAGGTGAGCACATTAAAGATACATTTCCCCTTGTGACTAAAGAAAATCACAGTTTCAAGCCTGAGTCAGTGAAACCAGAGATCAGCAAGTCCAGATGACAGTTGTCCATGTTTTTGGAATTTGTTTCACTTGCTTTCATTTTTGCTAGCCCGGTAGTGCCTGTTGGGATCCACTGGAGTTCCAGGTGGAAGTGGTGCTGTCACAAAGTCTGAACACAGGAGTGATGCACATCCAGATCACTGTTCCCTCATACTACTTCACTGCTCCTGGCTTTCTATTTGATTTCATGTCCCACATGTCCCTAGCCCAGCATTTGCAACAGGGGGACCACTGTGAACATGGTTGTCTGTTGGAATTTTGACACATTTGTATGCTGAGCAATCAGGAATATAATTATTTGTCTAAAGATATCATCTCATTTAATTATGGGGACATTCTTTATTTTCTCATGTTGTTCATGAAAAACACAACCAAAGACGTTATCTAACTTGGTGTCAGTTTTGCAGCAAGTCAAGTGGTAGAACTGCTGTATTTCCCTCCCTCTGCTAACTCCGAAGTCTCTGCTTTGCAATGTGATAGCATCCTCTTTAAAGCAAATTGCACCATGATCTGTAATAATCCAGATGAAAACCTTGCTTTCAAAGGAGCAGTTTTCCTCCCATTTCTAATGCAACCTGAAGACACAAGTAATGAAAGGCCTTACATTTTACCACACTGACTCTCTGCCCCTGCAATTATTTTGTGAAAAAGCTTCTGAGAGTTTTAGTGGACAAACTTATAATACTATTGTTGTATTAATTAGGAATTTGATCATTCCTTATATATCATTCCAACTTGACATCAAGTTCACAAATGCCTATCTGGTAAATTAAGTTTGTAGTGCTACTAATTTTTCAATGTTATTGTGCATTTAATGTCTGGAATAGAAAGGTACTCAAGGTCATAGTACTAGAGATTTCTAGGCCAGCAAGGTGGTTCAGTCAGTGAAGGTGCCTGCCATGGAATTCTGTAGACTGAGTTTGGTTGCCAGAACCCATGTAAAGTGGAAGGATAGAACTAAAATTTTTCTGATGACCTCCACATGTGAACCCTGGAACCTCTTACTCTAGTGTGAGTGAATGTGTGCGTGGGCATTTTTATACATGAGAGTGCACATACACACACCACCACCACCAACAACAACAACAACAGCAAAAACAATGGTGGCAACAACAGGGGCTGGAGGGATGACTCAAGGCTTAAGGTCATTTGTTCCTCTTGCAGTAAACCAGGGTTCATAACTGACTGTAACTCAAGTTTCAGGGAACCTGACACCTGTTTCTTGCCTCTGCAGGCAACAGACACACACACACACACACACACACACACACACACACACACACACACACACTACACATATATACATGTAAGCAAAACACACATACACATAAAATTACAATAATGTAAATTCTTAGTTTGTAGAGTATCACACAATGGAGGCTTTAATGGGTAGACTAGTCTGGTTGTGGTGATGCATGCTTTTAATCCCAGCACTTGGGAGGCAGAGGCAGGTGGATCTGTATAAGTTCGAGGTCAGCCTGGTTTACAAAGTGAGTTCCAGTACAGCCAAGATTGTTAACACTAAGAAACCCTCTCTTAAACATCCCCTGCCACATACACCAAAAATAAATAGACTAAAGGAATAGAATTTATGGATAAATATGTAGGTTTAAGGACTAGATTGCTCACCCTACTCTGGTAAAGATTTATGCTTCATTTATTCTAAGTTGGTTTTAGGAATAAATTGAAAACTTAAACTGAAACTCCAACAAATTTGTAACAACAAATTCAAACCATGGTAACTCAAACAAAAATGAATTAGGTAATTCATTTTAAATGTAGAACACCACCATTATAAACTAATGCATTGGCTGCAAGGAACTGGTAGGATACATTTTTTTAAATGTGTTTTTCATTTTCAAGACTTAATCTTTACTAAGAGTCAAGGAATAACCAGAGGTTGTAGACATGTACCTGGGAGAAAGGAAACAGCTTGCTTTTAGTTTGACAATTTACATCTTAAATGATTACTTAAAGGACCATGTTATAGTATACTTCACAAACATTTCATTCGTTTTTTCTATTTTCTTTACTAGAACCATTTGACAGATTTCCAGACATTTTAGTTGTAGGTAAGTTGCACAAAATATATGATTGCATAATGTGTAGCAACATACCTTTTTTTTTTATCTTTGCCACGTGAAATTTCAAAATAGTAGCTGGAGCAGAGAGAGTGGCACAAGCTTGTAATCTTAGCTAATTGAGATGCTGAGGCCCGGAGATCCCAAGGTCAAGATCTGGTTGGGTGGCTTAATGAAAACATCTCAAAATATCAAGTAAAAAAAGTTCATGGCTAGGACTCAGTGAGAATGCCTGACATGTATCCAGGTCAACACACACACACACACACACACACACACACACACACACACACACTCATATACACACATACATATACACACATACACACACTCACATACACCATACACACACACATACCTTCATACACACACACACACACACACAGACACACACTCATACACAAACATACACACAGACACATATATAGACATATACTCATATACATATATATACAACACCCACACTTACACATACATACACACAAGGGGTAGGGAAGACAGAATCTCAAAGTATGTGACCAGTTTCCAAAATTTATAATCTAATACATAAATAAATAAAATTTTAGGGATTAAGTTGTACACTTAAAATTATTTTATGTTTTTATTTTAGAGCCATCAAGACAGCCTGCAATAACAGGTAAGATAATATGAGATTATAAATTCACATTGGAAAAAATAGTGTTGTGTTAACTAGGAAACATTGCAAGATGTATCTATCAGATTGAAATCTTTCTGATCATGAACTTCAAGTTAGCTTTTGATGTTTGTGCTTTTGCCTTCTCTCTTCTTGTGCCTTCCCAAATCATAGTAATAGTGTGTTGATGTCCTTCAGATTTTACACACCTGACTATGTACGAGTAAATAAACTGACAAAAGTAAAACAAAACATCTTTCATGTTACAAAAACACAAAGCTACAGTTCTCAAATATTAGTGCACCACCACTACCACCCAGCTAGACATGATGACTTTCATAAAACTTCAGTGCTAAAAAGGCATACCAGTATGTTTATCCTTTCCTGAAATCCCCCAGAGTTCATGCCTCCACTCTTTCTTAGGAGCTAAAACTTTCACAGAAGTCTGGGGCAGTACTGGAACTAAATTCATGACAGATGGGGATGAGCAACCCATGATGTGGATGTGAGCATGAGCACTGGATGCTATTCTTAATTCCTATGACTTTTCTAGACCCTTCCATTGACTTATCAGAAAGTGGGCTTTCCTGAAGAATATTGTAGTTAAAAGAACATTTTTTTAACATTTTAAAGAATCTACCAATAGACTCTGAAAATAGGATGAATGATCTAATTATTCTGCAGGATTTCTCCTGTACATAAAAACTACATTAAGATATTCATGGGATCTCTAGCCTGAAAAGTAGAGATAACATAAATCAGCCTTAGAAACAGTCCTATACACAGGTTTCTATATCCCCAAAGCAATACTAATAATTAGTATTTTCTTGATATTTAAAATTCTCATCAAACCTACTAACACATTGTCTTCTACTTCTGGGCAATAAATAAGTGTATTTTGGAGAAATTCACCTGCCTCTCCCATAGACTGTTAAGAATGGTGGTTCAAGTGAGAACTGGGGTAACCAGTGCAGTATTCCCACCATCATATCAGGTGCCAGAGAAAATGGACTAAATAAGAATCTGTAGACTTCTAGAGAGTAAGTCTTCCAGAGACCAAGAGCCACTGTGTTGATTCCTGTCCCTTCTGTGTTTCAGCCACCACGGGCCTTACCTCTGCCACAACTGTTGCCCCAAGCAGTTCTAACACAGGTGAGTTCATGATGTAATGTGAGTATCCCATGTGCCCTCTTATCACTGCATGCTCCCTCTGATTCATTGAAAGAGAGTCACAGGGTATCATCCTTAAATATTTGCCAATAATCCATTTCCTCTTTCGTCCTCCCAGAGGCCATAACTTCCCTATGAGTAAATGGAACAATAGAAAGTGAAGTAACCATGGGTGAACACTGAGGGGTTTGAAACTTCCCTCCTAGTAATTCCTTCAAATCTTCTAAAAATATCAATTTAATGAGTCCTGTTGTTGATAAAATAATGGGAAAAAAGCCAAAAACAAACAAACAAACAAAAACCCACCTTTATCTCCCCAAGTTCACAAGGACTTCTGTCCATGGTTCTCAACCTATGGGTTGTGACCCCTTTGACAAACCTCCATCTCCAATTTACGTTGGAGTTGTGATTCATAACAGTAGCAACATTAGAGTTATAAAGTAGCAATGACAATAATTCCACTGTGTTAACTGATCATGAATCTAAACTAATGGCCAATACATGATATGGGAAGAAGTTTCCTGCCCACATTCAAAGCAAGTGGCATTATGGTTGAGAACGGTCTCAGGAGACTTGATGTAGAATCATTGTATGGGACAGCTTCTACCATGGCCGGTCTCAGCAGTGGCTTCATAGGGCTAGGATTCCTGTTTGAATCAACTGCTAGACACATAATTGAACTCATGAACACAATTGCGTTCTTGTTTTAGGGACCACTGGTACAGTCTCCAGGGAAACTAAAGAACCAGTGAGGTCTAATACAGGTAGTTATGGAAATACATTCCAAATGTGGATGTTATATCATTATAGCAGTACAGGGTATAGTTTCCTAGACCACAATTTTTACTCCTTTCTTTGTTTGCTCTCCCAGAGGCCACAACTTCCGCAGAGGGCAGTGGAACTACCCATGGAGAAGTTCCAACAGGTGAGCTATTATTCTGTGAAGTCGTGAGTTCCTTAATTGTATTGTATTATTAAATGTATTCTTGATGTGTGTCACTATTCAACCCCATTCTTCTCACCATAGGGACAAAGGGAAGAGCAGATGAAGACATCAGTGGTTCTTCCGAGGAAAGCACATCTGGGGAAAGAGGTACTGAGGGTATTTGGCAGAGAACATCAAGTAAGGAACTTTGGCATTTATGTTTGTGCCTCAATGGCTTGTCAACAGGGCGTCATGGAACACTCCCTGAAAGTTGTATTGGTGATGCAGCCAAAATCAACTTCCCTATGACTAAATCCAGCCAAAAGAACTATGATAACAGGTGTCTTCTATAAATTTACCAAAGGAGTAATGTGTTCTATGTTCTATAGAAACATCTCAAATTGTCTTAAAACCACAAAGCCAGAGATATATGTCTATTACTGAGTAGAGAAAATTAAAGGCCTTTTTTCTTTACAGAAATGAGGGTGGAAATTTTGTTATGTCTGCTAAGTAAGCTACTATAAGATAGGCTTCTCAGGAAATGCCTTCATTTATTTTGATATAATCCCTGAAACTAAGCAGTGGGTGATATATATTTATTGAATAAATTAAATAGTTGGAGTGTAGAAAAAAATACTTAAACCTGGAACAGCAGGGCTGGTGAAAGCACACAATCCAAGCACTGCTAAGGAGATAAAGCAGTTTCTAAAAGGCCCCTTCCACAGTTGTGCAGTGCAGAATCCCAGATGAGAGCATTTGCTGTATACACTGGTTCTGTCAGTGTGAAACGTTCTCTCTATTGACTTCATGCTTTCTCATTCCAGGTACCACCCATGCAGCTGTCAGTGAAACTAAGGCATCTGGGAGTTCCAGCACAGGTAAGCTAAGCATTCTGAAAGTAGGGTGCATGGCACTGCCTGTGGTGCAGTGTCACAAATTCCTTCCTGAATTTCTGTCTTTCATCCATTTCTCTGAGAAACCACGACTTACACAGGAGTCAGTGAAACCATGGTCATAGGAGAGAATGTGGGTGGGAATGAATGGAGGCTGTATGGCTTTTGAGTGATGATAAATTGCAATTATATTTCCTTTCTTAGTAATAAGTTCTCATTGCAATCAGCATTGTCTTCATTTGTGACTAGGCTCTGGATCAATTTAGGCAGAATATAGGAGACCTTATATAAGTGAGTCTCTGTAAACTGAAGTGGGCATGGCAATTATCTGGAAAGTTTCCTTTTTCCATTTGTCATTTCAGAAATCATTACATCGGCTGGAGGAAATACAGGTTCAGAGAGTTCTATTTCAGGTAAACAGAAGGCCAAAATGAGTTTTAAAAATTACTTTAATATTAGTAGATTCTTCCTTGAGTAGAAACCAGATAATGTGCCTTGCTGGCCATTCTTTTAGGACAGAGTTTCTAAACCTGTGGGTTGTGACCCCTTTGGGAGGAGGGAGTTGGACAACATTTTCACAGTTGTTGCATATCAGATATCCTGCATATCAGACATTTACATTATGATTCATAACGTAGCAAAATTATAGTTAAGGCAATGAAGTAATTTTATGGTTGGGGGTCACCACAAAAAGAGGAACTGTAGCAAAGGGTTGCAGCATCAGGAAGGTTGAAAACCACTGTGTTAGGATGATAATGTATCTTTACCTTGGTCATGACTCCTTTCCCTCTTTATGTCAGATACCACAAGTCTCTGGCATGACTTTACTTTGAATCTTGTGGTTCCAGCATAGGGAAACCAATGACTTAACAGAAATGCAAGGAATTTAGTAATGAGAGCCCCCCAAAAAACACATAGTAGGCATTAGTAACCATGTGGTTCTGAACTACTTCTTTGCTGTTATTTGTCTGTTTAGAGGCAACAACTCAAGCAGCAAGACCTCAGATGCTGGAGTCCACTAACTCAGCCTCAGCAGCTAATTCCCTTCCCCTTCATTTTAAGTTGTCCAATATAATGAATTTCTGGAGATTTTCCCCAGTCCATCTTTAAGTACAAATTGCCTGGATGATCACACATTACTCCATGTGAACTGACCTTTCATTTTTTAGATATAAACTTGTTGGCCCATTACTAGTGTTTCTTATTGGTTATCTATGTCTTAAATATTAACCCATTTCTATTAATCTAAGTATTTGCACATGGTCTTATCTTACCGGAGAGAGGACCTCTTCTTTTTCAAGTCTACATCTTGAATCTTTTCTTCTACGTCTCCCAGAAACCTCTTGTCTCCTAGTCCCACCTATCATCCTTTCTATGTTTAGAGAAAATGGCATAACTAGGAATCATGAATCATCTGTCAGTAGAAGCAAGAGAGTTAACTCAAGAGGCCCATACATTTACCCTAAACCCAATTTAGGTTGGATAGGTTCATAAACTACTCCCTCCTTCTGTGATTTCAGTCACCAGAGGAGGGACCACTGGTCCAATGGGAGCCTTGGAATTTCTACACTCATTAGTCATGAAAATGGTTGGGGAGTTTGTCATCTCTGAACTGCAGAGGCTGCATATTTCCCTAATGTTAACAACCTGAGCTTTATTCCACCTCTGTTCAGGGCCTACAGCTTCTGGAGAAGTTGGAGCACATGCTGGAGTTAAAACAACAGCTAGTCAGTGACTTGCATTTTCAGCCTTTAGAATGGTTTGTGACTCACGATCTGTAGTAGATAGCAAATGACAGCAAAATGGACAGAAACAGGGGTTGGTGATCCTTTTGACAAAATACACATGATCTCTTTTTGCCATGGAACTTTCATTTTATTTGATAAAATGTCAAGTGAACCAAGCATGACCCTCTTCCTTTCAGCTACTCCCTCGGCATAGTAGTCTCCTAGACAGTTTTGTTGCTGTTGTTGTCTTAACCATCTTGCTATTTAGGTGTTACTTCTGGTTCAGCTGGAATTTCCAGAGACCTAGAGAATTCCACTTCTGGGTAGTAGAGATGTCTTATTCAGACTTTATCATGGATTTTTTTTTTCTCATGACTACTGCCTAAATTTATCCCCTCAGGAGTCCCCACTGAAGCACAAGATAGCCAAAGCACAGGAGGGAAAACAGGTGAGTGTAGGAAAATCACTTCTGCCAGAAACACTAAGCCATAGCAAAAGATTGAGAGTTTGTAAGAAAATGGGTTTTGTTTCTCTTTTGGACGCAAAGGCTCCTTTGTTGATGACAAGAAGCATGAATGAATTTTTTTCAACTCTGTCCTGTTATTAGGAGTGGGGGGAGCACGACTATGGTTTCTTAATCTGGAACTGGAGCATCAACAAGTGAAAGTTGGCTATACTACCCTTCAGATATACCTGTGGCTTTGTTCCTAAGGGGCTGAGTCCAGGATTTCTGGAAAGGAAGTAGGCCAAAATGGGTTCAGGGATAACAGGGAAACTTCCTTTTATGATAAAACTTGGAAGCCTTTTGAGGAAAAAAATGTTTTCACCTGATTCTTGGGAAGATGTAGCAGACAGCCTGAGAGCTCTATGCTGTTTTGACATAGAGCTATATTCTGGTCTCAGAATTATAACCCTACCTCTGCCTTCTAACCTGTAGGATTCCAGGCTGTGCCACCATACCTAACTCAGTATGAGATTCAAAAGGTTATGGATGATGCTGGTCCTGGAATAATCTATACTCCCTTCCTTTTGCAGATTCCACTTCAGTAGCAGCTGAAGTCACAACCAGTGCCCACATACCCCAGCCAGGTAAAAATAGAGAGGTCCAATGGACTCAAATGAATCCCAGGAAGTTTATCTCTTCTACATTGGGTCCACCTTCTCATGAATCTGCCATCACTGAGATGAATACACACAGGCCTGATGTTGATTCTTGCTATTGTGAGTAAAACATTGTACTATCATTCCCCCTGCTCTAGAAACTACTACAAGAACAACAGAAGGTCAAACCACTGAAAACAAAACAGGTCAGTATGAGAAGCCCTCTAGTTGCTTCAGGGTCCTCTGGTGTTTCTGGTACTTAAAAAAGAAAAAAGAAAACAAAAATGTGCTAGTGTCTGTAGTATACATTAAAAGCAAAACCTTCAGTAAGAAACAGTGATTTCCATGTTATAACCTCTGTAGTGGGGGCAGGGGATATTATAGGTGCAGTTATGATTGTTATTGTTTATTTATTGATTAAGGAAAAATATAAAAAAATTAAGATTCCGTGGAAGAGGAGGCGAGTGGAGTGTTTCTGTCTTCTAGTTGGTAGTCATGAGTGAAGACAGTTAAATGTTATACTGGCTAGGTGGGCAGCAAATTTCTACCAAACATGAAAGCAGAGACTTGAAGATGCATGGGTGAATTCAGGACTCAGATAGAAGCTGCAATGCAAAGTGTGAGGGTCAAGGAGAAAGATGAGGAGATACCGAAAAGTTCATGAGTTGCTTTGAGTAATATATAGAAATTGAAAGTTTCTTTTAAGAATGGCCATCCTAGCCAGTTTGTGTTCCTTTGCTTTTGGTAGAGTGGAATAACAGTAAAAATCTGACTTTCAGCAATTTTGAATTAGGATTTAAATTTAGAATTTTGCAAATACGCCTGATCCCTATCTGTGAAGTATATAAACTTAAAGGTCTACATGCATATTATGTGCTTAAAGAATTTGGGAGAATTGAACAAATTAAAGCATTTCAAAGGGTTGAAAAAAGATAAATGTTCTTATAGTCAAAACTGTGTTGTTATTATAATTATATTTCAGTGTAGTAAAATCATCCCTTACCGTTTCACTGGCCTATTCATCAGAATTGTTTCTCCAGGAAAAATTTCAAGAGAAGTTTATCTTCTTCTTTCAATGCAGATTTCTGTTCCATTAAATTTTGGGGTCTAAAAGAAATACCCTACAATAGTAGGTTGTCGGGTGCTCTAAATAGCACAGAAGGGAGAGGGTGGTACATCTGCAAGCCTGAAAGTATAGCCAATTATTTCAGCGATATAGTAATGGATCAGGCAAATGTATTTTCCCCAACACCATGAGAGCATTTCAAAAATTCCAGAGGCTAACAGGTTTTCTGTTTTTTACACAGTGTGTTCAGGCCCACCTCCACCAGCCCCAGGTGAGTGGACCCCCATGCAGAGGAATTTCATGGCGATGGTTCTTCTTGTGCGTCAGGTTCTGAGGTCCAGTACACAAATAGGCATGAATGTTATAGAATAAACTAAGTACACAAATTTGGCCTTTACTTGCCAAACAATGTGTAAGTTATTTTCTCCTTCACAAACAAATATGGCCAAGAAATACATGCCAATTTGCCTGCTAGCTCTTTCATGAAACTATGTATCCTGGTAAGAGGTAGTTAATGTTACTGCTCTCATAACAGTGGACATTTAATGAGCTACATAATATAACTTTGGGGGTTTTGTTCTAGCTGAAAATTGCAAGTGTGCCTGAGTTTAATAATTTCAGAGAACTTTATTGCATCCCCACTGCTTATAAGATAATGCAATGCATTTTATAGTAAGCATTTAATAAAGAAAGTAATTTTGACCTCATTTAGTGGGGAAATGAAAATTTAAAAAAACAGTTTTCATAGAAGGCATACAATAAAGTTTACAATAAGAAGTAAATAGATGTCCTATGGAGAATGCAGGTTTTAGAATTGGAATTTGAAAGCAATAAGTAGACTATTCAAGAGCCAGTAAATGAGAGGACTGAATTGTTTAAAGAGGTGGCTTTAATATGGGAGACCTTGGAGACTAAAGTATTCCTTTTTTTTAAAAAAAAAAAAAACTAACATTTAAAATAAAAGCAATTAGATAATTAGGCACTAGGGAAATTGCTGTAGCTGTGGTGCAGAGAACTGATTGGATCAGAAAGGAATCTATACAGTTGAGCCGCTGGGTTGATGATGGTGAGGTGGATTAGCTAAGAACAAAGAAAGGAAAGGCTTAAAATCAGGTTGAGAAAAACAAACTGCAATTAATGTGAAAGTTTTCTAAGTCTGATGTTAGGGCAAGAATGTGACAGTCTGTTTTGTGCATTTGTGTTGGACATTATTGAAGAGCTGTTGGAACACTGTATAGTCATAGAGTTACGGCTGGGGATTTAGATCCATGGTAAAATGCTTGCCTAGCAAGCACAAAGCCCTGGGTTTGGTCCTCAGCTCTGGAAAAAAAGGACAAAATAACATAGAGGTGGAGCTGTGTCCATGGCTTTAAAATGTTCATGGATTCAAACAAGTTAGAAATCGGAGAGCCTTCCACGTAGTGTACATCATGGGGGGAAAGCCCCACTGAAAAGACTAGAGACAAAATAAGAACAGTGGAGAAGACTTTCTAGCATGACCGGACTGTCCTGAATGTTAAACTTACAAAAAGGAGAACATTTTCTTGAATGTGAAAGTTTATGGCACCTATGACAGGGAATTTACATGGTTGATTAAGGAAATTTGGATCTTTGGATTTGCCAATGATAATGTCTTGGTACTTACTGCATTGTAGAGGTGAAAATCAGTTTTATAAGATAGTGAGCTGGATAGTGTACACACACACACACACACACACACACACACACACACACACACACACACACACAGTGTACATTTATACAAAACACTTGGCTGGAAGCAGGTAGGTGTCATTTAATCATTTATCCTCCTTCAGGCACAAAAATCTCCATTGAATGACCTTTAAAATCCTGGTGTCAGTTACTGTGTGGGGCCCCCTGCTGGTTATCTGTAAATAGTAAGTGGTTGTAATTTGCAACATTCAATGAGCATTTATCACTTTCTGTTAACAGTGTGTCATGGTCCACTGGGAGAAGAGAAATCTGTAAGTATAAATGTCCACTTTAATCTCAATTTCCTTTCTGCCTCTTTGTGAAAAATGTCTAAACATGGTTTGTATCTGTAGCCTGGAGATGTATGGACATCTAATTGCCATCAGTGTACCTGTACTGAAGAAAGGGCTGTGGACTGCAGACCTAAGGAGTGCCCTTCTCCACCCACCTGCAAAACTGGAGAGAAGCTTATGACATTCAAATCGAATGATTCCTGCTGTGAAATTGGCCACTGTGGTATGTATCTGCAATACATTATACAAACTAAATCTGTGCATTGTTTTCCTGTTGATACATTCAAGGGATGTTTTTGAGGTAATATGTCACACATGACACTAGGATCTGGTAAATATAACAGAAATAGTATTTCTTAAAATATATTATTGGTGTAATAAAAAAAACTAGAATTAAGAGATGGTAACAACATCAATAAGGCAATGATAATATTCTAAGGAAAGCATAATTGGTTGATAAGTATGCTCCCATCTACAAATTCTTCATAATTTTTTTTTTCAAGACAGGGTTTCTCTGTGTAGCTTTGTAGACCAGGGTGGTCTCGAACTCACAGAGATTCCCATGCCTCTGCCTCCTGAGTGCTAGATTAAAGGTGTGGGCCACCACTGCCAGGCTCTTCCTTCATAAATGCTAAAGAGGTATATTAAATTTATTTTTCAGAACCAAGAACATGTTTATTTAACAATACTGATTATGAGGTAAGCCCTTTCTTCTCTCTTTTAGTTATATAATCATATGAATAAACCACACCAGAAGGTTTTCAGTGTGTAATTTAAAAAAAAAATTGTTTAAAAAACCTTTTGGTAAAGGCCAAGGATAAGTTCTTTTTCGCATTAGTTATATAAAACGCAGCACTGGGATGCTCCTTCCAAAGGAAGCAGTCCTCTCTCTCAATCATTAAGCAGGCAGCAATCAATCTCAGAAGGGAAGTTCCCCAGGGTCACACCAGATGGAAAAGACATACTGTGCAACTTTGAAAACAATGAACAGAGTCCAGCTGTAATTACAGCCAGAAAGATCAGATGGCCAAACTGCCAGCGATCAAACAAAAACATTTCAGGCTCCACCCACTCCGGGGAGTGACCTGTGCAGGCTGGGGCTTAACTCTCTAGAAAAGGCTTTGTGAAACTACAGGTGTCAATGATTCCCAAACTGATATTAATGCTCTCAACTGGTGTTAGTAAATACTGAAAACCCAAACTAAGGTAAACGAAGCATTCGAAGAAAAAAATATAAAATTTACCTCACTCACATTTCCAAAATTGGTGTGACTCTAGAAACCACAAAACCTAAAGGTTCAAGACAAAAGAGGAAATTCCAAAAAATTTGCAAGTGAAAGAGTTGAAATAATAAAAGTCCAGTTTCATAGAAAATTTATCTTAGGGCCGAATGCCTTAAGTCAGTAGTTTTCAACCTGAGGGTCATGGCCCCTTTTAACAGGGGTTGGATATCAAATACCAGGCATATTAGGTATTTACATTATAATTCATAATAGTAACAAAATTACAGTTATGACATAGCAATGAAATGATTTTATAGTTGGGGTTCACCACACATGAGGAACTATATTAAAGGGTTGCAGCATCAGGAAGGGTAAATCCACTATCCTAAATTAAAAATTGTTTCTCAGACTATGGTTTGAACATTAGATAGAAATTAATTACAAAACAGTCCAAAGAGCTGTAAGGTAGAAGTAAGGTATCTTGTGAAGCTGGCCATTAACCTTACTTTAGAGATTTGTTTTTACTTTATGTGTATAAATGTTAAGATATAAGTTTTATGAGTATATGTCTACATGTATGAATGTGTACCACATGAGTCCTTGGTGCCCTCAGAAGGCAGAAGAGGGCACCGAACTCCCTGGAACTGAAGTATAGATGGTGAGTCACCATTTGGGTATGAGAGCTAAATTCTGATCCTTTGGAAGAGCAGCAAGGACTCAACTACTGAGACATATGTCCTATTAGTCCTCATTTAGACTTTTATCTATTATTAGTGTGTGTGCATAGAGCACAGCACATGTGTGAAGGCCAAGGGCATCTTTTAGGCATCAATTTTCTCTATTAGTTGATTCCTATGATCCAACTCAAGGTATCAGTTCAGCTTGCAACTAGTACTTTACCTACTTAGACACCTTACAGACCCATGCCATTTTGTCCACTTCGATGTTCTATTCCTCTTGAAGCATAGATCACAACAGAAAATATTCATTCTTGAAAAAAATTCTTAAACATATAACACAGTGACTATCATAAGTGTCATTTTGAAGGTTGGAAATCTTGATGCACTCTATGCACCCAATGGAGAATTTTGATTTATTCACTAAAGGAAAGTGCCACCTTTCCTGTTTACAAGTGAAAGTACTCTTTACAGACACTAAAATCAGAAATTTCATCTTTTCTTTTTTTTGCCAGTTTTAATTGATAAGTTAAATTATATTCCAAGGGAAATAATTTCTCTCTTCCCCTAACCCTTGCAGATTGGTGCATCCTTTGATGACCCTAGAAACCCATGTGTCTCCTACACCTGCAACAGCACTGGCTTGATGGCCCTGGTTCAGGACTGCCCAAAGCAAACCTGGTGCACAGAAGTAAGTCATGGTCTAACAAAGGCAAGCAAGGTCACCACTCAAGTTCAATTCAGACCCTTCTCATCTTTCTGCTCCTTTGGGAATGTAGGTCTTTGGCCAGGAGATGCAAATCTATCATCAGTTCCATGAATCTTTATACTAATTCATGTACCAAGAGCCAGATGATTCTAGAAATATCAGCTTTTATTGAGTATATTCCTCATCCCAAGAATGAGTTTTATTTTTTCCAGCTTCACAAAACTTAATTTAGTACTATTTTAAAAGTAGGTTATTACAAAAATATTAGCTATTTATTCATTTGTAATAGTATAGGAGAGTTTCTTTATTAAAAAAAAAACAATGCCGTTCTACTCCCTATTGCACACATTTGAAGATATTATTTTATTCATTACATTTTCCCCATTTTTTAATTTTATTTCATTTTACATTCCAACCACAGTTCTTCCTCCCAATCCTCCTCCTACCCCCCTTTGCTTCCTCCCACATTCCCCTTACCTCCCTTATGTTTGTTTATTTTAACTTATGTGTATGAGTGTTTTATCTGCATGTGTGTATGAGTATTATGTTCATGCCTGATACCCTTAGAGGTCAGAAGAGGGCATTGGTTCACTGGAAAAGGAGTATGGGTAGTCATGGGTTCTAGAAACTAAATCTGGGTCTCTGTCTCCCTCTGTGTGTATAAATTTGACTACATGCATATGTGTGTGCATGCGGGCATGCATGCGTGTGTGTGTATGTATGTGTTTGTGTGTGTACATTTATATGCATAGTAATTAGAGAATATCAAATCATGGATTCAAAAGGGAGCATTCAATGATGCAATTAGATTTTAATAAATTTTAAATTTTTCTTAGAACAACAACAAATAAAGCAGCTACCACTCTTACCTATTGAGCCAAATCCCTCTTCATTATTTTATAGACAAAACTAAAAGCCATCTTTTTAAATGAAAGCTCATGATTAATTACTTCCTTTAATAATTCAAATTCTCAAAAATGACATGTGTATGTACTACCTATATCTTTGTGCCACAAACATCATTTCTTTGCCTTCATACTTTAGTTTCTATTACTGTAATGAATACCGCAATCAAAAACAACTCAGAGAGGAAAGGATTTATTTATTTTACGATGTCACATGTCAGTAGGGAAGTCAGGGCAGGAACCTGGAGACAGGAGCTGATGCAGAGTCCATGGAGAAGTGCTGCTTCCTAGTTTGCTCTCCAAGACTTCCCCAGGCTGCTTTCTTATAGAACCCAGGACCACTAGCCCAGGGTTGGCACTGCCTGCAGTGAATTGGCCCTTCTATATTAATCAAGAAAAATGACCTTTAAGCTTTCCTACTGACCAATCTAGTTGGGACATATTTTAAAATGAGGTTCTCTCTCCTCAGCTGTTTCTAGCTGGTGCCAACAACACTCAGTTTTTATATTAATGCTTGATATTAAATTAAAACTTTTCTTTCTGAATCTGTAATTTATAGCATATTTTAAAGTATTATTTTAAAATTCTAATATTGTATTGCAATAGTTTATTTGGATTTCATCTTAAGAGGTGGGAAGATTAGAATTTGAAGCAAAGCTTAAGTGCAGATCTTGAGTAAAAGAAGCTGACAGCATCTGGTATTGTGTTAAAAGGATTTTTCCTTTGAAGTAAGTGAAGCATAATTTGTTTTCATATTTGCATATTCTTTTTCCTTCTCTTCCTGTCATTGCAAAATCTTAGTCTTAAACATTCAATATCATGTTTATTACCAAGTTCAACTCCTTCTGCTCTTGCCTAGCCTCAGCATTGACATCAACATGCTCATCTCTTTCCATTTCCCCTTCAGTTGGTATTTTAGTATATTAAGAAATGCATTTTTCATTCAATATTTAATTTTTCTATTTTTTTCCTACAGGGAGAGAGAACCTATGATTCAAAGAAATGTTGCTATACATGTAAGTGAACCTTTAAAAATACAAAATATCTAAGTGGCTGTAAAAGTAGAATTTATTAAGATAGAATGACACATCATTAATAGAAGGTTTATCCATTATGTTAAAATACAGAAACCTGATTTGTAAATATGCTACCAACTTATATGCTTGCAAAGAGTGTTATGGCTATTTATTGATAGTAGTAGTTTTTCTTCTAAAAAAAAATGATGAGCACTTATGTTTACAAGTGAATTTGTCTTGATGCCTATGTTAAAAAAAAAAAAGACAACTTTTTTGTCCTAACACCAGTAGTTTGTGTTGTAAACCTGTGTGCTAGAACACAGAACTATATGATCGATCAGCAATAGAAATGCTCTTTAGCAATATCCCATCATCTTCCCTGTTCTGACTGCCCCCCCCTTTTTTTCTTCTACTTATTGCTTCCATTCCCCTTAACCTGCATCATAGTAACAATCTATCTATACAAGTCTTTACCAGGTGCCTTTCACAGCCTGTGTTGAGATAGTTATCTCCCTTAATAACATGGTAAAGTAGTTGGTCCACCTCTCCCCTTTAGTTAAGATAATGTACGCCAAATAATAGCTAAGATATTAAATCTCACTTCCTTGTCTGTTATGCACTTTGTTTTAGGTAAGAGTGACTGCAGAACTTCACCTGTGAATGTGACCATTAGATATAATGGCTGTAAGAAGAGAGTTGAGATGGCAAGATGTGCAGGGGAATGCAAAAGGACCCTCAAGTAAGTTTCCCTTTGAATGCGTTCTGTGACTTAACTTGGTGCTTATAGAGAAAATCAAGCAATATCACATAGGGGAGCTTGATATGAAAGAACTGCGAGGTTAGGGCATAATGGAAAAATAAATAAACACTATGATCTGATGAATAAAATCATCACTTAGCTGATCGGTTATTCTGAGGTCATTTTCTAAACATGCTTAAACATATTTGTGATAAATACATGCATTTTCCTGTAGTGACTATAGAGGGTCATTACTCAAGGAAGTACATTAGCCAATCACTTTAAAGTTGAATTTTAGACTGGCATTATATGTTTTCCTTAATATTCCATTTTACATATAGATAAATTTAGTGAGGATAATTTGATAATGATTTCAAATCACTATTATATTCTTTTGCACCATAATATTCACATTATTCAGTGACAACTCTTTCTTTTTAATATCATTTTGTCTCAAATGCTGATTGTCACTGATCTACATCAGAGTTTTGTAGCTGGAAGGGATACAAGTTCTAGAAAAAGATCACATTAAATAAAGGCTAGTAAGCTAATTAAGAAAGTTATTGGAACCTAAAGTCTAGTTATGTGATGTTTGCAAATATTTCAAAATATTTATTACTGATTTCCTTTCTCTTAGGTACAATTATGAGACCTTCCAATTGGAGAATTCATGTATTTGCTGCCGTGAAGAAAACTATGAATACAGGGACATTGAACTCGATTGTCCTAATGGCGGCACCATCCCATACAGATACAGGCACACTACAACTTGCTCTTGTCTGGACCAGTGTGAACAGTCTTCAGCCAGTTAATACCTGCATTGCCTTTCTGGTTGCACTTATATTAGTCAGGAAGAAAAATAATTAAATAGTGTGAATGGATAAATCTGAGATGTCTTATTTTAAAAGTGAGGCATTCCATTCTGTTGTTGACAGTGCCTGTAAAATAAACCCAATGGTGCAAGTATGTAGTGAGTATGTGGTTTTTTTTACACAGTATGAATTCTGTAAATTACAGAGAACACAAGCCAGGCATGACTCCTAGTGCCCTAGGACCATTGATCTGTTCCATTCCCTCCCTCCTATCACTGTTCAACAGCAATGTAGTCTTCATTCTTTTCCAGTTCCCTGTCTGAGCTGCACCACCATTTTTACTGTGCTACATCCCCCTCTCCTGCAACACCTTGGCTTCCTCATAGTTCTCAAGTTATAACTGCATCATGTTCCTCCTTTCATTTTATGTAGGTGTCTTGACATACTGTATCAGCATAGGCAAACACACCAAGGGTTTTCTATCTTAGTCCAAACACAGTGAATCACTGTTCTAGAGGTTACAGCTTGTTATCTCCAAATTACTAGTATTAAACTATTGGGAGCTGAGATAATAAACTCAGAAGGTATAAAAGTTTATTCCTTTCTAATGCACAAGGGTGGGAAAGTTTGGATAAGCCTAGCATCTTTCTCTCTCTCTTTTTTATACCTATTATTTGAACATCCATCTTCCACCTTTTGCATTGATGGTCACAAATGGTCCTCTCTCTTCCATAATTTTTCAATCTTAGTCCAGCCAACAAAAAAGTGGTATGGGAGATGGGGAGTTATTGATGTTTGTTCTTTGATAGCAGGATCTAGAAGTTGTACACATTCTTCCATAAACAACTGGTTGGACAAAATGCAGAGTCCAAAGGAATCATAAACAATGACTTTAAGTGAAGATATAATTATTACCTTTGTAAAAAAAAAAAAACAAGCAATTAGGAACTTCCCCCCAAAGTCCAGTTCAATACATGAGAAATCAATTAGTCAAATTAATAAGTGCAAGGCAAGTTCTAGGAGCTAGCTATAACAAATGCAACTTGAGTCATCACTAAACTGAGATCACTATGAGAGTGCTATGATTTATTACTATATATTCTTGCCCAAATTTATTTCACACATGTTGAGAATACACCAGAAGAGCATTCTCAGCTGTTAGCCTCTTTGGGGGGTTGCCTCATTGTTAGGTTCTCCCTTCTAGGGAACAATAGCACCCAGTGCTTGATGGGTGACAGTGAAAGGGTCATCTCTCTAACCACAGCCAGAGTCCATGACCTCCCTACAGTGCTGGCGGCTGCCTCCACCGAGAAATCACAGTGCCTTGATTTCTTTCTCCATGCAATGAAGTCAGAACATAAAAATCTCCAATGTAGTGTCTTCTAGGGAACGAATCTGTATTGTATATTCATTATTCTCTAGAACTCTTCAAATGGCTGTGATATTGAAGTCTGAAGATTGAATGGGGAAGGGTGCAGTCATTAGCTCACTTGGGTGCAGTTATTAGCTCACATGTGCTTTTGCTAGTTTGATGATTGAAATGAGTTACATGTTGAACTTTTCCCTATTGTAGTATCTTCTCCTCTTTCCCTTGCTGCCTTTAAACAATATAAAGTTTTCATTATATCAAGCACATTGTTTTAATGGTCTTAAACCACAAGATTACCTCATGACAGAAGTAAAGTTAATTAAGACTTCAAATATAGCATTATGATTTGTGTATACACCAAATCTAGGTGTGTGTGTGTGTGTTTGTGTGTGTGTGTGTGAGAGAGAGAGAGAGAGAGAGAGAAAGAGAGAGAGAGAGAGAGAGAGAGAGAGGGCCAAATCATGAATTTCCTCAAAATGTCAAACATGCAGTTAACACAGATTCCACTCAATAACATTCCTATATAGTTCTTTCCAAATATATGATTTACAAATGCTTTCTCCCATCTGTAGGTTGTTTCTTTGTTGTGCTGATTTTTCCTTTATTGTTTTAAATTACTTTTTTAAAGATTACAATATAATGACATCATTTCCCCATTATCTTTTTCCCTCCAAATAATCTCTTTTTTGTGCTAATTGCTGTTGTACACACACACACACACACACACACACACACACACACACAGAGACAGACACAAACACGTATACTTGTGCATGTGTGCTCCTTAGTATACAAATACAGTGTGCTCAGTCTGTATAATGTTACTTGTTGGTATGTTTTCTAGTCTCACCATCTAGTATTGGATACCCAAGTTGGTGTACTCTGCCATGAAGGCTTTCTCCCACTCTCAGCATTATTTTAGTTGCCTGTAGTTGTTTTGGTGGCATTAAGGCCTTGTAATCTTTTCCCTGTCCACATTATCATGCTGACCAGTGCTATCCATGTGTCAGTCAGGGTTTTTATTTCTGGGAAGAGACACCATGACCACAGCAACTCTTACAAAGAAAATATTTAATTGAAGTGATGGCTTACAGTTTCAGAGGTTCAATCCATTATTATCCTAATGGGGGGAGGGGCATGGCAGCATGCAGGCAGACATGATGCTGGCTATATCTTGACCAGAAGGCCTGCAATGAGTTTTAGATGCAAGAGCTGTGCTGTAGATGTTAGCAGTGAAGATTAAGTACTATAGATGTACATTTTGATGAGTTGAGGTTTTCTGCCATGTTCTCCATCTGTTGCAGAGACAAGTTTCTTTGCTGATGGGGGGGAGGGCTGCACTGACCTGTGGATATAAGGACACATGTTTCTAATGGAGTTAGGGATTATGCTGGTTGTTCTCCGGGATCCATGGTTTCACTAGCTTTAGTTGGCTAGATTTCTAGTACCAGACATATTTTCCTCTTGTTGGGCAGGTATTAAGTCCAATTAGAGTGCTGTTGGCTACCACCAATTGCAATTATGAGTTCCATAATTGCACCCTAAGGATTATCATGCCAGGCTCGCTGTTGTCTGTTGCTAGGGTTCATAGGTGTTATATGGTCTTTTGGTTTGTTCCCTCTTTTGGAAGCTTCCAAAGCACCTTTCAGTACTATGAAAGTCAGTTGTCAGGCATTCAGGTTAGCTCCATATTGGGGGCCTTGGACCCTGGGTCCAAAGTTGTTTTTGGCAAACAGGGATTTATCTATCTTTGGGTGGAGACAACAAAGGGCAACAGCAATAACTTAAAATGTTTTGGAAGTATCTTGGACAACTCTGACCAACAACCCAAAAGAGAGATTCTCATGTCTAATTTTGGGGACTTTGTCAGAAGATCTTTGGCTCTTGGTGGGAGCATTATCAGTGCAGTAGAAATTTTGTTTAAATTATATATACACATTTATACAATGACTTAACATGCATCATAGTCATCTCCAGGTAGATGATTAACATTATTATTCCCTATGATTTTTTTCAGATACCCTTACTGTTATTTGTCTTTCCCTTTCCTAATTAGAAAGAACCTTATTCCTGTGTTTTCAAATTCCCCTTTCTGGTCACTGTACCCTACTCTTAAAAGCTTTTCAAATCAAAATAACCCCACTATTTTGACTATTTTTGCTGTTTTTTTTTTTTTTTTTTTGAGACAAGGTCCTACTGTTTTGACAAGGATTGTCTCAAATGCCTAAGTGCTTTCTTTATCAATTTGTCTTCTGTTGCTCTGATAAAATATACTGACAAAAGCAACTTAAAGAGAAAGGATGAATTACAGCGGTCATAGCTAGTTTTATATCAACTTGCCCCAAACTCGAGTCATCTGAAAGGAGGGAACTTCAATTGAGAAAATGACTCTGTAAGATCCAACTGTAGGGCATTTTCTGAGTTAGTGACTAGTGAGAGAGGGTCCAGCCCATTGTGGGTGGGTCCATGCCTGTGCTGGTGGTCCTGGGTTCTACAAGAAAGCAGGCTGAGCAAGCCAAGTATGCAGCACCCCTCCATGGCCTCTGCATCGATCCTGTTTGAGTTCCTGTCCTGACTTCCTTCAATGATGGACTACAATATGAAAGTATAAGCCAAGTAAACTCTTTCCTCCCTAACTTGCTTTGGTCATAGTGTTTTATCACAGCAATAGACGTAGAGTTTTGATAGCAGAAGTTTGAGGGCACAGGTCACATTGTGCCTACAGTTAAGAAGCAGAGAATAGTGAGTGTCTGGGCTCAGCTTACTTTCTCCTTTCAGGATCCTAGTCCATGGATGGTACTACTTTTAATGACTGGGTAGTACCCTTTCAATGAAAGTAATCAATATAATTGCCCACAGCCATGTGGAGAGGCTCCATCTCCCAGGTGCTTCTGAACATCATCAAGTTGACACTTGACCTTAACCACCATGTACTCTCTGGGGTCATAGCCCAACAAGAACAGAAGTTCACTAGACAGATCAAAGGTTAACACTGATCTTTCCTGCCTATAGGTTCGGGAATTTATGGTCTAAGACTATTGCAACCAGCTAGCTACAGGTAATGCTGAACCAGAATGTAAATCTGATAAACTGAGGCCATATTTCTTCACCTGAAATCCAGAGGCTTTATCTATGAGTAGGCCTGGAAATGGGAGACACTAGGATCTTCTCTGTGTTGTGTTTCACTTGTCTCATTATAAATTCCAAAACAAAGTCCTATGTTTATTCCTCCGTCCTAACCTCCTTACATGGTGTCTTGCTCCATATAATGCTGCCTGAAACTTGGGTAATATCGCTGAAGATAATCACCACCAAAGCTGATGCTGGTATCACACCTGAGTCTCATAGCCTTACTATCAACATAGTCTCAGGATGGAGGTAGGCTTGTGCTACAGATGGCAGTAATACATACTAAAACTATATCCACTAGGATATAGAGTAACAGGGCAGGTCAAGAAGCTTCATCTCTGATTCTGATTATGAAGCTAACATTGTTGCCCAAATTAGAGTGACCTACCCTTAGCCACTAAAGCTGACAATCAGCTAGGATCTATCTACCTCAGTCAAAAGGATCTGCATAGTGTCTGTGTGCCCCAGGTCAACGCCAACAATGCAGTGATGCAAACCAGAACTCAGACTGTCTTACCAGGATGAAGGAT